ACAGACGGACAGTCAGACGGACAGTCAGATAGACTTTTTACTGAAAAAGTTGCATTTAGGGCTCAGTTTTGTCCTTGTTTTTCAAATATTAAGGTAAAAGTGTCTATGAAAATGAATTGAATATTTTTCTGAAAATTTTCAATGTATTTAACACTCAACTTTGTCTTTCCAATTGCATTTTTATTCACTTCTTAATTTTTGAAAAGTACTAACTAACTTGATTTTGTAATTACCGTAAATACTGTAATAGTGCCCCACCCCCATAATGACGGTGCGGAGTGTTCCGTAGTCTAGCTTTGAACGCGTTTTTCTCGACACTGGTTTATGCTACAATGCGCGCTTAGGTATCAAAAAGTAGCTGAAATTCAGGGCTATTTTTTGATACCTAAACGCGCATTGTAGCATAAAGCAGCGCAGAGAACGGGATGTTTAAAGTTAGACTACGCAACCATCCCGAAAAAGCGTGTTTTTCTCGACACTGGTTTATGCTACGACACTGGTTTAGCTTAGGTATCAAAAAATAGCTGAGATTCAGGGCTATTTTTTGATACCAAAGGCGCATTTTTTGAAAGTATGGGCGCTTTGAAAAAATGAAATATTAAAAAACTTTTGCGACTACGCGACTGTACGGGGGGGGGTGGGGTACTATTACAATATTTACGGTAAGTTATTCACCTAATTGATTGCAAAACTTGCTAATGTAAAATTGTGAGATTATTCTAAATTCATATAAATAACTGATAAAAGCGCAAATTTTTTGGAATTTCCCGCCATTTGCTTTCTTTTTTGTCCCACTCTCATTGCTTTTCTTCTAAGCCGCTTTATTTATTGTCAGCCCCGCTCGAAATTATGGCTTTTTGACAGGAAAACTTATTCCTTTTTGTATTTTTGAGTCAAATTTCAGTATTAAATTTCTTTTTTTTCAGGAATGACGTCAAAACACAAATCGATCTCCCCGTTGGAACGCTTGAAGTCTCTCCATCTGCGCGGAAGTGTCGATCTACAATGCGGACAAAAGGTGCGGTGGATGTTTAGTTATAAAATTAGTTTCTTGTCGGGTTGCCAGTTGTTTTGGAACCAAATTATATAAAAGAGTACTAATAAACGGTGCTAATGTAGTTGGGGAGGCAGTGTACATTCATCTCATTCAGCCAAGGCGCATTAATTTTTGCTTCTAGGGTTTTTAATGGCGTAGATTCTTAATTCGGTATTTATTTAAGTTATTTTCTAGCTATTTCAAGCAATCACTGAGGTTTTAAGCCTCTTAATTCGGTCCCGCACCTCTGAACCCAGTGGAAATAGAGCCACCCTTGAAGACTCGAAATTGTTGCTCAAACTGGCATGAAAGTTTTTCAAAATGGTTTATAAACGCTTTCAATGGATTCAGTGCAATTAATTACCCCAGAAAAAGTTTTTAAAACTAGTGGCAAGTTCGAAAAAATCGACGTTTACAAACTGGCCCCCTCAACTTCTATAGCACCTAATTTTTTGAGCTTTGAACAAACTTTTACCTGAATTGGTCAGATCCTATTCTAGGCGTGTCTTTTTCTGGTCTTGTTTTGCATTTTCTGGAGTAATCAAATACGCTTGGTCGATTGAAGATGTTTTTAGAATATTTTGAACAAGTTTTCACTTCGTATTTTGCTTATCTCTTCATTTTTAAGCTTAGCAACACTGCAGAGGCAAAACTCCAGCTAGCTTATCAAAATATCAATAAAAATCGTTCAAAACTTTCTAAAAATATTATCAGTAAATTCATCATGCTTGATTATCCCAGAAAAAGTAAAACAACGTCGGTAAAACAGTCAAAAAATACAATCTAATCAAAGTGGCTCCCCAGAATTTTATTAGTACTTATAAAAGTAAACAATATTTTGCCTCTACAAAAAGTTATAAGCCTTTTGAGCCGAAATTTTCTTTCAAAATACCAGGTAATTTGACAAGAATCTAATTTGTGTAAAATTAAAAGCTTAGACTTTGAAAGCGTATCATTTTTGCAAAGGAGGAGACGTTTTACGTTGAATACTCGATCAGATTTATGATCTGGGGGTAGGCTACTTTGCGTCAAATTTTTTGCGCAACTAGGTCTTTTGCACAGCTCGCCATAACTTTCTTCTAAGTGGGCCAATCTTTATGATTTTGGTTTCATTTTGTAGATCTCAATATGTGCAACAAAATGACACCAAAATCATAAAGATTGGCCGACTTAAAGGAAAGTTGCGCAAATGACCATGTTCCGCAAAAAAAATTGCGGAAATTAGCCTACTCTATGATCTGATCTCAAAATCACAAAAATATTTCACGTTTACACTCCAAAAATGAATCTGAATGAACACTTCGCTTTCAAATCCAAGATTCTTTCCGTTAGACAATTTTCATTCTCGTGCTTGATCTAAAAATTTCACTGAAAGCTGGCGATTTTTAATGGATTTTCCCTGAGGGTTTTCCGGTCGATTCCGATACATTTTCTTCATTTCTTATCTGATTGAAGATCATCTAAACAATTTTGTGAAAAGATTTTTTTAAAGAAAAATGTGTTAAAAGCACATGGTCTGATTTTTCTGTATGTTTGATTAAAAATTTTAAAACAAAACAAGAAAACCTTTTGAAAAGCTCAGCTACAGCTACAGCTCAGCTCAGCTCAGCTCAGCTCAGCTCAGCTCAGCCCTACAAACTCTATAGAACTTTTGATGATCCATTGAAAACGTTAAAAGTACTAGATTCTACAAAATTTCTGCTATAGTTTATAGCAATATAGGATTTTTGATTACTAAAACAAATTGTTTATCTTTATCCAAATGTTGAAAGAAAACTGGAACCTTTTACTTTGATCTTGATCAGTTTTTCACCTTTAAAACCTTTGGTGGAAAACAAACGCACGTGTACCCCATGAAAGTCTCGATTTTCAGCCTATTTACACTAAATAGCGCAACATTAATGTAATCCAGATGATCTTTTCGATATTATTCGATTTTCTTTGCAAAAATTGAGAGGCGCTCCGCCTCCGCTCCTCGAGATAATGGACCGAGTGCAGGGGAAATTTGTTTTGGTTTTTGCGAAATTTTTTCTCTGCTCTGTCCCCGCCTCCATTATCCAGAGAACCCCTGACCTTTAAAAATGGATTGTCGAAGGAAAATCCCTCGTGCTACAACCCAATTTTCTTGATCTTCTTATCATTGATGTTTAGAAAATTGATGAGCCTATGATTCGGTTTTTTGAAATCGTCTTGTGAAAGACTGCTCGTTTTCTTAATTCCTTCAAATTCATTTCTTTTTCATGAAGTTCTCCGAAACTTGCGGATATTTTGTCATTGATTTAGATACAGGGATATTTAGATTGATTGATTTAGATAAATGTAGATCCAGTTTTAAAAGGTTCGATGAAAATCCGTGAATCCTTTTTGAAATGAGCTCAAAGTTGAAATTTTCTTTCAAGTTCTGCAAAAGTTCTTTCTTATCTCATTTTAACTTAAAATTTGACAAACCTTGAGTATCATAACTTGAAAAACGGCTTTGAAAACAATCCTTAGCTAAATTTTTTGTAGTCTATGCTCAAACATACCCATATTTATGGTTTGTGCCATTCTCATCACTCTTTGTCCCTTGTGTTCCTTCTTCGGTGTTATCAAACAAACATGAAACAAATATATAAAGCTAGAATGTAAAAGCTCAAAGTTGCAAAACTGCAAAACTTTATCTAGGCTGCTATCGATAATGATGTAAAATCGAACAACAATTCAATTGAAGTTTGACGCTAACTTTATCGATAAAGGCTGGTTAGAAAGTTTGTTTTCTAAACTGCAACTTGATCGCCATGCCCTTGATGGACAGAAATCGGTTTTCCCCCCAGCAAATCTCTTTTTGTGACACGTTTCTGTTTCTCTCGCGGGGCGGTGTTTTTCCACTTTCTCCCCTTCCCTCTTTTTGTCATTCACCAAATTTAGCCACACCACACACGAGCCATCTGTTAGCGGCACCGTTCGTCACTTTTATGGTCACATGATAAGGAGTTGAAAACATTCCTTTACTCATATTTATGCAATTGTTGATGTTCCCTCTTCATCTTTCGTTTTCGCTTGACAAACAAATACTCGTATTGTTGACGCTGGAGTTGCCAGATAGCTACTGGTAGTCTGGCTTTCGGATACTTCTTAATTAGAATTTCATCTAGTGGAAGAGCTTGTGCCAAACTTTTATTTTTACTATTGTAGGACTCTTGTGGTTCTTGTAACTTTTCGGACGATTACATGGATGGCCTTTGAATTTAATGCTGACAGTGGTCTTCAAGGAGTTAGGGTAAATTTGCTCATTTATAAAGCTTTCTCTCTAATCCAGCCTCAAAGATATGACTACTGTACTTTGTGAAATTTTTTCCTTAAACCCTTTACCATTCCCGCCCACTTAAAATCAATCTTTCGCAAGACTTTTCTCTTATTTGAATTCAAGCTTATCATATCGTCACAGTTCAAATTGAGTTCCCTCCTCATCTTTCGTTTTCGCTTTACAAACAAATACTCCCTTTCCAACTTTTCGCTAAACAGTTCGAAGCACTTCCGTTCTCCGTATTCAAAAAAAAAACGGATGCCAGTGAGCAAATAGTAGCCATTTTTTTTTCAATTTCCTTGCTCAACCCACGTGTTATTTCTCGATGGCCGAATCATCATTTTTTTTCTCATCGCGAAACAGTTGGTTTTCCTTGAGAAATGACTGAGGATTAGTCATTTTTTCATTTCATTTCTGCAGAGTTCGTTTAGGAAGGGAAATGATCTTAACAATGTAAACAACTTTTTCAGAAATGCTATGCCTTTTGACAGTGAGAGGATTTCTAAAGCTTTGAAAATAACCCGTTTTAAAGCCAAATTCTTTGAAACCATCAGATTTTTCACTTTTGAAACTTGAGCCATTCACCAATTATGCTAAGGATTTTAGTTTATAACTGTTCTCTATGCATTTTTCAAACTTTTCTTTGATTTACATACAAATTCCAATTGAATAGGTTTAATGGAAATAATCATCGAGAATAATCACTCGGAGCGACGCCTTCGACTCGACAACACACCACTTAATTGTGCTATTGAAAAACACGGTCGAAAGCGAAGTGTTCATCAAATGATTAGAGACAGGGTGCGAAAAAACAACTAGATTAAAATCAATGCAAAATGTTAGATAGATTATATTTAGATTTTAAAATTTTGAGATACTTATCTTTGTCAATTTGGAGATACTTATCTTTGTTTTTAGATCGATGAAATCACGCGGAGTCTCGTTGTTTGCGATGAAACGTTGAGGAGAATGATGGCATCGCTTGAGGCGGCTTTTAACAAAGGACTTGCTACGGAGACTGGTTGGTTAAACGTTTTTGCTAAAGTAAAAATAGTAAATAAGAACATTGAAGAACAATAAAGAACAGTAAAGAATATCAAATAGATAAAATCACTTATTGATTTTGAACTGAAGCTTTGAAACTCAATTTCCCTTTCTCTTAAATAAAATATAATGCTAATTTTGAACTAGTATCTAGTGAAAGTGATCTTAAAAAAATTGCTACAAGATTTTTAAGTTAATTTTTATTTTATTTTAGCATCAAGTGCCTCAGTCCGGATGCTACCATCTTATGTTCGATCGGTTCCGAATGGCACCGAAGAGGGAGATTTTCTCGCTTTGGATCTCGGTGGCACTAACTTCAGGTTAGAATTTTAATGTTTTAAGAAAACTATTAATGAACCTCTTTGAAAAGCTGTAAAAGTTATTTAATGCCTTTTTCCAGGGTTCTCTTGATCCAGATCCACAATCGAGAAGCAAAAATGACGAGCAAGATCTTCCGTGTGCCCGACCACGTGATGAAAGGAAGCGGAGAAGCGGTAAGTGAATTTGAAGTTGATTCTAAGGATAATTCACTTGATTTCTATACTTTGAAAATTTTGCAAATCTTTGTTTTTTTCAGCTTTTCGACCACATTGCCTCCTGTATGGCTCAATTTATGGAGGAACACGGACTGAAGAACACGAAATGCCTCCCGCTTGGATTCACTTTCTCATTTCCCTGCAAGCAAGAAGGATTGACGAAAGCGCGATTGATCAATTGGACAAAGGTATATAGAGTACTTTGGAGTTGTTTTGAAAAAAAAATTGAATGGTATAAGGATAACCATAGTCACATTTGAATCCTGATTAATCTAGCGACAAATTTTTACATTCCGTAATGTAAAATTGCAAGCATAAAAGTTCGATCACTATTTTCGAAATATTAGATGATTATTTGTTTTTTCAGGGATTCAATGCATCGGGTGTCGAGAACGAGGATGTGGTGGATTTATTGAGAAGAGCTTGTCATCGAAGAGGAGTAAGTTTTTTTTAAATCTTTAAGCATTCGAACTTGAAAATTCAGTTCGATAATTAATAACTTTTTTAGGATATCGACATTGATGTGGTGGCTGTTTTGAATGATACCACCGGAACATTGATGGCTTGCGCTTTCAAGGAGAATTCTTGCCAGGTAATTTCACCAAATTTTACTGAATATCCTTTTGTTTAGGTTGGAGTGATTGTCGGGACCGGAACAAACGCTTGCTATATGGAAAAATTGACGAGGTGCGGAAAATTGGAAACGGAACTCGATCCCACAGATGGACTACCGGATGAGGTGATTTTGATGCATTTTCTAGCTAGTCATGTAGCTATATTACTGCTGGCTTTAAATTTCTAAACAAATTACTTCAGATGTGTATCAATACGGAATGGGGAGCGTTTGGCGATCATGGAGAGATGGAGTCGCTGAGAACGGAATTCGACGTCGAAGTTGATCAAGCAAGCATCAATCCGGGACGACAATTGTGAGTTTACGTCGTGATTAACTGTTTCCACAACTCGCTAAAAGGATAAACCGATCAAATAAGTTAAAATTAAATTCTAAAGCAATTGTAAAATCACTTTGCTGTTAAACCATGGAATATCATTTTACTTTTCTCATTAGTATAAGTAAACGTATCACTTTTCGCTTTTGCTTTTTGAATTTTCTTTGGTTTCACCAATTTGCCCCACAAGCAAAAACGTAACCACCTAATTGAATTTCTTAAATTTCGCCGACCTTGAAAACTTATAGAGTTGCTTTTAAAGGAATTGTTGAAAAACTTTGCAAACCAGACTCAGACAACTAACCGTCTTTTTTTAGATTCGAAAAGATGATCTCCGGGATGTATCTGGGAGAAATCGTGCGAGTGGTGAGTTAGTTCTCAATTGATCTTTGATAGTACAAGGACACATGTACAACTATCACTCAACTATCTATGTCTGTCCGTTGTTCATTCTCGTTATTGTGATCTCTGTCTTTGATTGTTGAGTGATATTTTTTTATGCATATATAAGGGTTATTGAAATAATAGGTTGTTGTTGGTTAAGCCTTTATTAGCAGATAAAGTTTTCAGGTTCTGGCTCGATTGGCCCGTGAAGGACTTCTTTTTGGAGGAGACACAGACGCGATCTCGAAGAAAGGAGGATTTCCCACGAAATATGTCTCCGAGATTGAGAGGTTAGTTTTTTCGAACTTAAATCAAGGAAGTGACCTGATAACGAATTTGAAAAGAATTAGCAAAATTGTCAAAATCGTAACTTCCTGTAAAATATTTATTTAAAACATTTTTATTTAGTGAACTTTTGGAAGACGAGGAACGAACATTTTCGAAGACATTCCAAATTCTCGAGGATCTCGGTATTGAAGGCGTTTCACAACTCGATTGCATTCATGTGGCCACTGTTTGCACACTCGTTTCCACAAGGTAAACTTTTGGTCTATGAAAGAAACATAAATTTCTTTAAAGAAATTATTGTTACCATGTCTGATCCGTTTTGAGTATAAAGTTTTAATCTTAGAAATGTTAGAAATCTTGACAGAGATGTGAATTTTCCAATTTTTAGAGCAGCTCACCTGACAGCGGCCGGAATTGCGGCGATTCTTAATCGAATGCAAAAACCCTACGTGACGGTGGGCGTCGACGGAAGTGTGTACAGGTTTGTATGACGGTTTTAGCCCAAATTTAACCAATCTTTTTAGGTTCCATCCGACTTTCCCGCGGTTGCTCGACGAGAAAATCGATCAACTTATCGATGGCAATTTGGAGGTTTGTGTTTGAAGATGCGAACCATATTGGAACTGTATGCGAACCATATTGGAACCATATTGGAACTGTATATTTAAGCTTACATAATTTTTTTTCTACTGACAGTGAGAAGTATGAAAGATAACTCTTTCTTTTAGTATCAATTGATGCTTTCCGAGGACGGTTCGGGTCGAGGCGCAGCCCTTGTCGCAGCGGTGGCAACGAGGATGAAAAACGAGAGATCCCAGCTTGCCAAGTAGGGATTTCGATAGTCAAATTTTACCCCCATTCATATTCTAATGTTTTCATTGATCGATATTGATTTCATTGATCATTGCTGCAGTTTCCCAAACAGCATAAAGCTTTTTCCAAACCTGATTCATAACTAAAATCATTCGAATAGGAATAGCAAAACCCCTCGTTTTTAGTACATTTTTTTCAATTCGATTTCTTTCCCTCCTTTATAAATGCCAAGCATAATAGCTAGTCTTTACTCTATTATCTTCGTATTCTCAGAAAAATTTTTTGTGTATTGTCAATATATTTTTGGAAATAAGAGATGCAAAATGTGCCTTGTAGGATTTTTGATTTATGCTCATAGTTGATTATCCATGTCTCTTTCCCCCTCTTGGTCATATTTAGTTTGTGTTGTGAACAAATTTTGATCATTATTGTTGTGTGGGTAGAGAAATTCTCTCATTTATTTTTCAATTTTGAGATTTTCGTATTTTCTGTTAACATTTTTGTAATAAGCGAATTGTGAGTCTGAGTTTTTTTTTCTCGAAAATCCCCATGCACTTGTAAATACATACACTAATTGGTGTGTGATTTTTTAGAATTTGTACGCCATTTCCTCCAAACATTTTAGATTGCCTTTATGGTGTAATAAAGTTAATGTTATTTTTGTGCACAATTTTTTAACAGGTTTTCCACATGAAATTGCCATCATTATAAACAGGGAATATCATCCGATGACGATTCGGGGCTCACGACGATAGAATTGATGACCCTTGCGATTCTCGAAGAAATGGTACGAGCGATCCCTGCAATTTTGAGAATCTGCAGTAATCCTTTTGGGTAAGATTTTGCATTTATCCTTGGCATTTATCCTTCAAGCTAACCTTTTGGCCAAAATTTTCTCCACCGGGCACACGTCGACGTACTTTTTCGTGAAATCGGTCCTGAAATGAGGATTTTGCTACATTTTTCCCTTATACAACTTGAACCTTACAAAAAAGTAGGTCGATTTTGAAAATTTTCATAAGATTGGATACGGTAGCTGCGACTATACGGTAGTTATTAATGATTTTATTAATGATTAATGATTATTATTATCAAATTTGCATCACATACTTCATTGTGGTTGTTCCATCGAATTGTCCCATGTTGGCGAGAGAATCCGGAAGTGGACGAGCTGGCACAGAGCGGCCAGCCTAAAGAAATGAAAATTCGGTTTTCAAAAATGATACTACTACCAAAACAAATTACAGATAGCGCATTCGCTTCAATTTTCGAAATGTTTTCTAAAAGGTGCCCCTCAGAACGAAACTACCGTAGTCCAGTGCCTTTTCGGTAACCGTGATAGTAAATCTTGACAAATCTACCGTAATCTTGAGGCTAGACTCTGCGATGTCTTAAATTTTTAGCAAAAGAGCTGGGTACGGTAGTTTTTCTTATAGTGAGCTTTAGTCAAGAAGAGATACCTATCGTAAATACTCTAATAGTGCCCCACCTCCATAATGACGGTGCGGCGTGTTCCGTAGTCTAGCTTTGAACGAGTTTTTCTCGACGCTGGTTTATGCTACAATGCGCGCTTAGGTATCAAAAAATAGCCCTGAATTTCAGCTATTTTTTGATACCAAAGACGCATTTTTTGAAAGTACGGGCGCTTTGAAAAAATGAAATACTAAAAACTTTTGCGACCACGCGACTGTACGAGGGGGGTGGGGTACTATTACAGTATTTACGGTAGTTACTTATGTACGGTAGCTTTTACCGAACTCATCTTTTAGAAAACGATTTAAACGACAGAAACGTAACCTAGCTTATCAGTTAGAATGCAATAATAGATAAAAGTGACCCATGAGCACACAACAACTATGTATACACGTACAATCTTTCTAAAATAATCAGCTTGATGCGTCGTTATCCCATCAAAATCCCCAGTCTCCAATCCGGTCTCTTTTGGTCGAATCGCGTGCGCTCTTTCTCCCTAAACACCCAAAAAAAACTGAGCACCAAAATGGGATTTAATCACTCTTTTTCGAAAATAGTCAGCTTGATGAGTGGTTATGCCATCGAAATCTCCAGTTTCCAAACCGGTTTCCTGTGGTCGAATCGCTTGAGCTTTTTCAGCCTGAATACCTTAAAAAGGGGCACATAAAGCTTTGTGTACTCTTTTCTTGAAATAGTCGGCTTGATGAGTGGTGATTCCATCGAAAACCCCGCTTTGGAGAATCGTTTCATAAGGTCGAATCGGTGGCATTCGTTCTCCCTAAGTATTGGAAATACTTGCCTAGATTTTCAAGCGTGATCCGGCTACCGTAACCCGTAGCTAAATCAGTAGATGTTATTTCCAAACGTTGACTCGGGTTTTAAGGCGTAACCTGGTTACCGTAGCTTTTTTTAGCCAATTAATCTACAGTAGCTTCTGTTGTTAGTATTGTAGCTGTGGAAACTATTTATGGACTTATAGGGTTTTCACCTGGACACCTGGACTTATAGGGTTTTCAATAATTACCTGGACTCGATATTTTAAGTGTAACTCAGCACACAGATGTGCAATCATCTCACCCTTTGTTTTAATAGAAAATTTAAATATTTTCCTACGGTGGATTCTTAGGTTTGATGAAAAGCTGCCAAAAATGCCGCCCAAGCAACTCCTCACTACCAACTTTGAGGTTCCATAAAAAAAGGCAGAAAAACGTTTTTTCGTCAAACCTAAGAATCCACCGTAGAAAAATATTTAAATTTTCTATTAAAATCAAGGGTAAGATGATTGCATATCTGTGTGCTGAGTTACACTTAAAATATCGAGTCCAGGTAATGATTGAACCCTGCACTTTGTTTGCCTTTACCGTTTGCAAGCTTCAAACAGTGAAACTTACTGTTGGTGTCGTTCGAGAAAGCCAAACTTGTTACTAATTTGTTTGCTTACTTTTGCTTTTCTCCAAGGCTTTTCTACAAGGCTTTCAAGTTATTTTGAAGTCTTCTAATACCTTTCTCTTAATGTAATCAGCTTGATGTGTTGTGATTCCATCGAAATCTCCACTTTCCAAACCGATTTCCATTGGTCGAATTGCTTGAGCTTTTTCAGCCTATACATCTTCAAGCTGAGATTTGCTAAATCTTATGATAAACCCTTTTGCGAAAGTAATCAGCTTGATGAGTTGTCACTCCATCGAAATCCCCAGTCTGAATAAGCATTTCCGCAGGTTTAATCGGTTGTAATCGTTCTCCCTAAAGAGTTTTCTCGAAGTTACATTTTGACTATTTACTCTCTTTTTGATAAAGTCAGCTTGATGAGTTGTCACTCCATCAAAATCTCCAGTTTCTAGTCCAGTTTCTTGTGGTCGAATCGCTTGTGCTCGTTCTCCCTATTTCATTGGCATCAAGTACGACAAAATTCCGCCAGCAAGTATTAGGTGTGTGAAAAAGTAATCCACGTTTTCTATTTTTGTCTGATAATCAAATAAGACGCTGTCTTCTCGAAAACCCTCGTTCAACCTCTTCAGAAATAGGCCTTACATTAAATTGTGATGGGTCAACCGTAAGGAAACGCTTGAATGCCATGAATTTTATCAAAAAGTTGGACAAATGGATACCGCATGAACGATAACGCGCGACCACTTTACAGACTCGACAAAAAATCCAGCGTATTGGATGGGAGGTTTTACCAAATCCACCTTATAGTCCAGACCTTTCTCCATCTGATTATTATTTATTTTTGTCTCTGTCTAACTTTTTGGCCAATAAATTTTGCCAATATGGTTCCAATACGGTTCTTTTTTTGATCTAATACGGTTCCAATACGGTTCCAATACGGTTCCTTTTTTTGATCTAATACGGTTCCAATACGGTTCCAATACGGTTCCAATACGGCTCCAATAGGATTCCAATATGGTTCTTGTTTTGATCTAATACGGTTCCAATTCGGTTCTTTTTTGATCTAATACGGCCAATAAACGGTTCAATTCCGAAGAAGATGTCAAAACCGAGGTTGATCTTTTTTTCGCCTCTAAGGACCAAGATTTTTATTATCGTGGAATGTCTTTACTTGTAGAACGTTGGCAAAAGGTTGTTCTTTCGAATGGTGATTACTTCGTTGAATAAAAATTATTTTAACGAAACTTATGGTCTTTTATATTTAAACGTTAAAAACGTGGATTACTTTTTCACACATACTTTGTGCTCAAGCAAACGCACCCCTTTCTGATGCATTATAATTATAATTAGTGTGCCAGAAAGGATGAGTTTGCTTGAGGACAAAGTAATGGCTCAAGGGCTCAAATTTTGACACACTTTTTTCTTGATATAGTCAGCTTGATGAGTTGTCACTCCATCGAAATCTCCTGTCTCTAAACCAGTTTCCTGTGGTCGAATTGCTTGAGCTTTTTCTCCCTAAACTCAAATTTCTTCTAGTCTTTCTTTATGCTCAACTTTTTTCTTGATATAGTCAGCTTGATGAGTGGTGACTCCATCGAAATCTCCAGCTTCCAGACGAGTTTCTTGTGGTCGAATTGCTTGAGCTCTTTCGACCTGAATATCGCAGAATATTGACCCTATCAAAGTCGATGTACTCTTTTCTTCAAATAATCAGCTTGATGTGTTGTTATTCCGTCAAAATCCCCAAATTGCATAATGGTTTCCACTGGTCGAATTGGCGGCACTTTTTCTCCCTAAAAAGCTCGTCCTCTCAAGCGAACTTTTTGATTGAAAACCCTCTTTCGATAGAAATCAGCTTGATGTGTTGTGATTCCATCGAAATCTCCAGTTTCCAAGTCGGTTTTCATTGGTCGAAACGCTTGAGCTCTTTCTCCCTATATGTATACTAAATTTATAACAAAAACATTTGTCCATCCTTTTGTCATTGGCAATTTAAGGTTTTTCGTCCTTTTCTGAGCATTAACCCTTCTATTTTGACGATTTTGATTCTCATTCGATACAGAATAGAATTGCGCATCGAATGATACCAGAAACAACTCAAGAGCTAATATCCACGCAAAGTTATGAGGCAAAAGATTAAGTCCCGTTCATAATGAGCGGAGTTTAGGTCTTTAGCTAACAACTTTGCGTAGATATTACATTTTGGGTTAATTTTGGTAGCATTCGATGCGCAATTTGATTCCGCATCGAATGAGAATCAAAATCGTCAAAATGGAAGGGTTGGTGCTCAGAAAAAGACGAAAAACCTTAAATTGCCAACGACAAATGGATCGACAGATGTTTTTCTTACAAGTCTAAAGTGTACTGGAGAACTGGCAGTCAAAATTCGGCGTACTTTTTGTTTTTGCAAACCCATCCTCTCTGGCACACTCGCTATACTTTGTATCATGATATCTCAAAGAATATCTTACTAGTGAGCTTACTAGTAAGGATTTGAGTAATGTGCTAGAAAGGATGAGTTTCCTTGAGCGCAAAGTACTAGTTGACTCCTAGACGCACTCTCTTCTTGATGTAATCCGCTTGATGTGTCGTTATTCCATCAAAGTCTCCAGTTTCCAATCCGGTTTCCATTGGTCGAATTGCTTGAGCTTTTTCAGCCTTACAATCCTTTTTCAGTGTTCAATAAAATTCATCGATACCCTTTTCCGATAAAAGTCCGCTTGATGCGTTGTCAATCCATCAAAATCCCCAGATTGCACAATAGTCTCCAGTGGTCGAATTGGATAAGACTTTTCAGCCTATAAGTCTTCAGTATAAGTGACATCTTCAGTAACATCTTCAGTAACATAGCCACCATTGTACAATCATAGCCACCATTGTACAACCACATCCACCTTTTTCTTGATATAATCAACTTGATTTGTTGTTATTCCATCGAAATCTCCTGCCTCGAAAACAGTTTCCATTGGTCGAATCACTTGTGCTCGTTCAGCCTGCAAGTTCTCCTGTCATTTCTCCACCAAATTACAAGCTACCCTTTTTCGATAAAAGTCCGCTTGATGAGTTGTCACTCCGTCGAAATCTCCCGATTGCAGCAAATTCTCGATGGGTTTGATTCTACGAGCGCGATCCACCTTGCAAATTACAAGCTTTAGATAAAAGTTCAACATTGCAACCAAATCAGTTTTTCAATAACAACAACACCAACAACAACAACAACAACATCAACATCAACAACATCAACATCAACAACAACAACAACAATAACAACAACAACAACAACAACAACAACAACATCAACAACATCAACAACATCAACATCATCAACATCATCAACATCATCAACAACAACTATAATACTTCTAAAAACTAGCACATTAAAACTTTGCACACTCACACCACCGCAAAGCTCTTGATCAGTTAGGCTGTGTACTTTGAGCTCAAGCCTGTAAAAACACTCTTTTTGACGCCATCAAGTTCTCCATGTTTCCTGCAGCGTTGTCATGAGAATCGAGTGCACCAGTAAATGGTGTTTACGGGTGTCAAGCAAAAAGTACACTCCAAAGAATGAGTCTTTAATTGCACAACCATAAATTGGACATTCTGGGCGCAAACTGACATCAGATCTCATCAATCAATCAATCCATCAATCAATCAATCAACCAATCAATCAATCCATCAATCAATCCATCAATCGATCAACAATCAATCAATCAATCCTCACCCTTTTCCTATCATAATCGACTTGATGCGTGGTTTGACCCTCGAAGTCGCCACTTTGACGAGCGATTGTTCGCGGGCGAACCGCACGCGAGCGTTCACCCTGTATTATCTTGTAAATTTTGAGATCTTCTTTAGTATCGAGGGTGTATTTTTTCCTTAAAAATTTTTGGCTTTAAAAGCAAATCCTAGCAAAAGCAATATCAAATTCTAGTATAAGCAACAATTATAATTTTGATCTAATAGTAAATCTTAACACATTTTTTTTAAACAAGATTTCTTTAGTAACAAGGTTTAATAACTTCTAGTAATGATTAAATTCTTAACTGATTAAATTAAATTCTAGTCTCATTCTTTAAGTCTACTAGTAAATCAGAGGAAAACAACAAGAAGTAAAAGCAGTAAAAAGTAAGAGCAGTAAAAACAAGAAGTAAAAGCAGTAAGAAACTGTCAAAAGCCGAGAAATCGGCGTTTTAACGAAACGATACTCGGTTCTAGACTTGTTTATTGTTTTTGCTGATATAATCTTTCGTTCTTTATCAATTCTGTTCACCTGTTTCTTGTAAAAATCGGCTTGATGAGTGGTTTGTCCCTCAAAATCACCCGATTGTGCCATGGTTTCTTGCGGGCGAAGGGCTTTTGCCCGAGCCGCCTGAAAGTTGAATAAAAATTGCTAAGCTTAGGCTTTCTAAAGTCTTTCTAAAGTTTTAGAAAGATTTTCGACAATTTTCTTTTTTGGATTCACTTTATGGAAGTTGGGAGGATTGGGATTGGGATTCGCGACGCTTACCCTGTCCTACCAGTCCTGATGTCCATTTTCTGGTAGACCATTTTTTTCAAAGTGATGACCTACCAGTCCTAATGACCTACCAGTCCTAATGACCTACCAGTCCTAATGGCCTACTAGTCCTAATGGCCTACTAGTCCTAATGGCCTACTAGTCCTAATGGCCTACTAGTCCTAATGGCCTACCAGTCCTGCCTACCAGTCCTGCCTACCAGTCCTGCCTACCAGTCCTAGTGGCCTACCAGTCCTAATGGCCTACTAGTCCTAATGGCCTACTAGTCCTAATGGCCTACTAGTCCTAGTGGCCTACTAGTCCTAGTGGCCTACCAGTCCTGCCTACCAGTCCTGCCTACCAGTCCTAATATCGTACCAGTCCTAATATCGTACCAGTCCTAATATCCTACCAGTCCTAATGTCCTACCAGTCCTAATGTCCTACCAGTCCTAATGTCCTACCAGTCCTAATGTCCTACCAGTCCTAATGAGCTATGCAAATATCAACGTTTTACTGTACTACTCCCAAATAGCGTACCTGTTTCTTGATATAATCAACTTGATGCGTGGTGAGACCCTCGAAATCCCCGCCGTTTGCCACCGTTTCCACTGGGCGAAGGGCTTTTGCTCTTGAAGCCTGGAAATTGATTAATCAAATGACCCAAAATGCACAAATGGGCCAGAAAGCGTGTGTTAATGACATAAAGCACACGCCAAAGAACCATGTACCACACTAAAAAGTTGCCACAGTCTAATAAGACAAGAAATACCGTAGCCTAAACGATAATAGTGTTGTGGGCTCGGAGGGGATTGAAAAAGTATGGCGCAATACTATTAAGGAGAATACGGTTTGTGTTTAGCCTCAATAAAAGTTTAGACATTTAACACATTCGCGACGATGATATTTTGAGCGTACAGTGCCGTAGTCGATTAGAAACTTGAGTTGACACGAAAAATAGTCGTCATTAGTCGTGAATCGTCGTGTATCGTCGTGAATGTGTTAAAATATTGTAGATATCAAAAGAAAAGTATCTAGCTATCATTCTAGACATCATAACTACCTGCTTTCGATAATAATCCGCTTGATGAGTGGTCATTCCGTCGAAATTCCCCGATTGCATCACGGTTTCTTGCGGTCGAAGGGCTTTCGAGCGATCAGCCTATAAGATTTGACGATAAATAAAGTTATTATCAATAAAATTGTATAGCATACTGTATTATAGATGTCTTAAACTTGTTCGCATACCCTTTTCTTTGTGTAATCAGCTTGATGAGTTGTTTCACCCTCAAAATCCCCTTTGTATGCTTCGTCGACATGTCCGCAGTGATGGTTTCTAGAAGAATTGAAGAGTTTAGAAGGCTTCTAGTTTAGAATTGAAGAGTTTAGAAGGCTTCTAGTTTAGAATTGAAGAGTTTAGAAGGCTTCTAGTTTAGAATTGAAGAGTTAGAAGGGTTCTAGAAGAGTTTAGAAGGTTTCTAGAAGAGTTTTTGCATGTACTTTGTGCTTAAAGTCTGTAAAAGCAGCCTTTCTCGTGCACTCAACTCGTCCTTTTCTCAATCTCTATTTTTTTCTCAATCTCAACTCACCCGCATGTACAAATCTCGCAGATACATTTCTCTTCGGTTCCATCGGGATGAACGATCACCCGAGTACCGTTTGCATTTGTTGTGTAGATTGGTTGACCATAAGAATTCGGACGACTCATTTTCTAGATATGGAAATGTCTATTGAATATCGTTATCGTCAAGTTTAACATGTATTTCCTGCGTTTTCTAAAACGTAGCCAATTCGGAAAGTAATCTTTCCATCAGATTTTCTCTTTACAACTTGATTTTGATGCAATTCGATTCACCGCTCGATTCCTCATCGATTGGAATCGAAATTAACTAGAAAACTGTTTCAACTTGCCATCAAAGTATTGTAATGTTGTCGTTTATCGTTGTTTATCGTTGCTAAAGACATTTGTAAGTAAAGCACTCGTAAATGTCTCTGAAAGCTATGGAAAAACCAGCTAACTGCTAATTACTTCAATAAAGCTATTACTTAAATAAATAGCTAATTACTGCTTTAAAAACAAATTAACAACAATTAAAAACTTTTAATAATCATAAAGAAGTGTTTTTCAAAACATCTTCACACACATAAAAATGGTTTTTATACTTGTGAGAAAAAAGTAAAGAATCTGGTTGCAAGCGGAACTGAACCCCGGGGGATAGGTCTCGAAGTCTAGCACACTATCCCTTAGGCCACCGCTGCTTCCAGAGCCCTTCGACGTGGTCCCCTCTTATAGGTGAGGTCGCGGTTTGCTATTGAACGAGATTGAGAAGCTTTTAACTAAAAGGCCGATTTAAACGAGAGACCTTTATGGTAGGCGTGGCTAACTGGCTAAGAGCCCAGTCTATCATTCCGGAGGTCGAGGGTTCAATCCCACTGGACGCATTTTTGGATCAGTTTTTCTAAAAATCAGGGTCTATGGGAAAAAATACGCTTCCCTAGAATTCTACGGAATCGTTTTGTAGCTAGGTAAGTTTTGAAAATCGGTGGTAAGTTGAAACAGTAAGTAAAGCGGACGAAATCTGAAGGAATGATTGGGGTAACTTTCCAGGTTACCCATGTTTTAGAAAACACATTAACACTACTTACTTTAGTTTTAAACGTGAGTCGTCTCTTTGATGATCGAAAAGTTCTGTAAAAGCAGTTTCACTACAGTTTACTGATAAAGTATTCAGCTCAGCTCAGGCTCAGCTCAGGCTCAGCTCAGGCTTAGGCTCAGGCTCAGCTCACGCTTAGGCTCAGGCTCAGCTTAGGCTCAGCTCAGGCTCAGCTCAGGCTTAGCTCAGGCTCAGCTCAGGCTTAGGCTCAGGCTTAGGCTCAGGCTCAGCTTAGGCTCAGCTCAGGCTCAGCTCAGGCTCAGCTCAGGCTTAGGCTCAGGCTCAGCTCACGCTTAGGCTCAGGCTCAGCTTAGGCTCAGCTTAGGCTCAGCTCAGGCTCAGCTCAGGCTCAGCTCAGGCTTAGGCTCAGGCTCAAGATGTTAAAGATTTTCAGGCTTAATCTCTGACTATTTTGGGTCAATTTAATGAGAAAACGATAGGATTTACAGTATCCAAATTTCAATAAGATAGTACAGAATTCAAAACTGATTTTTGAGCTTACTTCGGAAGGAATGATTAGGGTAACTTTGTCAGCAAAAGTGTCAGCAAAAATGACCAAAAAACGAACCGTTTATTCCGTATTTAAGCACCACCAAGAAGATCCACTCGAAATACTTCAGAAAACAGAAATTTTGTATTCGGAGTGGTCGAAGTGTATTCGTTCAGCCCTCTTTTGGGGGATCTTCTTTTAGGGAATGCAGAAGAGTTCCATTGTTTCACCAAAAAGGCAACCATTGGCAACCATTGACAACCAAATGCCAAACCATTTTCCCCATTTCCATTTCCATTTCACAAAGCGGAGAGTCCATTCATTTCATTCCCTTTTCTCTCTTTATTTGTACAAAATCGTTCAAAATCTTTTTCAGGATAAATATCAATGGAATAGATAGCCAGCTCCAGCTCCAGTGGAGAGCCAGCTCCAGCTCCAGTGGAGAGCCAGCTCCAGCTCCAGTGGAGAGCCAGCTCCAGCTCCAGTGGAGAGCCAGCTCCAGATTTGAGCTCAAACTTTTGACACGAAAAAATAATAGATTTCAAGGGCTATCAAAAGATATTTGACACCCAAGCACTGAAGCATAAAGCAGCCTGGAGAATGGGACGTTCAAAGTTAGACTACGCGACTGTACGCTCGTCATTATGGCGTTATATTAGAGTGTACTGCTATGTACTGCTTACATTTGTGCAACAGCTACTTTGGAATGAGTTGAATTGAAAAATGAAAGGAAAATGGGGAAAAACTTGCGGCAATTTTCACACAGAGATTACGGGGTTAGAGCTTTTTTTTGGAAAACATTTTTACGCTTTACCAAGAGGAACAGTTTGTCGAGTCTAGTTTAAAAACTTAAAATACTTTAAAATTTGAATGACAGTCACCAAAAATACTCGAGAAATATCGACTATTGTGATCGACTCGACCTCCTCCTAGGGCACAATAGGAAGACTCGATAGGAAGACGCAGCTCGACCAAGACCTAAAAAGTACATCCGGACATGCGCCAGCGATAAATCTAAATTTAATCCAACCCAAATCACACGTATTTGTTCACCAGCGGAAAGTACTTTGGTTTCTATTCATCTTCACATGTTGACTGGTTTTCTCGCAAGGCAAGCTGATTTATAATACGTATTCCGCAAGGGGAGGCAAATTTCAACGATGTAAATCTATTGTGCTTTGTAAAGCAGTTGTCACGCTTGGTTCCTTGCTTGGGTATTTCATTGAAAGTTTTGAAACCATAGACTTTTTGACTCTGTAAAGCAGACGCCTTGTCAAAATAGTACCAAGAACTCTGATAAAATAGTACCCAAGAACTCTGCCAAAATAGTACCAAGAACTCTGCTAAAATAGTACACAAGAACCCTGCTGAAATAGTACCAAGAACTCTGCCAAAAGAGTACACAAGAACTCTGCTAAAATAGTACCCAAGGAGGAAACCAACTGTACATTTTGCTCTTCATTTTGCTCTTCAACGGAAAAAACTTTCAAGTTATGTCTTCGATTTCAATAGAGACAAGTTTTATGTCAAATTTTATTGTCTTTGTCTCACAGAAAGGACAAAAAGGTCGAAAAAGAATGAAGCAATTAGATGAGCAATGTTTGATGCATTGGATCGAACTCGTTTCGTCACAAAATTTTTGCCAAGAATTGAATTGAATCAGAACAGAACAGATCAGATCAGATCAATTGATCTGTTAGTTTATTAGTCTGTCAATTGAATTGTCAATTGTCAATTGAATATCTTAGTCTGTTTGCCTGGAAATCTGTAAATTTGTCTTTTTTGGTAATCAAATCTTTATTTTTATTGAATGAGAAGAAAAAAGAAGAATTCAGTCACCAGAAATATTAATAAATGAGTAAAAAGTACATTTTTCATTGCTTTCCTTGAATTAGATGTTTTAAAATGATACCAAATTTGACATTGACACCAAATTTTTACGAATTCCCAAGAATTTTCCCAAGAAAATGAGAGAAATAACAATTTCAACACTTTCATTTCCGTTAGATGAACTTTTTGAGAAAGAAAAGGAGAAGATGGGTGACTTTTTCGAGAAAAAGGAAAGAGGAGAGGTCAGCTTGACACTAAAGAATGAGAACAAGGTGAGCGGGCGCGTTTTATGTCTTTGAGACACCGCTTTAAGCTCAAAAATAGATTTGAACTTGCCGATCAAAAGCTGAAAGGTTTAGCAAAAGTTCTACAGCTTTGAAAAGTTTGGGTTTGGGTGCTGGGATGTAGACAGGTTAGGCCAGAGCCAACTCAGACCAGAGCCAACTCAGACCAGAGCCAACTCAGACCAGAGCCAGCTCAGACCAGAGCCAACTCAGACCAGAGCCAACTCAGACCAGAGCCAACTCAGACCAGAGCCAGCTCAGACCAGAGCCAACTCAGACCAGAGCCAACTCAGACCAGAGCCAGCTCAGACCAGAGCCAACTCAGACCAGAGCCAACTCAGACCAGAGCCAACTCAGACCAGAGCCAACTCAGACCAGAGCCAAAAAGCAAAAGGAAGAGCTTACCACTACGCCATCTGGCCATATTTCGAGGCTGGAAAATGAGGCTTTATAAGCCTGCGGCACGATTTCCCGAGTAGACAGCCAAACTTTGGACACGTTTTTCTTGCGTGTTTTTGAATATGATCAAAAACTGAATACAGCATCGGATTCCGCGTGTCTGATAGGCGTTTGCATACCAATGGCGTCAAAATCTGTTACGGCCATTTTGTGGCATCCCCTTGTTACTGGAAATTATGTCTTGTCTTGATCGCAAAACAATAACAGCTTGATAAAAGAAGTTCTCAGCAATCCAAAATCAATCGGAGAACTTCAATTTATCAAAGATTTAAAAAGAATAAATGGAAATGAATAAAAGAATTGGCCATCTAGAACAATTAAATGACAAATAATGTAAAGAAAACACGAAAAAAATATGCATAAATAAGTAAAGCTCAAATAAACATTTATTTCTTTTGATTGCGTTTGAAAATTTTAATATGCTAATTTCAATCTTGGTTTTTAATTTTGACTTAAATGGTGATGAAATGGTGTTTTATTTTTTAAGTCAATGACTTTCGCGCTAAGTCGGTGACTTAACTAGGTCAGTAACTTAGCAAAAAAACGTTAAGCAACTGACTTAACGCTAAGTCACCTCTCCCTAAATCACTGACTTAAAATGGTGGTGAAACCGGGCCTAGTTTAGAGCTTTGTTTTATCTCTTTGATCAGCCAGACCAGTTTGACCAGACTAAAGTATCCGGACTCACCAAAAGCTTAACTAAACCTAGCTTCTGCTTATTTTATTAGCTTTCCTAGCCTTTTGATTGTCCAAGGAATGCTCTAAATATGCTTTCGAGTCAGTTTCGAGCATTCCTGTTTGGACAATCATAAGCTTTGGACTCTGGATAAGTCTGGATCTGATTTGTGAATAGATCTAGATTCATTGATTGATTGATCAACAAAAATGAAACGAAAAAAAGACTTTAGTACCGAGAAAAGTTGAAATTTTCTTTATCTAGATAATTATCAAGAGCTAGGTACAACTGTATTCCGATTTTCATTTTCATTTCCATTTCCATTTCAATCTTCAATATCCCCTGATGCCTCCTTTCTAATTATCAACAATTCAACCAATCCCATCGATACCATTCAATCCATAAATGCGCTCTAAATGCGCGCCATAAATGCGCTCGAGTCATCGAACAAAGTCACTTAAGAACTCTTAAGTCTGAAGACATTGAACCTCTAAAAAAGAGGTGTCAACGTGTCTTGTCTCCTCGAGATCTTGAAGCAGCGATCAAAAGAAAATCGAAAATATTGGCACAATAAAAAGACGAAAGAAGAAGAGAGAAGAACACTCGACCTTCGTCTCAAGGGGGAAAAAGTGGAGACAAAAAACGGGCAACGGAAACAATGAAACGAGAGATTTTCTGTAGAAGAAGGGGTTTATGACAAAGAGAAAAGGTCTAACTGATGGTAGAGTTGTTATACGGTTCAACTTGAGGGAGGGGGAGGAGGAGGAGGGGAAGGGAGGAGGAGGAGGAGGAAGAGGAGATGGAGGAGAAGGAGGAGGAGAAGGAGGAGATGGAGGAGAAGGAGGAAGAGGAAGAGGAGAAGGAAGAGAAGGAGAAGGAGAAGAAGGAGGAGGAGAAGGAGGAGGAGGAAGAGGAGGAGGAAGAGGAGGAAGAGGAGGAGGAGGGGCACGGTGAAGCCTGGGGCTGCTCTACCCCTCCGCCAGGCCTCCCCTGCTCATCCTCCCCCTTCCACTCATATATAAACCCATTCACTCCATTGTACCATCAGCCCGAGACGAGATTTCACTCGAGAAGGTAAGCCTCTTCGATTTCTTTTATATCTTATCGTACAGCTAGCAACAGTTAGCATTTCCTACTCTACTAGATACGTGATCACCTTTTGTTTGACACTTTCCTTGGAATTAACCTTGTTAGAGTTGAGATTCAGACACAAGTTTTGTATTTGTATCAATAACATCAACAATATTGACTTCTACTATCACTTTCCAGGCTCCTTGAAACAATGTTCGAAGAGAAACTCCTTGTCGGTGTGGCGTGTGGCGCGTCGGCGATTGCCGTCGCCACAGTGCTTCTCGTGATCCCCGCTCTTTACAATGAGATCAATTTGGTTTGTGTATAATTTTGGTTAAACTAATTCCTCCACAAAGGGTAGTCATCAGATTGAGTTAAAACTTTGTACAATAACGTTAATCTCTTTGTCTCTTTAATGTTAATCTCTTTAATAATTCTCATACTAAAATCTCAGAAAGATGAAGATGATCAGAATGATTTGGATGACAGAATGATTTGGTTTTTGCTAGATTTTAAATACAAGAGAGCTATGCAAGAGAGCTATACAAGAGATCAATACAAGAGAGCTATGCAAGAGAGCCATACAAGAGAGTTGATATTCATTGATTTAATAGACTTATTCATTGATTTAATAGATATTTAAAGCTTACACATTTCTTGTTTTCCAGGTTCATGACGAGGTACTCGATGGAGTCGGTGTTTTCCGTGTGGAGACCGACTCAGCATGGAAAGAGTTGATGGATGTGCAAATTGTCGTCACTCCACCATCGAAACCCCGCGAGAATCCATTTAACTCGATTTTCCGTCAGAAGAGGTACTGTAGCTGTTGTACAAACGTTTTCTAAGGTACAAATCGTTACGTTGTACTCTTGTTAGCTTGCGTCGTTAGCTCTGCCGCTTGTTCGATCCATTTCCCGTTGACCATTCACTTCTTCACATTCATATCAAGCTTTATTAAATATTCCTTTACAGACAAAACTTTGCTGGCCTCCCCGCGTGGTGTCAATGTGAGCCGAAGAAACCGCAATGCCCACCAGGACCTCCAGGACCAGCCGGACAACCTGGACAACCCGGTATGCCTGGACAGCCTGGACCTCCTGGCCCAGACAGCTATGTCACTTATGCACCAATCACTTGTGCTCCATTGGACACATCGTGCATTCAATGCCCACAAGGACCCCCTGGAGCTCCTGGACAAGATGGGTAAGGGTTTATCTGGATATAGGTCTTTAAAAAAAACCCATTTCTAGATACATGGGACCACCCGGACAACCCGGACAACCTGGCCAGCCTGGAGAACGTGGAAACGATGGCCAACCCGGACAACAAGGCCCAGCCGGTGACAATGGAAGAGCTGGACAACCTGGACAACCTGGAGGACCCGGACAGCCTGGAAGAGATGGAGTCAAGAAGATCTGCCAACCTGGACAACCTGGAAGACCTGGACAACCTGTGAGTTGGATGGAGAGATCAGTATTGAGTTAGCAGCAGTATTTCTGTCTCTTGCAATTATCTCTTGCAGTATTTCTGTCTCTTTTTATCTTACATCTTCAGAAGCCATGCTAGTACTTCACCTTTAGCTTAAATCTATTACTGAACTCATTCAGGGCCAACAAGGACAACCCGGCGGCCCTGGACAGAACGGACAACCTGGAAACCAAGGCCCACAAGGACCCGAGGGACCATCCGGTGCACCCGGACAATCAGGAAGCCCTGGAGGACCTGGAGGACCTGGAGGCCAAGGATTGCCTGGAACCGATGCTGCATATTGCCCATGTGAGTCTATATGGAATCTTGTGAAATCGAGAGTTTTTTTAGGTCCCCCAAGGTCTTCAGCCGCTACCTCATACAGTCAACGCGGTGGCTACAGACTTCGACGTGTTCGCCTTCATTAGAGAACCGTCTGGCGAAAAGAATAAACAAATTTCATTCAAGTTTTTGTTTATTTCAAAAATTGACAAATCAAAAGTGGGAAAAAACAGGAAAACAGGATACCTAAAAACAAAAAAATGAAAAAAAAACCTAAGAAAAAGGTAGAAAAAGAGAAAAAAGTCATCAATAGATGAACAAAATCTTTTTAAGATAAAAAAGATCTACATAATTAGAATTGCTTTAGTTCTTTAGTTCTTTGGACTTTAGACTATCAATTTTATCCAACTATTGTCTTTATTGAATACTTTAGTTCAAAAAAAAGAATTTCAATGCATGAGGGCAATAGTAAAGTCAGTTCGCGAGATTTATTGATGAAGCGAAAGAAAGCGGGGCTTTTTGAAAGGTTTAATCTTGACTTTGTGTACAAGGGCTGGAGCAGCATCGACACGGTTCCAATACGGTTCCAATACGGTTCCAATATGGTTCTTTTTTTGATCCAATACGGTTCCAAAAGTAGTTTAAAAGTTTGAAATTTTAAACTACTTTTGGGTGTGCTTTGTGTCTAAAACTACGCATCCCGCAGTACCGTCCTTCTGGTGCACTCAATTCTTTATTTTCCCACGACATCGTTTGCTGCCAGAAAAATTGAGAGTCGCGTCTGACCCGTATCTTCAGTGGTTTGATCAATACGAGGTTTTTGAATGGACACACTTGAAAAAGCTTTTAGCGTAAGCTTTGCCTGGGGGAAGGGGTGTACTCGGGTGACCCAAGGGGGATGGGGTTCATTTTTCCCCCTCTCCCCTTCTTGACCACTTCTCTCCTTGGCCATTCCCTTCTCTTTCCTTCTTGGCCATTCCTTTTCCACTTGAATTCATTTGTCTATTCCATTCGCTACGTTTCTCACTTTTCTTTGACCACTTTTCTACTGAATGCAGTCTTTAAAATTGAAACAAACAAATTGTTTCAACTGTTTTCAACTAATGTCTTTTCGGTACTTATGGATTATCTTCCCCACTCAAAAATTTGAATTTACCAATTGGCATATAACATTCTGATTTTCGGAGTGGGGATCCCATCTCTTCATAGGTAGTATTAAGCTATGAAATTCGCATAAAAATTAGAACGATGGTAATTATTTTTAGAATAAAAACATTTTCTATAGTTTCTATATTTTCTAAAACAATCTAAACAGGCAATGCGAAACCAGAAACCAAATTAGCATATGCGCGAAATTATCATTTAACTGCACCAGCGAAGCGCAGTGGAGCATTGGTGGGGAAAAATTTAGTCCGCTGAACAGTTGCCTTTTTTTGGGGAGGGGATATCCAATAAGCACCGTCCTTTCTAAAGCGTGATTTTTGTAACGGTCGAGACGATGAGTCTTGCGTTCGTTGTTTCCATTCAACTCCGCAAACCATCTTACATTTAGTTTTGGCCTTCAGAAAGTATTGTGGTCCAACTACAAAAAGCTCCGGATCCTCCACTCGGCTCCCCAAATGGGAATAGATTGGTTTCTCATTTCAACACAAAATTTATCGCGTAAAATAATACTTAAAACAATACAAAACAATAACAATACTAATTAAAAGCAATTAAACAATGAAAAATTTCAATTAAAAACAATTCAAGGGAGTGGGACAAATGCGACCTTTTTTTGCACCCGGACATTTGCGCACCTTTTTTTCCGCACTTAGCCCATTAGCGCACCTTTTTTCGCGTTTTAAAAAGCTCTAAAAGCTAATATTAACCAATTTCTATTCCAAATGTTGTTTTTCTAGGTAATTTGAGGGTGTCGAATTCAAAATTTTGACATAACAGAGCTTGTGGAACGAATTTGAAAGAAAAAAAAATGGTTAGATCAAATTACAGAGAATTGGCGATTTTTCTCTATGTATAACACCGTCCGTTTGCTTCCAAAAGCTCTGTTATGTCAAAATTTTGAATTCGACACCCTCAAATTACCTAGAAAAACAACATTTGGAATAGAAATTGGTTAATATTAGCTTTTAGAGCTTTTTAAAACGCGAAAAAAGGTGCGCTAATGGGCTAAGTGCGGAAAAAAAGGTGCGCAAATGTCCGGGTGCGCAAAAAAAAGGTCGCATTTGTCCCACTCCCCAATTCAACAATAAAAAAATTTCAATTAGACAATAATCTGACAAAAAAAATTATTTAAAAACGAAAAAGTAACGACAACGCGGCGCTCCCATTGACTACCGCGTCGACGGCGACGTCAATTGGAATGCGACGTCGCGCAAAAAATTGACATTTAACAATAAAGTAAAACGGACATGCAAAATTTGCGACAGAAATTCAATTTTAACATGACAACGTCTATAAAAACACATTTTTCTCTCTGAATTTTCAAATTTTTTTCTCATTCTCTACTCGTGCAAAATTTCGAAAACACCGTAATCTTGTCTCTTTTTATCTAATCTATCTACTCTTTGACACCTTTTGATATCCTTTTTGAACAGAAAAGACAGAAGCAGATCAAAAGTGAATAGATTGGATAAAAAAAGAGACAAGATTACGGTAGTTAGACAAGCATTTTTTGTGCGGAACACAATTTAGTCAGTATTTGCTTAGGCCAAAGCTTTTCAAAGCCAACTTGTACTCATAAACTTTCCCCTTTCTTGTATCTAAAAGTCACAGACTTTGCATTCAAAAAATTCGCATACTATCTCATAGTCAGATGCTTCAGAACCTGAGGTAGTTGAACTCGTTAATTTAAATTGGTAAACATCTTGTCTTGTACACTTTATTATCTCCAAAAAATGATTGAGAGTGCCCACATGTGTGTACCCCATCAAATCCGCATCTCTCTATCCTTTTCTTTTCCCCGAATGTCCGGCAGGCGCGCACCCCTTTTCCCTTGCCCGTTCTCTGTCTTTTTCCTTACCCCCTTCCCCTTTCCCTATTGATTTTGTGGTGGTGCTTGTGTTCCTGTGTATCGTTTCGCACACTCATCCCCCTTAAAACCCCTTTGGTCTTCCTAATAATGATTCATTTTTTCACATCGATAGTTTATTTTAGTTAGCATTATTAGGCAAAAGAGCAGAAAATTTAATTTCCTTTGAAAAAGCACTGCGGTTTTGTTTTAAATTTTATTTTTTAACTGCAAATTACAATTTATTTTAGATGTTTGCAAAAATTAATGATATTCATTGAATTGTTGCCGCTTGCTTGCGTCGCTTCATCGAATAGCCTAAAATTTTTGATTGCATTATTTAATGCTCGATTTTCTACACAATTTTTACTTTTCTTTGCCGAAGCTGTGTAGCTTTTGATGCTTTTCACTGTCAAAAGCTGTTTTGTTCCGTTTTAGCCCTTGTTAGAATAACTGCATAAAATTGAGCATTCTTTTATCAAAGCTTCGAAGAACTATAGATAACCTTTTTTTGCCAAAGAAAGCTTTGTTTTGGTCATGAATTTCGTTATTTTTTTTGATTTTGCTATATCCTTATCTTTTTTCGACTTTAGGCGGCCGATTTGAAAAGAAACGAAAGAAGAGAAGCCGATCCGAGCAAGTGGGGGACACAAGTGATCACTTGAGGTAGTTTTTGTTTGAAAAATACAATGCTAACAGGTACAGGTGGAATTAGGGATCCATCTTGAATCTATGAGCTTGACGAAAAAGTAAATTATTTTGTAATCTATAAAAGTCAAAGAGTTGAACGGCTTAGGAAAGTTTAATGGATGACCTTGAACTTTAAAAATTCTATAGTCCTTTAATTTTTACAATCATAGATTTCAGGGAACAAATAAACACAAATCTTGATACTTTTGTGGTTGGGAGGGGCCACTTTTCGCTTGGCTTTGTCGAATCTAGTGTTTTAAGCGGTTCGTGTCGATACTTTTCTCCTATTCCGGGGTAATTATATATGCTGAAGCGATTGGTGCTAATTTTAGAGTATTTCCAACATGCTTCATGGCAGTATTGCAGCTTTCCAAGTGTAGTCAGTTTTTAGATAACGTTCGGTGGTTAAAGTACAGCAGACTAGACCAAATCATCAAATAGGATTATCAAAAACGTGCTTAAATTAACAACAATTGCTTCAGCATATATCGCTTTCATATATAGAAGAAAAGTATCGACACGAACCGCTCAAAACACTAGATTCGACTAAGCAAGGCAAAAGTGGCCCCTTCCAATCACCAAAGTACCCAAACCTTAAAGGTTCGAAGGTTGTTAAAGTTGGAAGGTCATTTAAACCGTTATTTACTAAACTTGACATAATAAACTCAAATATGATTCTTTTGTTTCTTTCAGGATTATATTTGTTTCCTGAAGTCTATGATTGCAAAAATTAAAGTGACTTTTTAAACGTTCCAAGCCATTGAACTCTTTAAATTCCGTAGATTATCGAATAATTATACTTCTTCGCGAAAGATTTCTCGTTTTTTTGGTGATAGAGTTCATCTTTCGCCTAGTTCACGCCCCTTGAGCCTTTCCTTTTCCGTGAAGAGTGATGACCGATTTCGATCTTGTCCTTTGGCTATATCCCATCTCTTATCCCATATTTTCCTTCCGTTTTCTGAACAAAAATTCTTCATAACCCAAAATTATGTGCTATGATCGCCTCTGCGATGCTTACAATTGGATCACTTTGAAAAAGTATCGCGACAAGTTGTGGGAGGTAGAGAAGTATTCTTAGCAGTATTATCGAAAAACATTGGTCAAATTCTTACGTGTATAGATCTTTTAATAGGCTTTGAGAAGCTTTAGATATGGGTATATGGCTACATTATTTCAAAAGCCGGTTTACCTATGATTTCTCAGATTTATCGTACTGTAAAGTTTTACAAATAGAATTAAAGAAAAATGGTCAAAATCTTGCGCAGTTGATCTACCTGCCTAGATGAGTAATTTATTTTCCTTCACAAGAACCCAATCCCCATCGATTTTTCCTTATCATTTTTCGTGTGTGAGCAACTCAAGCGCATTTGACCAAAGAAATTTTCATGAGAAGTATTATCGGCCAAAAATTCTCTATGCGAAATTTTCAAATTGGATGATCGTCGAATATTATAATCAGTTTCGATCTTGGATAGAAAAGGTTTCAGATTTTGGTGATATTGATGTTGAATTCAACTTAAACACTGTAAAACTTGAACTCCATTTTGTTCAGATACCTTTTATCTCGGTTACCTTTGATTGCATTTCAAATGCTATCCAGGAATCGTAAAAATCAGAAATCTGGATTTCTTGATGTTTTTGATTTATTAGCAAAACAGTAAAAGTTGATTGTCTCATAATTTTTGAGTACTTACCCTTTGAACCCATTGATTACCCAAAAAACGCACCCACAAACCCATCTCAACCTAGCTTGTTCAGCTTGTTCTTTCAATAGAGTTTTAAAGGAGAACACGTTTCATGTGTGAGGGCGAAATTTTCTCGAACTGGGTCATTTTCTCTTTTCATTCACCTCTTTTCCCCTCTTTCCAAACACATACGCATCTTTTGTCTTTGCTTTCACAGATCACTTTCCCTTCTTGTCACCTAATCTTTGGGCAAAATATTGATAGGATTTTAGAATTGAGGCAATGAATAACACTTATTTTCTATTGTTGCAGCGTTCATCATTCATTTTTAGAAAATGGGCTCCTGCTTTTCGAGGAGTGCTCGTTCGCCGGAACACTCAACGATTCACGATACGATGGGTAAGTGGAAAACTCAACTTTTATTATTTCATTTAACTGCCGCAAGGTTAGATTTATCACAAACTAGGCTAGGATGGTCCTTTCCAGTTAAGCTAAGAAGTGGAAGATCCAATCTAAATAGTAAATAAAAAAGCTTAAAGGCAATAAGACTTAAAGCTTTTAAATGCATTTGTGTTTAGTTGCTTCCTATGAATAATTCATATTTTCCTGTTCAGGTTTCTCAAGCATCCAACAACCGACGGCGCTTCACGTAGTGAACAATGGAGGTCTCAACACTTCGTACAATCCACAACCAGACGATATGCGTAGACACATTGCTCCGGATAATTCACATGGTAAGTTACTTTAAAAATTAAAAGTGCTCTTGAAACAGTGATGCTGAAAAACTTAAACTTCATGATTTTAGGCAAAGAGTCGTTGGTCGCTTTATATGCCTACGATTCTCGAGCTGATGGTGATTTGTCGTTCAAGAAAGGCGATATCATGTATTTGTTGGATCAAAGGTGAGTTTTAGTTAAAGGCTACTGGTAATGTGTCAAATGTTATGTTCAATCTTTTCATTTTAGTAACGTCGATTGGTGGTACGTGCAACACGCTCGAACGGGTCAAACTGGCTATGTGCCGAGGAATTTTGTCGCCAAACAACAGACGATCGAGAGTGAAGAGTGGGTTTTAGCCATGAGCGGTGCCGGCCCTAGAAGAATTTTAGGTTGTAGACGAATAAGGAAATTTTCAAGATCCACTAATATTTTTAATTTAGATGGTATGCTGGGAAGATTCCGAGAAATCGCGCTGAACGACTTGTGCTTTCGCAAAATCTACCCAAAGGTGCGTAACAGATTTTGCTTCGAAATCTTTGAACTTTTCAGGTACTTTCTTAATTCGTGAACGTGAAGCTGAGACAAGGGAATATGCATTGACCATTCGGTTAGTTTATTTGCGGATATTATTTTAATAAAGAATTTTAATGATTGTTCTTAGTTGATGATATATCGTTTAGTGATTCTGATGACAGTCGAGGCGTTGGCACGGTGAAGCACTACAAAATCAGACGGTTAGATGATGGGAACGGTTTCTACATCACTCATCGACGCACTTTCCGCACTCTGCAGGAATTAGTTGGATATTACTCGGGTATGTTATAACTTTGATGAGAAAAAGCTTACTAAATTTGAAAAAATTTGTACATTGGTTTTAGAAATGGCTGATGGCTTGTGTTGTACATTGACTTTCCCGGCTCCTCGAATCCAGCCAACTCGACCCGATCTCTCGCACGACACACAACAAAATTGGGAAATCCCGCGAAATCAACTGCAGCTCAAGACGAAACTCGGCGATGGAAACTTTGGAGAGGTTTGTGGTGAAGAATGCGACTTATCATTTATTTTTATCTAGGTATGGTACGGGAAATGGCGTGGCATTGTTGAGGTGGCGATCAAGACGATGAAGCCGGGGACGATGAGCCCTGATGCTTTTCTTCAGTAAGTTTTATGGACAAATTGATACCTTGTGGCTATATGAGTTTAACCAAACATTTGTTGTTCCTTTAAATGGCAGGAAACCCTGAAAAGCTGTTCTCCTAAAATCTAAAATCCAAACATGATTAAATCTGATTTATTGGCAAGATTTTTAGAGAGGCGTCTATTATGAAACAATGCGATCACCCGAATCTTGTCAAGTTGTATGCGGTGTGCACCCGAGAGGAACCTTTTTATATCATCACTGAGTGAGTCTTTGATCGATCACGAATTAAAGATCCTCCAAAAAAGTTTTGATTCGTGTTCATCTGATATTTTCGCTTCCAGGTTCATGAAGAATGGCTCCTTGCTCCATTACCTTCGGGATGTCGATGGGCGACAACTTGGCATTGCGGCTCTTGTTGATATGGCAGCGCAGGTTAGTCTTGAAATGTTAATAAAGTGATGAACAAGTATTTGTAAATGTAAACAATAAATTTTAGATTGCGAATGGAATGATGTACTTGGAAGAGAGAAAGCTTGTGCATCGTGATCTTGCTGCTCGAAATGTGCTCGTTGGAGAGAAGATTTCTGGCGTCCCCGTTGTGAAGGTAAAATGAAATCTAGTACCAATGTTTCTTATAACAATTTTTTAGGTGGCTGATTTTGGTTTGGCAAGAAAGCTGATGGAAGAAGACATCTATGAGGCGAGGACGGGCGCAAAATTCCCAATCAAATGGACGGCTCCTGAGGTGGTTTTTGATAATTTGTAAATCATAAAGAGCTGCAGTTTGTAAAACAAAGATTAAAATTAATTTTTAATCTTTCGTTTAGGCGGCCACATGCGGTAACTTTACGGTGAAAAGCGATGTTTGGTCATATGGTATTCTGATCTATGAGATCATAACGCGAGGACAAGTTCCATACCCTGGTACGTTTTTGGTTCAATAATATTAAGTCCATCAATTAGTCTTTGTACATTTCATTTGAAAAGCTATTTGAAAATAATCAATTCATCGATTTGGTCCATTGCGCCTACTATTTTTCTAGATGATAGTTTATAAAAACTTAGGTATATAGGCAAATTTTCAGAATAAGCTGTTCAGCCGATTTCTTTGTAGAGTTTTTATCGGATTTTACGAGAAACTAGTTTTTTCAGACGAATTTGCTTGGAAATGGACCTAAATTGTCTTAAAAAGATAGAAAAATGAATAATAAATATTTTGTATTTAGAACCAATTGTAGGTTAATTGGTGAATTTGTAAACGCTAGCAAAAAAAGTGTCCAAAGACTTATCGGCCAACCTAATATTTTGTCCCTATTTTTAGTTCCTATAAAATTGTATCTGTCTTTTCTCTAGGTATGCACAATCGAGAAGTGGTGGAACAAGTCGAGCTCGGCTATCGGATGCCTTTACCACGTGGTTGCCCGGAGAATATCTACACTGAGGTTTGTTTTGGTCATTTAAGTCATCAATACATTTTCTAAGCATTTTGACTTCTATTCATTCATTCAGGTGATGCTGAAATGTTGGGAGAAAAACCCCGAGAAGCGACCAACCTTCGAGTATCTCCATCATTACTTCGAGGACTACTTTGTCTCATCCCAACCCAACTACGTGCCACCAAGTGTCTAAACTTTGCTTCTATTGGGTTCAAAATGTTGTTTGCATTTACTCTCTAATGCTCATCTGTGAATTTTCTATGTTTATCTATATTTATTATCCAATAATTTATATCACTTCTTTATTTTCTTTCTCTTCTCATTGCCACAATTGCTTCATCTCGCCACGTGTTTTTGTGAGGCTTTCGATGTGTTTCTACCGTAATCTTCAGTTTTGGGTTACGGTAGCTTTTTCCAATGCTCGTTCCGGGTTGATTACTGTAGTACGCACCAATACTTTGAGAATCATTTCCACTTAACCACTTTGTTCAGAGTTTGTGTGAGATTTTGAGGTCATGAAGCTTAAAGATGCGATAAACTAAATGACTTTATATGCAAAGTATATTTTTTAGATGCTTTTTATATGCGATTTTTTTGATGGTCCCAATGAGATTTGTTCTTTTGACTTTAAATTTTTATTATTTATTGGCGTATTTTCTTAATTTTTTTTTTGTTTTTTATCGGATCTTGATCTCTTAGCTGAATAGCTTTTGGTTCCGAAAAGGAAAATACGCCATTCAAATTTCCCTCCTCTTTCGCTCATTTCATTTTCATCGAATAGTGGCTTTGTTGAATTTGTTTGTGTGATTTTTGGATAGTTTTTGTACATTTTATGTGCCTATTTTGCGATCTTTTCTTCCTCTTTTTGTGCTCTTGAAGTTTTTTTTCTCTATACCAAACTATTGATTTATTTATATAGCGACAAGTCGAGTAAATGATGAAATTTAGAACAAATTTATGAAAATTTACGTAAATTTAGATTTTAGAATCTAATGTCTAAAGCTTCAATCAAATTGAAGCTGGATTCGAAGAATCAAGAATACTATTCTACAAAACTAGGTAAGCTCAATGCTTCTTTGTACGCTCCTGGATCGCGAACTCCTCGTGATAGAGTGAGAGATGGTCACCGTTACGAACCCATACCTGAAAATATTTTAAATATTTGATATGGACTTCAGAACAAGTGATCAAGGTAGGATATGATCGAGATCGAGACAAACTTGAACGAATGGTCCCCGCAAAATCTCTTTGTCGTTCTCGAGCACCCAGCTATTTCGATACGAGAAAACGTCGCCGTTTCCCGAGAAAATCTCGTTTTCCGTCTAAAATTTCGTATCTGATAGTTTGGGCTGAATTTTTTGAACTTTTGATATTTATTTAAACTAACGATTGTCTTCGCCGGTTGCAATGGCTCACGATATTCGGAAATGGCACGGACTATTGCTGTAAAGGTGGGAAATGTTAAGATTTTAAAAGTGTTTGTTGAGTTTAGATTATGAATTCGACTTTCAAACGATTTCTGGACTTTCAAACGACTGCCAAACGACTTCTGGACTTTCAAACGACTTCCAAATGATTTCTGGACTTCCAAACGACTTCCAAACGACTTCTGGACTTTCAAACGAATACCTGGCGGTGTGTGATGACACCTTTGTTCGCTTTCGACGAGCACCGCGTTCGGATGATAGAATTTTTGAGCGTCCTCGTATCTGAACACACGATTTTAAACTGGAAGGTCAGTTTTTATGATGATTTATATATAGATGTTACGTCCGAATCCGATCAGGCATCCAGATCCGATCCGGATGTCCGAATCTGATCAAATTCTTTGTGATTTTTTACTAAAAAAATTTTTTCTGTAAAACTTATTGCTCTAATTCTTTTTGCATTAGATAGAACACCTTGTGAGCTACATTTTGACATATAATGATATGAGATACATAACAAAATCTCCTAAAGAGCATGAGGAAAATACGTTTGACCCGTCGCCTCGACTCCGGATCGGAGATGGACGTCCGACTCTGAGTCAGACGTCCGGATCGGAGATGGACGTCCGACTCTGAGTCAGACGTCCGGATCGGAGATGGACGTCCGGATCGGAGATGGACGTCCGGATCGGAGATGGACGTCCGACTCTGAGTCAGACGTCCGGATCGGAGATGGACGTCCGGATCGGAGATGGACGTCCGGATCGGAGATGGACGTCCGACTCTGAGTCAGACGTCCGGATCGGAGATGGACGTCCGACTCTGAGTCAGACGTCCGACTCTGAGTCGGACGTCCGGATCGGAGATGGACGTCCGACTCTGAGTCAGACGTCCGACTCTGAGTCGGACGTCCGGATCGGAGATGGACGTCCGGATCGGAGATGGACGTCCGACTCTGAGTCAGACGTCCGGATCGGAGATGGACGTCCGACTCTGAGTCAGACGTCCGGATCGGAGATGGACGTCCGACTCTGAGTCAGACGTCCGGATCGGAGATGGACGTCCGACTCTGAGTCAGACGTCCGGATCGGAGATGGACGTCCGACTCTGAGTCAGACGTCCGACTCTGAGTCGGACGTCCGGATCGGAGATGGACGTCCGGATCGGAGATGGACGTCCGGATCGGAGATGGACGTCCGGATCGGAGATGGACGTCCGGATCGGAGATGGACGTCCGACTCTGAGTCAGACGTCCGACTCTGAGTCGGACGTCCGGATCGGAGATGGACGTCCGGATCGGAGATGGACGTCCGGATCGGAGATGGACGTCCGGATCGGAGATGGACGTCCGACTCTGAGTCAGACGTCCGGATCGGAGATGGACGTCTCCTCAGATTCGGACGTAACATATATATATATGTCGTAGCCGTTTACGAAATTCAGCCGCTAACGAATCATGCGTTAACGGTTAGCGAGTGACGGTTAACGTTAGCAGCTAGCCGTTAATGAATGAAATTTTTCGCTAGCCGTTTACGAATGATTCGTTAACGGCTAGCCGCTAACGTTAACGACTGAATTTCGTAAACGGCTGCGACATATATATATATATATATATATTGCTACAGTACACTGAAATGATAAAACCGGGCATTCTTTGAACTTCAACTAAACTTTACTGACAAAAAGCTAACATTTTGACGAACTTTGTCAGCGATCTAAACTTGGTTAAACTTTTTCTTTCTGCTCAATCTTGTAAACGCAAACTTTCTCGTGCATTCAATTCGTCATTTTTCTTTATTCAAAAAAACGTTTTGAAGAAGAATTCAATGTGCTAGAAGGGTTTGTTTACAGATTTAAGCTCAAAGAACACCTCAAAGCTCGACAAGCTGGGAGAAGAGTGCCCAATTTTAACTATGATATTAAAATAAAATTGAATTAGAATTCAATCCGTTATCAAATATCTAACATCTAAATATCTAACATCTAAATATCTAAATTCCAGTACGATCTCATCTTCAACTGTACGGGACTACGATCTCATCTTGGCTATGGACTTGGTCCGTAGCTGGTCGACGTTTTGGGCAAGCTGGTCGACAATTTGGGAGTCTTCCCGACAAGGTATGGATTTTCAATTATCTAATATCTATGCTATGGATTAATTTAAAGTTTAAGAAAGGCTTTTAAAGATTGAAATATGTTTTGAAAGCATCAATACCTTCTCTCATAAATTGCCGCTTTGTAGGCGTCGACGAGTGGACGGAGGAGGCGTTCAACATCTACAAAAATCGTTTTAAATATTTAAATAACGTTGTGATATTCGTTGTCTTCTCCCTTGTATTTCCTCTTTCTTTCTCTAGCGAGAAGATACCGGATAGCTCAGTGGTTAGAGCATTTGCGCAGAGCAGCAAATAAAAAAGGGTGGATGGTTCAATCCCCTCTCCGGAAATCTTTCCTGTCTTTCTTTCCTTTCTTTCTTTCTTTTCTTTTCTTTCTTTCTTTCTTTCCTTTCTTTTCTTTCCTTCTTTCTTTCCTTTCTTTCTTCCTTTCTCCTTTCCATTCCTTGTATAGAATATCAGCTATACGAACATTTTTATGAATATTTGCAAAATCTCTTTGTAAAACTAAACCTTGATCGTTTGAGTTGGGCGAAGTGGAATGCTTTTGGTGATCGGCGAATGGATGGAGACAAGAGGCCATTTTTAGACTGAAATTTGAGCACAAATTCGAACAATTTCATTTAAAAAAGGGCAAAAATGAAGGATGAATTGCAGAAATATTGCTTATATTGCTTATTCATTTTGGTTGATTCAGCAAAGACTTCCGCTTTATTTACCCAACTAAATCGGAATCAAAATCGAATCAAAAAAAAAACTATGATGATTTACAGATTTAAACTCAAAATACGGGTTGGAAAAATGGGAATCAAAGCAACAAAATCAACATTGTTAGCCGGAAGAATTGCTTGGAATTTTAAAAAATGACATTTAAACCAATGAAAGAAGGTTTAAAACTCAAAAAAGAAACCCACTCTTCTGGGTGGTCTGATCTTGAGGATTTCGAGAGAAAAGCTCAAGTTTATATAGAGAACAGCTCAAGTTTATATAGAGAAATTCTCTTGCACTTGAAAATTCAACGAAAAGAAAAGCAAACGCTAAAAAAAATAGCGCTCAAAACACACTTGAAAAAATAAAAATAAAAGTGGAGAATGATTGTGTGAAAATTTTTGGCAAAAAACTCTTTTCAGGTCAAGGATTTTCCCCCATTGAAATCTGTTTGCCCGTCGGTTTTTATATATAAAAAAGTGGGAAAATGGAGCGAAGAAAACACTTATTTCTTATTGAGAATCAAGGATTTTTTTTGATCGATGAATTGGGAAAAATAAAAGAGAATTGAGAAAAATAAAAGAAAAATTGAAAAGATCTATATCTAGCATGATAGTGGAGTGGTTGAGAAGTTGAAAAGAAAAGTTTAATGAAATTTGTTTTTGCCATAAAATTAAAACTATTTCTACTGGCATCATGGTGTAAACTAGAGTGGGTCCCTCGCGAGTAAGTAATTTACAGAGTGGGCCAAAATTACCGTTACAATGCTCACTCACGTGCAAATGAGAAAGCGAAATGGAAAAAAGCGAACGGTAACAACTTCAGCAAAGGTCAAAAAAAAAAGTGAGGAATCGCCTGTTGGGACGAAAAAAGGACGGTAATGCGAAGTTGGGTTTTTTAGAAATTTGAGACAGCAATAAATACTCAAATCAGGGCTTTCTAGGGGTAATTTTGCACGTTCTTTCCAAAAAGCACGGTTTCAAGATGATTAGAGCACTGCATCAACAAGAAAAATAGAGCTGAAAATGTTGTTTTTTCAAGCCCGATTTTGCGTATCCTGAAATGTGTTAAAAATGAAAATAATTTTAAAAAGCAAATACATCATCTTAAAGAGCTCGTTTTAAGCTTTCAGAATCACTACAAACACTTCTAGTAGTAGATGGAAAGGCTTCGAGTTATAGCTTTTCAAAGATGGAGGAAAATTCGCGAAGTGATAATCTTTTGTCCAGTACTGTACCTGTGTGGTTTGATTATTAGATCTAGTTTTAGACCTATCCTGTGTGGTTTAAAAAAACACAGTAGAGCTTTCAAAGTGAGTCAAATTTTAGGGCTATATTGTGTTTATTTTCGGTTAAAACGTTCTAGGAGGTGCACTAGGGAAATGCGACAGTTTTTTGTCTAAAATGGAGACTAAATCAAAAGAGCACCGTAATCGAAAAGGGTATCAAAAAAACGCTTAAAAAAACGCCAAGTGGTTGAATTTATCAAATATCAGATATATCAGAGCTTGTGGAACGAATTTGAAAGAAAAAAAAATGGGTAGATCAAATTATCGAAAATTGTCGATTTTTCCCTATGCATAACACCCTCCGTTTGCTTCCACAAGCTCTGATATGCCAAAATTTTGATTTTACGCCCTAAAATTACCCAGAAAAACCACTTTTGCAAAAGAAATTGATTAATCTTAGCTTTTTAGAAACGCGGAAAAATGGTGCGCTAATCGGCTGGGTGCGCAAAAAAAAAGGCCACATTTGTCCCCCCACTACCCACTAGGGAAATGCGACGGTATTTCGTCTGAAATGCTACCGTATTCCGTCTGAAATTCTACCGTATTTTGTCGGAAATGCGACCGTATTTCGGGGAGCTGATCCAAAACAGCGCCAAAATCAAAAAATTTTATTTGTTTCTGGTTACATTCATTTTTTCCCCCGGAGGTAGGCGAATTTCTGCCATTTTACTTGTGCTTTTTTGTCTTTTTTGTCAAAACCACTTCGCCGGATTCACGAAGATTCATGCTCAATTCCTTTGTTTTGCTAAACAAATTCTAAAAATTGTGTTTTTGATTAAAAATCTACCCTAAAAATGTCATATTCGTACTCAGCGTACTCAATTACCTGGGAAAAGTGGTTTTGGTGAAGGAAAAGCTCCCAAAGAGCTCCGCCCAAAGCCAATAGTACCTGTTTTGTTTTGTTTTCGCTTGTTTTCTTTTTATTTCTTGATTTTATTTAATGCTTTAATTTAGGAAGTCGTCCGAGAGGAAGGCGCAAAGAATCGATCACCAGAATCACCGGATTTGTCGTTCAAGAAAGGCGATATCATGCATTTGTTGGGTCACAGGTTAGTTTTAGTTAAAGGCTTCTGGCAATGTGTGAACTGTTATTTTCTATTAGATTCTATTAGGCTTTAGCTATTAGATATGGCAATTTGAAAGTTGATACACTTATTCATTGCACCTGTGACTAAGTGAAATGACTAAGTGCACCAATTAATCAACAATTTTTACCCATTTATTTTCATATATCATGCATTTGTTGGGTCACAGGTGCGTTTTAGTTAAAGGTTTTTGGCGTGAAGGTGTGAAGTGTTATTTTCAATCTTTTCATTTTAGTAACGTGGATTGGTGGGGCATGCAACAGGCTCGAACGGGTCAAACTGGCTACGTACCGAGGAATTTTGTCGCCAAACAACAGACGATCGAGAGTGAGGAGTGGGTTTTAGCCATGAGCGGTGCCGGCCCTAAAAGAATTTTATGTTGTAGACGAATAAGGAAATTTTCAAGATTCACTAATATTTTTAATTTAGATGGTATGCTGGGAAGATTCCGAGAGATCGTGCTGAACGACTTGTGCTTTCGAAAAATCTACCCAAAGGTGCGTAACAGATTTTGCTTCGAAATCTTTGAACCTTTCCAGGTACTTTCTTAATTCGTGAACGTGAAGCTGAGACAAGGGAATATGCATTGACCATTCGGTTAGTCTATTTGCGGATATTATTTTAATGGTTGTTCTTAGATAATGTTTCATTGTTTAGTGATTCTGATGACAGTCGAGGCGTTGGCACGGTGAAGCACTACAAAATCAGACGTTTAGATGATGGAAACGGCTTTTGCTTCCCTCGATGGACCCACTTTCCACACTCTGCAGGAATTGGTTCGATATTACTCGGGTATGCTATACCTTTGAGAAAAATCTGACGAGATTTTTAAAAAATTGGGTACTATCCTAGTTGGGGGGGTCACTTTTTTTTGCTTTAAAACCACTTTTTATGGGCTATTTTTATGAGTAGGCTCCGAAAAACATGACGAGAGCTTGAGAAAATGCGTTTTAAGCAAAATTTCGGGGCTCTAAAGTGTGCGCTCATCCACTAGGATGAATGATGAAAAAAATATTTTTTCAAAATTGGATTATCTGGTCCACATGAGACAAAATCTCAAAAAATATGTTTTCATTTTTTTTGCCTCTACCAGTCAATCTAAGTTAGAAAATGAATATTTAATGGCTAGAAATGGTTTTGGCTCTGGTTTTGACCTCCAAGCTCTTATTGTATTTTTTGGAGTCTATGCATAAAACTACCGCAGAAAAAGTGGTTTCAAAGAAAAAAAAGTCCCCCCCCCCCCCAACTATGATAGTACCAAAATTGTTGTACATTGGTTTTAGAAATGGCTGGTGGTTTGTGTTGTACATTGACTTTCCCGGCTCCTCGGATCCAGCCGACTCGACCCGATCTCTCACATAACAGAGAGCAAAATTGGGAAATTCCACGAAATCAGCTGCAGTTCATGAGGAAAGTCGGCGAGGGATCCTTTGGAGAGGTTTGTGGTGAAGAATGCGACTTATCATTTATTTTGTTATCTAGGTATGGTACGGAAAATTGCGTGGCGTTGTTGAGGTGGCGATTAAGATGATGAAACCGAGAATGATGAGCCCTGGTGCTTTCTTAGAGTAAGTTTTATGAGCAAATCTATACCTTGTGGCGATTTGGGTTCAACTTGTTGTTCCTTTTAATGGCAGGTTTCCCTAGAAACTGTTACGAACATGATTGGATCTGATTTATTGACAAGATTTTTAGAGAGGCTTCTATTATGAAGCGATGCGTTCACCCGAATCTCGTCACGTTGTATGCGGTATGCACCCGAGAGGAACCTTTTTATATCATCACTGAGTGAGTCTTTGATCGATCACGAATTAAAGATCCTCCAAAAAAGTTTTGATTCGTGTTCATCTGATATTTTCGCTTCCAGGTTCATGAAGAATGGCTCTTTGCAACATTATCTTCGGGGTGTCGATGGGCGACAACTTGGCATTGCGGCTCTTGTTGATATGGCAGCGCAGGTTAGTCTTGAAATGTTAATAAAGTGATGAACAAGTATTTGTAAATGTAAACAATAAATTTTAGATTGCGAATGGAATGATGTACTTGGAAGAGAGAAAGCTTGTGCATCGTGATCTTGCCGCTCGAAATGTGCTCGTTGGAGAGAAGATTTCTGGCGTTCCCGTCGTGAAGGTAAAATGAGATCTAGTATCAATGTTTCTTAGAACAATTTTTTAGGTAGCTGATTTTGGTTTGGCAAGAAAGCTAATGGAAGAAGGCATCTATGAGGCGAGTACGGGGTCGAAATTCCCAATCAAGTGGACAGCTCCTGAGGTTGTTTTTGATAATTTGTAAATCATAGAGAGCTAAAGTTTGTAAGACAAAGATTACAAGGAAGTTTTTCTTTTAGGCGGCCACATGCGGTAACTTTACGGTGAAAAGCGATGTTTGGTCATATGGGATTCTGATCTATGAGATCATGACTCGAGGACAAGAACCATACCCTGGTACGTTTTTGGTTCAATAACATTAGGTTTACCGATAAGTCTTCGTACATTTCATTTGAAAAGCTATTTAGAAATAATCAATTCATCGATTTGCGTTGTTCTCCATTTGGTCTACTATTTTTCTATAAAATAGTGTTCAAATTTTATGAAAATGTTTTGTCTTTGGTGTTTTATGGAGGAGAGTCAAAAAAGGTGACAACTCGAAGAGGCGATTGAGGCACTTTGGTCCATAGAAACCTATATTGGTGCTAATAGAAAAATGAGAGAGCATAATAGTTAAGGATATAGGCAAAATATAAACGCTAGTAGAAAAAAGTTTCCAACTTAATATTATGAGTTCCTATAATATGGTAGCTTATCTTTTTTCTAGGCATGCACAACCAACAAGCGATGGAACAAGTCCAGCGCGGCTACCGGATGCCTTTACCACGTGGTTGCCCGGAGAATATCTACACTGAGGTTTGTTTTGGTCATTTAAGTCATCACCGAATACATTTTCTAAGCATTTTGACTTCTATTCATTCATTCAGTTGATGCTGAAATGTTGGGAGAAAAACCCCGAGAGGCGGCCAACCTTTGAGTATCTCTATCGCTACTGCAGGACTACGTCTCATCGCAACCCAACTACGTGCCACCAAGTGTCTACACTTCGCTTCTAATGGGTTCAAAATGTTGTCTGCATTTACTCTCCAATGTTCATCTGTGAATTTTATCTATATTTATTATCCAATAATTTATATAACTTCTTTATTTTCTTTCTCTTCTCATTGCCAGATCTCATCTCGCCACGTGTTTTTGTTTCGGCTTTCGGCTTTCTATGTGTTTCTACCGTAATCTTTAGTTTAGGATTACGATAGCTTTTTTCCATTGCTCGTTCCGGGTTGATTACTGTAGTATGCACCGATACTTTGAAACTCGTTTGCACTTAAGTTTTAGATATTTAACTAACGTTGTGATATGCCTTCTCTTACTTCCTTTTTCTTGTATTTGCTCTTTTTTCTCTAGCGAGAAGATACCGGATAGCTCAGTGGTTAGAGCATATGCCCTGGAAAGCAAAAAAGGTCGAGGGTTCAATCCCCTCTCCGGAAATCTCTTCTTTCTTTCTTTCCATTACTTACAAGGAATATCAGCTATACGAATATTTTTACGGATATATTTGCAGAATCTCTGGTGCTTTGGTAGTTAGGAGGGGCCACTTTAATCCTGGCTTAGTCCAATCCAATGTTTGAGTGGTTGTATTGACACGTTTTATCTAGTCTAGGGTAATCAAATATGCTTAATAGATTGGTGACTATTTTAGCAAGTTTTTGGAAATTCTAGCCTAATCTCATGTACTCTAACCACCAAACGCTACTTACAATTGAAAATAAAATAAAAGCGGCAATATGAAAGTTGAAACATGTTGCAAATGCTCTAAAAGTATAAGCCTATTTCATTACCCTAGAATAGGTAGATAAAAGGTATCAATACAACCACGCAAAGCATTAGATCTAACTAAGCCAGGATAAAAGTGGCCCCTCCCAACCACCAAAGTACCGAATCTCTTTGTAAAATTAAACCTCGATCGTTTGTGTTCGGCGAATGGATAGAGACAAGAGGCGATTTTTAGACTGAAAAAAAAAGCATAAATTTATTAAAAAGGCAAAAATGAAGGATGAATTGCAGAAATATTGCTTATTCATTTCAAGGTTCAAAGAATTTCGCTTTATTTGCCCAACTAAATTGAAATCGAATCAAAACTGATGGTTTACAGAATTGAGCTCAAAATACGGGCTAAAAACATGCGAGTCTAAGTAACAAAATCAACAATGTTAGCCAAAGAATGGCTTAGAATTTGAAGCACTCAAAATATTTTAAGATTTAGCAAGCTATACTTTTGAATTAATCTTCAAGTTTAGCATCAAGGCTTAAAGCTGCAATATCATTGGGAAGCGAAAGTAAAAAATTCATGTGGGATTTTGAAGCTCTTTTCGATGCGGTTAGTATTATTAAATTCAATAAAAACACTAAAAAAAGGCTAATTAACACAAAAAAACAGTCCGAGAAAGGTCTAACGGATTTGGTGGTTAACGCAGAGCTACACGATTTCTTAAGACGAGGACCATTTCGGCGTTGTTTGTCGAGAATTGTTTATAAAAATTTTGAAAGACTTTTCTAGGGTCACTTTTTTGCGCTCTTTTTAAAAAACGGCTTAAAATTGTTTCGGAGGGTCTACAATAGATAAAAATCGCTCTGAAAGGCACACAAATTTTTACCTCTGATTCAAGCCATTAAAAATTGTGTCAAATTTTCGCATTCTGAAAAGTCATAGTGCATCTTGTAGAGCTAAAAAAGAGCTTCCAGAATCTCTATGGTAGATGCTTGTATGATGACTAGACACAATGTTAGAAGCCTACAAAGAAGGGACACTTTTTTGGAGGGGATATCATTTTGACCGGTATTGGTGGCGGGTGGCTGTAGTGGTGAAAAATTTCGAAACAAAAAGTTACTTCTTTTCCTCACAGAAAATTTTGCTATTTTGCTGTCTTTGTGCACAGGTTTGAAAACAAAAATCCCTGATTGTACAAAAGTACAGTATCTACCTTTGTGCCTTGATTATTAGATCTAGTTTTAAACCTATCCTGGGGGGACCAAGTCAAAATAGCGCCAAATTTAAAGATTTTAATGTATTGGGTTGGTGAATTGAAAACTGCGGGCTATTGTCATCTGTCACCGTTTGAGCGCTTTCTTCAAAAGAAACCCATTTTGGTGTCAATGGAAAAGTTGTAGAGAATCAAAAATCAAGCTTATATCCAAATTTTCAGAACGATTCAAAAACTGGTTTTCAGGTAATCCCAAATTTACGAATTTTCACAAATGAAATGACGGAAAAGGAGGGGGAGGGGGGCACATCCGCGCGAAATAAGGCAAAAAATCGTTTTCTATAGGATTTTTACGTTTGAATAGCCATTTGACGCAGAAAAATGTGCTGAATTCAATGGTGAAAAAATTATCAAAATCCGTCTGATAGATTTTTTTAAAATCGCATTTTATCAAAAAAATCGGTCATTTTACACAGAAACGGCCAAACTCACCTGCATTTGGCCCTCCACTACTCGATGATAACAAAAAATTAGGAAATGCCAGGGAGTAGACTTTGTCAAGATGTTGTCTGCGGCCATTTTGAGACCAAAATCGTATTAATTGGTCAACTCAGAAAAAAGTTATAACATTTTGAAGACAAAAATGACGTTTGACGACTTTCTGCGCGCTAAAACGTGGATAATACCGTAAAACTTCCCGTGGCGAAAAACAAAACTACTTAAAGAGCGATTGCAAAGAATTTTTTTTATTTCGTTTTTCGGGAGTGGGACAAATGCGACCTTTTTTTTGCGCACCCGGACATTTGCGCACCTTTTTTTCCGCACTTAGCCCATTAGTGCACCTTTTTTCGCGTTTTAAAAAGCTCTAAAAGCTAATATTAACCAATTTCTATTCCAAATGTTGTTTTTCTAGGCAATTTGAGGGTGTCGAATTCAAATTTTGACATAACAGAGTGTGTGGGACCAATTTGAAAGACAAAACGGCTAGGTCAAATTACAGAAAATTGTTGATTTTTCTCTTTGTATAACTCTGTCCGTTCGCTTCCACAAGCTCTGATATGTCAAAATTTCGATTCTACGCCCTAAAATTACCTAGAAAAACAATTCTTGGAATAGAAATTGGTTAATATTAGCTTTTTAGAGCTTTTTAAAACGCGAAAAAAGGTGCGCAAATGTCCGGGTGCGCAAAAAAAAGGTCGCATTTGTCCCACTCCCCACAAATGCATCAAGTTTTGACAAAAATAGAAGTTTCTACTTTTTGACAATGATTTACTGCTAATTTCTATTCCAAGAATTGTTTTTCTAGGTAATTTTAGGGCGTAGAATCGAAATTTTGACATATCAGAGCTTGTGGAAGCGAACGGACAGAGTTATACAAAGAGAAAAATCAACAATTTTCTGTAATTTGACCTAGCCGTTTTGTCTTTCAAATTGGTCCCACACACTCTGTTATGTCAAAATTTGAATTCGACACCCTCAAATTGCCTAGAAAACAGTTTTTCGAATAGAAATTGGTTAATATTTAGCTTTTAGAGCTTTTAAAACGCGAAAAAAGGTGCGCTAATGGGCTAAGTGCGGAAAAAAAAGGTGCGCAAATGTCCGGGTGGGCAAAAAAAAAGGTCGCATTTGTTCCACTCCCGAAAAATGAACTGAAAAAAAATTCGTTGCAATCGCTCTTTAAGTAGTTTTGTTTTTCGCCACGGGAAGTTTTACGGTATTATCCACGTTTTAGCGCGCAGAAAGTCGTCAAACGTCATTTTTGTCTTCAAAACGTTATAACTTTTTTCTGAGTTGACCAATTAATACGATTTTGGTCTCAAAATGGCCGCAGACAACATCTTGACAAAGTCTACTCCCTGGCATTTCCTAATTTTTTGTTATCATCGAGTAGTGGAGGGCCAAATGCAGGTGAGTTTGGCCGTTTCTGTGTAAAATGACCGATTTTTTTGATAAAATGCGATTTTAAAAAAAATCTATCAGACGGATTTTGATAATTTTTTCACCATTGAATTCAGCACATTTTTCTGCGTCAAATGGCTATTCAAACGTAAAAATCCTATAGAAAACGATTTTTTGCCTTATTTCGCGCGGATGTGGGGTTACGGTATCTGTCTGTCTTTCTGTCTGCCTTACTGTACGGGCATTTTTCCAGCCGTATTTTGACCAATTTTTCATTTTGGTTTTCAAGAAATGCCAAATTTACCACAAATTGTGCCAATTTTTCACAAAACTTGCATTTTAAGCGAAACTACTAAGTGTATCTTTTTGGAAATTTGGCTATAAGTCTAATTTTTGATTCTCTACAACTTTTCTATGGACACCAAAATGGGTTTCTTTTGAAGAAAGTGCTCAAACTGGGACATCTCCAGTCCTCCATTTTTGACACTCACACACAAACCAAAATCCTATTACGAAAGAAGAATCCGCAAATTGCCTGTAAAATGGACAGAAGTCGTCAATAATAATGGAAATTATTTCGAATGAATTGATGGTTTTATGCTGAATAAATTTTAGTTCAAAGTCCCGCAGTTTTCAATTCACCAACCCAGTAGATTAACCAACGCAAATCCGGGCGTTTTCTGATGAAAATTGATGTTATACCTGCCATTCGATGGGAAAAAGTGTACTAAAACCGAATCTGGATATCATTTTGAAATTCCATCGACAGTTTTTTAGAAAATGGGCTTTTTCAAAAAACACAAAAAAAAGCCAAAACTAAATTTCGTAAAGGGGCCATAAAATCTTTCACTTTTGACCAGTTTGCTTACTTTTTAGATATTCTAAAAATAGACACTTCCGGCTTTTTTTTATTATTGTAAGTTATAAGCAATTTGTTTGAATTACTCAAATTTTAGAAACGGAAAAGTATGAAAATCTCAAAATCAAGACCAAGGTTTGAAGGCTTCGACTTTGAGAAAAGTCCACTATAGAAAAAATTCTGTCTAATAATTTTTATTTCACGATTCTTTCAAAGCATTTTAGTTCAAAAAGTAATTAAAAATAATCACTCTGCGCAAAGTTATAGCTTTTTTTCTTGTCCTACTCAGTAATAGGGCCCTGTTTTCTCAAACACGCTTCAACTACCGTACCCTTGGACGCCCTCAGTGTCAAATGTATGTATTGTCTTTGTATTGTCCCTTCGTATTTCTTTTCGTATTGCTTGAAACACTGAACCAAATATAGATTCTATTTTATTATATTTTCTCGCTAGATTAGTATTGTGCTAGATCCGGAATAAATATCTAATAATCATTGCCCGCAGCGGTACTCTCTCACACACTGCAGTCTTCTACAAAAACGATTACACAAAGTTAAGTTTTTTTAATCGATTTGTGAACGGATTACTTTGTTGTAAAGAATTTTTTAGACACCTCCGCCAGAAACAGCAAACTTTTATCAAAGAAACAACAAAATGGGTCAACAATGTGGACAAAAGCAAAACCAGGTGTTTTATATGATTATTTACCTCAACTATCAATTTAATAAACCTTTGTCAAATAGTAACACATTAATTGCATGTGTTTTTGCTGCGTGTAAGCTTTCGTTGTTATCACCACCTTTCCAAACGGTCAAAATCAGTTGATTGAAACAAGATTGGGGCTTGTTTGCTCTATCTGGTAACATAAGAGTTATCTTTGTTGTCTCAAAGCCTTTATCTCCCAGAATCACGACTCTCTTCTTTTCATGTTCGGGTACTTGATCAAGTCTATAACGAGCATTTTCTTTAGTCTGACAATTCCGTTATCGATGAAGTATTCAATATGCGTCCCAAGAGTGTTCTTAATTTTTTGCATCTGATATTCGTTGGACAGAGTCTTTGTTGAGCTGATGTAAATTCTGTGGGCATCACGAGAGATTTTTGATTCCGATTAAAGTGCAAGTGATTGGAGTGGAGACAATATGTAGTCTCGTTTGTTTGTCGAATCAAAAAATCTGCGATACTTCTTCGAATCATCCTTGCCTTACGACAAGCAATCATTACCTTTTGCTTTCTCTGGCGATGTATTCCAATCCTTTTATGGGGCAACTTTTTCATCTCTGCCTCACTTTGATATTATTTGGCAAATCCGTTCTCTTCTTCCATCGCAAAGCAGCAGCTTTTTGTGTTTTTTTCTTTGCCGCCATACCTAAAGGAAGCATTTGCTCAGAAGTTAGTTATTTAACAAAGTTTGACTTCTTATTTCAAAAACAAGGATATCATCAATTACCGAAATGAAAAAATGAAACAACAGAGCTCATGTATCACATGAACACATGAATGTAACAATATAAAGATTTTAAATGATCGATTGAACTCTTACCCAAAGATCCATTTTGAACCGCAACTTTTCTTACATGCTGGCCGTGAAGAACTTTCGACGTTTGAAGTGATGATTGAGGTAGAGTCATGTGCCGAGATGTAGCCGCATAAAGACGTTTTTTGAAGTCTTCTTGAACATCTAGTAGCTTTTGAGCAACATAGAACATCGTGAAGCAAGAACCTAAATCTTTAAACATTAACTAAACTTTAAGGTACTTCTGCTGTTTGTCCCCCCTTAACATCAGGGAAAAAATTGAACAAGTTCACTTATGGAGCCAAATCAAAGAAGCTTATCGTCTCTAAACCGGAGTTTTTCATTTGAATCTGCAGCGTTTTAAATTTTATTGCATCATTTTAAACATATATTCCATTTGCAGCATTCACACTTTATCTTTTAAACATCGTTAATACAATTGTTTATGACAGCATTATGATCTTTCCCTGTTAGTTCCGTTCATTTGTTCTTAATAAATAAAATTTTAGAGAACCGATCGATCGTCACGAAATTTTTGAACGTTGCTGACGGAAAAATGCCTAATTTGGATTTGAAAAACCTCTGGTGTTAGGGGGGGACAAACAGCAGAGGTACAAATGAATGGAACTAACAAGGAAAGAGCATAATAATAAGAAAAACAGCAGAAGTACCAACTTTAAAAACACAAACTTTTAGTAAAGGATTGCAAGATTCTTGAGACGAGTTTCCAAGCTGTTCGCCACGACAGATTGCATCACATGAGTTTCCCGTTTCAATGGAGCGTTTAACGGCCCTTCTATTCCTTCAGGCGACGTTCTTTTATCTGAAAAACACAAAATTAAGTCCCAAGAACAGTAAAAACAAGAAAAAAACGATGTAAAACAAAATGTGCTGCTTTGTTTCTTTAAAATGGGCCATAAAACACGATTCTGATGATGAAATAATCTGTCGCTTTGTCAAAACACGTGCAAGGTGCTTAAAAATGTTTTAAAAAGAACAAGTTACAAGTTGTTATGAGAAGTATAAAAACATTGCGGTTGAAAAATCTAATCGAAATCTCTTTCAATTTGGCGCTATTTTTGTATGGGCGCTGCTTTGAATGACGCTGTTTTGACTAGGCCCCATCCTGTGTGGTTTAAAAAAAAACTACAGTAGAGCTTCCAAAGTGAGTCAAATTTTAGGGCTATACTGTGTTCATTCTCAGCCAAGAACGTTCTAGAAGGTTCTAGGAAAATGCTACCGTATTCCGTCTGAAACACGACAGTTTTTTGTCTGAAATGCTTTCGGGAAGCTGATCAAAACAGCGCCAAAAAATTTTTTTTATATTTTTTCCGACTACATTCAGTTTCTCCCTGGTTTGTTTATGTTTTCCTTCTGCTTTTTTTTGTCAAAACCACTTCGCCGGATTCACGAAGATTCATGCTCAAAATTCCTTATTTAATTCCGCCGCATAAATTCCTGAAGAAAATCTGAATATTTGATCATTTGATCGGCAGTTGAGGCCATGATATTGCTTAATTATTTTTTAAAATCGATACCAAAGAGATTCCACACTTTTTGAATGTGATCCGTTCGCCAGATTCACGGAGATTCATGCTCAATTCCTTTGTTTTGCTAAACAAATTCTAAAAATTCTGTTTTTGGTTAAAAATCTACCCTAAAAATGTCATATTCGTACTCAGCGTACTCAGTTACCTCGGGAAAAGTGGTTTTGGTGAAGAAAAATCCTCCCAAAGAGCTCTGCCCAAAGCCAATAGTGTCTGTTTTGTTTTGTTTCGTTTGTTTTTCTTTTTATTTCTTGATTTTATTTAATGCTTTAATTTAGGAAGTCTTCCGAGAGGAAGGTGCGAAGGATCGATCACCAGAATCGCCGGATTTGTCTTTCAAGAAAGGTGATATCATGCATTTGTTGGGTCACAGGTGAGTTAAAGGTTTTTGGCGTGAAGGTGTGAAGTGTTATTTTCAATCTTGTGGCTTTTAGCTATTAGATATGGCAACTTGAAAGTTGATACACTTATTCGTTGCACTTTTTAGAAATGACTAGTGCACCAATTAATCAACAATTTTTGTCAATAAAAAGGCCCATTTATTTTCTAAAACGCTTTTGACAGATTTAGAAATGTTTTGTAGGTTTCTAGGGGGCAAGAAGTTGAGGAACCAAAAATGATGAACACTCGATGAAGCTATTTGAGCGCTTTCTTCCACATAGACCTATTTTAGAGGCAATAAAAAAAGAGAGAGCATAACAAGTTAGATTAATAGCCAAATTTTCAGCTAGATATGACCAATCGTTTTCTCGATAGCTCTATTTGAAGAATTTTCAGAAAAACTTTAATTTCTACTCAAATTCGTTTCAAAAGTTACCCAAATTTGCTTAATTTTCAATTTGTTGCTAACGCAGCTGAAAACTGCTGTGGGTTGAGGTCTCACGTGAATTTATAATCCTTGTTTTCGTGCCAATCGATAATCATATTGTCTTCGTAAGCAGGAATCTTTTCGACTAACGCCGCTTTTCCTGCTTAACAGTTGGGGCTGTACGTAGTCGCCGAGCCATTTATTTGATTTATCCAAGTGGTTTTAAGCCCATAGTTGGCACGTTCCAAATATGGGAATCTCCAGGGAGAACCACGCGGAGGTTTAGGAAAACTCTTCCCCCATGGCCCAGATCAAAGACCTATGGCTGGGGGCCATGGAGCCCTTAAAAGGGTTAATTTTGGGTTAATTGGGTTAATTTTTGCATAGTTTATTCGAGAATTTCATTGTAGACAATGTTATTAAATAATGTTTAATAACATTGTCACATAATGTTATTTGGACAGACAGATGTCTCTTCCCTTTAATATATTAGAAAACTATCGAAATTGACTTTCCAAGGGGTAAAATCCATTTTGAAACGAAAAGCAAAACTAATTTTCTCGAAGGGGACCGAACACACGACCCCTCTTTCCTAGTCTCGTTTGAGAGACACGCGCTCTAACCAGTCGTCCATCTGCCCGCGGAGGGGAAGTTAGGCAACATTGGGCTCGGCTAGTTTTGCGGTTTTTGGAGTTTTTAAAAAAATTGGTTTTATGGATTTTCCTGTTTTTTTTGGGGGCGGAATCAACACAAAATTTTCTATCGAAAAAAAAATCTCCAAATTCGATCTCGCCGTCGAGAAAAGTGCCTGTGACAGACAGACAGACACATCTCTTCTGCTTTATAAATAGTAGATAGCCTTTGCTTAGAGAAGTCTTATTCAATTCGCGTATTAAATGTTTTTTTTTGGCAAATACGAAAAAGCGTACCAACTTTCAAGTTGCGAATCTAATATTATCGGTGCCGACCCTAAAAGAATTTTATGTTGTAGACGAATAAGGAAATTTTCAAGATCCACTAATATTTTTAATTTAGATGGTATGCTGGGAAAATTCCGAGAGATCGTGCTGAACGACTTGTGCTTTCGAAAAATCTACCCAAAGGTGCGTAACAGATTTTGCTTTAGAAATCTTTAAGCTTTTCAGGTACTTTCTTAATTCGTGAACGTGAAGCTGAGACAAGGGAATATGCATTGACCATTCGGTTAGTTTATTTGCGGATATTATTTTAATAAAGAATTTTAATGATTGTTCTTAGTTGATGATATATCGTTTAGTGATTCTGATGACAGTCGAGGCGTTGGCACGGTGAAGCACTACAAAATCAGACGGTTAGATGATGGAAACGGTTTCTACATCACTCGTCGACGCACTTTCCGCACTCTGCAGGAATTAGTTGGATATTACTCGGGTATGTTATAACTTTGATGACAAAAAGCTGACTAAATTTGTAAAAAATTGTTGAACATTGGTTTTAGCAATGGCTGATGATTTGTGTTGTACATTGACTTCCCCGGCTCCTCTAATCCAGCCGACTCCATCCGATCTCTCACATAACACACAGCAAAATTGGGAAATTCCACGAAATCAACTGCAGTTCATGAGGAAAGTCGGCGAAGGATCCTTTGGAGAGGTTTGTGGTGAAGAATGCGACTTATCATTTATTTTGTTATCTAGGTATGGTACGGAAAATTGCGTGGCGTTGTTGAGGTGGCGATTAAGATGATGAAACCGAGAATGATGAGCCCTGATGCTTTTCTTCAGTAAGTTTTATGAGCAAATCGATACCTTCTGGCTACATGAGTTCAAAGTTGTTCTTTTGAATGGTAGGAAACCCCTAGAAACTGTTACGAACATGATTAAATCTAACAAGTTTTTTAGAGAGGCGTCTATTATGAAGCGATGCGTTCACCCGAATCTCGTCACGTTGTATGCGGTGTGCACCCGAGAGGAACCTTTTTATATCATCACTGAGTGAGTCTTTGATCGATCACGAATTAGAGATCCTTCAAAAAAAGTTTTGATTCGTGTTCATCTGATATTTTCGCTTCCAGGTTCATGAAGAATGGCTCTTTGCAACATTATCTTCGGGGTGTCGATGGGCGACAACTTGACATTGCGGCTCTTGTTGATATGGCAGCGCAGGTGGTCTTGAAATGTTAATAAAGTGATGAACAAGCGAACAGCGATGAACATTTGTAAATGTAAACAATAAATTTTGGATTGCGAAAGGAATGATGTACTTGGAAGAGAGAAAGCTGGTGCATCGTGATGTTGCCGCTCGAAATGTGCTCGTTGGAGAGAAGATTTCTGGCGTTCCCGTCGTGAAGGTAAAATGAAATCTAGCACCAACGTTTCTTAGAACATTTTTTTAGGTAGCTGATTTTGGTTTGGCAAGAAAGCTAATGGAAGAAGGCATCTATGAGGCGAGTACGGAGTCGAAATTCCCAATCAAATGGACAGCTCCTGAGGTTGTTTTTAATAATTTGTAAATCATAGAGAGCTGCAGTTTGTAAAACAAAGATTAAAATGAATTGTTACTTTTAGGCGGCCACTTACGGTAACTATACAGTGAAAAGCGATGTCTGGTCATATGGGATTCTAATCTATGAGATGATGACTCGAGGACAAGATCCATACCCTGGTACGTTTTTGGTTCAATAACATTAGCTTTACCGATAAGTCTTTGTACCTTTGGTTTAAAGAGCTATTTACAAATAACCAATTCATCGATTGACCTGCTGTTTGAAAGGAAAGAAAGGCCTGCTATTTTTCTATAAAATAGTGTTCAAATTTTAGGAAAATGTTTTGTCTCTGGTGTTTTATGGAGATCCGAAGGTGGATAGTTTAAAAAGGCGACAACCAGAAGACACGATTTTAGGCCCTTTGGTCCATAGAAACCAATATTGAAATCCAGGGAAAGCTATAAAAACAAGTTTTTGCACTCGAGTTGAAATGGACCTAAATGGTCTTAAAAAGGTACAAAAATGAATAAAAGATATTTTGTGTTTAGAGTCAATTGTAGGTCAATTGGTGAATTTGTAAACGCTAGCAAAAAAGTATCCATATACTTATCGGTGAACCTAATATTTTGAATCCCTTTTAAAATGGTAACTTATCTTTTTTCTAGGCATGCCCTACAGCCTAGAACTGATAAGAAAAGTCGAGCACGGTTATCGGATGCCTTTACCACGTGGTTGCCCGGGGAATATCTACACTGAGGTTTGTTTTGGTCATTTAAGTCATCACCGAATACATTTTCTAAGCATTTTGACTTCTATTCATTCATTCATTCAGGTGATGCTGAAATGTTGGGAGAAAAACCCGGAGAGGCGGCCAACCTTCGAGTATCTCTATCGCTACTGCAGGACTACGTCTCATCGCAACCCAACTACGTTCCACCAAATGTCTAAATTTTGCTTCTAGTGGGTTCAAAATTTTGTTTGCAATCACTCTCCAGTGCTGATCTGTGAATTTTCTATGCTTATCTATATTTATTATCCAATAAGTTATATCACTTCTTTATTTTCTTTCTCTTCTCATTGCCAGATCTCATCTCGCCACGTGTTTTTGTTTCGGCTTTCGGCTTTCGATGTGTTTCTACCGTAATCTTTAGTTTAGGATTACGATAGCTTTTTTCCATTGCTCGTTCCTGGTTAATTACTGTAGTATGCACCGATACTTTGAAACTCATTTGCACTTAAGTTTTAGATATTTAACTAACGTTGTGATATGCCTTCTTTTTCTTTCTTTTCTTCCATGTATTTTTTTCTTTCTTCTCTGCCAAGCAGATACCGGATAGCTCATTGGTTAGAGCATTTGCCCTGGAAAGCAAAAAGGGGATAAAGATATTCAGCTATTAAGCTGATTAGCTGATTTTTGGCAATTTTCCTTGAAATAGAAAGATATTCAGCTATTTGACTGATTTGGTGGCAGATTCTCTTTAAATATGAAGGTATTCAGCTATTTAATTGATTTGGCATTTCAAAACGCACTCCATTTGCGAGTCTTGAATCAGAATTGGTAAATTATAGAAAAAAACACGCTTTTCTAACGAAATCCTTTGTTCAATGAATGGATTTGCTCTCAAATTTCACTTTTTTCCCCGATATTAAGTGATTTCGGCGGAAAACGAGGAGATATTTTTGAGCTAATTGATGGAAATTTTCCTCAAATCACCTCGAGGGTCACCGTTTTTATCCAAATGACAAATTCGCTCATTTCAAAAACAAAAAAATGGGAAATCTTTTGTCTCATTTCCCCCGCCGCCCCCACTGACTCACACATCACACACAATGAAATCACTTTTTTTTTGTCAAGCAATGAAATTTCTTTGAGTAAACTTGGGGGAAAATGATACGACTCTACGCATTGGAAATTTTCTGGTTTTGTCGTCGTCGATTTGTCTACTTTGATTGATAAAAGTTTTTAAATGCTATTTATTTATCTTGAAACAGCGCGCGGCGTTTTTTAAAATGTGGATTAATGTTTAAAGATTTAGGTTCTTGCTTCACGATGCCCCGCCCACCCCAACTAAAGTTCCCGGCTGTTAGTTAAGCTAGTCGTTAGTTAAGCTGTTAGTTAGTTAAAGATGTTAGTTAGTTAAACTGTTAGTTAGTTAAAGTTGGTAGTTTGTTAAAGCTGTTAGTTAAAGCTGTTAGTTAAACTACAACTAGCCAGGAACGTTAGTTGGGATGGGTGGGGCAGTATTATTTCCCATTCATTCGGGCAAGCCTTTACCGTTATACCTTTAGATTCTAGATTAGTTCTAGTTCTAGTTTAGATTAGTAAAAGTAGTGGAGGATCTTCTTTGCCATTTGTTCGCTCAGTTTCACTTTTGCTCGCACGAGTCGATGGTCTAAGCCGGTGACGAAGGAGGGCACCACGCCGACGTCTAGAAGCGTCCATTTCCTGTTGGCGAGGATGTGGCCTATCTCGCACTTCGATGGTGGAGTGCTGCGAGTCGTGGAGAGATGATCTCATGGCTATCGACGAGTGGCACGATTTCCTTGTTGACCAGGAAGCCTACTTCTCCGATGTTCTTGTTGGTGACTTTGTGGCCGAGTATGAGCAGGTCGCCGTTAAAAAGTAGATTGGGAAGGTATAACGGTAAAGTACCTAAGCCTTTACCGTTATAGCTTTAGATTCTAGATTAGTAAAAAGTAGATTGCGGAAGGTATAACGGTAAAGTACCAAAAATTCACATTTTGTTTTTTTTTGAAAATTTCCCATTTTTTTTGCAATTCTGCAATTTCCCAATTTCCCAATTTTTTTTTGCCTAAACTATTTCCAAATGAAATCACAGAACAAATATGGCGAATGGGGGAAATTGTTCGGCATAAATTCAAAAAGAAAACGAATTCTTTAGAGAGATCAAAATGAATTGTTTATGTTTAAATAAGGTCAAAGAGCTGGCAATGAATGAAAATGGGGAAAAAAGAATGGCAAAAGTAAAAGGGGGGGATCTCACTCGCCAAATTGCTCACCCCAAAGCCAGAGTCCGGATTTGATCTCGAAAAAACCCAGCGATCATTTTCAGCAAACAAAAAAAAAGCAACAGACACACAAACATGCCCATTTTTTTCGTTTTTTTCGTTCCTACTTTTGCAACGGATAACTTGTTGTTTTTTTTGAATAATTTATCTTTGCTCTTTGACCTTATTTAAACAATTTAAACAATTCATTTTGATCTCTCTAGAGTTAATAGAGAAGTTAATAGAGAAATTAATAAAAAAATGACAGTTTCAAGACCTTGAGCAAGCAGAATCTGATGATAAAAGAGGCATTCGACTAAAAAAAAGCATACAATCGTTGTTTCCCTTCTTCTGTTATTCCAAATTATGAGACCAGACTAGTTTTTGATTTAAAAACCCCTTTTATATCGCCGTATTTACTTTGATCTGCTTCTGATTTGATCTGATTTGCTAAAAAAATTCTTTTCCACCCTAAGTCGCATCCAGAATTTCAAAGCCTCTTGAAAATTGTGGAAATTCCTAGAAGTACACGTAGTCATCCTTATCAAATTTCGGTCGGTTCTCATCCCCATCATCTTTCCCTTTATCATTCTTCTGCGAACCGTATTAGTAGGGTTTGGAATAGCTCTCGTCTTGGACTTGGAATAAGCTCTCGTCTTGGACTTGGAATAAGCTCTGGTCTTGGACTTGGAATAGCTCCGGTCTTGGACTTGGAATAAGCTCCCTTCTCGGACTTGGAATAAGCTCCGGTCTTGAACTTGGAATAGCTCTCGTCTTGGACTTGGAATAGCTCTCGTCTTGAACTTGGAATAAGCTCTCGTCTTGGACTTGGAATAGCTCTCGTCTTGGACTTGGAATAGCTCTCGTCTTGGGCTTGGAATAAGCTCTGGTCTTGGGCTTGGAATAAGCTGTTTCCAAGTCCGGTGCCTTCTCGTCTGTAGGAAAATTCAAAGTATCTGTAAACGAGTTAAATCTTATTGCCATGTCAAATGTGCCCTATATTTAATCTTTTTGTACCTGTATTTCCTAACTGTAGTCTTACTGTGCTATTTTTGGTTTTCTTTCTTTTTTTTGTGAAAGTATTGTAGCAATATGTTGTATGCAGTTATGATTATCTGATTCGCTTGAGTTTGTGGTATTGATTTGAGTCAATACATAACTCAAGATTTCATTTTTGAGACTTCTTCGGCTGAAATCCTTCATCGGCTACGACATATATATGTAACTGCTCCGGTTTTGATAACAGATTAAATGATATTATTTTGCTACATCTCATAAACTGACTCAACTGACAATGAGATATTGGAACCATATTGGAGAGCCGTAGCCTTGTTTTAACAAATTCGCAACGATGCACATCGGGTACAAGGCAAAAAAAGGTTTCGATGAAAATCAAAATCGAAACTTTTCCAAGTGAAATCACTAAACTTTCAAATCCTTGAACCCATCTTTTTCTTTAAATTGTTTTTCCCAAAAAAATTCTCATTGGCAATCAGCCTATCCATTTTTGTCACAAAAACGTGTGATCGTTTTCCCAAAAATGTGTTTCCTTTTGAAAATTGTTTTTCTCGGAAATTTGTTTTTGAGCGTTGTTTCGACAAGTTGTTTTTCTCTCTCCGATTCCAACTTGAGATTGCACAAACCGGTCAGAAATATCACATTGATTTTTTTAAGCATTTGGACGCATTGTTTTCTCCTATTTTTTCTATATTTGATTGAGTAGTTATGTAGTTTTATAGAATGACTTCTGCTGCAAGGAAATTGACAAGGAAAGGTCAGCTGGATAGGCTGGTCAAATGACGTGAGCCATATTAACCGATTTCTAATAAAAGCTAATATTAACCAATTTCTATTCCAAAAGTTGTTTTTCTAGGTAATTTGAGGGTGTCGGATTCAAATTTTGACATAACGGAGCGTGTGGAACCAATTTGAAAGACAAAACGGCTAGGTGAAATTACAGAAAATTGTTGATTTTTCTCTTTGTATAACTCCGTCCGTTCGCTTCCACAAGCTCTGATATGTCAAAATTTGAATTCGACACCCTCAAATTACCTAGAAAAACAACTTTTGGAATAGAAATTGGTTAATATTAGCTTTTAGAGCTTTTTAAAACGCGAAAAAAGGTGCGCTAATGGGCCAAGTGCGGAAAAAAAGGTGCGCAAATGACGGGGTGCGCAAAAAAAAGGTCGCATTTGTCCCACTCCCAGAGTACTTTAAAAACGGGCTACAAAAACATAATAGATTTTACGGCGGGAAAAAAAAACAAAACAAAACAGAACAAAAGAAAAAGAAAAAAAAGAAGAACAAAAGTCGGACAAATGAAGAAAAATGAAAAGAATGGCAAGAGGAGACTTTTGTGCAGGGTACGGTAGGGCATCCACGCTTTAGAAAGCGCACCGCGCCGTTTTCGCGCCAGTCCCTTTAAAACCGCCGGTCAATAGGAACGAATCGTAATCGAATTTGCATTTTGGTGGGAAAAGGGGTGAAAATGAGAAAATGTTCTTTTTTTTCTTTTCTCAAAACTTTTCTAGGTCGGCGGCTATTTACATTCGTCTTCTTATAACATTTTTCTTTTTTTTCCCCACTTTTCTTGATAATGGGATTTTTCGGGTAAACGCGATTCAAGGACTGACTGAGTTCTTCACTTTTCTTTTTCTCACTAATCCAGTAAAGATGCTTTCAATGTATTGTACTTTGTGCTCAATTTTTCTGAACATAACCCTTCTAGTGGACTGAATTTGACACCAAAAGACTCAAAAGAAAAGTTTTGAGAAAAAGGAAAAAAGAACATTTTCTCATTTTCACCCCTTTTCCCACCAAAATGCAAATTCGATTACGATTCGTTCCTATTGACGTGCGGTTTTAAAGGGACTGACGCGAAAGGGCGCGGTACGCTTTCTAAAGCATGGATGCCCTACCGTACCCCGCACAAAAGTCTCCTTTTGCCATTCTTTTCATTTTTCTTCATTTGTCCGATTTTTGTTCTTCTTTTTTTTTTTTTTTTTTTTTTTTTTGTTTTGTTTTTGTTTTGTTTTTGTTTTGTTTTTCTTTTCCCGTCGTAAAATCTATTATATTTTTGTAGCACGTTTTAAAGGTACTCTAGTACATCAGAACTGGTCGGTGGCGGATTGGGGTCGCGTTTTATGGAGTGATGAATCCAAGTTTAACTGGTTTTCAAGCGATGGATTTCGTTATATCCGACGTCCAGCAAATAAGAGAAACGATTCAAAGTATCAAGTGCCCACGATTAAGCACGGTGGCGGTATAACATTTTTCTTTTTTTTCCCCACTTTTTTGATAATGGGATTTTTCGGGTAAACGCGATTCAAGGACTGACTGAGTTATTCACTTTTCTTTTTCTCACTAATCCAGTAAAGATGCTTTCAATGTATTGTACTTTGTGCTCAATTTTTCTAAACATAACCCTTCTAGTGGACTGAATTTGACACCAAAACAAAACTCAAAGAAAATAGCGAATTCAGTGCAGTAGAAAAGGTTGTTTGTTCATGAAATTTGAGCACAAAGTATAAAATGGAAAAAACGGATTTTGATAAACGAAAATTTCCTATTTTTTTAATGATTGAATTGATTGAATTGATTGTTTTTAGCTTTTTTTAGCTATTTTTAGCTTTTTAAAGAAAATTTCGAATCTTTACCGTTAACAGCGTAGGCGAAATTTTTAACCAACTTGCAACCCGTTTTTTGATAGGTTCTTGTTTGAGAGATTTTTTGATGAAACAAATAGTTTTTGAAAGTGTTGACGTTTTAAGCTTTCTAAATGTTATTAAAATTTCCCCAATCTGACAAGTTTAAGGTGCGTAAAAATGAGCTGAAAGTTGGCAGCCGATAATCGCTACCCCTCTCGTTAAGATCCGGAATTTCAAATTCTCCAAAATCCATTCCCCAAATTTTGTTCTTTCTTTTAACCCTTTACCTCTTTTTTTTCTATTCTGATTCTGTTAATCGATTCAGATTTTTTTGAGGATATTTTCCATTCATATTTCACAATTTTACACGATTCTTCAAGAAAAAACAGCTGATTTTCAGGGATAGGCTAATTTCCGCAATTTTTTTTTGCGCAACGGTCATTTTCGCAACTGGGTCTTTTGCGCAACTCTAACTCTAACCATAACTTTGTTCTAAGTGAGCTAATCTTTATGATTTTGGTTTCATTTTGTAGATCTCAATAAGTGCAACAAAATGACACCAAAATCATAAAGGTTGGCGCACTTAGAAGAAAGTTATGGTGAGTTGCGGAAATTAGCCTACCCCGATTTTCATCTAAATTCTTTGTTTTTTAAACTTTCATTATCTATTTTCATTTGCCATTTTTCTATTTTCTATTTTCAATCAAATTTCAGCTCTCCTAAAATGCTCAATTTCGTTTGGTTGATCGTTTTTGAGATCATTTTCGATTTGACGGCTGTTGGTTCGTTTTTGTCTTTTTCGAAAAAAAAGCAAAACATAAGTGATTCATTTGAAATGAAAAAAATTGTCTAAACTTTCATTTCAGCCTTTTTCTACAGTCTTTACTTGACCGGGTGTCGCTTTTTCGGGAAAACATCAGGTGAAAATTTTTTTTAAACGTTTACACTGCCTCATAGAAGCCCTCAAAATTGGACTTTTTAGGACTTCCTTTTAGTTAAATTTCTAGATATGGATTCAAATAGATGGATTCTTGCTTTAGCAGCAAAGTTAGAAACGTAGTTTTTAAAAGAAATTGAAAATAATATTTTGAAAAAAAAATAAAAAAGTTTTGAAAAAAAAATGGAGAAATTTTTTTGAAAAATTAAAAAAAAAATAAGAAGTAAATAAACAAAATAAGAAGTAAGAAAATAATTTCATTTTTTACACGTTTTTGACATTTTTTATGATCCAGATCTATTGTTTAAAATAGTTTTTAACAGTTTTGAAATTTTGCGAGATTTGCGAGCTTCTTAGATTTGGGGAAAACATGCAATTCGATCGGATTAGCACCCACTTTCACCTTTTTGTCATTGGTAAACCATTGGTAAGACGCGTTTTTCTCAGCTTTCCCTAAACTAATTCTACAACTTTTACTATCATTCGATAGGTAAAAAAATAGCTTTCGAATGGTATCAAATATATTTAAATTGAAGAAAGAAGTAAGAAGAAAACAAAGTTTTTCAAATTTTGGCCGACCATTTAGGCCGACCGATTTTGGCCAATCATTTTGACCGACCGATTTAGGCCGACCATTTTGGCCGGTCGATTTTGGCCGACCATTGAGGCCGACCATTTAGGCCGGTCGATTTTGGCCGACCATTTAGGCCGACTATTTTGGCCGGTCGATTTTGGCCGACCATTTAGGCCGACTATTTTGGCCGACCGATTTTGGCCGGTCGATTTTGGCCGGTCGATTTTGGCCGGTCGATTTTGGCCGACCAATTTTGAGAGATCGAAAAATAGAAAACCATAGTCTTTTATTAAAATCAATACGATAATTAGGAATAGACAAGCGGCTTTTCAGAGTTTAAGCTCAGTATTTTCGGTACTTGTGGAGTATCCGGGGGGGGTCTTTCAATATCCGGGGGGGTAAAATTTTAAGATCCGGGGGGGGGGTAAAATTTTATATACGTTATACACGACCCCTTTTAAAGATATTCAGCCGCTTAAGTGATTTGGTGGCAATTTCCCTTCAAATGTAAAGATATTCAATTTATTGAGGTGATTACTTGATTACGTGATTCGAGGTGATACTCGATCAAAAACGTAACTTCTACAAAATTTTTTTTATGTCATTATTAGAAATGTTGATAATATCCTAGTTGGCGGCAAACATTTTCACACTAAATTGATGAAATTCTATTTAAAACGCTAAAATTAACGTAAAATGATATAAGTTTAAAGGTTTAAGTTTAAGGGTTTAACAAAAGGTTAAACATTTGCCTCAAGAATTTCATTTTTAGTTACAAAGCCTATGGTAAATGTAAAATTTCACGGAATTTGCGTTAATCTATTGATCTTTAGACCATTAATCAGATCATGAGCAATATTTTCGTTCTTCTTTTAAACTCTGAAAGCGATAGGTGCAAAAGATTGATAAAAGTAGCAGAATGGCCAAAAAGTAAAAAAAAAAGTTAAAATTTTACCCCACCGGATCTTAAAATTTTGCCCCCCCGGATCTTAAAATCTTACCCCCCCCCGGATATTGAAAGACCCCCCCGGATACTCCACAAGTACCGTATTTTCATTAGAGTGTTTTCCTCGCGAGTAATGCGTTTTTTAAAACGCACACTTGGGAAAAAATTGACGTACTTTTAGCAAAAATTATTGCAAAAAAATGACGAGCCCCGCATTATATACGATACTTTTTAAAGATACTCAGCCGTTTAACTGATTATGGCAAAAAAAATGACGCGAAAATGATTTCAAAAAATGACGCAAAAATGGGGGTGGGACAAATGCGACCTTTCTTTTGCGCACCTTTTTTTTGCTGGAAAAGGCCTTAGGAAAGGTCGTAGAGCTTCAAAAATGTTTTCATAGAAGGGAATCATATGCGTAGATTCCGAATTTCGACAAATCAGACCTCGCTGACACGTCAAATTTGGGCTAAAAGGCAAAAACTGCGGAAAAGCGTTAAGTTGCGTAGTTTTTGCCTTATAGCCCAAATTTGACGTGTCAGCGAGGTCTGATTTGTCGAAATTCGGAATCTACGCATATGATTCCCTTCTATGAAAACATTTTTGAAGCTCTACGACCTTTCCTAAGGCCTTTTCCAGCAAAAAAAAGGTGCGCAAATGTCCAGGTGCGCAAAAAAAAGGTCGCATTTGTCCCACCCCCCAAAAAATGACGCAAAAATGACCAGCCCCGCATTATATACGACACTTTTTAAAGATACTCAGCCGTTGAACTGATTTGTTGGGAAATTCCCATCCAATGTAAAGATATTCAATTGACTCGTCGTTTAAAGATTTTTTTTGAAAAATTGCTTTTATATTTTTTTTCGCGCAGGCGTACTTTTTTGAAAACGCATTACTCGACGATTACTCGAGGTATTACTCATAGAAATTTACTCGAGTAATTACTTGCTCGCGAGGAACACACTATAGTTTACACCATGATGCCAGTAGAAATAGTTTTAATTTTATGGTAAAAAATTTCATTCAACTTTTCTTTTCAACTTCTCAACCACTCCACTATCATCCTAGATATAGATCTTTTCAATTTTTCTTTTATTTTATTTTTCTCAATTCATCGATCCAAAAATCCTTGATTTTCAATAAGAAATAACTGTTTTCTTCGCTCCTCTTTAGAAGACGCATTACTCGACAATTACTCGAGCTATTACTCATGCAAATTTACTCGAGTAATTACTTACTCGCGAGGAACACATTCTAATTTTCATTGACCGATCTTTTGTTCAAAGGTCATAGTTCAAGCTCAACATTTTATCGGTTTTTCTTTTGAAAACTTTCTAACTCAATTCCTGAAGTTCAGATCCAGATCCAGATTCAGATCCAGATTCAGATTCAGATTCAGATCGAGATCCAGATCCAGATTCCGATTCAGATCCAGATCCAGATTCAGATTCAGATCCCGATCCAGATTCAGATCCCGATCCAGATTCAGATCCAGATCCAGATTCAGATCCAGATCCAGATCCAGATCCAGATTCTGATTCTGATTCAGATCCCGATCCAGATTCAGATCCCGATCCAGATTCAGATCCAGATCCAGATTCAGATCCAGATTCAGATTCAGATCCAGATTCTGATTCTGATTCAGATCCAGATTCATCTTCAGTTTAAGACTTGTTTTCTGGCTGTGCAAAACAACTTTCGAAAGAATGACGAATTTTTTAGAAAAACTTAAGATTTCCAAAAACGATTCTCGATGAAGAAGTACTCTCTAGATTTAGGCTATCGAAACTTATCAAAACCAAAGCCAAAACTTTAGCAAAACCTTAGCAAAACCTAAGCAAAACCTTAGCAAAACTTTAGCAAAACTTTAGCAAAATCTCTCCCACTTTGTACCGCTTTAAAAAGCCCTCTTGGAAAGATATTTAGCCAGGATTACAGAATTCAAATTTCCAAAGAATCGGAGAAAGCTTGTACAGGAGAAAACGGTAGTTTTCTGGTGATTCTTTTCAATAAGAGTGCTTTTCGAATAGACCTGGGAATTTTCGATAAATACTAGTACTGTATGCAGGGTAAAAACCAGGGTAAATTATTACAGTATTACGTGCAGGGGTAAAGTATTACATTTCAAGAAAAATAAGACCAAAAACGGAACCGAACCTGCCAACTAGAGACTATCCGGGTCCACTAGGCCCACTATCCACTAGGCCCATTAGTGGCCCACTATCTACTAGGCCACCGCGTCACATTTACCGCCGATTGAAAAGCGCCATTTAAAGCTTATCTTCGATAATTTCAATTCAATTCAATTTTGCGTCCTTGCGCCTTAAGAGCCTGCCTTAAGAGCCATTTGATTTATCGTGTACTTTCCCCCAGAGCATTCCAAGAGGAACGTTCCCTTTTTGAGCATTCTTTTTCGAATATTTCCTTATCTTTTCCCCTTCACTGAATATTCTTTTATCTTAAAAGAGAATTTTGGATGGAAAGAGTGAAAATCACACAAATTCCCTTCGTAAACAGAAACACTCAGAAAAAGAAAAAAGAAAAGCGAAAATGGAAAAGCCAAAGTGCAGTAGACCGGCCACGAAACTCCAAAATCGGCTTCGAAAAATTTACAGGATTTTCTCAGTTTCATTTTCTTTCTTTTCATTTTCACTATACAAAATTTTCAATCTTTTCAAATTCTACATTTCTCGTTCTTTTTCATAAATTTTTAAAAATATTCCCTCTGCTTATCACAGCAAAAATCCTTAGCCGAATCTTTAACGTAACAAAAACCCATTCACTTTTGCAGTCTTCGTCTTCTTTCACAAGAAACCATAAATTTAAAGTCTCTAAAATCTACACAGATTCTACATAGCTAATCTATAAGTTACCCATCGATAAGTTCGCTATTTAAAAGTCTATAAAGGCTATCAATAAGTTAAAAGCTATCTATCTATCTATAAACTATTATCTATTAATACATAAGTCATTTTAAAAACCAAAATAAGATCTCATAGATCAAAAACCAAGCTAACCTATCAAAGATCTTTGATGTGCATAGTGAGATTTATTTGTCTGATCTAATCAGTCTACGCATCTCTTTATTATCTGATACCCGTTCACCTCACACCCTTATTCCCCCTTTCCCCGAGGGCTATTCGCTGGCACTTCTTTGGGTCATTTTTGTGTACAAATGTACCCGGGTCCTCCAATCTTTTCCCCTCAATAAATATCACGTATTGATTGCCCACCTATTCCCTTTTCGTCTATCACTTTCATGATTCATTTTTCTAGATCAACAACCCTCAATGGTCCAACAAATCGTCGATCTCCTCCTGTTGATATTAAAGGTAAATCCGTGGGTTTTGATTTGGAAAGCATCAATTCAAAATGCAAACGCGAATTAGTGTGCCTGATGAACTTTGGCGATTACCGTCTAAATCTCTATCCGATACAATTCTTTGTCCAAAAATCATTTTACAGAACCATTCTAGGTGCTGATCAGTTGTGTCGTCGAAAGTGTCAAAGCTTTCCTACCAAATGGCGTCTTACCCAGGAAGAAAGTTCAAGGTAGAGAAAGCATCGAAAGCTAAAAGACAACTTTATAGGTGACATCGTTTTGATTACCGGATCTGGCAGTGGATTGGGGAGATTATTGGCACTAGAAGTATTACCCAACAATTTGTGGAAACCTCATACAAATCTAGTTTGGTCGACTGGGCGCCGAGCTAGTTCTTTGGGATGTGAATGAGACCGGCAACAAAGAGACGCGAAAAATGCTTGAACAAGAAGGCGTTAAGGTGAGTTCCTCCCCGAAATGTAATGCGATTCCTTCAAAACCAGTTAAAAGACCCTTTTAGTCCAACTATACACCCGCCAGCAACAATAATTAGCACAAAATGACAAAATGATAAAATGAAAACATGAGAATTGAGATGCAATAACCGTAAGGAGGGAAAGACTCACAAGGTTAGCAAAAAATCCGTAGCTGAATGTATGGTCTGTCTTTCGGAGGGCTAAAGCACAATTAACAAGAGATACAGCTTGGATTGTTAGAGTGTAAAAATTGATTAGATTAACAACAGGGAGCATCAGTTAAACTATAAATAACGCAAGAATTGAACAATTCGAAAGGGGATAACATGAAAAAGTGTACAGCCCAGCAAATTGAGAAGTGAAGAGTAAAACTAGAAATGTTTTACATGTTGAGCTTCTTCATCGAGGAGATCAGATCTGCATATGAAGTTACCGAGCCGCACGCCCATCCAGTCAAGTCGTTATGCTAAAAAAGGATAAACAACCCGACAAACTATTAGGACTTACCATGCCATAGTCATACTCGGGATTGATCTCTGGCAGCTCAAAAGACCATGTAGTCCCGCTGTTTGGTGTACTTGGAGTCAATGACTAAAACAAACTTATAGTCAGAAACTTTAAAAAACGATTTTAAGCTGTTGTTTCAAAGCATTACCATGTTTGGACTCTCCTGTCCAAGCTTTTGCATCACGGCTTGACGCATCTCCAACGATACACGACGCTTTGCCTCCATTGCAGCCGCACGTTCACTACCGATAGGCTAAAGAGCCCAAAAATCAAATAAATGTGCAAGATAACTCACTGTTGGAGGTGACACAGTTGGAGGCGACTTTGGCTTGAACAAAACCGAGACATCAATCCGACCAGTGTGTACCTCCTCAATGCTAAACAGAACAGAGCAAATGCATCAAACAGACAAGTTACTTGTTGGGTTGCGGAGCGTAGCGGAACAGCGATTGAATCTTCTCATGTGGAGTTTGATAGCGACGTGGTGGTGGAATGTGGACAGTGTCGGTAGTGTCTGGCGAGTCGAACGGCATCACCATCGGGGACTGTTCGTCGTAGTACATAGAACTAAATGTTTAAATTAAAACTGTTGAGAATACAATAACTTCGAAATCTTTATTATTGGCAACCTCATTTACAAAATTCCAAGAAACTCAAGGATGAAGTAGTGCTTTTTGACCCTTGATCGCGAAATAACAACAAATGTTGAAAAGTGACCAATCGGGACCTGACTCAAGACAACGAGCACTTTTCGGTCACTTCATCCCAGAATTAGGAAAGTTCCGAAATTTTTCGAAATGTTGTGCGAAAACATAACCAATTGATTCAGCATAGTCAAAACCGCTGGGCGCAAAAAATCAGCTCACTTGGCGAAAAACACTTTGAACATCTCAGCTGCTACTTTTAAAACCAAAAGCTTAAACCTACCGGCCAAACTTGCGTCCAGCTCGATTACGTTTCCCATTGATGTAATGGTAGGCGGCGGAGCGAGCTGTTGAACCGTGGCCATTCTTCTTCTTGCAGCCGTCATAGTGCGCATTCTGAGCAAAAGTCATCTCGGTGATCTAAAGAAAAACAAATGAATACGGTCAAAAATATAAAAAGAGCACGAAGAGAAAAAGAAAAGGGTATGGGGCTTTTTATAGAAACTTGTTATTCAAAAGTCAACTTTAGAATTCAAAAAGTTGTCAACAATGTTTACTTTCAAAGTGTCCCCTATGCTCTAGTAGCTTTTAATTTCGTGGGGAATTTCAAGCAAATGGGGCAGCTATGAAAGTTACGAAGTTTCACCCCTTTTTCCGCGTAGATCCTTTTTCGTAGCTGCCTCTTTTGTCTGAAATTTCACACTAAACTAGAAGATATTCTGAGCTGAGCAAGGGGAACACTTTGAAAGTATACAATAGTGTCAAATTTTCATTAAAAATGTCAATTGCTAGTTAAACTTCAAGTGTTCAATAGCCTTGCTTGTCGATATTATCGATAAAAACGGCATCTTCATGTTTGATCGTTCCGATCTCGGTTTCTAGATTAGCAATCAATCTACAAATTGTTTCATTGGAAAGCCAAGAATGCCAGCTTTTTATTGCTATTTTATACATAGCAAATTCTCATAAGTGAGTGCCTTAAAAAGTTTATCAATACTTATCGATACCCAAATATCGATAAGGTTTATAAAGTGCTTAAGTGCTTACTTGCTTACTATTAAAAGTCGCTATTTATGAAATCGCAATCAAAAGCTGACATTCTTGACTTTCCAATGAAACAATTTGCAGATTGATAGCTGTTCTAGAAATCGAGATCTGAACGATCAAACATGAAGATGCCGTTTGTATTGATAATATCGCTAAGCAAGTGTAGTTTTGAAAAATAACTGGCTGAATTGAGGTTTTGCTCGCTTTAAATGCTTCAAAATAAAATATTCAGCTGGTTAATTGAATATCGTAATTGACTATGGCGACATTTATTTAGTATAAAATAGAAAAGACCAAAATCTTTCATGTTATAAAATGCAAGGCTTATTTTTAATTTTTGTTTAAAAAACGTGGAACATTGATTTATTGTATTTATTGATATAATTCATATTTCAGGTACACGCCTACACAGTAGATCTATCGGATAAGAAATCGATCAACGCCACGGCGAAAAAGGTGAGTTGATTACGCTTAGTTACGCTGAATTAGATTACGCGATTAGTTTTGTAAACGCTATAAAAGTATCACGATATTGATTTTTCAAACTTTAGACATTGGACGACGTTCCACGAATCGATGTCCTTATCAACAATGCTGGAATCGTTACCGGGAAGAAATTGTTTGAGTGCCCCGATGAGTTGATGGAAAAAACGATGGCCGTCAACTCGACCTCGCACTTTTTTGTGGGTTTTTGGGCATCATTAAGCTGTTTCTTTAAAAGCTACCGTAAACCCGGGGTTAAATTTCTAAAAATATCGTTTAGACAACGAAAAACTTCCTGCGAAGCATGTTGGAGAAGGATCACGGCCATGTGGTGACGATCGCCTCGATGGCCGGGAAGACCGGTGTGGCTGGATTGGTGGGTTAGAGTTTAATCAAACTAGACATAGGCACTACAAAATACAAACGCTTCTAAGTTGCTTCAAATCTATCGGATTGACATGATCTATAGCTCAAAAGATAGAGAATCTAAAGCGCTTTCGAATGAGCCAAAGCATACCCAAAAATATCTAAAGAAATTTACAGTGGTTTGTGGTCCTGACTCTAAGCGGATCGTACTCGTGCGTCGAGTCAGGACTACAAACCACTGTAACTTTCAGCATTGAAACAACTTTTGGGTATGCTTTGGTCCATTCGAAAGCTCTTTAGATTCTCTATCTTTTGAGCTATAGATCGTGTCAATCCGATAGATTTGAAGCAAGCTAGAAGCTTTTGTAGTGTGACAGTTTGTCATTTTTGTAATTTATAGTGCCATTTCTAGATCAAACTGCCATTAGTGCAATTAGAATTACAATTAACAATTCAAATTGTTACTGTAGCCAAAAAGAATAGTACAGTTTACGATAGTACAGGGTACTACAACCTGAAGAAATGTTATATGGACTAGAAACTACAGTAACTTTCAGTACAGTAATGATAGATTACTGTACATCAGGCATGTTAACTCCGTCCCTTTTTCGATCCGTTTGCCGTTGGCAATCTACGCATTTTGCTCGTATCTTAGCCGGATTGGTTTGAAAAACGTTGAATTTCCTTCCATTCGACTCGAGATCAAATTTCCTAGCGAATTAAAGCAAATTCATCGTTTTTCAAACAAACCCGGTCAAGGTATGAGCAAGATTCGTAGATTGCCCGGAGTTAACATGGCTGCTGTAGACAAAAAGGGCTCCAGGGTACCAAGCACCGTACGGTAGATGATAGTGCTGTTTAATATTACAATTTTAATATCCTAGCACTAGAGCAATTTCAATTTCCAGGTTGACTATTGTGCGTCAAAGCACGCGGCAGTCGGTTTCCACGAGTCGCTCACCTCCGAAATTCGACACCAACAAAAGAATGGAGTGCGAACAACGTGTGTCTGTCCATTCTACATTGACACCGGGATGTTCGACGGAGTGACAACGAAGTTGGTCACAATTTTGACCCAATAAATGGCAAATCTTCAGATCACCGCTATTGTTGCCGATCTTAAAGCCAGAATATGTTGTCGAGTGCATAATGGAAGCGATTTTGACCGATCGCGAGTACTTGATCCTGCCACGTTTCTGCTATTTTGCTGTCTTTGCGCACAGGTTTGGAAAAAATCACTGATTGTACAAAAGTACGGTATCTACCTGTGTGGCTTGATTTTTAGATCTAGTTCTAGAACTATCCTGTGTGATTTTAAAAAACTACAGTAGAGCTTTCAAAGTGAGTCAAATTTTAGGATTATACTGTGTTTCTTCTGGGTTGAAACGTTCTAAAAGGTGCACTAGGGTGCTAACGTATTATTTTGTCTGAAATGCTACCGTATTTCGTCTGAAGTTCTACCGTATTTATTTCGTCTGAAACACTACAGTATTTCGTCTGAAATTCTACCGTATTTATTTCGTCTGAAGTTACCGTACCTGTCTGCTTAACCTACCGTAGTCCGTATGTAAAGTTATACACCACATGATCCTGCATGTCGACTAAAAGAAAATTCCGGACTAGCAAATGTTAAATCTAACTATTTCTAAAGACCGATTACGGTAGCTTTTCCTAATATTAATTCAGCTGTTTCCCAAGCTACCATAGTTCCAAAAGCTAAACTATGATAGCTTCTCCTAAATGCACCTTTTCGAAAACGGTTTTCTTACTCAAAAGAAACAGTCTAATCAATGCCTCCAAGACTATAAAAGTAGCAAAAACTAGTTAACATTTACCCGATTATATCCTAACAGAACGATTCTCTCATAGCATGGATAAATCAATGTAGCAACATTTAGCCTCATTTAGCTTCCTTCCCTCATGTGTCTTTTCCCTAATTTCCGAATTCTACGGTATCGACGCGACAATGGAATCGTTTGTGGGTCGGGAAAGAGCATGAAAAGATTCACCCAGTGTTTTCTAAACTGCGAATCGACGAAGCCGATCGAGAATTCTCCTATTGTCGATTGTGCTGATACTACTTGTACAGTAAACTTGTTTGCTGCGTACTGTAGACTAAAGTTAGCGCCATTTAGTAAACAACTCTGTGCCGAATACTTTAAAATCTGTTTTCACCACCGTAGCCATCACGATCAGTAAGCAAGTTTACTGTATTGTTTTACCTTGAACGTGTTTCCAGGCTCAAGAATGTGCTAAACCTTGATTTTACTACCCTCGTTTACATTTATAGCTATCTGGAACTTGTATCAACCAGACTACCATAATACCTGTAGTAATAGCGATACAATAGTCTTTTTGAGTCGCCTTGTTCTTTTCTAAACAGTAACTCTTGTTAAAAATTAGGGATTACGATAGTCGTGATTGTCCTTTAACAGAATTAACCTCAAATCATGAACCTCGTGTGTTGTGGTGTCTTCTCGATGCATTTTTTTCTGATCTGATATCAAAAACAAGATTTAAACCAATTTCCCTTTAAGTTTTCTCCCAGCACAAGCAAACGCCTGGGTGATGGACTATTTTGGTGCCAACGAGACAATGGATCATTTTGTCGGCCGAAATTCCCTCAAAAAATAATCCCCGATTTCCGAGTTTTACTCCAAAATCATTTCTAGTCATTTTTTTAAAAATTTTGCATTTTCTCTATTTGGCAATATTTATTACTGTAAATAAATCTTAGCAGCAAAAATGAAAGCAAAACACAAAAGAAATCAAAAGCACCAGGCAAAGGTAAGGCTTACGATATAGCTTACGGTATTTTAAATACCGTATTGATCTATCAATTTTTCGGCCAATGCGACGTATTGCTTCTTGGCGTCCTCACTAGAAACACCTGAAATTAAAATTAATTTTTAATTTCAGTTATCTAGTTTGCCTACAAATATATTTTGGTATTAGTGCACTTGGTGGAGGGCACTTTTTTTCAAGGTTTTCACTCTTCTAGGGTAATAGCGATAGCGCTGATGTCAAAAATCGCATTTTTAAGGTGGGCTGTCAACCAAAAATTCGACATTTCACATCGTCAAAAACACTTGAAAAATGTCAATTAGGCCGTTAACGAAAGATTGATAGGCTCCACCCGCAAAGCCAGCCTAAGACTAAGGCTGAAGCAGACACTCAAGTTTCTCTTAGGCTATAGTTTAGAGCTTTTTAGCTTAGTCTTAGGCTGCGGGTGGAGCCTATCAATGTTGGCCTAACGGCCTATTTGACAGTTTCAAGTGTTTTTGACGATGCGAAATGTCGAATTTTTGGTTGACAACCCACCTTAAAAATGTAATTTTCGGCATCAGCGCTATCGATTACCCCCTGAACACAGAAAGCCTTAAAAAAAGTGAGCCCCCCAAGTGCACTAGTACCATTTTTTTGCTTGCTTACTTGTAAAGCTATTTACTCAAATTGTACTTTTAAAAAGAAGTTTTCAACTGGATAAAAATTCTGGCTTGCAAATCAAAGAAAGTCAATTGTTTCTGCTTTTTAAAATACTTCCGCTAAATTAGGTAACGCCAAAATAAAAGTGATACTCTTATTAAATAAGACTCGAACCTTTCTTCGTATCCCACGCACTCCATTTCGCCTTTCCCTTAAAGTCGAACATGCCCGGTTTTGCGGTCGAATTGTCGCCAACGGTCCCCTGTTTGTAGAGAGCGTACAACTCGAGAAGTTCATCATTTGTCGGCGACGATTTCAACGTTTTCACCTTGTCGGCGGCTTCTTCAAACTAAAAATGAATAATGTACTGTTGGTGTTTGCTTTTATAATAAAATGTCTTAAGTTTTGTTTACAACCAGTCTGACAAATCTACGTAAAAGAACTAAAAGAACTAAAAGAACCATAAACCAAAAAATTGCTCACCTGCATGATCGAATCGATAAAATGTGGGGATGATTTGTCTTTCGAACGACCCGCGAGATCCAAAAAGAAGAAATTATGAGTAGATAGACAGAAAATAACAAAATGGAGCAAAAAAAGACTGGAACAATTGAGTTTTCAAAATTCCCCACGCACAAAGTAGAGGTGCTAGCAAAAGCGCCGCGCTTCTTGCGCCAAATGCGCGCTTATGAAAATCACTTTTCTCCAACTTCTAACCAACGTTTTCTCAGTTTTCTGCTTCACAATTTTAGTTCTCACTGTTTTCAATTAGAAAACACGTTCCAATACCTATACAAACCGCAAAAACAGCCATTTTTGTGTTGAAAAGCGCAAACTTAGCGCAAATGATACGCGGAGCAAAAAAAAATTGGCGCTTTTGCTAGCACCTCACAAAGTAAGGCCCAAATTTTTTGAATGAAATTTTGCCCCGCTTGGGAAATAAATTAATTAAAACGACAAAAAATATTCAGCTTATTAATTGAATAACACGTAACCGAATAAAAAATTTTAATTATTTGGGATAAAGTTTTTTGCCTAATTTTGGGCATTTCTGTTTTCTGCGAAATCGTCTATATATTCAAGATACGTTTTTCTTTTAGTGTGGTAAATAGAAGTGAATTCTTATTATGCGCTTAGTTGGCGCTTGTTGCTGCACGTAGTCTTTGTTTTAACGCCACTTCTTGTAGATCTTTTTAGCAGTCAACACAAACTTTGAATTGAATTTAGCCATTTTCAGTTGATTTATAACTTTTAACAATTGTATAACTTTGCAAATTTTAGCGCAATGTCTTCCCCGTCGATGCCACCAACATTTTTCGGCAGCTTCAAACTGGAGCGCAGTGAGAACTTTGACGAGTATCTCGCATCAAAAGGCGTGAATTGGTTTCTCCGGAAAATGATTGGCTTCACGAGTGTCACCAAAGTGATCAACGAGGAAGGGGACGGGAAATGGATGATGGAGAATCGAAGCTCGAAAAAGAACACCGCTTATCATGGATGGAAAATGGGCGAAACGTTTGAAGCGGAGGGATTAGACGGGAAACAACATCAAATCACTTTCGATTACAATGATGATACGCTTTTTGAGAAACACATAAGAATGGATGATCCGAACGATAAAGGAGAGACGTATCGATACAATGTTGATGGGGATTATCTCGTGTTGACCATGCAAAATCAAGCAATTACGTGTAAACGATGGTTTAAGCGAGAACAGGAGCCAAACAAAGCAGCTAATTAAAAAGAAACATTAAACTAACTTATTTATATCAAATAATCCTTCTTTGGTCACTTTTAAAGCTTTCCCGGGTGATTTCTTTCACTTTGTGCCTTATTTCAGCGGCCTTTTAACTTATTTATTTGCTAAACTTTGTTTGTTTGTTGTTTTATTTACTTACATTGTTTTATTTATCTTATTTTTAATGCTAAAAATTTAAGGATGGCTGAAACGGGTCTTCGGCAAGAAATGCCGCCCCAGGGTGGCTATCAAAAGTTCAACTTTCATCGAACTTTCCCCAAACTTGTGTGGAGACGTAAGAGTTTTTAAATGTTATTAATCTATATCTTTTTTAGCTTACCTCGCTATCAGCGTTGGGACGGCCATAACCCTTGTCGGATCGTATTATGCTTTGTGGCGGAAGAAGTGGTACATGTAAGTTTTACAATTTTTAAAGCATTAAAATAGTTTCCAAGTATCGGGGTGATAAATTACTTTCGAGTATTGGCGTATCGGGGGCTTGTTTTTTAAAAGTTTGATGTCAGCTTTTTCTATCATAGCTTTAAGCTAGTTTAGGGTGTTTTCTACCAGTTTAGGATGTTTTCGTTCCAACGCTGATGTTTTGTTTTCTAACAAAGAAGAATAGGATAAAACTAAAACTAAATCTAAAACATAATTGCCACGCTAGATACTGGAAGATGCCGATTTAAACTCGTCTTTAAAGTCTTTAAATAAGTCTTTATAAAAATTCTTTTTTAGCACCGAGAAGTTTGAAGATGTCGAATTGAACACGGCAATGCAACCATTTTTGACAGCTGAGCGAGATCGATAGTAAGCGGCAAAGTTCCTGATTCTTGCTAATGCGAAATTTTAGCTGGTTGAAGTTGCTGGCGAAAAATCGAGACCTCGAGGCGGAGATTATGAAGGATGTGCCCGGATGGAAGGTATTTTTGGTGTACTATTTAGTGAGATGCTCATTCTATGCATACTAGAGTGTTGCGGCTTGTTCAAAACGGCTATTACAAAAATGAGCATCTATTTAATCTAAAGCTAAAACAAGCCAATTTTTAGGTTGGTACATGGTACGGAGAGCCAGTCTATTTCACAATTGGCGAGAAATGGTGGGATCCCACCCCAATTGAGGTAAATATTTTGAAAATAATGAAATGGCAGAACTGACAAATAGTTGTTGACAGTTAAGGGCACTTGTTGGCAAATCCGTACCTAATAGCTTACAAAATCATTTTTTTGCATTACAGGTCTTTGCCCATTCTCATCCAAAAGCCTACGAATGGGAGGCAATGTGGCGTCATCACCCCGAATACTCGGCTCCTCATTTCTGGGACAATCTTTTGCCCGAATCCATTCGTAAGCATTTATGGTAAACGACGCTCGTGCCTAATCGTAAACCTTTCTAGCGATTTTTCTATGAAAAGAACGATTAAACGTTTTTATTTGTTTTTAGTATTAGAAGTTTAAGTTTAGTTGTGTAAATATGTATTGATATAAGCGGATGAATAAAAATTTATAAAATATGCTAAATATTGCAAATATTATGTGTTCTCCGTGTTTTCAGATGGTTGCTTGAGGCTCATTGAATAGCCGCCCGTCTCATTTGGCGTAAACTAAATTTAATTTAGGAAAATTTTCGAACTTAAATTCTAGACCAAAATTTTTACCTACCTGAAAGGAGTTCGTCGACAATCCGAATGGTCGTAAACAGAAATCGCCAAATCCCTACAAAACCCACAGTTTTGTTTAGAGCGATTAATAAATAACTCACTTTCAACTTATCCATCATTTCTTGTTTCAACTTCTCATTTTGTTCATCGACCAGCTTCTTCAACTAAACAAAATGTGATGAAAAAAAAATGATACGAAGCCCACTTCCGTAATTTTCTGCCTATATTGTGTTCGATCTGGAAACGTTTTGGAGAGACTCTCATAGTCCTGAAGGGCAAGATTCAATTTGTCATCAATTTTTGAATATGCAAAGGCACGTCTTTCTAAAAACTATTTAAATCTTTGCTTACAAATTGCCAAAAGCAAACCTAAAGCTTTTTCATTTTTCACTCCTTCTTTAATAGACATCGTCGCGGTGTGAACAGCCGGTTCCCATTGTTCCATTTTGATAAAAGCCGCAGACATATTGGAAAGAAGAGTAGCTCGGAGGGTAGAAATTTCTTCGGGAACGGTTGATGTGCTGAAATTATTAACTTAGAAAGTGAATTGGGAATTTTAGATTTTTAGCGGATCAAAGAATCACCTTGATTCTGGCTCCGTTTCCGTTTTCTCGTCGCTTTCATCGGTCGACTCGTTTGTTCGATCAGCATATTTCTCTTTCAAATAATCCAACCCTAAAATACTACAAGTATATCCACGTTTATAAACTGTAATTTTTTATCAACTTTCGTTAAATACAAAATAATCGTTACCTTTTTGATATTCCTCTTTTGCCATTGCCCATTCGCCTTGTCCAAAATGGGTATTCCCTTGATTTTTAAACACTTCGGCTTTCTTAATAAATTTAATAAAGGAATTTGCAAGTTAAAGCTTTACCTGAATAGCGTCTTTTACTTGATCCGTGTTCTCGTCATCAAAAATTTCTTCTATAATAGCCATATGCTCTGAAATTTTCATAAAAACGTAACATTCGTGATGGAAATTTTAATGTATGCAATAAGCTCAACTATTCTTACAATCAATCACTTTCTGAAAAACTTTTATTCATTCACGAACAAGATCACACAAAATAAAAATAATTTCAACAAATAACGCAAAGCTCAAAATGACATATATAAAACTAAAGCCTAATAATCTAAAAAAATTAATAGATAAAGAACTAGCAAAAACCTAAAACAACACGAACACTACTTGAACACAGTTACCCGAAGTAAGAGAACCTCAAAATGAAGAAAAACGCTTAAACAAACAGATGTTTGAAGATTTCATCGTAGTGTTCCACAAAGCACACTTCAATGTCTTTCTGAATGTAGTCGGGCAAATCGGCAAAGTCGCGTTTATTCTCGGCGGGAAGGAAAACGCGTGTGGCACCGACTCGGCGAGCCTGAAATAACATCGATTAAGGGAATACGAACAAATTCTAATCGAGCACAGATGATTATTGCTACATTCTCAGTTAATTATTATCAATTAAAGACCGACCGCAATGATCTTTTCACGAATTCCTCCAACTGGCAGCACTTTTCCTGTCAATGATATTTCTCCAGTCATCGCCATTTTCTGGACCACCGGTTTGTTGAAAGCCAACGAAAGCAGGGAAGAGACAAGGGTCACACCAGCTGATGGACCATCTTTTGGAGTTGCACCCTAAATCATTGATGAATGGAAAATGTAAAGAACCATTGCACTTTAGTACCGATATTATTCTTCAAAAGAGATTACAAACATATATTGTATATATTTGAACCAATATCAATAGATAAAAACTAAAAAAAAACATACCTCTGGAACATGAATATGAATGTGCGCCTTCTCAAAGAAATTCGACTCCGGTTTCTCGTGAGACAAAATTCTCCTCGCAACTGTGAACGCCGCTTTAATACTCTCCTTCATCACGTCGCCCAAATTACCCGTTGTTTCAAGTGAACCATCCTAAAAATGAAGTTAACTAAAAAAATTTAAGCTCTACCTTGTCACTCTTTTCATCAACCGATCTCTTCAAAACGGTTTCAATATAAAGAGCCGATCCACCCATCGCCGTCCATGCCAAACCCATCACAACCTAAAAGTTTCTTGTTTTAAAAGCCTAAACATGTATACCGTAAATGCTGTATTAGAGCGCCCGGACGTTCTATTTGAGGAGGGGGGAGGGGCGTTTTATTTTTCATAGTTCCTAGTCTGCTTGAACCATAGCGGATCCCAAGATACTTCTGTCTTATAAGTGATTTTTTTGGGGGTTTCAACTATGCTGAATCGATTTCACAGTTTTGCACCAGTTTAACAAATTCTGTATAGTGAATTGACCGGTGACGAAACAAAACTATAGTGTGGAGTTGGCGGAGTCCACGTAAGTCTAAAGTTCGCGCATTATTGTGGCTTTCGGTGAGACTTTAGATACCCTACCCCAGCCATACGAGCCTCAACACATCACTTGACTGAATTTCTTGTGGTATTTTCGGGCTCAATCCTCCCAACAGCTCGGTGATTTAAGCTTGGAGGGCGCGCTCGAATGCAACATTTCCAGTACTTACCCCCGGCGGTGTCACTTCATACAGACGATCCGAAATGTATTTGGGTCTTCCAACAAATTCCTCAAGGTTGTTCTCATTTACTTCAATCTAAAATTTGATTGTTGCAATTTAATTAAAAGTTTCCAGTCACTCACCAATCCAATGGGATCTTCTTTGCTGCTCGCAATTTTAAGAGCGGCTTTTCTGAAGATCTAAACAACAAATAACTCTTGAACGTTGACAGTGATCACTTTTTCAATTTGCTTCTGCAGATTTCGAACTCCACTCTCGCGGCAGTAGGATTTAATAAGAGTTTCAAGCGACTTATCAACGATTGTCAACTGATCAGCGTTTAATGAACTAAAATTTTGTTTTGCTTGTTAAAGGTAGAAACAAACGTTGTTTCACGTGCTTGTGGAATCAAATGGTTTTGTGCGATGGCCAATTTCTCTTCAGCCAAGTAGCCACTGACCTAAAGCGAGAAACTTGAATGCATTACAAAAAAATTTACGTCTAGGAGCTCCATTCGGTCCTTAAGCGGTCCGGGCACTCGATCCACCTCGTTCGCTGTACAAATGAAAAGCACTCTAGAAAAAGAAAATATGGTATTTTATTTTTAAAAATAGGATAAATTTACCTGCTCAAATCCACCGGCACATCAAGGAAATGATCGTTGAAGTTCGCATTTTGCTCCGGGTCGAGTAATTCTAGGAGGGCCGACGCAGGATCGCCGTGATACCCAGCACCACCAATTTTATCGACCTCATCAATCAAAACAAGAGGATTCTCTGTTGCGACCTAAAATGTTGGTTAGATAAGCTTTTGCTTTTTTAAAGTGAGCATACCTTTTTGAGACATTGGATCATTTTTCCAGGCATTGAGCCAACATAGGTTCGGCGATGGCCTTTGATCTCGGCCACATCCGTCATTCCACCGACCGAGAAACGGAAGTACTAAAGTTTATGTGTATAGTTAGAAAGCTTTTTTGCATTAAAATCACTTAGATATTTTTAAATGTTAAGATAAAATATTGATAAGAGGGAAGAGCTTACTTGGCGGCCCAAAGCCTCGGCAATTGAGCGAGCGATAGATGTTTTTCCAACGCCAGGTGGTCCATGCAAACAAAGAATCTTGCCTCCAACCTTTTTCCTGAAAATAAATTTTTCTTTTTTTTTTTTTTTAAATTACAGGGTTTTAAAATTACAGCCAATATTTTAAAATTTAAAATAGTCTGAAGTAAAACATACTTCAGAATATTAACAGCAATAAACTCGAGAATCCGTTCTTTCACATCTTTCATTCCGTAATGTCGCTTGTCAAGGATCTGAATATTAATTTGAAATCAAAGTTTACTGAATGCTTACCTCCTTTGCCACTCCCAAATCACAATTTTCGTCGCTCTGCAATCCCCATGGAACACAAGACAACCAGTCCAAGTAGTTTCTAAACTTTCTTTAATCAGCAATTTAGACTTTAAATTTACCTAGTAACAGAAAACTCTGAAGAATGTGGCTCCAAAAATTGTAGCTTATTCTTTTCCTCTTCAATCACTTTCAACGCATAATCTGGTACCTGAAAAGCTTTGACTCATTGAATCGTCAGCATATTACCTTCAACTTCTTGATGCGCTGATCAATTTTCTCCAAAATTGTCGATTTGTCATCCTTTTCCATTCCAAGTTCCTTTTTAATGATTTTCAACTAAATTATGGTTTTACTTTTATACAGAAAATATATCTGTCGTAGCCGATTAAGATTGTACCTGTTCTTGTAGAAGATATTTTCTATGTTGATCCTGTACTCGTTTTTCCACATCTTTCGTAATATTGAATTTTAGTTGAGCTACCGTCTTTTCTTTTTGCGCCAAAACAAGAGCACTTGCCAGTCGTTTCGCAACCTAGAAACGTTTGTTTTTTAACTCAGAGAAATTTCTTACCAAAGTTTCTTGCATTATTTGTTGAACTTCTTCAGTATCTGATGATTGAACAAGAGTGGCAACCTAAAAAGATCAAATTCTTTGAGAAAAAAGCTGAAAATTACCAAATCACAGAGATATATCGGATTTTCTGAGACATTTTGCGAAGGGTGGAGAAGAAGGTGAATTTGTTGACCAAATAGCGGAGACAAGCCAACGATTTCGCGAATTGTTGAAACGATTGCTTGCATAGTAGCCTACAATATGTACGTCGAGGTCCATTTCTACAAAAAAAATAGCCAAAAGCTCACCTTTGTCTCGTTCGATGACGGAGCTGGTTCCACTTTGAAATTCTCGGTATGTCCCATGTAAAGCATCTGTTTCTCATCCGTCACTTTTGTATCTTCATTTTCTTTTCCGTTCGCAACCGTAGTGATGGGGTTCACGGTGGTCGAAGGCACTCTAGCAGTGACTGTCTAAAAGATAAGGATTGTAAACACTAGATAGGATTTAAAAGATCAAATTTACACGCGTACCCGTACCTTAGATCGTTTCTGTCGTCTTTCATTTACACCCGACTTTTCTCGGTCGAAATCGAGATTGTCTATAGAGTTAAGTAGACGTATTCTTCGTTGAGCAGAGAGCACAAGTTCGAGGCAATTTCTAAATTCAAGAATAGATTTTTATGCTTACCCTTGATACACAAGTAGGAGTAAAATACCTACCCTTGATCGCGCATTTCCAGGATATGCGCAAAAGTTCCAACGTTGTAAATATCTCCGAGAGAATTGACGACTTCTCGGCGATCCCTATTAAAAATTGTATTCAGATTCAACAAATGCCTTACTCATTGTCTTTCTTCACAAAAACTCCAACGTACGGTTGTCGTAATTCCACCCTTTTTCGTATCAGCTTTTTCAGCTTTTCATCACTGACAATCTAAACACTTTAAATAGAAACCATTTTAGTCAAAAACCAACATCAACTTTCTTTATGAACCCGGGAAAAAGCGGATAACGGTTGATGGCAATAATTGGAACATCGGGAAATAGTTCTGGTATGTTCATTCGGGCCATGTCACCCTAAAATAGTTCTTCATGTTAAAAAGCTAATAATACAAACGAAGTCTGATTGAACGAGTGCTGTCTCGATTTCTTCGGCTGGTTCCATTGGTTTGGCTCCATCTCCTTCACCGCCGTTATTTTCGTTTGGACTAAAAAACTTCAAATAAAACTTTCGCACTTCGCAAGGGCTTTCAATACTTATTATTTATTGTAAAACGCAAACTCACTTGCTGGAATATTGACGATAACTGTGTAGAGTCCCGGATTGATGTTGCAGAGCGAGACCGGAAACGGAGGGAAAAGGCACATCGATACGCCTACACAAATGTCTGAATCGAGCCAATCCGATGAGTCGCGTCAATCGTCGTGATGAATTCAACATTGTACTGAAATATTGTCTTTACGAAAAGCTTGTCATTTACAACTTGTTAGTCTTTCTTTCAGTACCTTTTAGGATAATCCTTGTCGAGTCAAGCCTTTTCCCAATAAAATTTATTTACCACACCATACATATATAAACAGATGACCCAAAAAACCATAAAAATCACAACGAATTGTTATAAAAAAATCGTTTAATCAATATCAAAAATAAAATAAAAAACACTTATTTTGTCTTTTTAGTTTCCTTTGTTTCTTCAGCAGTTCCATCTTTTGAATGATCGATGTTTTGTTGCCACTAAAGAAAGACTTTTATTTGTAAGTTCTATCAATTTAGGGGAATTAATTTTGGGTACTTTTTCGGTTTAGGTTCCTAAACCACATGAAAAAGAATTTTTGCAGTTCAATTTGCAAATTTTATAAATTTACTGCATGCTTAAAAAATGGGGTAACCCCTCGTACCCGAAAATTTTCCTAGTTTGGGGACCTAAGCCGAGAAGTACCTAATTTTTTACCTGTAATGGTTGTCGTCGAAAACATGGCCAAGGTGGAAGGGTGACGATTGATGCGATAACTCCACCGGCAAGAACAGCGTAAACCGCATGCGAGAGTTGTTGCGTCGAATATCCAATGAAAAAGCCAATAATACCCGAGATCACGAGAATAACCTAAAAAGAAAAAGTTGGTAAAGACGAAGAGTGTAAATACAATTTCTTTTTTTAATCATTAGTGTAAATGATTAGTAAAATGGTGTAGCAATCAAGCTTTTAAGAAAAAATCTGCCTACTTTATCACCAATCATTTTTTGCTATTTTAATGAGCTATCTATTAACATTATGTTGTACATAAACATAAATTTTATGTTTAAAAGATTACATTTCTAGCCGGGAGACTAATTTCAAACAAAAATCCCAACCTGGAAAGCCCTTTCAGCCGATTTTTGTCCAGAAAAATCGTGATGAGTGCTGAATTGTCGCAAGAACGGTGGCAGCATTTGGATGAGGCCCTCCATCTAAAAAAGAAAACTTGATAAAACGAAACAAAGAAGCAAAGATAAAGTAAAAGCAACAACACGGCAACAAAGAAGAAAAATTAATGGGCTTTTATAGCTTTTATATAGGGCTTTTATAGAGCTTTTCCCTAGAAATTGGTTCTGTATATAAAGATGTTGAGTTAACCGATTGAATATCTTTAAAGAACATTTAAGGCTATAAATTTATGATTTGTGGTTGCTATTGTTATTGTGAAGCCCTTGATGTCAGACTTTTGTGAATGGAATAAACAGTCAGCACTCCACACCTCACCTATTGACATTCACCTAGGCGGCTGTTGAAAATCTATTTTTCATCCAAAACTAGAATTTTAATAATAAGACTTAAAACCGCGAATTGTAGCCTTAAAAAAGGGGTTCAAGTTGAAAATAATGTAGCAAGGGTGAGCAATATCCAACTTTTACTTCCTTGCCGTATTCGCTATTCTCCTTTTTTTCTGTTTGATGAGGGTTTGATGAGATTATTTTGCATTTTTTTCAGCTCGGATGGACAATTTTGATGGGGGCAAGCCGCGAAATAAATTTGATGACGATGACCTGACAGCACAAGCCGTCGAAAAGTTGGTTTTTTAACAAATTATATAGAAGTTAACACTTCATGGAAGCAGCTTTTTAACTTTGAACTCATTTTTTGGAGTAGATAGATGAAAAAAAATAGTCAAGTTGTCTCTCTCAACAAGCCTAGAAATTTGTTTTAAAATTTATTAAATAATAGACATGGGCATCGAATCGGCGATTCGATTCGAGCAAATCGAATCGATTTTTTGTAATTCAAAATAATTATAGCATACAAATTCAAAAAAAGCTTAGAAAAAACACTTATTTCTAAGCAATAAAAACAAATACATCTCTTAACAATCCTATTGATGATAGTTATTCATCAAACAAGATGAATAACTATCATCAATAGCGATTTGACTTTTTCAAATTCTCGAATCGAATCGAATTGATTCAAGTTTTAAAGTCGAATCGAATAGAATCGGCGATTCGATTCGAAGCCCATGTCTAATAAACAAGGTTTTAGTGATGTCAACTATGGAGAACGATTGGAGAGAATCAAAGCAAACGAGGTTATCGATCAGCGATTGGGCATCGAGAGATACACGGAAGCCACTGAGAAACTCGGATTCATGATCAATATTCAACCGGTTAGCTGTTGGAAGTTTTTAAGAGTAAAAAAAATAGAGTAAAAAGAATGCATCTAGATTATGTTTTTCTTCTATTTTTAGTCGGAATACGTCGAGGAACAAACGAAAATGATCATCGCTGCTGTCGATTTTTATTTCCTAGAAGACATGAATAAAAGATACAAGGTTTGCAGATCAATTCGCATTTTTTATTAAACCATATAAATTCTTTAGATTTCCTATCCATTTCGCCCGTATTTTTTCATAGCCACCACGAATGGATTTGAGCATCAAGTTGCCGCGTTGATATGTAAAAAGTATGGCAGCTTTATACAATCGGAAATCGTCGAGAAAGAAGACTTGGATTTGGTTTGTTTTTTTCAATAAATGCCAATCAAATTAAAATCTAGAAAAATCACTTATCGGGCTTAAAGAAGAAATACATCAAGTTGAGTTTTCCATCAGTGAGAGAATTGATGAAAGTTTGTGGCTTTTTGGATTTACGAGCTAGCAAGTTTTTAGGTCAAAAGTGATTTGATGCCGGTAATTCGAAAAAATCGAGATAGAATCAAGCATTCTACGGAGTTTACAACCCTACTTGCAAAGTAAGAAAATGCTAGAGATATTTTTCTAATGAGTTTCAGACATATTGGTGGTGACAAGAGGGATGTTGTCGAAGGAGATCTACTCAACGAAATCAATGATATCCGGTAGAGTTACATTAACATTCTTATCTTAATTATTATTAGATGTGACTAATGACTAGCTTTTACTCGTAAAAGGCAGTTTTGTAATCATTTTTTATTTTTTAGAGAATACGATGTACCGTATCACATGCGAGTGGCCATTGATGAAAAGCTTTTCATTGGGAAATGGTATACGACTCGGGGATTGGGACCTCAAAGAAAGCCAACGATTGCAGCGTAAACTAAATTCTTTATACCTAATCTTATTAGTTTTCAGTTATTCCGGTGAAAAACTCCCCAAGATGCCGGTGGTTTTCGCGTTCGATATTGAGACGACAAAACTGCCCTTGAAATTTCCAGACTCTTCTTTTGATGAAATAATGATGATCTCATACATGGTTTGAGTTTTAATCCGTTCTCTTAATAATTTTCAATTTCAGATTAATGGACGTGGATATTTGATTGTCAATCGCATGATTTGCTCAGCGGATATTGAGGAATTCGAATTCACTCCAAAGGAAGAGTATAAAGGTAATAACTTTAATTTATAAAGCTCCACATTTTAACAAAATCTAGGCAAGTTCAAGATCTACAATGAAGAAGACGAGAAGGCGCTGTTGAGAAGGTTTTTCGATCACATCTTGCAAGTAGTTGATCTGAAAAATTTTGAAATTAAGCTTATTCAGGTTCGACCATCAATTATCGTGACATACAACGGAGATTCATTTGATTGGTAATTTGAGTTAGTATTTTAAAATCCATAAAATTTAGGCCGTTTGTGGAAACCCGTGCGGCTGTTCATGGCTTCAATATGGAGAAAGAGATTGGATTTGCAAAAGATTCGGCTAACGAATATAAAAGTCGAAATTGCGCTCACATGGATGCTTTCAGGTTGGTGAAAGAGAAAAGCACACTATAAAAATAACAAAATAACAAGTGTCAGAAAACTCTCGGATGTTTTTTAGATGGGTGAAACGTGATTCCTATCTACCAGTTGGTAGTCAAAATCTGAAAGCAGTATGTAAAGCCAAATTACGATACGACCCGGTTGAGCTCGACCCGGAACTCATGTGCAAAATGGCTATGGAGGATCCACAGGTTTAAATGGTTTTTTGCACATTTTCTTATTTGGCTTAGGTTCTTGCGAGTTATTCAGTTTCTGATGCTGTGGCCACGTACTACTTATACCAAAAATACGTACATCCGTTTATTTTCGCCTTGTGTACGATCATTCCGCTTGGCCCTGACGATGTAAGTTGTATACGTTTTGAAAGCATCATGTCTTAATCTATTATCTACTAAAAATTCAAGGTATTGCGAAAAGGCTCTGGAACTTTGTGTGAAGCTCTATTGATGGTTGAAGCCTTCCATGGAAATATCATTTTCCCAAACAAGTTCACGGGTCAGTAGGGAGTTCCAGAGTTGTTTATTTGATTTTTTTTTTCAGGTTCGGACGAAATGCCAATTTCTCATGATGGAAAACGAATCGAGTCCGAGACTTATGTTGGTGGTCATGTGGAAGCGCTTGAAGCAGGGGTTTTTCGAGCCGACATCCCGGTCCGCTTTCGAATGAACCCCGAAATGTTGGGAGAATTGAAAAATGAGGTATGTTTGAATAAAAATAACCTGATTAAATTTATTTCAGTCTGGTGATACATTGGCCAAAGAAATCAAGAGGGAATTCGGAATTGAAAGGAGTCAACTAACAAATTTTGATGAAGTGATCGCTGAGGTGCACGGAATGTTTGATCAACTTTTGGAACATCCTTCAAGGTAGATATTTTTTTTGACTAATTGAAAGTTTTACTATAGAAGTGAGAATCCACGAATTTACCATCTCGATGTTGGCGCGATGTATCCGAATATCATCTTGACAAATCGATTGCAGGTATGATTGTTAAAGAAACAGTTGAAAGCCCAAAGAAATATTCGTCTTTTACATCACAATACACATGCGATTTCCAATTTAGCCGTGTGCAATGGTTGACGAGGAGACTTGCATGGCGTGTGTCTACAACACATCGAGTTCCGAATGTAAACGAACAATGCCTTGGATGTGGAGAGGAGAAATTAGTAAGTATTATAGCCTATTTTATCCAATAAACGCGTCTTACTATCACATTTTATTATTTATTTCATTTGATGGAAAATAGTGGTCAAAAAAAATATTTTTTGTCAGTACAATTTATTCTCTTTTAGTTCCCGCCACCCGTGGTGAATATCAACAAATTCTTCAACAACTCGAAGGCGAAACTTTTGGAAAACCACCGAAACCATTCCATCAACTTGACAAAAAGACAAGACAGGAAATCGAAAAGAAACGAGTACAAGGTGTGTTTCATTTTAAACATAAAAACTGTGATTTGTAGGGTACAGTAAGAAAGTTTACGGGCGGAATCACGAGACTCGGCTGGAAAAACGCGAAACTTCGATTTGTCAACGAGAAAATCCATTTTATGTGAATACAGTGTTGGCTTTCCGTGATCGGAGGTAACATTTGTATGTATCTATTAATCCCAGAGTTTTTTTAGATACGAATACAAAGAGTTGCTGAAGAAGGCAAAAACGCAACAGGATGAAGCCGAAAAGAATCACGACACAAATGGGGTGAATTTTGAAGATTTGTGGAAAAAGTTTTGTAAAATCAAATTTAGATCAAAACCGGCAAAGCGCTTTGCGTACTCTACGAGTCGCTGCAACTTGCTCACAAATGCATTTTGAATTCATTTTACGGCTATGTGATGCGAAAAGGTTCACGATGGTTTGTTTAAATTACTATGAATACAGTACAGTTAATATATTTAGGTTCTCAATGGAGATGGCTGGTATTGTGTGTCACACTGGCGCCAATATTATCACTGAAGCGAGGAAATTGGTTGAGAAAATTGGAAAACCCCTCGAATTGGACACTGATGGTAGTAAATTATAATTAACTTCGATTATTTTCTTGCAGGAATTTGGTGCTTGCTTCCGTTCAGTTTTCCGGAAAACTTCACTTTTAAGGTGACAGGCTGGAAAAAAGATAAGGTGAGTTTGACTTAAACCTTTTTAAAATTCGGTTTATTTAGATCTCCATTTCCTATCCTGCTGCCATGTTGAATGCACTCGTTCATCAGAAATTCACAAACGATCAATATCATCGGCTTCAAGATAATGGAACTTATGCCATTTCTTCAGAGAACACGATTTATTTTGAGGTTTGTTCTTGTTCATTTTTGTAATTGAAAAGTTTAGGTGGATGGCCCATATCGTTGTATGCTTCTTCCGGCTAGCAAAGAAGAGGGAAAGAAATTGAAGAAAAGGTTCGTTTACTAAGGAAATTTTGCGAATTGACCCATTTTTATCAAGCTCAACCCTTATTTTTAGGTACGCTGTGTTCAACTTTGATGGGTCGATGGCTGAGCTGAAAGGATTTGAATTGAAACGTCGAGGAGAGCTCAACATTATCAAGTCATTTCAGGTGCACTGTTCACAGAACTCCAATATTTACCGAACTTTTAGGATGGAGTTTTTCGATCTTTTCTCAATGGAAAGGATCTTGAATCGGTTTGTAAAAAGTGCAAATTTCTACTGACCATAAAATTTAGTGTTACAAGAGTGTGGCTCGAGATGCGGACAAATGGCTGAATATTCTTTTTTCTGAAGGTACATTTTATTATTGAAATTCTTGAACAGCATCTTATTTTTATCAAGCATAAAAATCTCTTTAGGTGTTGATAACACTGACCAAGAGCTCTTCGATTTGATTGCCGAGAATCGTTCAATGAGTCGTAAGTATATCATGGCAATTCAATCAATAATTTGTTCTTAAAGGCAAGCTGGAGGACTATGGAGAACAAAAATCGACCTCAATCTCAACGGCGAAACGATTGGCAGAGTTTCTGGGAAATGACATGGTTAAGGTAAAGTTTTTGCAGTAAATCTTTCACTGTCATTTAAATTTTTAGGATGCCGGCTTGGCCTGTCAGTTTATCATCTCGAAATTTCCGATTGGAGCACCTGTGACCGAACGAGCAATTCCTTTAGCTATTTTCCAGGTTTGACTTTTTACGAAGTGGAAAGCTATACTCTACTTTAGGCAGCTTCGTCTGCTCGTGGTACATTCCTACGAAAGTGGACGAAAAATCAGGATATGACTGGAGAAACTGATCTGCGACTGGTATACTCTTTATTTAACTTTTCAATGCAATTTAAACTTTAGCTACTTGATTGGCCCTATTATATTGAACGATTTGGAAGTTGTGTTCAAAAGATTATCACCATTCCGGCGGCACTTCAGGTTAATTTAGGGAAAAAGCTGGATAGCTTATGAAAAGTTTAGGGAGTTGAAAATCCGGTACCTCGAATTTCACACCCAGATTGGCTACGAAATAAGATCAAAAGCAAGGTTGTATTCATACAATTGTTTATGGACTTTTGGTTTTTTAGGTTGACGAGACTCTACAGTGTAAACTTGGTGATTTTGGCTTCACGTTGTCAAAAAGAAAAGGTTAGTTTCTTGAGCTTTTTAAAAAAACTAAGGAGTTTAGCCACTGAGATCAATGCAAATGGGAAACGCCTTTCAACTCAGCCGAATGTGGAAGATCTCACGTTGGATTTATGCAAGTTGACAGGAACACAAGAAGAGAATAAAGAGAATCATCCAGCTGTGAAGAAATCGAAACCCGAAGCTGGTAAGGAGTTTTTAAGATTAAAAGCTCGAACTTTTTTACAATGACATTTTGAAAAGTTCGAATGATAACTTGTATCTCTTTAATTTTCAGATACGAATGGAGAACTCAAAAAGAAAACTCAGGCTAGAGATGGTTTTGATGCTTGGTTGGGCTTCTTAAAAAGAAAATGGAAACAAGGTATTTAAATTGGCGCCTAACACTTTAAAGTTAATGTTTAGGACGAAAGGACCGAAAGCAGACGCAACAAAAGTCAACAGCAGTCGAGCAAATGCTTGTGCTTTCGAAGCAACGGATGCATAATAGATTTTGGCAGGTTAGGTTTTTTTGTTTAGTTAGCAAGTTATTACAACTATCAACTGTAAATAGATTGAAAATATCAATCTTAACGTTGATATTTCATTTTTGATTTTCAATCAATGTTTCAGGTCCTTGCTGTGGAAGAAACACGAGAGCCTGATGTTTTCAATGTCTGGGTTTCAATTGATGGACAAATGAGCAAGGTTTGGGTATTTGGATATCTTTGAAAATTTTAAGTTTTAGCATGGTGTTCGTGTTGAGCGGTCTTTCTATGTGAATCAACGAGATAAACGGGAGAAAGGGGAAACATCGAAAAAAGTGCTGCCACATCGAAAAGAATCGCTGTATTTATATGAACATCGGATCGAAGAGGCTAGGTAAATTTGATAATCTAGACTTTTTGGTGTAAATATGTCAATATATCACAACGATCCATTTTATACATGCTAAGTGTATCATTTCAGATTTGAAGAGCTTTTGACGTCAATCAACTCGGAGCTTTGTACAACAGCGGTGGAAGGAGTCTACGAATCTCAGGTGTGAAACCAAAGTTTTTTTTACTAAATTGAGTTTTATTTCAGACCCCACTTCTCTTCCGACTCTTGATTGAGATGGGTTGTATGTGTCGAGTGAATGGACCGGCCGTGCATACAATTTGGCCACTCACCTCGCTCAAAATGGTACCCCTATCCGAAGCTGAATATCTACCACAAGGCTCAATTCGATCGATCTTTCTCTACAAATATTCACAGGTCAATTTTGATTTGGAAATGATGAAATATTTAACTATTTCAGGATTCTCGTGCAATCTGGGTGATCTTTGATGCGTCGACCTCCGAGGCTCACTTTGTGATGGCCAATAAAGGAGATATGCAGATACCCAATTTGGAGAAAGTTTACAGAGAACTACACCAAGCAAGGTAAAGTTGTAATTTTTTTTGTCTTAAACACCATTATTTAGTTGCGAAGAATTTGGCATTCGTACGATGAAAGGAATTCGCGAACAATTGACTTTCCATATCAAGAAAGTGGCCTCATTGAGAGAAGCTGAACGAGAAATTGGAAAGGTAAAATTGGCCAAGAATAAGTACAAAATAAAATATGAATTTTAGATTGTGAAGACGATGAAGAGTGCGACGGCTCGACCCACAATTCTTGTCACACAAGCAAATGAAAGCCGCGAATCTTTGATTCGGAATGTCCCCAATCTTGGTCTTTTCCCACACGTACCGGTTGGTTACAAAATCAGAATATGTATATTCATTGGCCTAATATATCCTTTAGATTCACCAAAAAGCCGAACCCTCATCGCTTTTCTCGAGCATCGACTGGCAACGAGTGACGGCGAAACGAGCAATTCAACACTATTTCTACAGTTTCATCTATCTAGAAGTTCGAGGAGATTCTTTTAAAGTATATAAACTAAACTTTTAGGACTACGTTGAATGGGCACGGTACATGCATATCCCTTTGGGGAACATTCCTCCAGATACGGCTCAATTTGCGATCGACCTCTTCTTTGCTCGACACCTCACAAGATCTGGACACATTCTGTGGGCCTCTCCTAGTAGCCGGTGGGTAGTCAAATAGTATTTGCTCTACTTTGCGATATGTTCAATTTAGACCCGATCTCGGTGGAAAGGAGCTCGATGATACCCGATTGGTGGTCGATTGGCAGCCGCTAAATGAAGATCAAGCAATCCTTTCCAAACCGGCATTTTGTAAGTGTTTTTCCCTTGCTTCGAAAGCAGAGTCAATTTCTAGGTGGCAATGTTTGTCTCGAACTCGAGTTGGGCGCCGTGGCGGTGACAGCGGTTGTTCATCGAAGTCGTCTCTTTGAGGCAGAAGGAGCTGGTGGGATAGCGTTGAGTGCAAAAACTCAATGGTAACCAAATAGATTTTTTATTTCAAAAATTTAGATGACACGGTAGCTTTTGATTCGACGGCGGCTCTTCCTTCCGATGCTTTGGCTGGTGTACAAAGTGCTATTTCCGCTTACGATGAGGGTGCTGCTGTTGACGGAGCTTTTCGAATTTTGAAGTAAGCACGTCCTTACAGTAGAATTCCCATCGTTACATTCAGAATGATGCTACAAGAGTGTATCCGAGATATTGCCTTGCATTCGAACAAACGCGCCGATCAAGTTGTGTTGGCATTGCACAGGTAAGTCTTCAAAGAAGTGGTTAATAATTTTATGTTTTAGATGGCTTCTTTTACCTTCTTCATATCTCTTTGACCCGGCCATTGCTAGATCAGTTTCGATTCTCGAGAAGTAAATATTATAACTATTTTCAATCTAAATCACATTTTAGAAAACTGTGTCTTCTTTTGGCGACAGAAATTGAAAGACTCGGTGGTATGGTTGTTCATGCGAGTCCTTCAAAGATTGTCTTTTGCACTGGTAAGCTTTAATGGTTACTTTGAAAGTATCATTTTTTTTATCCCATGTGATTTTGTGTTTCAGGAAAGCCCAACTTGGATGCGGCTCGTTGCTTTACCGAACTTCTCATCAAAACCCTCCAAAAGAACCCACTTTTTGGATCGATCCATATGCGAGTGGCAAACGAATGGACATCACTTTTGTGGAAAGACCATTTCAATTATGCTGGTGTGTGATTTTTTTACTATAATTGAGATTTTAAACAATAAAAAACCATCAATATACTTTTCAGGCTTGTTTATGGATGAGACACCAAAAGAAGTTGAAGGAATGGAAGAAGAGACTCCGCCACAAAACAATCTCATTCCAAATGTAAACACTTTCTGTTTTTGTACGTGTTTCATAGCCCTTTTTAGTCACAATGGCGTTTATGCAATCAACTGCCGGAAATTGGAAATATTCAAGAGGAATTCCAAAAGATCATCATTGGATATTTGATTCTTTGGTCGAAAGCTATTACCGCAGAGGTTTATTATTTTCGTGTCAACATTCCATCTTTCCTTTTAGGGGAACGATCTCACAAACGATGCCAAAGTTGAGATACGATCAAAGTTGCTGATGGATGAGGTTAGCATAGTGAAGTTTTGAAAGGAGTATTGGCTTTAGGTTCTTCCGAGGATGTTCCGTGTCGTGTCAAAGTTGTGCACTGAACATGGGGATGCGGGAAAAGAGGCTTCGAATTTCTTGAGTAAGTTTTATTATCAAAAATTTCTCGAATATTAGGTAAATAAGCTCTCTTCATGATATTTTTGATTCAGTTACAAGCGTTTGCACGGCTCTCGGCTGTGATAGCGATTGCGACGAGGCGATCGATTCGATGAGTTCTCAATTGAAGAGGCTGCTCGACGCACCTTTGGTTGAGCTCAAAGTTCACAGTCTGTGAGTGATCATAACCGTTTTAGTACTGTAATTTTGTAAAGTTCTACAGACAAGAAAATATCAAGAAACCATCAAGAAACAAACTTTTTAGTTACATTCGTTCGCTCTTTTGCACCCATTGCAATGTGAGTGTGGATGTGGATTTGTGCGAGGAGAGTGCGTGGACTTGTTCCAGTTGTGAAAAGGTTTGAAATCTTTACTCAAAATTTTGTTGCAAACTGTTTTCAATACATTTTTTTGTGTTTAGAGGCACGATCTTGATGCAATCGATGGCCTTATTGCTGAACGCTTGAACTCTCTGCTGACCGCTTATTTGGTACAGGATCACGTGTGTATGAAATGCAAATCGGTGAGTGAATTTTTTTAAGAAGCAACGCTAATATATTTTGTCTAGGTGCGGCGAGATATCTTGTCGGAATATTGTGAGTGCACGGGAACATACGCGAATTGCTTGCAACGGGACGAGCTCATTGGGAACGCGGAGGTGGGGAGAATTTTTTTTTTTGGTAAAACTATGAAAGTTTCTCAAAGCCCAAATTTTGCTCAGGCCTTTGAGATACCGTACGATGTGGCATAGTTGGAAAGGCTAAAACCTTACGATATCCTACATACATATTTGTTTCTTTCAGATAACTCTACTGATTGGTGACTCTCATGCGATCCCCCAAACGCAAGCAATCGCTCAATGGATTGTTGCAACGGTCTAAATAATATTACTTCTTTTTTATTGTTTATTAGGCATTAGATAATTTTACTATTCAATGAGCTTTTTTGACTGATTTATAGTCTAATGATTCGGTTCTTATTTTGCTCACGTTTGTGCTTTACTTTGTTTTATTTGCAAATATCCGGTTAAAATGCGTAATTTTCCTTTGTGGTGTTTTTGATGATAGACGAATGAAAATAAGTTTTGTTAAAATAAGTGATTTCTTGGGGCTAACAATAACCCATTTGCTGGCACATTGAAGCCGGTTGAGCATCGGGATTTTGACCAATTTGAGTGAGCATTGCATCGAAATTTTGTCCGTAGACGACACGGCAGGCCTGGAAATGGCTTCTAACATTTTGACACAGAGTTACTTTAACTCGTCAGAACCATTGAAACCTTAGACGCAACTCTTACAGTAACCTGTCAGGCTCCACATTTTTAGATTTCAACTCACGTCTCTCATATCCTCTTGCGGCACACTGTCACAATTATCGGCAAGTTGCCGCGACATTGTTGCCTGCAATATTTGTGTATCAGCACCGATGTGAATGATCAAAAATATGCTGTGATTGTCATTTCACTCACTCTCAACGCATCATTGCTCACCAACGCTTTCCCTATTGTGACTAAACCGCTTTTGCAGAACTCGCACGTGATCGTTTCCTGGAAGAAAATTTGAAATTTGTATTTCAGAATAAACGAGTGCATTTTGGAATTCAAATTTCTTTTCTGTCTTGGAAATATGAAGCAAGAGACCTTTTCTGAAAAGCCGACAATTGCGATTTAATAAAATTGGGTAAATAAGCCATCATTTTACTCACTTGAGACATGACCACGATGGCCAAAATGGCCAAAAACAACAATTTCAGCATTGTGACTGATAGAAATTCGAAAAGTTAGTAAAAACGGAGAACCCTCGTTTCTTGCTTGCACGCAATCGATAATGCAATCACCGATTCGTTATCTCGAATTTTCGCAAAAATCCCCTTTCCCCCTATTTTTCGCAAATTTTCCTTATTTGAAAGACTTTCCGTAGTTAAATTTTTAAAAACTCAACCTTTTATTAAGCAAAACTCTAAAGAAAGAACAAACTAAGGATCTCCAAAACAATGCAAAACCTAAACTTCTAATGAAAATTTCTAGACGTTTATGAACAAGGCACAACAAAACGAGGCAAATATATGTACTATACGCACCACAATCGCACAAAACTAAAACTCAACGCATGGATCAACGAACTTTGTCTATGGGATATGCCGATTTCCACCCGAAATTCGTTTTGGATCACGTTGCTCCATTTCTTTCAGACTTCCCTGAAAAGTGGACATTGATATAAAATTGGTTTTGATCGGACCCCATCAATTTTGTAAGCAAAAAGTTTAAAATGTTTTACCCTAGTTCCATTTGAAGCCAATTTAAAACATCTAATGGAGTTCTAATCAGTTTTTACTAGTGGAATATCACCGTATTGCTCAAGTATCTCGAAAGCTCACATTATAAACCCGAGGTTTGACATTGGGCAACGCGTATTCGATTCCATAAGCCATCAACGATGCCTGTATGCCTAAAATGAGATTTTGAACTGATGACATTTAACAAATTTACCTGTCATACATTGAGTGATCGTCGTTTTATCGGCAGAGAAACCGCTTTCATTCAAATCTAAACAAATGCTATCACATTAAAACACAAAAGAAACGTGCAATTCTTGATCTGCTCAGGATCTTTGATCGTTCCATCATCACGCACAATTTCACCAACAGGCGTATTGGTAAATCCGGGAATGTGAACGGCCTCACAACCTAAAAGGGAAATTTCCAGGAATCAAGACTATTTGGTACTTATTTATTTTATACAACTACTTATCGATAGAACGATATCAAAATGTTGAAACGATGCGAAAAACACTTACACATTGGGCTCAATCCCGAGTCTTGCAATCCCTCGAATTGAGCACGTGGCCGAGTGTCCAAAAAGTTGATCTAAAAACTTTAAACATTGATCATATCTGTGAATCCGGAAGTCGGAAAGCCGAAAGTTTGATAAATGCTCAAAAAACAGTAAATCAGATTTCACCTTGGATGTCTGATCGATGAGCATTTTCCCCTTTGTCTTCGCCTCCCATTCCTTCATCTCATTGCTCCATTTCAGCTCTTTCTCTTTTTGTTCGTGCTCGGGATCTGATGGATCGACGTTCACCTCAGGTTTCGGCTAAACATCACTGAATCAGGTAAACAAAAGAGTCATCTACAAACCTCATATTTCCCATCAACAGACTCGAGTTCTTCAAAAGTGATCAACGTTTCCTTGAGATTATCCCGAGCCGTCCAGTTTCCGATCTAAATGTGACTTTGTAACAAATTTTCAATGATCACGAAATCTCGAAATCTTAAATTTACCTCCATTTTCGGAACTTCAGTAGTAATCTCGTACCCCCTTTGCACCCAATCGTTGAGACCACCATCCAGCACTGATACCTTTTCGTGACCATACGACTGAAAAAAACGCAATAGGTTTTAAGAGTAAGATAAAATAATATCTTTCCTTACTTATAGAGTTCAGAAGTCAGATAACCAACCTTAAACAGCCAAGCAAATCGAGCTGGCCATAGCATTCCACCATAGGCGCCTCGTCCATAAAAAATCAAGTGTTCACCATCGCGAATACCGAGCCGACGAGCGTATTCCTGGAAAAATAATGTGAGAACTTTGAGGTATTTGAATGTTATTTCAGATTCAGACACTAATGATTTCTAATGCTCCACCTATAATAAAAATGCACCTGAAAGATTTCTGGTGGATAATGGGAAAAACGTTCAAATTTCCCGGGATACATCGCTTGTTCAAGATCCGCATGCACCGATTCGGGAATGTGCTCGGCAAGGTAAAGAGCGCGTCCACTAAAAGAAAAACAAATAATTATCTGACTTGAAAAGAAACAAAACGATTAGTCAACCGCAAACTTACATGCTTTTGAAGCCCGAAAGTTGCTCGAATTTCCCATATAGTTGCTCCTTGAATCTCTTCCAATCAGGCTTTACTCCGGGCACAAATGAACAATCGAGAAGACGGACTCCTTGCTAAATTTCATGTGGATCATGTGGATCAAATTCACTAAATTTTGTCTAAAGCGGTCTTTAGTGTTTTCCCTGAGACGACAATTTACAAATTCAGGCTTATTACAACTGCTTGATTTGATATTTTAGCAGATATATAACCTTCTAAAATGTATTCTCAATACAAAAATCTACTTTATTTATCACTCCATCTTTTACTAGTTGTCGTAATGTCGTTGACGCGACGAATTTCCCCAACACGGTCATAACCCTACAAACTTTAATTTTATCCTGACTCTAACCAAAAATAGTAAGAATACGTGTCCAAAGCGTTTTTACATTCGGAAGAATCCTTTTAAAACAAACCATTTATCAAACAATGTATAAAACTCACAACAATCATCTAAAAAAAATTGCCAAAATGAGATACAATAAATTATACAAAGATTTCAGATGACAAACGCTTAATGATCCATCTTCGTCTCGTCTTTTGCCGCATTGTTTGCCTAAAAGTTGTAAGTAAATTCAGTGGAAATTTTGCTTAAATTATTGCAAGAAAGCTTGCTGATAATCTCTAGCCATAAAATTTCACCTGTCGAACCAAAGCAGCTAATGGATCGAGAGCTCCATCTTCCTCTTCGCCCTCATCTTCGCCCATACGTTCCTCACGGGTCTTTGTTTTGTTCAGCTTCCAAATCTAACATTTAGATAATTACTTTTTTAATAACTTTTCTTGAACTTTTTATGAAGTCAATTTGTTGTGTTGAACTAATCTTGTTGTAAGGATTTCAGAATGCCATGTATTAGTCTTTAAATCTCGTACCTGAATATAAGACTCGGCCAACGTGATCATTTGCGGTAGAATCTCCTCCTTTCGCAGATCTTCCAGCTCAAACCATTTACCAGAACCCTGAATCTCAGAAATTAGCTTAGGCCAATGATCGTTTTTGTTTACCCTGTGATGAATTTGTACCCGATAGTGACCCTCTTCTTCTTCAGTATCCTTTTGCTGTGAATCCAGTGGTTTCCCGTCGTGCACAATATTGCCCACCAAATCATAGGTCGTGTATTTGTTCTTTGGCTTTGCCTCATCGGCTAGTGAGTCATACAAATCAACGTTACTAAAGTTGAAGGAGTCTTTGTAAGCTAGGAAAATTTACCTGATTGGAAAATTTACAATGGTTGGATTTTTCTCTACGAAGAACTGATTTTTCTGGAAGCGTTGATAGACGATAATCAAATAGTCAGGCAACTCAAGCAGCTCGAACCGTTTGATGAAGTTGTCTTTGTAGGTTTTGTACTCCTAAAAGTTAACTTTTGCTGAAGTTTGTTCAAAATTCTAAGCCAGGACGCGTCTTGGACTTTAAACGCCCATTAGTAAACAAAAGTCGTTTAATATCTTGAAAAATTGGTAGTTTAGTCTATTTTCAACTATATTTTTTCTGTTTCGAGATTTAGGCACACCCCGATTAACAAAGTGCGTTACCTTCTCCGTGATTCCATTAAATTTGTTCAACAGCGTGTGAATGGGCACTTGCGGGATGATATTTTGATGAAGTGCATCCCGATACAATGGAGGTGGTGGAAGATCAAGAGACAAGAATAAAAATGGTGTATCCTTTGCTTTTTCTAAAAAGAAACAAAATAAAAATTGATTTAAAAGCGTCCAGAAACCTGTATAATCATCAGAGTTGCTAATGTTGGCCACCATGTCCGATGTGGCATCAACGGGCAGAATTTTCCTTGTATACTGGCGCATTTTTCCTCGGAAAGTCCTGAAAGCAAATGTTTTGAATGATTTAATTTAAAAATCTTCACCGATAAATAATGCTAGATGAAGTCTTTTGTGTTCCATTTAGAGCAATGTGCAATGTGTTCAGCAAAAAGCTCATAAAATCAGCCGCATCTCCTAAAAGCAATTATATAAGGCAATTCTTGTTAAATCTACCCTGCTTGATGAATTGAAATTTCTTGTTAGATGTAACGACAATTGATTGCAACATTTCGTGTGGTGAGACGTGCGCCTTGAAAGCTTTTGGATTCCATAGCTTGCGGACGAGTTCACCAAATCTGAAAATCAAACAACATTGGTCAAATATAAAAAAGGCGCAATTACAACACTGATTACTTTTATACCAATACACTTTCAGGCTTTGTTTTCTCAGTAATTTAATTTTCAACGATTTCCCTTAGAAATACCTTTTTGAAAGCAATTCCAGTTTGTCTCCTGGTGGCCTTTTAATATTTGCGTAATTTTCCTCCTTCAAGAAATAATCGCGAAGTGGTGTCACGTGTGATAGAGCCTGAACATTTGAAGTGCAATAGAAAAAGTACTTCAACTTACATGTAAAATTACATTCTCGTAATCATTCGTTTTGATATTATTTAACCCGACAACGCCCGGAAAATAAGATGTATTATCGTAAGCTCGCGTGGGTCGTTGCCAACTAAATTCATCTGCTGATTATTTGCTAATTAAAACGTTTTACCTGTCCAAAGAGTTTATGAGCTTGTCCTCAAAAATCGGCTTTAGCACATACTAAAAAAATATATGAAACGGTGGCAAAATCGCTCAAACCTTGATGTCGTGTAGTGATGGATCAATAACCTCGTACATATCGGGTAAACAATAGAACTTGAGCGTTTGTAGATTCAAATAAATGCGATGATCGGTGTCCAACGAATGAGTGTAAGCATGCGTAGATGTGCCCCGACCCTAAAAATAAGAATATCAAAAAACAGTTTTTCACAATACCTTGCGCTCCCGCAAACTTTAAATAGTAGTACCTGGAAATATTTGCCGCAAACCATACAAGCATAGACGTTGAGATGAGAAAGCGAGACCGAGCAGAGTTTTTCGAAATCAAAATCAAGCACATTCCTAAATAAAAACATTGATTTTAAGAGAGTTTTCTTTGCTATTCACTTTATTATTTAAGCGGATTATGGTTTAAGGAAATTAGTCAAAGTTTAGATGGTTACCCGTAACACCAAAATACCAAAATCTACCTATCGATCGTATCCAAATAAGGGCATTGTCGACTGCTCGATTCGGCTTGTGCTTTTGCTAGCGACCAGACGGGTTTGTCTTCTTCCTCTTCTCCATGTTGTGGCTCTTTCTTTAATTCCTCTTGATATTGCTTCAACCGCTCGAGATCTCGCGCTGTCAGCTTTTTCTTTGGAGGTTCTGCTTCATCAGGCTCCTAAAGTTCTGTTTGCAAAACGGCAGTTTACAAACAAGTTAACCTCTTCAGATACTCGTTTCCGTTTGCTTCTTGACGATTTTTCTCTCTCTTTACCTAAAATAGGATTTTGCTAGACTAATAATACCTTTAGAATAACATTGTTGCAAAAAAACGAACGATCTCTTTCTTTATGCTGTTTGTCGTCCTCTTTTCGATCTTTCTTCCGCTCTTTCTTTGCTTCTTTTACCATCACGAACTAAAATTAATTCTGTACATTCTAAAAACGAAATTTTGAGACCAAAAATAATTAATGAAAGGTAAGATGGAAAGGAAAGTTAGATTTCGAATTTAATGTTTTGTTCAATTTTTTGGTGAAGAGACACGAGTCCGATGTCAATAGGAGTGAATGTTCTTAAAAGAGATTTTCTCGCTAGATCCCAGGTGTGATAAATTTAGCCTTAGAAAGAGCTTAAATCATATCCAATTGTCTCGAAAAAAATGATATGATTCTGATGATTGTTCACGTTCATTATACTTTTGAAGTACCGTCCCTAAGTGTCCCCATTGCCAGAGGTAAACTACGTTTTTCGTGTTTTTCTCGCCGTTCACTGGACCGATTTTGCTACACTTTGTTTCATTCGATAGTCCTGATTAATATCTATCGAATGAAACCAAGTGTAGCCAAATCGGCCGAGTGAGTGGCGACAAAAAAGCAAAAAAACGTAGTTTACCTCTGGCAATGGAGACACTTAGGGACGGTACTTCAAAAGTATAGCGTTCATAAAGTTGTCGTTTTAAAAGTGTGAAAGTTTAAAATAGATGGAACCACCCAACCTTCCTTCAACTTCGGTCAACCCTGATAACAATACATCGATAGTTGATAGTTATCCCTCAACTTGTGGTTCATTCATGTCTCCAATTGAAATAACAATTTATGTTTAGCACGTCAACAAATAACAAAACATGAGCAAAATCCACAAAAAAGATGAGAATTAATCCTTATTGTTGGCTTGGGTCGCATCTCCTCCAGCAACAGCAGGGTCGGTGTTTCCAGACTAAGGCACAATTCGGTAGTTAATAAGTAAGAGCTATGATACCTTCTCCTTTTGATTGCGCCTGTTTCCTCGAGTGCTGTTATTTCTGCGCCTTGGTTTCTTCTCGGTCTGGTCGTCACCACCGGCTTCATTGTCCTTCTTGCTGCGAACACTGTTGTTGGTCTTGCGCTTGTCGGAACGATTGCCTGGTGCCTTTTGATCCTTTCCACGAAGCCAATCACGACGTTGGAAGAACGCGCTAAAATGGAATGATTAAAGCATCAAATAATAAAGCAAACCTTCGGAGCCAAGGAATTTGCATCCATTGAAAGCGTGATCCAATGACAGGAGCTCCATCTGGTCCAGTAACATTCACAGCTTCTCGTCCCTTTTCACCCTCAACAATGTCGAATTGCACCCTCTCTCCATTGTCCAATGTGCGCAACGCAAGGCGGTTAGTTCGAGATTCCAGGATCGAAGACTAGAAAAAAAAGACAGGTTAAAAATGAGCAAAATAAAACTTTAAAGCTACCTGATGCACAAAGACGTCCTCATCTTGGCCATCAATTCCAATAAAGCCGTAGTGACTAAGGACAGAGTACCACTTGATAGTTCCATTCACTTTCTCCGCGACCATCTTCAGCTCTTTGAGCTTTTGCTCGTGGACTTTCTTCAAAGCCTCATCAGCAGCAGCCTAAAATGAAAAATTAGTGAGCGTTGCAACACATTAATTTTATCTTGAAAGTGCAAAGAGTCTCGCTTTGTAAATTGAATCGTTACTGTTACGATTACTCATTCTTCTGAGCTGCCTAGGGAAAACTAGATAGATTAGTGTTGCATTGAGATATGGTATAAAAATAATGCCCCTGACTCTATCAGCTTGGTTTTGATCAATCAGCGATCTACCGCAGCAACTTAAAGCTCAACCAACAACAACAAAGGAAAAAGTAAATAGTTACCCTATCGAAGCGTCGCTCCTTTCGGGTGTCGAGCGTGAGCTTCTCGAGGCCATCGGTAGCTTGTTGTAGAGCCGTTGAGTCGGTTGCCATTCCTGTAACAAGAAGATGATTCAAAGGAAATTCACGTTTTAAAAAGGGAGAAACAGACGTAATACCTAGGTAAGGAGGATTATACTAAATAAAAGTACAAAAGCTGGAGCTTTTTAAAGAAACTTATTACGCGCAGACATCAAAGGGTTCTACTATTCTAAATTTTTATGGTTCAATGGCAGAACGGGAGGGTTGCACCTCAAGCGGTAATTAAATGCGTTTGCGTTTGCGCACGAAAAAACAACGATGCGGGGTAAATGAAAAAATTGTTGGCTTGTCTCAAAAATGAAATGCGTTCAACGAATGAACTTTTTCAGGGGTGGCTACTTCTCGCCAAATTTTTTGCGCAACTCGCCATAACTTTCTTCTAAGTGGGCTTTCTTTCTTCTGATTTTGGTCTTATTTTGTTGCACTTGTTGAGATCTACTAAATGACATCAAAGTCATAGGGATTGACCCACTTAGAAGAAAGTTATGGCCAGTTGCGTAAAAAATTTGGCGCAAACCAGCCACCCCAATTTTTTCTCATTTCTCGTCGTTTCTGTCGTCTCATTTCTGTCCTTTTATGTGGGTGATGTACTGTAGAAAATGAGACAATTGTTTTTAGCGAGATTTAGAAATCAAGAAATCAAAAATTTCGGCAGTGGGACAAATGCGACTTTTTTTTTGCGCACCCGGACATTTGCGCACCTTTTTTTCCGCACTTAGCCCATTAGCGCACCTTTTTTCGCGTTTTAAAAAAGCTCTAAAAGCTAATATTAACGGGGGTGGGACAAATGCGACCTTTTTTTTTGCTGGAAAAGGCTTTAGGCAAGGCTGTAGAGCTTGTGTGAAGGGAATATAAGGGAATCGTATGCGTAGATTCCGAATTTCGACAAATCAGACCTCGCTGACACGTCAAATTTGGGCTAAAAGGCAAAAACTGCGGAAAAGCGTTAAGTTGCGTTGTTTTTGCCTTTTAGCCCAAATTTGACGTGTCAGCGAGGTCTGATTTGTCGAAATTCGGAATCTACAACCTGGAGTGGTACCAAATGGCAAAATACCAGGGTGAAGTTACAACCCTTGTAAAAAGCAGTTACTAGGGCGGTTTTTTGAGTTACTGAACGGTATTTAATGCGCTTTTTCGACTTTTAGACAATACTGAAATGCGATATGTGTTGTCTATGAACATTTTTATTGATTTTATATTTATTTCAATATAGAGTGCAAATGAATAAACAAAAAAACATCAAATCTATAAAAAGCTTATAAAATTTAATTTTCTTCGATAAATGCATTATCCATTTAATGATTTTTGATCTCATTAGCTTGCTAGACATCGAGTTCACAACGACGATAGCCAATGTGCTAAAAACCGTAATAGAGTTAAAACATATAGACTTATTTTCGAGGATGAAATCGACTTTTGCCTCAATACGATCAAGTTATTCCTGGTAGCTGATGGTTTCTGTAACCGTGGTGGCCGGTGGAGCCACTGATTGATTGCCAATCACTGATTGATTTGTCGTCATTGACTTCGACTTGACATTCGTCGAAGTAACGGTGCTCTCTAAATATTAAGATAAACGTAATTATAGCCTCAGTAATCGTACCAGTCGCTAAAATCCCTGCACTGTGAATCGATATCTTCGTTTGAAAACCCTCCGGAGACGTTCGAAATCTAGAAATTGAATCGATAAGACGATAAAGATAAAGCATTGAAATGTACGTAAAATATAACAAACATCAAAACAAAAACAAATTAACATCAAAACAAAAAATACACGTAGCACTCAAAAACATAGTTTTTCCTTCCTTGAGGTTACAAACCCTATAAAAACTTTTCACTTACCTAACTCGTTACAGGGATTGCAACCTTTTCAAGTGCATTTTTCATAAACAAGTTGCATCCGAGTGAACATAACTTCATCTTTCTTCTATTCTCAATTAATTGATCTATTAGTTTAAATAGTTCAATTAGTTTAAGACAAAACAATAAACAATAAACAAAAAACAAAATAATCGTCAAAAATAGATCAAACACCAATCATTTGAAGTTTTTACAAAGTACTAGGGGGCGGCCAGAAAACACAGGCTCTGACCACCTTTCTGGGACCGGTTTCACCACCGTTAAGTCACTAGCTTAAGCTGAGTTAGTGACTTAAGCTGAGTCACTGGCTTAAGCTGAGTTAGTGACTTAAGCTGAGTCACTGGCTTAAGCTGAGTTAGTGACTTAAAATGCTTAAGTCACCATTTCATCACCATTACTAGAGTGGTTTTCTGAGTCACTGGGGTGGTTTTTCAAAGTTACAAGCTTGTAAATTGAAAAAAAAGTTGCCTTGTAGATCCATTTACAAGACAACTTTTACAAATAGATTTACAAGACCTACAAATAGATTTACAAGGCTTACAAATAGATTTGCAAGACTTACAAATAGGTTTACAAGACTTACAAATAGATTTACAAGGCTTGTCAATGCAATAGTAAGCTACACAATCAATAATTTAAAAGCTTGTAAAAAAACGGCCTTGTCAAAGCTCAAGAGCTAAAAGCTAAGTACCAGCCTAGCATGTATTTTTGTGTTTAAATTTTTGTAAACACTCCTTTCTGGTGTGCTCAATTACTCTTTTTGAACAAATTGTTGTCATAAATTGAAAAATGAAGAATGAAATGCGTCAGAAAGGATATGTTTACAAGCACAAAGTAAACAAATCATAAATTTATCTAAATCTAATCAATCTAATCAATCTAATCAATTTAATCGCAATTTTTATCTAAATTTTGAAATAAGCTTATAGAAATTTGATTTATTTAGAATATTTAGAATATAAAAGCTATCTAAAGCTATCTAAAGCTATCTAAAGCTATCTAAAGCTATCTAAAGCTATCTAAAAGCTATCTAAAGCTATCTAAAAGATATCTAAAAGCTAAAAGTCAATTATACAGGGTAGCTGAAAATTACGTGCGCGCAGCATCAGCATCATAGTTTTAAACAATGTATAAAGCATTACTACTCATCTTTTTGTGTTTTAATATTCTTTTTATCGTTGTCTATTAATTTTTTGTTAAAAAAAGTTGTTTTCTAGGTCATGACAAAGACGTGCGCTAGTCGGGACGCAATCGCACAGCTGGCGACGAGCGGCACGAAGAACTCGTCGAGCGCATCGAGGCTTGGGATGGCTCTGAGGACGGTCCAGAAGATCGTAAAGCAATGGAAAGATGAGGGACATGTTCAGTCCAAGTTCAGTGTATTTATTTCGAAAGATTTATTTACAAAATTTTCATGAGAAAATAAATATAGATTGGAAAAAGGAGCAAAAAAAAATTTTCATTAGACAATCGGATCCACCCAAACGCAATCCTCTTCAACCTAGAAAAAGAATGAGGTTTTTAAATGACCGTAAATACTGCAAATACTTTAATAGTACCCCACCCCCCTCGTACAGTCGCGTAGTCGCAAAAGCTTTTTAGTTTTTCATTTTTTTCATTATTTCATTTTTTTCAAAGCGCCCCTACTTTCAAAAATTCGTCTTTGGTATCAAAAAATAGCCCTGAATTTCAGCTTTCATTTGCTACTTAAGCACACACTGTAGCATAAAAGAGTGGCGAGAAAAATGCGTTTAAAGTTAGACGACGCGACGCTCCGACCGTCATTATAGGGAAGCGTAGTCGCAAAAGTTTTTTAGTTTTTCATTTTTTTCAAAGCGTCCGTACTTTCAAAAAATTCGTGTTTGTTATCAAAAAAATAGCTGAAATTCAGGGCTATTTTTTGAAACCAAAATGAACATTATAGCATAAACCAGTGTCGAGAAAAACGCGTTCAAAGCTAGCTAGCTAGACTACGCGACACTCCGCACCGTCATTTTTCTTCCCTTTTTAAAAACCCCTCACCTTTAAGTTGTACTTGCTGCCAGCGTTCTTGAATTCAGAGGTGACGATTCGGAACCTAAACTTCTGATAATTCTGAAGAAGATCGAAACATTTGAGCTTTGTTTTTATACATTTCTCTTGATCATTATTTGTTATTTAGATATGGTTCTATACTAGTTGGGGGATGCAAATGAGTATGATAAAAGAAATTTGCATTTAACGCGCAAGTTTTTTTACTTACTATGCTAACGGCAAAATCAAGAAATAATTCGTTTGCAATGTGCTACTTGTAGGCTAGCTAGAATCCAGTGATTATAGGCCAGATCAGGCCAGAAACCAGCTGAGTACCTGAGCAGAAAATTGGCGAGACAGAAGCAAGACTGGCCAGACAGAAGCAAGGCTGGCCAGACAGAAGCAAGGCTGGCCAGACAGAAGCAAGGCTTTTACCAGACTTCTAGACTAGTCTAGCCAGCGTCGGGGTGGCGCAACGCCATTGTGGCTGTCTCTGGAATGTCTCGGGTCCGATCCCGCCCCGGTTCATAGCCCAGGTTCTTATTGCAAAAAGCTGATCCAGCCGTCTTCGCCAGAACAAGCTATCTAGAGATCGTCCAATAAGAATAGGGATTGAGAAGCCGCCAAGAATGTGGGACGTGGGTTAAGTCAAGACATCAAGTCAAGTCAGCCTATTGTGTATCGAATTGTGATTATCGTGCTGAATGAACCATCGTCCCCAGTGTATATCTTCTTGTTGCGCGGTCTGTTATACATGTATACGACTTTCATTTTGTGATTATAGGCCAAGTCAGGCCAGAAACCAGACCAGTATCTGGCCAGAGCCCGGTCAGAAGCAAGGCTGACTTGCCTAACCAGCAAAATTTGGCACTTCGGGAGCCTCACTCAAATAGTGACAAGATTTTTGCCGGGTATATTTTAAATCAGCAGAAGAGATGGGAAATGGAAGATGGAAGATGGAAGATGGAGGATGGAGGATGGAGGATGGAGGATGGAAGAGGAAAGATGGAAGATGGAGGATGGAGGATGGAGGATGGAAGATGGAATAGAAGAGAAGATGGAGGATGGAGGATGGAAGATGGAGGATGGAAGAGGAAAGATGGAAGATGGAGGATGGAGGATGGAGGATGGAAGATGGAGGATGGAAGAGGAAAGATGGAAGATGGAGGATGGAGGAGGAAAGATGGAAGATGGAGGATGGAGGATGGAAGATGGAAGATGGAAGATAGAAGATAGAAGATGGAGGATGGAAGATGGAAGATGGAGGATGGAAGATGGAAGATGGAAGATGGAAGATGGAGGATGGAAGAGGAAAGATGGAAGATGGAAGATGGAAAATGGAAGATGAAAGGTAGAAGCTTTATTTTCATTACTAACCATCCTTGTTCTCCCCATGGTTGTCCCCATGAGTTTCGTCCAATCCAGAATGGAACGCCCGAGTCATGATCGACACCCCATCCGTGAATTGAAATGATATGGTCGATATCCTCGTCAGTCACCTCCTAGAATTGAAAATCTAGACAATTGAGAGTTGAGAGTTGAGCACAAATTACAAAATTCTTATTTCTAATGGTCGTATTTCCTCTGGTCGATATTTATGGCCGATTTTTTTGGTCGATTTTTTTGGTCGATATTTCCATCAGCTATTTCCCCGAACCTTATAGATTCCTCCAGCGTAATCCTCAAATTTCTTTGTTGCCGCGATTCCACAAGCGATTGGTCCATGCTTCCAAATCTCAGCTTTCATCGCTTTCAATCCTTTCACTCCTCCGTACTCTTTTGCCTAAAGCTTGTTGTCTCAACTTGTTGTCTCAACTTGTTGCCTAAAACTTGTTGCAAATGGATTACGATAGAAAATACGACAAAATAGCGCTAATTCTAGCGCTAGAATGTTCAGCTTAAATCTCTATTTAAAGCTCTCTATTTAAAACTAATACTAATAAAATAGTCTATACAAATCTTTAACTCTTAACAACCTTGTAAAGAGTGTAGTTCTGAATAGCGAAACAATTCCCAGGCCAGCATGATCCACATCGATTGTATGGATTGCATTCTGGAAATCAGTTTTGAAAATATAATCAATTTAAATCAATTCAAATCAATTCACCTCCATCTCGTGCTTGATAATTATTGCATGTCTCGTGCGGGATCCCATTTTTCTTTGCGTATTCATAAACTGCTCCAGCTTCTCCACCCTCACAAGATCCGGCACCGCCACAATCGATCACCTCCTGCAAATGATTATACTAATTGAGAATCGAAGAAAGATGAAGTTATGTTCACTCGGATGCAACTTGTTTAAGAAAAATGCACTTGAAAAGGTTGCAATCCCTGTAACGAGTTGGGTAAGTGAAAAGTTTTTATAGGGCTTGTGACATCAAGGAAGGAAAAAACTATGTTTTTGAGTGCTACGTGTATTTTAGAAAATTCCCATTTTGTGATGTTTTTTACCCGCTGTAATTTTGGAATCGATCTGGTGAGTGGTTAAGTTAGTTAAGTTAGTTAAGTTTTATGGAGAATGGTTAACTCTATGCCAAGCTATGTACTAGAGAAAATTCCGTAATTCTTAAACACCCTGTAGTTTATGCTGCATCTAGTATTCAGAAGGGATCTCATAACCGAGTTCTAGAGCTGGAAACGTTAAGCAGAGTCAGACTTGGCTGTTGACCAGCGAAAAGACTGACCTATCGATCTGATCTGATGTTGATCGATCTGATCTGATGTTGATCGATCTGATCTGATTCTGATCGACTCTGATCTGGTTCTGATCGATCTGATCTGATTGTTTGATCGATCTGATCTGATGCTGATCGACTCTGATCTGATTCTGATCGATCTGATCTGATGTTGATCGATCTGATCTGATTCTGATCGATCTGATCTGATTCTGATCGACTCTGATCTGGTTCTGATCGATCTGATCTGATTCTGATCGATCTGATCTGATGTTGATCGATCTGATCTGATGTTGATCGATCTGATCTGATTCTGATCGACTCTGATCTGGTTCTGATCGATCTGATCTGATGCTGATCGACTCTGATCTGATTCTGATCAATCTCACTATCGATCTGATCTGACACAGTAAGTTCAAGCACCAGGCCAGGGGATCAGGCTAGTCTCAAGTCTACTAATCCAACAAATTTCGAGTAGATCAAACACTTGATGAACCGGGACTCTAACTTCTGAATAATTGACCATGGCTCTAATTGACCATGGCTAGCTTGGTTCGAATAGTTGTCTTTGAAAAGACCAAAGTGGCTAGATTAGTGGCTTATTAAACAGATCCAAGTTGACTTTCAAAAGTTAAGCTAGAAAAGTTAAGCTAGATTTTCTGCATCACAAATCCGGCAATGAATCAATAGTTATAGTTTTTTGACTTAAACTCACCTGAATCGAAAGGAAAGCTGTTGGCCAGGCGTTTTTGCGCTTGATATTGATGCGATCAGCCATCGCCGAGGTGGCACCCTAAAAGGGAAATGTGTACGGAAAATCTGAAGAAGTACTGCACTTTGTACATTTGTACATCACTGTACTTTGTACATTGATCTCAAGTACGATCTTTTCAGCTTTAAACAATTTCACAATCTCAATCTCAATCTAAAAAAATTGCCTACAAGCTTTCCATCAAAATAAATCTCTTTACAATCTCTTTTACCCTTGTAAACTCTTTCTTTTCTTGTCTATTCCTTTATCAGATCTGTTTTCACAATATTCTTTTTGCTTTCTTTTGACCAAATGAATCTCGTTTCTGAATGATAAGAGGAAATATTATAGAAAAATCACCAGAAATCAGCTGATTGATAGGAAAAGAGAGGAATTTGAAGGTTTTGTAAAAGAAAAAGTCTTTGAAATTACAAAACTTTAAAAGAAGTCTTTGAAATAAAATTTCATAAATTTCAAAAAAGTAAACACATTTTCATGATTTCAGCTTTCAAATTTGACTACTTTTTAGGAACTACTTTGATTACTGTAACATCTACGCTAGGTAACTTAATTAAGTTACCGTAATGGTAACTTAATTGATTTATATGTCGCAGCCGCTTGTGATTTTCAGCCGCTAGTGATTGAATCACGAACGGCTAGCTGCTAGTGATTGAATCACGAACGGCTAGCTGCTAGTGATTGAATCACGAACGGCTAGCTGCTAGTGATTGAATCACGAACGGCTAGCTGCTAGTGATTCAATCACGAACGGCTAGCTGCTAGTCATTGAATCACGAACGGCTAGCTGCTAGTGATTGAATCACGAACGGCTAGCTGCTAGTGATTCAATCACGAACGGCTAGCTGCTAGTGATTCAATCACGAACGGCTAGCTGCTAGTGATTGAATCACGAACGGCTAGCTGCTAGTGGATTCAATCACGAACGGCTAGCTGCTAGTGATTCAATCACGATCGGCTAGCCGATGGTGATTGAAAGTTTTTTAATGAAACATTTGGAATACAATGCAGATTTATCTCACGATTACAATGGAGATTTATCAAATAAAAAACTTAGGTTAATAGGACCAAATATTTTAACACCTCGGGAGGTAACTTCCGTTGTCAAATCTTTTTAAAAAGATGTTTTCGAAAAAATTTTTAAAACAATGCCACTCATTCCATCTTTTAGCCGATGGTGATTGAATCACTAGCGGCTAGCCGATGGTTTCAATCACTAGCGGCTAGCCGATGGTGATTGAATCACTAGCGGCTAGCCGATGGTTTCAATCACTAGCGGCTAGCCGATGGTGATTGAATCACTAGCGGCTGAAAATCACGAGCGGCTGCGACATATAAACCATTCATTATCCTGTTTTTTCTTTCCTTTATAATATTTCTTACGTACATGTGCCCAACACGAGCCACAATATTGAGGAATGTGCTGATTGCGATCAGCCGACGCGTAATTCACACCGTCAACGTTTCTGAAAAGAACTTTCACTTTTCATTTTTGACTTTTTAGGAAATTGATTAAAAGCTTAGCTGTAAGAGATTGGCAATTATTAAGTAGCACGATAATTATTAAGTAGCACGATAATTATTAAGTAGCACGATAAAAATCAAAACACGATAGACTTGGCTTGGCTTGGTGATGGACTTGGCTTGGTAATGGACTTGGATTGGTAATGGACTTAGCTTGGTGATGGACTTGGCTTGGTGATGGACTTGGCTTGGTAATGGACTTGGATTGGTAATGGACTTAGCTTGGTGATGGACTTGGCTTGGTGATGGACTTGGCTTGGTAATGGACTAAGATCCTAAGAATAGAAGACTAAGTTGATTACGAAGATCTCTAGGATTCTTCCGGGTACACCGACGTCCGAACTTCGGGAGGAAAGTGATGTCCTTGGAGGGAATCGCTGAATCACGAATCTTCAGAAACTTTACTCCCAAACCTCCCCGAACGCCGAAGATTGATTCGCCTTGGCTTGGTGATGGACTTGGATTGGTGATGGACTTGGCTTGGTGATGGACTTGGATTGGTAATGGACTTAGCTTGGTGATGGACTTAGCTTGGCTTAAAACACGATAGACGAATTAGGTTGGAAACGTTTGCCTCATTCGCCATATTCGCCTGATACTGCTCCTTTAGATTACCACTTGTTCAAATCTATGCAACACTCTCTTCATTCTATGCAACAATCCTGAATCAATCTTTGTTTGCAAGACTACTTTGTGGATCTCGAATTTTTCGAATCATTAAGCAATCAAGCATTAAGCAATCAAGCAAGAAGTCTACGCAAGAAGTCAGTCGCAAAAAAATGGATAGGATAAGAATGGCAAAGATAAGATAAGAATGGCAAAGATCTTTTGAAATAAAGCTTTTTTCTTATTGATTTTTGAATTGTTCAAATGTTGGTGATAATCCGCAGTTTCTTTTGCAAGTACCTAATAAAACTGTGGCCAAAATCTAATATAATTCTCTCCATAATATAAAATTGCATAATGGTGAGGCAGTTATCGTAAGAAAGCTTTTGAAATCAAGGCCCAAGTCTTTCTTTGTCAAGGAATCTTTACCCAACCAATCCGGTTACTAATCGCTAAATACTGAAGTAAGGCGTACACAAGCGTACACAAGCGTACACAAGCGTACACAAGCGTACACAAGCGTACACAAGCGTACACAAGCGTACACAAGCGTACACAAGCGTACACAAGCGTACACAAGCGTACACAAGCGTACACAAGCGTACACAAGCGTACACAAGCGTACACAAGCGTACACAAGCGTACACAAGCGTACACAAGCGTACACAAGCGTACACAAGCGTACACAAGCGTACACAAGCGTACACAAGCGTACACAAGCGTACACAAGCGTACACAAGCGTACACAAGCGTACACAAGCGTACACAAGCGTACACAAGCGTACACAAGCGTACACAAGCGTACACAAGCGTACACAAGCGTACACAAGCGTACACAAGCGTACACAAGCGTACACAAGCGTACACAAGCGTACACAAGCGTACACAAGCGTACACAAGCGTACACAAGCGTACACAAGCGTACACAAGCGTACACAAGCGTACACAATTACATTAGACAATACATCATGCCAGATTACCATTCTAGTAGCAAGGCTGAATAAATTCGAATTCTTTGACAAAATAAACTTGAAGAAGATGATAAGTTATATAGTTATAAGTATTGCAATAAGTGTACTGCCCCGTTTTCACCTCCAATCCCAGGCCAATGGCACCTTGTGGTGGTCCCAGAGTCGATCCTCGTAAACACGGGGTCGATGTCTGGAAAGTTTTTTTTGCTTTCTAAAACTATTAGAGGGTGTTCCTCGCAAGAAATATTGCAAAATGGGAAATGAGTGCATTTAAAATAAACTGAATATCTTAAATATTGTAGAAGAAATTCAAGATATTGATGATTTCAGTTGATTCAGTTGATTTTGATTTCGACCGAACTCCTTTCCTATTTGACATTATTTCTTGAGACGAACAAACTCTAATAACCATTCACCTTTGTACATAACATAACTATAACTGTTTCTAGAACTATAGCTATTTCTAGAACTATTTCTAGAACTATAACCATTTCTAGGACTATTTCTAGAACTATAGCTATTTCTAGAACTATAACTATTCACGAAATCGACTCCAAAATGACATGAATGGAAACACCGAAAGCAAGGCTCATTTCCTGGATCGTTACAAAACTAATAAACTTAAGAAGTACCGGGGACGGAGCCGAACTGGTTAGGAGTCCGAGCTGGTAGTTCGAGGTTCTGGATTCTCCATTCAATTAGCAAACCTCGAACTACCAGCTCAGACCTCGAAAACCTTGAACTACCAGCTCGAACTCCTAACCAGTCGGGCATTTCTAATGCTTGAGCGCGTGTGAGAGTCCCTTAAAGAGTGAATCCTCAAAAATGTTGGGTTTGAAATTTGAAGTAAAAGTTTGAAACCTTCTATTTCAGTTATTTCTAGGATTTAGCAGCTAAAAACTTTAGAAAATGCTTATTTTGTGACGTTTTTTACCCACTATAATTTTGGAGTCGATCTGGTGAGTAGTTATAGCTTCCTTGTTAGATTTTACTATCTGGATTCTGTGCAGGATCTAGACTGTGTTTTTCTTAAATCATGCGTTTTCTACAATCTAAATGATGTCCTTGTTCTACCGTAAAGTTGTCTCTAGCTTTTATCCAATCAATCCGGTTTTGTTCTGATTCTCGAGAGTTCACAAAGGATATTAAAGTCAAAAAGTCGATCGACTGGATAAAACTAGAGATTATGATAGTCGTCCGTTAACTAGAGACTAGGATAGTCGTCCGTTAACTAGAGATTATGATAGTCGTTCGTTAACTAGAGACTAGGATAGTCGTCCGTTAACTAGAGACTAGGATAGTCGTTCGTTAACTAGAGACTAGGATAGTCGTTCGTTAACTAGAGACTAGGATAGTCGTTCGTTAACTAGAGACTAGGATAGTCGTCCGTTAACTAGAGATTATGATAGTCGTCCGTTAACTAGAGACTACGATCGTCGTCCGTTAACTAGAGACTACGATAGTCGAAGAAGTGGACATGGTTTAGAAAACGCAGAGGTTCGTTGACCTTTCCTTTATGCTTTCAAAGCTTTCCTTTATGCTTTCAAAGCTTTTCAAAACCAACTTGTGCTCGTAAACTTTTCCACTTTTCTTGTAGCATCCCCGGACATTGTATCTAAAAGTAACAGTACTTTTTTCCCAAAAATTCACCTACCGATTTAACGCCTCGACAGCAACAAGGCAAAACAGTACACCCAACAAAAATCTCATTCTAAATTTTCATTTTAAAGTTTCAAAAATCTCATCCTAAATTTTCAAAAATCAAAAAATCAAAAATTTCAAAAAACTCGATTATAATTCTAAAAGCCAAATCAAAACTTTGAAAAAAAAAAGATTTTTCGGTGAGTTTTGGAGACAAAACAATAACAATAACAGAGGGAAAAATGGGATTTTTTCTAAAAAAAAAAATTTTTCCTAAATTCTAAAGATAATTCTTTGAATTTTTCAAATAAAATTAGATAAATTAAAAGCAAAAAATTGAAAATGTTAAATGGAGAAACTTGCTTTGTCTCCCTTCAATCATTTCTCTTATCTTATTTTTGCTCGGGTCAAAACATTCAAACAAGGCACAAGGGGACCACAAGGCGGCACCACCATTCATTCCAATATCATTCCAAACGCATGAAATCAGTATTCGCTCAGATTTCAATGAAACGAAATTGTCTGAAAATAATGACTGATAGATTTGATAAGGGTTTTTCGGTTTATCATGTTCACCGGGAAATCTTGTCCACTAAACTGCAGAACTCTTGGACTTTCTTGGAGTTGTGAGCCAGTGCGCCAGCTTGCTGATAAGTCTAAATGCGATTTCGAAAATGTTTACGAGTCTAGGACAAGAGTTCATCCTGGAGAAGAGGCAGGGATTGGAGTTGACCATGTGACACCTTGTTGCAACAATTATGTTGCATTCTGCAGTTTAGTCTTTGGCATTTCAGATCGACTATAGTTCGGGAATTTCGACTCAACTTTGGTCTTGCTTTGAAGCTTATTTGGCGTACTTCTTCTTTGGCGTTGTGCTCAAATTTGTAAACGTACGCTCTCTGGCTTTAGCTCTGGCTTTAGCTCTGGGTTTGGCTTCAGCTTCAGCTTGGCTTTAGCTCTGGCTTTAGCTCTGGCTTTAGCTCTGGCTTTAGCTCTGGCTTTAGCTCTAACTTTAGCTCTGGTTTGTAAAGCTGCATTTTCTCGCTACAGCAAAGCTAAAAAGCTGATTTAAAAGTGTCAGAAAGAGTGTGTTTACATTTTTCTGTTTACACGATTATTTGATTTGTAATCTGAAGTGCCTTTTGTTTTGAAGTGTTTAAGTGAATCTTCTTTTAAAGAATTTATTAGAATCTCAATTCCAAATCTTCTCAATAAGCCACATATCCTTTTCTTTTCGATTTCGAGCAACAGAGACATAAAATGAAAAGAATTGAAATAAAAAGGAGGATATTTATTGAAAGAGAAGCGATTAGAAGATTGATTAAATGCTCATTCTCTGATCCACAAGTGGGAGAGATTGAAGATTGAATTGAAGGAATTGAAGGAATTGATTGGATTGATTGGATTGATTGGATGGAGGGGCAATCTGAAGGAGATTGAGTGGATGAGAGAGTGGAAGAAGTGCCACGCAGACGACGGGACACGCTACACCCTGCAAATTGTTGTAAGTATCTTTTTTGACTTTAACTTATTACTGTAACTTACAATGGCTCTGTTTAATTACAAGATGATAATTATAATGTGAACTAGAGCTGGTCAGTGTTCATCGAAACTCGATCAGCGTTGAATCGACCGATTTTCGTTGCATTTCGTTGCATCGACCGACCTTTGACACGTGCAATTTCTCAAGACTTGGGAGTTTCTACGCGACTTGTGAACAAGACGATTAAACGCTTTAAGGAATTGGGAACAAATGCTGGTAGAGCTGATAGAGCTGATAGAGCTGGTAGAGCTGATAGAGCTGATAGAGCTGGTAGAGCTGGTAGAGCTGATAGAGCTGGTAGAGCTGATAGAGCTGGCTGAACGGCAATCTGTAGTGATTCAGTCCAACATCAAAAAAGTGCGAGAGAAGTTGCGTCTTAACCCGGAACAATCGGTCCGGCTCATATCACGCCAAATGGGAATTTCTAGAAGCTAAGGCGTGTGCTAAACCACATCGATCAGTTGACTCGTTAAAGAAAGCTCCTCCATAAAGCATGGGACGAGCTTGATGTTGTCTACTTGCGTGCCACAGTTAGCTCCTTCCACCCACGTCTTGAAGCGTGCGTCGCTGCTGACGGAGGGATTTTGAAAATTCGAGTTCTGTAGTTCTGTAGTGATTCTGTTCTGTAGTGATTCTGTAGTGATTTAGTGCGAGCGTCGAGGAGGGAGTGCGTCAAGAATGCCATCGCGTCAAGAATGCCATCGCGTCGAGAATGCCAGCGTCACTATGCCCAAATCCCTGTGATCAATTTTGGTTGGATTTTTGCTACAAATTCTAGCCAAGTCTAGCCGGAACTAGCCGGTAAAAAATGCCCCATTCGTCCCTGAACCGTTCTTCTTTCACCAGCATTTTTCAGTTCTGCCTTGTTTTTAATTGCTTTTCAAAAATTGTTTTTCGTTTTTAATCATTTTTAAGACATTTTTAAGCCATCCTGTTTTGAACAGAGCCCGTACAATTAGTTAATTTGCATTTCAAGATACTCAGCAAGGCTCTGTCTCAGTAATTCTAAAAGCCCAAAGCGAGATACAGTATCTTTAAGTTTTCTCTATAACTTGCCCGAATTTTTCTCCAATTCCGCATACAAATCATCGTTATCCCTTATCCATTCGTATCTTTCTCGGCAATAGCCTAAACCCTCGACATTCATTCGTTCCTCCGACCAAGCCGAGACCAAATTACGGAGTGATGATGAGCTGAAAATCGAGATTTAGATGTTTTGCCAATTTAGACTAACAAATGTTTTGCCAGTGTACTTTGTGCTCAAAACGCGCCCTTTCTAGTGCACTGATCAAATCCATAACGGTGTATCCGTTATGGAACAGTCAAAGACACCTTTTGAAGTTCTTGATCACTTGATGGAGATATTTGGAACCTTTAGAGCACCACAAATTCTATAATCCGATAACGGGAATTCTCGGCGAACGGGAATTCTCGAACAAAATTGTATTAGGTTGTCCAATAAGTAATGCATGTTACTTATTTCGAAACTATTGCGAAATCGCTTCGAGCAAATATATGCTCTTTTTAATCATCAGCATCTTGTGTTTATTTTTATATATGTTGTGTCCGATTTAGATTTCCGTCCGATTTAGATTGAATCTAAATCGGACGTCCGATTTAGATTGAACTTATCGCGGACGTCCGATTTAGATTACAGTCTATATCGGACGTCCGATTTAGATTCAATCTAAATCTTACATGGATTGAACAATAATATAAACACGCTTAATATATGTTCTTAAGCGTTTTCTGTAGTTTTCTGCATTTTTCAAAGGTCTTTTATTGATTACAGTCTATATCGGACGTCCGATACAGATCGAACAATAATAAACGTGCTTAACATATGTTCTTTGAAAATTTCTTTGAAAAGCGCAGAAAATTGCAAAAAAACGCTTAAGAACATATATTAAGCACGTTTATTATTGTTCGATCTGTATCGGACGTCCGATATAGACTGTAATCTAAATCGGACGTCCGCGATAAGTTCAATCTAAATCGGACGGAAATCTAAATCGGACACAACATATATTATTTTATTCATTTGCCTTTGTTTTATAATAGATATGTTGTTTTGCAGATGAAAGACAAAAAGTTTGTTGTCCGCGCATCAATGCTGTATGATTTCAAACGAGGTAAAACTGCAGCGGATTGCCATCGAACTATCTGTGCCGCATTTGGAGAGGATTCAATTTCAATCAGCCAGTGCTAGCGCTGGTTTAAACGATTTGCGGACGGAAACGAGTCGTTAGAGGACGAGGAACGCGCTGGAAGGCAAAAATGGCTCGACGATTTCTTCTCATCGAAACCAGCTTCATTCTATTATGACGGACTTCACTCTTTGCTCGGACGATGGAGAAATGTTGTTGATTGTTGTGGAGAATATATCGATTAATAAAGTTCTCTTTTGTTAATTTTGTGATATTTTGAAAATCGTGTCAAAACACGCATTACTTATTGGACAACCTAATAGTATTTGATCTTTTTTATTCAATATTCTAGGCTAAACTTAAATTTAGATTAGAAACGATCGTTTGCATTTGCATTAATTAGCATTTAAATTCTGTTTTTGGCAAGAAGTAGTTTGAAACCTAATCGGCCTACGATCAGCAGCTGTTTACTACGATCAGCAGCTGTTTACTACGATCAGCAGCAGCAGTTTAAAACTTAATCAGCTACCTATTTTTGAAATGCATCATGAAATAGTACGGAGTACATCGATCACTCGTCCAAACGGGAAGTGCCGTCAGAGTGTGAACGATCTAAAAATCCCGTTAGAGCTTTGATACTTTGTTTTTTCATATTCAAAACCAAAACCACTTACTATCTAGCTTAATATCTAATAAAGTTTAATAAGAAAAGTTGTGGATTCTGATTTTGTTTCCCCAACCTGTCTCATCAATCGCACATTCGCTGTTGAGAGCAATAGGACACTGGCTGGGAATTCCTAGAAATGAAATTCGATAATAATAGGTTGATGCATAAGTCTTTTCGTTCCTTTTCGTCTGCCGTTTCAAGCCAACAAATGCACGAATTAAACTACGGTTGATTTCATTAGAAAAAGCAATTATTTTTCTGCAAAATAACATTAAAACGGGTTTAAAAATATTTTATGCCTGGATTTTCTTGAGAGTATGAAGTCGGGTAGTCAAAAAGGGCTAACTCGATGATGCGGTTTAGACACCTTAGCTAAAGAAAACCTATCTTCGTGTCAATAGATAAAAGATAGAGAAAAAAAACGTTTGATATTTCGCCAAAATTTCAGAGAAATTCATTCAGCCAATTTTTCCGTAGAGTTTTTTTATAGATTTTTACGAAAAAGGCGTTTTTCACTCTCGAATTTTGCTTGAAAGTGAACCGAAATTCATTTAAAAAGATGCAAATTGAACAAAAAAACACTTTTTTTATAGAGCAAACTATAGATTAATTGGTGAATTTGTTACTTTTTAACAGAAGTACGAAAAAAACGAAAAGACTTATGCATCAACCTATTGGGTTGGGGACTATGACTCGGCGCCGAAAATCAAAAAAATGTCTAAAACTTCTATTCGACTTCGTCAAATAATATGCGTTTGATATCAGTAGAATGGTTAACTAATTCTCTACAAAACGACATTTAAAAGAAAATTCAAACAGCGCCTCCGCTCAAGAAAAAGCCATTTTTTCACAAAAACTACAAACTGTCATCTAGAAAAAACAATTGGTGGGATCTTCCTGCAAATTTGGCAACTTAAGTAATTGAATGTGCTCTATCTTTTTTATATAAACACCAAAGAAGGTTTATGTGAAAGAAACTGTTCAAATGATGAGTCGGGCTCTTTGCCATTTTGACTAGCTGTGTTTGGGAGTCCATAAACTCCACGAAAGAAAAGCTTTGTGGAATCTCTCAAAAGTCATTTTGTAGAGAAATAGTGGATCCTTTTGATGAAACCAAACGTATATTTAAAGAAGGCTTTATGTGTGCAAAAAGTCCCTTTAAAGTTTGGCGCCGAGTCATAGTCCCCAACCCAATATTATAATCTATCAAATTGATCAAAGAATCATCTTAGATATCTAAGAATGATCTTAGGTATCTAAGAATGATCTTAGATAATAAATATAAGCGAACTTTCAACGGATTTCCATCCAAACGCAAATCGGAAAGCGAGGAGAGTTGCACGAGGACTTCTGGTGGAAATGAGGAGGATGAATGCAACAAGTTGTATCCCAAATTGAGGCTAAACTTTAGATGTCAGATAAAAGCTATATCAGATAGATTTTTATTTAATATAGCATAGATTTAAATCGATAATATCTCGGAGACACATGATCTTCGGTTTTGTGTTTTCGGGTATCAGATATAAGCTTGTGCTCAGAGTCGCTTGTGTGCTTTGGGTCTCCATCTTGCATGAATGGACAAGGGCCAAAATGGGACATCCCTATCCCATTTTGGCTTGTGCATGAGGTATCATTTGAGTCTCCAATATTGTACTCCTATATTGGAGTACAATATTGGACTTGTACTTGTGAGCATCCATAATTCCGTCTATCAAGACTCACAGACAAACGCAAACTCTCTAGCGCTTAATTTCGCTTTTTCTTCAGCTTCACAAGAAGCTCTTCACAAGAAAACAATGCACTAGAAAGCCTGTGTTTCCATTTTTAAGCTCAAAATACATTTAAACTCACTGTGTAAGGTGGCACAATTGAGTGACCGCCACCGGGATTTTCGATAGATTTGCGGATTCTAAGTCGAGGCTCTAAAAAGGGATTAAATCGAAAGATCAAGAGCTTTGAGCTTTGAGCAAGTCAAAGCTCAAGCTCATTTCCAGCTCGAGCTCATTTCCAGCTCAAGCTCATTTCCAGCTCGAGCTCATTTCCAGCTCAAGCTCATTTCCAGCTCGAGCTCATTTCCAGCTCGAGCTCATTTCCAGCTCGAGCTCATTTCCAGCTCGAGCTCATTTCCAGCTCGAGCTCATTTCCAGCTCGAGCTCATTTCCAGCTCGAGCTCATTTCCAGCTCGAGCTCATTTCCAGTTCGAAAAACAATGTCTCTTTCAACCTTTAAAGACTTGAGTGAAACAAAAGCCAATGGATGAATGGAGTGAATTGGAGTGTGATCGAGAGACAAAGATCGCAATAATGGCATCCCGGTGAGCGATGTTGCTGTCAACACCTGGAATTAGGCACTTTAAACCTATTCTATAGTTAGAATATTTGGCTTGCGTTTAAGATTGGGGTTCTATTTGCGAAAAGCCACTAATGGCATCCCGGTGAGCGATGTTGCTGCACATCGATTACACCCCTGTGTAAATTTTTTTTTTCTTTAAATCAAAAATCCGAACACTACAAATTTTAAGTTAGGCCCAAAAATGAACGGAAAAAATAAAATGATCCGAAAAGCATCATCCAAAATTTCAGAATTAAAGGCGGCGACTTTGATGTTAGTGAAATTTCATATTTCATCGAACCATAAAGTGTTATATGTCATTCAATAGCTCTTTTCACGCTCTTTCAAAATGCTGAATTGAGTTTTTGTGGAATTCTATTTTTCCATGAAATTTTTTCCATATTCGGCGCCGAAAAGTCAAAATAATTTTTTTCACGAAAATCTAGCTGATAAACTAGGCTCAAAAAGCAAATTTCTGAATTCTACGCAAAAAGTTTGTCGGGAATTGTTTTTTAATTTTGTTTTTTGGTCAATGGAAACGCGAGCTCCGAAACCTAGGTTTTTTAGAAGTGCGCGGTTATATGGCCCGCGCGCACCTTTGATGTTGGTAAAATTTTTCTTTTGTGTCAAATCATCAAGTGTTATATATCATTCGAAAGCATTTTTATGTGTTTAAACATGGCGGAAAGAATTTCCCGAAAAATTTGACTTTTTATTAGTTTTGTCCGATTTTATAATCTGGAATGCAGTTTTTTCTGATTCTGCGGTACTTGCAGATCTGGTATAGTCTAGAAAAAATTTATTCTAAAAAAAGTGAAAAACGCAATTTTTTTGAAGAAAGAGTTACAATTCCAGGAAAGTTGAAATTGAGAGTATTTGTCAATTTCGGGTAGGCAACCCAGGTGCACAGCCAAATACAGCCTTGACAATTACTCGATAAATTACTATGCCAAAGGCATGACAGATGATAAAGTTATAAATGTCAATCGCAGGAGAAAATCATTTAGTTACAGACAATTTTGCTTCCCGATTATTTATTTTTTGATTATTAGCTTATTATTATTATTTTTCTTATTACATACATTCGTATTTCCTACACTTTCAAAACAAAAGTTATAATTTGCAGATGGGACGAACATCAGAAGCCAAAAAGTCTAGAAGTGGCAACTTGGAACATGGACGCCAAACGAATCAAAACAACATGCACGGATTACGAAGTGGGAAAGTGCTCCTGTGCAATCAAAAGAAGAAAGCTCATCACGATCCGCAGACAATCAACAAAAAGAAAAAGAATTCGACAGGAAAGCACATTTGAAAGGAGCACTGGAGGCAAGGATTCTGAAAGATAATGAAAAGAAAAGAGCCGAGCAAAATCGTCAAAACGCCGTCTATGTGGCAAAAGCAAAGCAAAACGATGATGATTCTGTTGCTTCAACCTCACATATTCAAACCAAATCACCGACTCCTCCAACTCCAGAAGCTCTACTCGGTATGAAAAAAAGTGCCAATCTATCAAATAAAGGACTATTATCTGTAAACCATTTTCTTCAATCAAACCAAGGAGTAACCATTGGCTCACAACGAACTATCGAAAAGGCCAAGAAGACTCTGGACCAGTTTGTCAGATATGAAATAGTTCTCAATGAAGGAGTAAGATTGGAAGCTGTGTTGAAAGCTGTTGAAGAGCGGCGAAGAAGATTGGATCTGCTCGATGAGCGAGGAAAACGGCTGATTTTTTCCCTCGATAAAGGACACGGTCGAGTTATTTCAACTATTTCATTCCTGAGCTGCGAAAAACCGTGCTCGTCTCGAAATTGTCTTCCATTACAAGCTTGGGAAGGTTCAGATTCTTACGACTCGCTGAAGGAAAAGGGAATTTGCAAAGACTTTGAGACTTTGGTGCAAGCCGGATATATGGTTTTTCTCGGTGGAGATCTATCTTTCTTGAACACCAATTTTGGTCTTTCCTGTGCGATGATGTTTGGATGTTTATGGTGCAACAAGAGGTTTGACAAAAAACCATCCGCTGATAAGGATTCAATTGATTTTCAACAATATGCTGATCGGAGTGACCCTTCGGTGGAAGCGATGATTTCAAAAGTAAAAGGTCTGCAGGCAAAAAAAGAAAATCTATTAAATGTTTCTCGAAGTTTGGTAATTCCCCCAATACTTCATGCAAAAATCAAGATTGGAAACCAACTTTTTGAACAATTGATGAAACTCGAAGGGTCCTCTCAGACTTTCCAAGATGTTTGTCGAAAATGGAAGTTGAATGTGAATCGGAAGAGTGATGGGATTATCTATGCTCGTTTCAACGGAAACGATATAAAGAATCTCTGTCGATCCTCAGTGATTTCGGATTTAGCAGTCGTTTCTTCCTCCCGTTCCTATCAAGTAGTCATTTCTGCATTACGTGAGTTTAACAAATGGTCTCAAATGGTTTCAACCACTAAAAGTGTTCTTTCGGATAAAGAAATAAAAGATTTGGCTTGCAAAGGCAAACATTCAAAAGCCAGAAACTGCTGCCAAACAGCGATTCTTTGCGATGAACTAGAAAAAGTTGGTGGTTTTGGACAAAGTGTACTGGTCCATGCTCTACTCTTACATCTTGGCCCATTTGTCCATGAGCATAAATTCATCGGAAATGCATCCGAAGAGGGCATTGAGGCAGTTCACAGCAGGCTAGAATCTGAATTTGCTCGAAACAAGACAGGACCACCAGAAGAGCGACTAATGAACTCGCTCAAGTGGCTCGGTTATGTTGTTCTCCTCAATGATGATGGAAATATGACATCTTAATTTCCTCCTTTTTGCTTAATGTTCAATTGTGATTCTTTTTTTTTGTCTAATTCATGCTTATAAATAGAATAAATTTTTTCTAGACTATACCAGATCTGCAAGTACCGCAGAACCAGAAAAAAACTGCATTCCATAAAATCATAAAATCCATAAAATCGGACAAAACTAATAAAAAGTCAAATTTTTCGGGAAATTCTTTCCGCCATGTTTAAACACATAAAAATGCTTTCGAATGATATATAACACTTGATGATTTGACACAAAAGAAAAATTTTACCAACATCAAAGGTGCGCGCGGGCCATATAACCGCGCACTTCTAAAAAACCTAGGTTTCGGAGCTCGCGTTTCCATTGACCAAAAAACAAAATTAAAAAACAATTCCCGACCAACTTTTTGCGTAGAATTCAGAAATTTGCTTTTTGAGCCTAGTTTATCAGCTAGATTTTCGTGAAAAAAAATTATTTTGACTTTTCGGCGCCGAATATGGAAAAAATTTCATGGAAAAATAGAATTCCACAAAAACTCAATTCAGCATTTTGAAAGAGCGTGAAAAGAGCTATTGAATGACATATAACACTTTATGGTTCGATGAAATATGAAATTTCACTAACATCAAAGTCGCCGCCTTTAATTCTGGAATTTTGGATGATGCTTTTCGGATCATTTTATTTTTTCCGTTCATTTTTGGGCCTAACTTAAAATTTGTAGTGTTCGGATTTTTGATTTAAAGACGATTATTTTTGTAACCTATGTGTGCTGCCTATAAACTAGATCAGACTAGGTTAGAAGGTTTAGACTCCAAATGTTATGCGATCTATGCCATTTGAGGCAGAATTTTCTGCTGATTCCGAGTATGTATTCTGTTATTTTTTGACAATCTGCGAGGAGTTCTAAGTTTGTTAGGGTGTTAAGAAAGTTTGTTAGGATTCTGAAAATGTGATCATTTGGTGGCCTCCTTGCGTCTTAGCGGTCTCCTTGGAAACCTATTTCACTGCAGCTGTGGCGGAGTGGTACAACGCTCGTTTTCAGAGCGAGAACTCGCGAGTTCGATTCCCGCTTTTGGAACAAAAAAATTTAAAGAGTCGAAAGCCGGGATCGAACCCTCGTGGTCTCGCTCTAGAAACGAGCGCTTTACCACTCGGCCACGGATGCAGTGAAACAGGTGAACAAGGAGGCCGCTAAGACGCTAGGACGTGGTCATTTGGTTGCCTCTTTACTTCTTAGAGGCCTCTGCTTCTTAGCGGCCTCCCTGTAGACCCTTTCCACTACATCCGTGGCCGAGTGGTACAGCGCTCGTTTCCAGAGCGGGACCACGCGGGTTCGATCCCGGCTTTCGACTCTTCCGCTGATTTCTGCTGACTTTTTTCAACTGCTGACAAGTATTCTTTGTGAGGATCAGAGCCAGCTGGAAAAAAGTCAGATCCAAGAAAATGTCATTTTTACTCACCGAAATCCTTGTGTAGCTGAGCTTGAGATATTTTAAACGTCGATTGTTCGCGAAAGCTTTCGGTGGAATTGATGTCAAGGGATTTTGGGACAAATCGAGAACTCGTAAATCGACACAACGAGAGAAGGAATGAGTGGAGAAAGCGGTGAGCTGAAATTGCAAGAATTGCTACTACAGCTCTAACTCTGAAAAGTTTCACGAAAGTGCTGGGTTTTTTTGAAACCTGATTCCAATTCAAATCGAGATCTTTCAATTGTGCGCTCACAAAGACCACATTTTGCAGATCATCGATGAGATTTGACGATAGATGAGCCGATTGAAGGGAGTGAAGCTGAGAGATTGCGGACACCGAACGAAGCTCGGTGCCTAGAAAAGAAAAGAAAAGGATTTGCTTTTGAAGTGAGACACATCGATGCCTGTATTGTGCTTTATTGCACTCAACTACTTTACGAGAAGCATACTGTAGTTAGGCAAGAGACGGACTATGTAATCTAGTAGGAAATCTAGTAATCTACTAGTAAATCTAGTAATCTACTAGTAAATCTGGTAATCTATTAGTAAATTTAGTAATCTACTAGTAAATCTAGTAATCTACTAGTAAATTTAGTAATCTACTAGTAAATCTAGTAATCTACTAGTAAATCTGGTAATCTATTAGTAAATTTAGTAATCTACTAGTAAATCGAGTGATCTACTAGTAAATTTAGTAATCTACTAGTAAATCGAGTAATCCACTAGGAAATCTAGTAATCTACTAGGAAATCAAGTAATCTATTAGTAAATCTAGTAATCTACTAGAAAATCTAGTGATCTTACTAGTAAAAATAGTAATCTACTAGTAAACCTAGTACTCTACTAGTAAATCTAGTAATCTACTAGGAAATCTAGTAATCTTACTAGGAAATCTAGTAATCTATTAGTAAATCTAGCAATCTACTAGCCTCTCGCTACAAACAGCCGTCTTTGAATTTCCTAAAACGTCTTTGGATCGCCTATTTTCCACCAAACTACTCGAAAAGCTTAGAGTTGTTCAATCGAAATCCTCCTTTTACCTTTTATCGTGATCCTTGTCAATTTCTCATTCTTAATGATTTCTCTTGGCAATTGCGTAAGACTCGAGTTCTCGATGTGTAAAGTTTCCAATGTGAGCAATGATGGGAAAATCTAGATTCGCAAAAATTAGACTTCACCATTTCATCGCTCAAACTTTATCCGCAAAATTGAAATCCACATTTAACAAACGGAGATACTTTAAACGTTTCGCATCTCTTAAAAACTCGACAATTTTGACGAATTTTCTTGAGTGAAACGAGAATTCGACAGTCTAAAATGATTGCTATGATTCGACAGTATGTATTATTTTAAAGTATTATGTGAAAGGATTATGTGAAAGCATTATTTTAAAGTATTATGTGAAAGCATTACGTGAAAGCATTATTTTAAAGTATTAGTTTATTATAAATATCATATTGTTCAAGTATTTTGAGTGTTTTTGACTTCAATAATCCTAGTCGAGCTGTATTTCTAAAGTGCGGTGCAAAACCATACACCACCCCCTAAATTTCAATTTTCTGCGGCTCCCGTGCCAGTGACAAAAAAACTGAAAACGTAGTTGCAAATCACGCTTGATTTCATTTGCCGATCTCGTAGAGTTTGAGGCTTTGTTTCTGATATGGCGTTCGGCCCGTTTGGAGAGCTTCTTGTGATGACCATGCGCATTTGAAGTACCATATTTGAGTGGAGCTTTGAGGTAACCTCTTGAGAGGCTCTTGAGAATACAGGCTCTTGAGAGATTGGTTCGACGACTCATCTCGGAAATTGACAATCCAAGTTGCTGGTGAGGTCGAGTTGAGCTTGCTCCCCGTCAGAGAGTTGAGTTGCTTTCGGCATTGTTTTTTTTAAGCTGAAGTAAGACAAGGTAAGCTCTTTAGGACTCCTTATAAGGAATCTGAAGTGAAAGGGCGGCACTTATGTTTGTCAGAGGCAGCTTTTAAACTAGAAAAAAAAAGTATGAAATGACACCAAAATTTGGGGGGTGGCGTATGGTTTTGCATCGGGTGAATTTTCGTTTTGTGAGTTCATCTTGGATGTGCCAAAGACGAGGCGCCCCAACACATCACCGAACCCCCGCGAAGTTGCGCTTTGAGAACAGTTATGGATTCTTGCGCAAGTCACACCAATAAGAGTATCCACCATCAGGCCCATCCAGGTTGAGCTTTTTCTCAACGAGGGAGGGGGGGAGGGGGGGGGAGGGAGGGGAGGAGGGAGGGGGTGGCGTATGGTTTTGCATCGGGTGAATTTTCGTTTTTTGGCTGTTACATTTTCCCTATTCATGCTATGTCGACGATTTTTGGGGTGTAAGGGTTATTTTTGGTCCTGAATCTAACTACGTTTTCAGTTTTTTTGTCACTGGCACGGGAGCCGCAGAAAATTGAAATTTATGGGGTGGCGTATGGTTTTGCACCGCACTGTAGTCATTTTTTAGTTAAATAGCGCATTTGTTCAATAAAATCATTCAAATCATTCAAATAGTCAACTTTTTTTCATTAAATCATTAAATAGATCCGAATTCTACGTTTAAAACCACAATGGTACCTCCAATCTTCGAAAACATCCACCCAAATTCAAAGCTTTCGTTCCAACATCAAAAAAAGTAATCGAAACAACATTTAGAGAACATAAAGCATTCAGAAATCCTTCTGTTTCACTGAAAAATTGTTTTTATCAAAGTTTTGAGTGTTTTAAATGTTTTAAGTGTTCTTCTCAAACCTATTCCATTTGTCGATTGTCACAAAATAGGGTAATTGAAGATTCGGGAAGATTGATGGGTTGCAGGACTAAATTATTGAGAATCTTAACTTTGCTTTGACTCAATAGCTTTGAATGTCTGTTCTTCAATGTTCTTTTGGCTATAAGAACTATAAGTTTACTATAAACTAGAGCTGTTTACTATAAAGTAGACTTCGGAAAACAAAACTTAACCAAAGCCAAAACCACCAAAACCAAAACAAACCAAAACCAAAACTAACCGAAACTCGCGATTGGGAGGAGCTAGCGAAAATCTGTTTGCAGATTTGAAATCAGCGTCCAAAAATCTATCCCATAGGCTATTTTTTGTTTCGAAATTTCGAGGTCGTGTTTTGGTCCTTTTTTCGGTCCTTGTTTAGGTCCACAAAATCTCGCGGCCGAAAAAAGGACCAAAACACGACCTCGAAATTTCGAAACAAAAAATAGCCTATGGGATAGATTTTTGGATGCTGATTTCAAATCTGCAAACAGATTTTCGCTAGCTCCTCCCAGTCGCGAGATTTTGGTTAGTTTTGGTTTTGGTTTTGTTTTGGTTTTGGTTTTGGTCTGTTTTGGCTTTGGTTTTGTTTGCCGAACTATAAAGTCTACTATAAAGTCTTTATTTTATGGGTTCTCTAACAAATTGCTTGCTACAAAAAAACACTACCGTAATTCTCAAGTTGAAAAGATTCACTGTTAAATGTTAAATTAAAGTAAGCTGTCCAGAAAGCTGTCCAGAAAGCTGTCCAGAAAGCTGTCCAGAAAGCTGTCCAGAAAGCTGTCCAGAAAGCTGTCCAGAAAGCTGTCCAGAAAGCTGTCCAGAAAGCTGTCCAGAAAGCTGTCCAGAAAGCTGTCCAGAAAGCTGTCAGAAAGCTGTCAGAAAGCTGTCCAGAAAGCTGTCCAGAAAGCTGTCCAGAAAGCTGTCCAGAAAGCTGTCCAGAAAGCTGTCCAGAAAGCTGTCCAGAAAGCTGTCAGAAAGCTGTCCAGAAAGCTGTCCAGAAAGCTGTCCAGAAAGCTGTCCAGAAAGCTGTCCAGAAAGCTGTCCAGAAAGCTGTCCAGAAAGCTGTCCAGAAAGCTGTCCAGAAAGCTGTCTTTTCTTTTCGTCCTTTCATTTAAAACCAACTCCACCAATTGACGGTTTATTTAATTAGAAAAGCCAATTATTTTTCTGCATAATAATAGGTTGATGCATAAGTCTTTTCGTTTTTTTCGTACTTCTGTTAAAAAGTAACAAATTCACCAATTAATCTATAGTTTGCTCTATAAAAAAAAGTGTTTTTTTGTTCAATTTGCATCTTTTTAAATGAATTTCGGTTCACTTTCAAGCAAATTCGAGAGTGAAAAACGCCTTTTTCGTAAAAATCTATAAAAAAACTCTACGGGAAAATTGGCTGAATGAATTTCTCTGAAATTTTGGCGAAATATCAAACGTTTTTTTTCTCTATCTTTTATCTATTGACACGAAGATAGGTTTTCTTTAGCTAAGGTGTCTAAACCGCATCATCGAGTTAGCCCTTTTTGACTACCCGACTTCATACTCTCAAGAAACTCCAGGCATTAAATATTTTTAAACCCGTTTTAATGTTATTTTGCAGAAAAATAATTGGTTTTTCTAATGAAATCAACCGTAGTTTAATTGGTGCATTTGTTGGCTTGAAACGGCAGACGAAAAGGAACGAAAAGACTTATGCATCAACCTAATAACATTAAGACGAGTTTAAAATGTCTTCTGTCTATATTTTGGGGAGCATGAAGTCAAGTAGTCAAAAAAAGCGACGACTACCGAGACGGTTCCAATACGGTTCTAATACGGTTCCTATTTTGTTCTGATACGGTTCCAATACGGTTCCAATACGGTTCTAATACGGTTCCTATTTTGTTCTGATACGGTTCCAATACGGTTCCAATACGGTTCCAATACGGTCCTATTTTGATCTAATATCTAGTCGTCGCTTTTTCCGTTCCTATTCCGTTCCTATTCGATTCCTATTCTGTTCCTATTCCGTTCTGACTCATCGACTCGATTTTTTGGAAGCCTCAAGTCGAGTAGTCAAAAAAAGCGACGACTCGGTTCTTATTCCGTTCCCACTCGAGACCGATTTGATTCCGATTCGACAACTCGATTTTTTGGAAGCCTCAAGTCGGATAGCCAAAAAGGGCGACGACTCAGTTCCTATTCAATTCCTATTCCATTCCTATTCCATTCCTATTCCATTTCTATTTCTACATTCGTCATTCTTGGTGTCACAGTGGTTCTTAGATGTGGGTGTATAATGGAAAGGAAGTGAGTGGGATCTAATGGGATGGTGCTGTGTGGGTATAACGGGAAAGTAGCGCTTATTTAAACGTCTAACCTCTTTTCCGCAGCTCAACTCGCCGATCTGAAGGCTACACTCGCACTCGTCACTCTCGCAAAGTCCAATCGGTGAATAGTGTTCGAAGGGTGGAGTGGCACTGTTGCAACACACCTAATGCATCATTGTTTCTCTGCTAATCGTGATCAATAGCTCTTTCAAAGCTTCAAAGCTGTTTAGAAGCTCTTTAGAAGCTCTTTCAAAGCTCTTTCAATTCAGATACGGTTCCAATATGGTTCCAATATGATTCCAATATGGCTCCAATATGGTTCCAATATGGTTCTCTTTCAAAGCTCTTTAGAACCTCTTTAAAACCTCTTTCAAAGCTATTGGTCAAGATGATCAAGTAACAAACTCTGATCGAAATCCATTCACTCATTCACAAACCAAATTAAAGCCCTCGGTTCTCGTGTGCAAATTCGGACACTCATCGCGATTTTGCGTTGAATTCGACTGGATTCGATTACTCAAAAGTGTCGACGAAACAATTGCAGCGAAGAAAGCCAGTAAATAAAAATCAAAAGCTTTCAATAGTAAGCGCATAGCTGAAAATTCCTCTCAAACCTTTGTGCTTATCGTTTTTAAAGGTGAAATTCATAGAGAATTTTCATTTTTCTCTCATAAAAGTATGCGGAAATTGAAATTTTTAAAATTCAAAGAAAAAAATTCAAAAAAACAAGTCTAAAAAGAAACTATTGGGTTTTGATGGAAAGATCCTCTCTTACGATTCAACTTGACACGACATTCCTGAAAAAAGCCTTCTAACAACATAAAAAAAATGATTAAACGAGAAAAACGAAGGAAAATCGCGAAAAGCGGCGGAAAGGCTATTGATCTGAGGGTCGCTGGTTCGACTTCCACCGGTGACAATATTTTTCAAAAATTTTCTGCTAAGATTCTGAAAATGCGTGTCTAGGGGTTATTTTTGACGCTGATCACGAAACACATGTTTTTAGCCTAGGTTTCTGCACGGAAAACTAACGAAACGTGAAAACAGCCATTTTTTGGCTCTGCCGCCCTTTACTAAAATAACTGTAAAAACTTTTAGAAAAGAGATATCTCAAAACGGTTTTTACCAATCGATCCGTCTTGAATTCAGCTTTAGGATGAGCTATAAAACGTCAAAATTCGACAAATTTAAGGTACTCTCCCAAAAAACCGGAAACGACTTTTCCATCAACCCAATATAATAGATAGAAAAGAGAGATTTTTAGAGAAAAATGATGAATTACTGAAAAATTGATGTCAGAATGTTTTTTTCTATTTAAATTTCTATTAAGCTATTTATTTAAGCAATAGAAAAGTAAATCTCAAAAGAGAATGCGTCTCATTTGTGCCAAGAAAACGCAAAAGCGCAAATGCTCGGCGTGAAATTTGATTTTCTCAACAAAGCGTATGCCTTTTCTAAAAGATCCTCGTCGAGAAAAATGAGTAGTGTAGAAAAACACACAACAAATGAGTGAGAAGCGCAAGAAAAGTCGTTTGGATTGAAAAGAAAAGAACTAGCCCTAATCCACCTTTCATTCGATTGTAGTTTAAAAAAGTGTCATAATAGAAAACGTCTAAAGCTTTGTTAGGACCAAAAAAAGTCACGAATTTCGAAAATCCAAATTCACGAATTTCTTAGACTTAGACTTTCTTAGAATTAAATAAATGAAAAAAAAAATTAGCACTAATGAAAAAAATTAAATCATTAAAAAAAGATTTCAGTTTTTTAAAATTTGAACTAATAAGATATTCAGTTAATGAACTAATAAGATATTCAGTTAAAGAAAATGTTTTGGCCAAAAAATGATTTCATTCTTCATTTGCTTTTCTCTAAATTGATTCTCATCATCATCATATGATATTTTATCACATTTGGCGACCTCCTTTCGCCTTCTCGACCTCCTTGCGGACTGGCCTAACTGCCGTGGCCGAGCGGTACGGCGGTTGTTTCCAGTGTGGGACCTCACAAGTTCGATCCTCAGTTTGGCTTTTTCTTTTCCAAGATCAGAATCGAACTTGCGAGGTCTCGTGCTGGAAACGAACGCTGTACCACTCGGCTACAGCTGCAGTAAAACAGGTCCCCGCAAAGAGGCCGCCAAATGAGTCTTCGAGCCGTTCTAGCCGCATTTCCAAACAAAGCTTTAAACGCTTGCAACTCCTGACAGCTTGTCATTTAGCAAAAACGGAATATCTATTCGGAATCATTATAAAATTCCGCCTCAAATGTCATAGATCGCATAACATTTAACCGGCTCAGTCAGTCGACCTTTCCTTGTAAAATTGGGTTGATCGGATGCAAACTCGCAGTCAGATTACTGTAGTTTTCCAAAACAGATGCCTTTTAGAACGTGCATTAGCCGAAAAAAAAACCCTCTAATCGTTTAATTGATTGAAAATGTCAAAGTTTTTGCTCTATTGCAAAGTCTAGGAGTCGAAAAAAACAACAAATTCCGAATCTAATTAGCGCAATATCACAAGAAGGCTCGTCTCAATGTGCCTCCGGAGTGTAAAGCTAAATGAAAAAAAACCCAAAGAGATCCTCTTTTACCCAACTCACAAAGCTTCCTCCAATTCAAACCAAACTTTGCTTCTTCAATCAAATCCGATTCGTCCAATCAGCCACCCATTGTTCATCAAAAATTGTTGTTCCCTTGAAAAAGAACGGCGCATTCCCTTCTTTTGGAACCACTACGATTTGTGGAAAAAAAACTTTTAAAAGTTCAAAAATTTACGAAATCTATAAAATTAGCAATAGACGAGATCAAATCACAGAAAATTTGTCACCCAAAAGTACGTGTTAAAAGAGAGAAAATATATTTAAAAACTTCTTTTGTTAATTTAGCCATCTTCCAATCGTCGTACTGTATCTATAATCAAAATTTTACAAAATTAGAATAAAAATAATTACCTTTTCCACAATTTTTCTCCATATTGTGCATAAGCGACGCCGAAAAGAGCACCTCCCAAATGAGCGGCATGATCGAATAATCTAAATTAAAAACTAAAATAAAAAATATCTCATGCACAGAATTTATAAAACTCGATCTTTTCAGAGCGTTTAAATTTTAACATTCAATTTACTTTTTTCGAAAAACTTACTTAAAACCAAACAATAGTCCCGCTAGGTCAAATAAAATCACTCCGATAATCGCTGATTGTGCCGAGAAGTCGAAAAATGGCAAGAAGACGATTTGTAGACGTGCCTCGGGAATCTAAATAAAAATTTTTAAAAAAAGCTCCAAAACAACTACCTACCTTGCAACATGTATAAGCCAGTAATCCAAGAATAGCTCCACTCTGAAAGAAATAATTTCAAAATTGTCTTGCTTTTGGCTTTAAACTTATAAAACTCACTGCTCCAAGGGCCCTAATCGGTGAACGGATGGCGGATTTGTGCATAAGGGACGTCAGTGAGGAGACCACACTCGCCGATGCGTACATAGCGCAAAATTGAGGCACACCAAGGAATTTATCGATTGAAACCTAGAATAAATAAACTATAGAATTACAGAAAATTAAAAGGCTTACGGTTCTCTATGTTTCTCAAGAATTCGGTCAAAAGTATTGACTGAATACTTGAAAAACATAGGATCTGCTAGAAGCAATAAATTGAACTTACACTTGCAAACGTCCATAACACGTACCTAAAATTTATTGGCTAGTAAAAGATCAGTAACCCGTAACGTACATATTGATGCCAAGATGTAGCAATGATGAGTGTGAAAATGCGGAGAGCAACATCGGCGAGCATAAGGATCGAGAAGCATAACTAAAATCTTTTATCTCAAACCTCACTGAATTTTCAAACAAATGCTAAACATCAAAAAAAGTTACCTGTTGCTAAAATATCGCCACATAAACGCCCTTAGTTGCGGAATTTTCCATAAAACCGTAACCGTGCAATTGGCGAGGACGAGAAATAGCGCACACTTCATACCGGGCGAAAACTCAAACTCTCGCTCCTCATTCGGTGACTCCTAAAACTTATTTTCATAAAATAAAGGAATAAAAGTTCAACTACCATTCGTTGTGCTTGTTGGTAAAATTTTCGGACAATTAACTCGGCTTCTTCGTGAAACTTTCGACGACTTTTCTCATCCCAAACTGCAGCTAACGTAAAGGCACCAATCGACACCGAAAATTTGATCATACACGCCATTAAAAAACTTTTTTTTAAAGCGATTAAGTGAGTAAATTAAACACATACCCCTGCCGTAAAAGCTCCTGCTTTCCACAAGTCTCTTGGAGGGCGTAGAGATATTGCATCTGAGTAATAGACGTCAGCTCGATTTGTGCGTTGCTAAAACAAATATTTTTCATATTTATCTACAATAAAAAGAGTAACGCATACCGTTTCAGTCACTTTTTGAAGCCTTTGACGTAGTGTTTCTCGGCTGAATCGATCCCATAACCCCGAAGACCGAGATAAACAACGGCTCTTCAAAATACAAAATTATAATCCTCTTCAACCACAACTCACCTGAAGCCGAACTACAAAGTGCTGAATCATCAAATCAAGCAGAAAGCCTGTAAATTCTTGATCAAATCCCTTAAAGAAATTACACCTTTAAGAACATTAGTTCATAAAATGATCATAAAATTATAGTATACTTTGAGAACGAAGTAACTCTTGTTGTGCAATTTTAATGACGCAATATGACAAAGATTTATTTTGAACAAAACTGAGATCAACAAAGTTTTATAGATTTTTGTATTTTTAACGAAACAATACTGTAACAAAAAACGCTAAGGAATAAAGCTGGAATGTCCTTGCACAACTGAAAAGTAAAAACAAACAAACAAAAGATAACAAAACAAGTGGCTCATGTTACCCGTAATCAATGAAGCGGCAAGAGGCTGAGTAATCGCGTTTGACTTTTTGCTTTAAGAAATTCAACTATGACAACTATGACAAGCTCATTAAACGCAACAATCGTCCAGTTAAAAGTAGAAACAACAACGTAAACAAAGTTTAAAAAAGCACAAAAGACTTAACCCAAAGTTTTTGTCATAACAGCTGCGGTGGCATTTGCCAAAACGGTAGCTGCCGTTGTAGCAGCTGCATTCACGTGGTCATGTTCATCATGGGCACCACTAAACATAAACTTTTAAAAGTGAAAACACGCATAAATACAAACCCAGCTCCGTGTGAGTGCCCATGACCATGCCCATCATCGAAAAGGCGCACCGCTCCAATCATCGTAAAGCCAAGCAGCATAAAGACGAGTTTTAGAAGATTTGGATGTTCGTTGTCTCGCTCATGAAGCAACACCTACAACAGAAAATGACTTTGCTATAAAGTAAAAACTTTACTTCAAAGAATGTGACGTAAATGAAGGTTCCGACTGCAAGTCCTTGAAAAATGGTCATCAAAGCTTCTTTGAAAGCGCCATCAATGGTGTTTTGGACAATCATTCCAAACAAAGCCCCGAGCGGTGACATCGAGGCAAGAATAAGCATTGAAATGACCACCTAAACTATGATTTAAGAAATAGAATGGTGACGAACTTACCATATAAAGAGCATGTGCGTGAGTACGAGCGAGCTGCAATCCGACCGAAAAGGCGACAATAAGTTTGTGAACCATCAGCGAGAAGAACAATGTATAGGCATCAGTTGGACTATTCTAAAATCATAAATGCTTAACAATAGCGGCTATACAAACCGTGATTCCCAAAGCAACACCCTCGACGATTGAGTGGAAAGAAAGTGCGGCCACAAATGTAATTGAGCGGACACCATGTGAGTGAGCATGAGGCTTAGATGCCATCAGAATTGGTGGATCTTCATCAACTAAAACACAAATATTTTCAAATAAAAAACAACGCGATCCACCTTTCTCGCAATTTGTCTCACATCGCTCTGGTTCGGCCAAAATAACCGCTGTGCACAGCCTAAATATAAGAATGACTATGATGATAAATGTGTACTACAGAGGAACAGATTTTTTTTTTACAGAGATCTGCAAAAATTTGGACTGGTCAAGCAACATGGGGTACAAAAGCACAAAGTGAGAATGGGCCTATGATGAAACGCGATACCCATCATCAGACATATATCTACGTGGCCCGTGAAACTCTTCTAATTTTTGCGAGTAATGTTTTCGTGCATAATCATCAACCGAGCCATAATCTCGGAATCTCCGTTTGGCAATTGGTCTGGATTTCAAATCGTCTTATCATTAATCAATTAGAAATAACCAATCCAAAAACTTACTCTGTTGACACCATTTTGCAATTGCTTGGCTTTTCTTGAGAATTTCCACGTCGGTAAACTGAATGTACGGTGAGGGCACAATGAGTACGGCAATGGCCTTGGGTTTCCGATCCAATACTTCCGCGCTCAATGTCAGCATGAACTTCTTCATCATTTAAAACTAAAAGTGTACATTACATCCCGGAACAGTGTTAGTTTATCGTTTCTGAATGGTATCCACAAAACTTACCGTTTAGGGGTGTCGATTCTTGTTTGCCTTTGTCTTGTTCAGAAGCACCGGGAACAAGACAGCAACCGCCACTTTGTGAAGCACCAATCAACGCATCACTAGAATTTCACGTTGAAGGTTTAGTGAAATAATTTTTACGTGTCAACGGGTTGATGTCCGTGCGCCTGACCATGACTATGCCCGTGTCCAGCACCATGAGCAAATGAAGGCATCGCCATAATCACAACCTAAATATATTATTAGTTCCGTTTTTCAATTTTATATTACCTCTTCCAAGAAGAAGAGCAGAAAGAACCCAATGCATGAGATGAGTTCAGCGATCGGGTAGTGAATGTCAAGATGAAAGCTAAGCGCAAATATTATATTTTAAAAATTCAACAACTTACTCCTCATTAAATGCATTCCATGTTTCTTGTAACTCCGGGAACAAGTGGAGAAAGCAGGTGCCAAGGAACACTCCGCCTAAAAAAACGTATTATTGAAGTAGCTTTGAAATGAGCGTTTACTGTTTAGCAAAAGCTTGAACAGCAAAAATACCGGAGAAACAAGTGAGTAGACAAAGTATCAAAGAAACGTTTTTGTGCTCGCGTGACGACGTCGCAACAGCAGCCGAGTGTCTGAGAAGACTGAGCACCTAAAAACAAACAAACAGAGATAAATAAAATAAGCCCAATGTTCAAGTTTAACGTCATAGTTAGTTTTAACTAAACATTCCGTGAAACCAAACAAACTCACTTTTATTGGCATGAGTCCTACGAATAGTGTCAAGACAAACATCGCCAGAAACAGCAGCAATTTGATGAGTATGATGTCCATCTTGCTAAAATAATTCAATTGTCATAAAAAACAAGATAAAAGAGAGTTAAGAAGGAAAACGGAACAGTTTCATCAAAATGGGCACACTATACAGACTTTTAAACGAAGCATGATGCACACCTTTCAAACGAAGAACCAATAAATATGTTATGCATGAACAAGCTTTTGAAAACGAGGTTTGGCATTGAAAGAAAAAGTGTGATTCATTTTTACAAGCTTTTACAAATTTTAACAATGAGTTTTAAACGTAAAAATCTTATTGCCCTTTAGAATTGCAAATTTTACGTTAGAATTTTCTTTTTAAAGTGATAAAGGTCACATGTTGGACGGATATTTTATGAGAAGGAAATGCGCGGGAGAAAAAGGTGGATAAAACAACGAAAAAAACAACACGCGCAAATCGGGGCACAGAACAAAAATCGTTTCACTCCTCGTTTCGCTGATGGCTTTTGTGCTGTTTGCGTCGTAGTTTTATGCGCAATTTAATCAGTTTTCGTTTTGCATTATTTTAACTGAATGTCTTAAAACAAAAAACCGTTAATACTAGCGCGTGTGGCATAGATAAATAATTTTGCGTCACAAATGTTCGGACTATACAGACTTTGCCCAGACTTCTTTAAAGCCTGGTTATTTAAACCCAACAACACTGTAGTCTCAACAAAAAGACAAAAATTGCCAGCCATCAAAACTTTCTGCCGCCACAAGTTATAAAAAGAGAGAAATTGTGTGAGCACAAAAGAGCGCGGCGTCTCTATTGCACGACATGAGCAACCCACAAGAAATGCATGAGCTGTTATTTGCTCAACAACGCTTGAGAAAAAAAAATCGGCAAAAGGCTAGATGAGGAATGAAAAAAGCGATTGGTCCTATAGACTTCGTAATTTTGCTCTCGTTTTTCCCCGCTCAATGACAACGAGATTTGGGGAGATGACAGAGAAAAGAGAGGGAGAAAGGCAACACATACACAATGTGCCCGGCAACAGGCACAGGAATGGAATTAATCCCAAATCGATAGCCTTGCACAGACACTTTCCCGTCTTTGTCAAAATTTTTGAAATTATTTGATTAAGTCCTCCTCTTTTCTTGCTTTTGACACTGCAAATAGATTCAGTAGCTTATCATTCATTGACACGTTTATCATATTTTTGTTGAGCTACCGTTCGTTCGAAACGTTCGAAAGTCAGCAAATAGGAAAATTTGCAATTCACGTATTTTTGCAAAATAGAAAAAATAGACCTAGACATTTGAACTTTTCGCTTAACATAAAAACTTGTTTTCGCCTTATCGCAGCCATTAAATCAACGCGTTGTTATCTAAGCCCCAACTCCCAATTGGTCAATTTTAGACCAATTTCCCCTAGTTTCTTGATATTTTCTGTTTAACTTTTTGTAAAACCTTTTTCTAGCGTTTAAATTTAGATTATGTTCACGAAAAGCTTCTGCCAGTGTCGTCATCTTTCAACAAAATCACCACCGTCTAAAGCGAGTCAAAAATTATCTTCTGTTTATGGAGCTGGTCTATCAGCGTCGGGAGCCCTAGCGATACCTTCTTTGGTTGTCAATACAAAAATCGTAAGTGTTTTCACCTTTTTCAAGTTATAGGATAGGCTAATTTCTGCCATTTTATTTGCACAACTGGGTCTTTTGCGCAACTCGCCATAACTTTGTTCTAAGTGAGCTAAGCTTTATGTTTTTGGTGTCATTTTGTAGATCTCAATAAGTGCAACAAAATGACACCAAAATCATAAGGATTAGCTCACTTAGAACAAAGTTATGGCAAGTTGCGCAAATGGCGGAAATTAACCCACGCCCAAGTTATAAATAAATAAATTAGATCCCTCCCCGATTTGTGAAGAGCCCTCGAAGGATATCTGCGTTAAACTTCTCCGAAATCACTCATGTCGCTTCTGGATTTGGCTTCTCATTGTTTTCTTCTCGCAATAAATTATATGGCAGTGGACTCAATAACTAGTGGGCTTTTATGAAACTTTCGTCAATTGATATAGTTCTCAGATTACGGCTATTGAAACAAGTTCTGGCGGGCAGGATTATTACATTTCGAAGAAACATATACCACTTCCGAGAGGCGGCATCATTGTTGGAATAGCTGCAGGTTTCATGTTTTAAAAATTAAAGCTTGCAAATAAGTTCTTTCAAGGAAATTTCAAAGTTAAGTTTTTTAGGAAGAGCCCATTCTCTGGTGGCGTTTAAAGACTGGGTATGCGCATTTGGCCATAATGTGCATGGCCAATGTGGTTTGGATCCAGAGCAGCAAGAAGTTGTTGTTCAGGTTAGATATTTTTGATGAAGTTGAAGTTTAAAAGATAAGAAAAAACTATTTTTTTATGAGCTTGAAGCACATGTAATATTATTGTAAGAAAAATATTTACCGAAAAAGAAATGGCTGTATTGCTTTAGTAAAATCTTTAGATTTTGCACGTTTAGACTAACAGGATGATTCATAATTTAAGAAAATTTTTTGCTTGATTTAAAAAAATCGTTGCAAACACTTAGATTTCAAGTTTAGAGCTCCGATCCGCAAGCAGCTTCTACGAGTCTGCTCAATGAGACACCAATTTTGGACGTTCATTGCTCGCTCGATTCGTCCTTTATTCTGACAACAAAAGGCGAGGTAAATTTTATTTTCTAAGCCAAGTTATCAATGGAGTACTCAAATATAGCACATCAATAATTACAAGCTTCTTATCATGTATCGATTTTACTTTTATTTAGGTGTATGCTTTTGGTTTGAATGAAGACGGACAATGTGCGAACGAAGAATTTGGCATTCAGGTCAATCCATCAAAAATCAAAGGTAGGTTTTATTTTTAGTTAAATTGCAATCAATTAGAGCAAATTTTTAAATTTTTAGGAGATACAACCGGAGAGGAAATCGTTGCTGTAACTGGAAGTACGGATACGATTTTGGCAATTTCAAAGAAAGGAGATCTCTTCGCTTGGGGTCAAAATGAACATCATCAAGCTGGCCTTGGCAATACAAGTTTACAGGTACTTGCTTGTACCAATAGCCGTATTACCATATTTAATTTAGGTAACAACTTCTTGTCATGTGCCGATAGCAAAGCGAATTGTCAGTGCCGGAGCTACCGCGTGTTCTTGTGTTGCACTTGATACCGATGGCATCGTTTACACCTGGGGAACACAATTTCTTGGTATGTTAGCACGCGTTTTCTTGTGCGTGAGTGCGCAAACAGCTAAAAATAAATTTTTAGGTCAAGGACCACGAATCACAAAGGTCTCGCAACCTACACCTCTAGATCAGCCGCTTTTCAACAACAAAAAAGTAGATAACAAATAAATAACGTTTGGAAATAAATTTAAATAGGTCGTCAAAGTATTTGCTGGAAACACTTGTGCTGGAGCGTTAAATGAAGACGGAGAATTTTTTATCTGGGGTCTAAATAGGTACATTCCTGTTATTGAATTGGAAAGTGATTTATTTTCCAGATTTGGACAGCTTGGGATTGACAGCGAAAAGGATCAACTCTTTCCACTACAAATATATTTTCCCAATGATGTTTGCAGTGCTTCTTTGGGGACAGACCATTCGCTTTTCCTCATGAAGTGATGCACCGCAATTATTTTACGGGTCTCGTTATTTGTTGCAGTTAATAAAATATTTGTGCTTCAAAAATCCAACGCTTCTATGATTTGCCAAATCGGATTATATTTTTAAAAGTGGTGCTCCCAGAAAAGATTAAAGACTTTATTTTCATTCAGTTAGGACATAAATTAAAACAAATTTGCAAAATCAACAAACTAATAACAACTAAACAATAATTCTACTTCGTTTTGGGATTTATCCGCGAAATAACACTCGCGCTTCCAACGAGACGTTTTGAGAGCCGAACCTTTCCTGTTTGTGGATCCCGGCCCAACCATTGAACTGTTAGTTTTTGTCCAACCTAAGAGGCAATTAATTATGACAAGAATTACACAGCATACATCAATTCCAGCAGCCGATGGATGTTTTATTGGCAAGTTGCTTAGTTGGGAGTTAGGGATGAAATGAGTTTGCGCTCCCGTTTGAAGACGAACCAAAACACCTCGATCAATCGCCTAGGCTTTGTAAATGATTTAATTTTAAATTTTTAGAAAACCTCCGTAACTTCGGCTTGCACCAATTGTCCAAAATTATAGTCTTCTACCGTTGATTCCATTAACAATCTAAAAGATGAGGTGCACGCTTGAGGCCAGCAACTTACTTGTTAAGCATTTCCTTTGCTTCGTCCATTCTTTTTCTACTTGGTGCTGTTAAGGCAAGTTGAGTTTCATCATCAATCGATATCTAAAGATTTACATTGAATAGAAAACACTTTTGAACACAAACCCTAACACCAGTCGCTGCCTCAATCGTCTTTGCTATCAGGCCACCATTTCGGAATATGTTCGAGCGTTTGTAGGGATCGACTTTTAGTGTCTCCAGCACTGGAACACTCGATTTGAATTCGTTCCGAGGATTTTCTTGTGCGTTCGCCATCTTTGATAACATGAAGTCGACACCCGATTTTCCTAAAACCTCTTTTATTGCATAAAACACTTTGCTTTACCTCGTCGTATTGCTTCGCTCAATTGTTTCCGAGTTAACCCAGGGATTTTTACGTCCATTTGCATTGAGGTGAACCCGTTAGACGTACCTTAAACTAAATATGTAAGCTAACAAAAAACTGTGACATTACCAGCTATTTTGAAATCCATATCGCCAAGATAATCTTCAATTCCCAAAATGTCTGTCAAAATCTAAGTTGATCGGTTTTGCTATGAATTACTAAAGTATCAACTTGATATTTTTCATCTGGCTTCTCATCGTTGGTCATTAGGCCGATTGCAACACCTGCAACTGGGGCTTTCAACGGGACGCCTGCGTCGTACAAAGCTAAAGAGCCCGCGCATGCACTTGCCATTGAAGATGATCCATTTGATTCCAAAACCTAAAACCACTATTTAACACATTCGCGATATTTTTCGGTGTTTTGTTCTCTGAGACCAGAACGATTTTAGCACCGGATCAACACAAAAATTTGTCCTTGGAGGGTGTTCGAGGTTGGGAAATTCGAATCCCTCGTTAATTTTCATTTATGAACTCACTACCAAGCCAGTCAAAAACTTGGGTAATTAAACCGAAATGAATGAAAGCGCGAAGGTGAGTCTGGTTTCTGCTCCCTATACCCAAAGGTTGTGTGCCAGAAACCGCGCGATCAGGGAAACACCAAAATTCTCGTTGTTTTGCATAAACGCGTGGCTTCTGACCCACGACGCAAAATTCCGGAATAGCCGGGATTTTTTCACAAGAAAATTAATAACTTTGTTAGTTTTTAACATTTTTGCAAGCTCTCTTCACTTTCTATTAGAAGAGATGTCAAGGCATTTTTTGATACCAAAAGCATCAAAATCGGTCACATAGAAAAAAAGTTTCTTCAATATCGAAGTTGGCTTCTCAAAATGGCCAAGACGTGCACTTTTATTTCTAGTATTTGGAGTTACTGTAAGTTAAAACTAACATTGGATTCGAATTCCCTGACCCCGAAAACCCCCGTACCAATTTTCAGCTTAATCTGTCCATAAATTAGGGCAATTTAAGTGGGACCCACCGATGGGTCCCATTAGCGCGAGTGTGTTAATAGGGTTTTTGAAAAGATTAACCTGGCTTGAAATACGGATTGCATATGGAAAATGGTCGGGAATCACATGTTTCAAGGCTTTCTCGGCAAGGAAACCATGTCCAATTTCTCGTCTAAAGTGGGATAAGTGAGTTGGCTATCTTGCAAGCACACCTATTCGAGCCTCGATTTGAGCTGATTTCGTTTGTGGCAAATCCAGGAAATTCGTAGTGAAGCATGAAAGATTTTCGTTGTTGAGCGCCCAATAGTTGAGATATAGAATCCGGATGAAATGCGGCAGCCGGACTATCGAATGTGACCGTAGAGAATACCTAAAAACGTTTAAATACTCAGCTTTAAAGTTTAAATCACTTGTGTTTGTCCTCGTTGGAAAAGGGCTGATCCGTGTAGTTTCTTGTAAACGTCAACCTAAATTTAAATTAAAACAAATCAATGCTAAATTTTTACTTTAATAGAGATCGGGCGAAAATCTTGTACTCCACGCCCATCACATCGTATTCCACTGTTAATCGTTAGTCGTCTAAAAATTTTTCGTATATTCTTCAATACCGGACTACGAACCTTAAAGTGTAGCGCACCAATTTGTTGAACTCTCGACTTGTCTCGGCAAAATCGTCAAATGAAGCCAAAACATCTTTTCGAACTTCTTTTATAGCATCATCCCGAGAGATCTATAAATACAATTTGATAAAAACCACAAAATTTCTAACCTTATCATGCGTAGGATCGGTGAAGATGTATTCTAATCGCTCCTCGGCCATAATGCGTATTTTTTCATAAAGATTCTTTTCAACGCGAACATTGCGCACACTCTCAATCTAAAAAAATGAATAAATGTGAATTAAACGATAACTGACTTCTAATTTCGGTTTGCCGGCACTTTTCTTCAAAGAATCCATCTGATCGAGTAGTTGGTCTACTCCAGATAATCCTTGGGTTATAGCTTCTTCAACTTGTTCAATAGTAACCTAAAAAGTCCGTACCAGTAAACAAAAAAAAAGATTATACTTGTGGCCCCTCCATTTCAATCATCACTGCTCGTTCAGCGCGTGTTCCCGCTAAAACCATGCTCATTCCTTCGGAAAGTCGATGTCTCGGTGGATTTAGCATAATCTTAAATTAAGATAATTGTTTATCAAATAAAAGAACTACCTCATCGTTTATAATGGATACTCGAACGCTGGCCACTGGATTTATTAGCGGAACGGAAGAAAGATGTAGAGCACAAGCTGCAGCATTAAGGCCCAAAATTATCCCGTCGCAATCCTCATCGAGAGCCATTGGCTTGATGTTTATCTAAAACACTTTATACAGAAAAAAAGTAAATAAGAATAGCTTTTAAATAAAAAAACACACCGCTGTAGGGTTTGTCCAACTTTTGCTGATCATTGGCCTCAACGCTCGATCGATGACACGGCTTGTAAGGATGTCGTTGTCCGTTTGAGACATTTCTTTTCTCAGGAAGTTCATCGGTATTCTTCCAAGAGCCGCCGCACTTTGTCGGAAGTCAACTGTTAAAGGCACGCCGTCAGTTTCTTGGCCAGCATCTTGATAAACACACGTTGCCAAAACCTAAAACAATGAATTAGATAAGCGCAGAACTCAAATAAGATATGCGTAAAGTACCAACATTATTCCATTAAACTTTAACCTATTAGTGTTTAAAAATCGTTTAAAATCCTTACCGCATTATCGCCTGTCGACGCAACAACAGCGCTGTCGGCAAACCGCGCGATTTCCCCGGCGGTTAAGACGAGCTCGCTTTGGCCGATTGTCGTTTTAGCCGACACGTATCGCTTGCATTCCTTGAAGTGTCCTCTAAAATATAAAGATCAAAGAAAGTACTCTTAAACAGTAAACAAAAAGTTGAAAACAGTAAATGTACCGATTATTTCTGATGATGAATCGCAACATTCGTTATCCAGAGTGCTGAGATAGAACTAGAATCGAATAGATGATTAAAATTTTCTCAAAACATGAAAAACTTGCAAAGAAATTGAGTAAATCATCATTTGCGATGACTATTTTTTTTAAAGTGTGGACATAGAATGGAAAGAAGGAAATGAATTCTTTGCAAAATAAAAGTTATTTGCAAATTTTCGGACAGTTGCGCTTATTTTCTATTATACTTCTAAAATGATTTATATTTTCTTAATTTTTGTTTAAACTTTAAATTTAGGCGAAATGTCGGTTCAAGCAAGTGTTCGTGCGGCTGGAATGGTCATTTATCGAAAAACCTCTGCCGGTTCACCGTTCGAATTCCTTCTCCTACAAGCGTCATATCCGCCCTACCATTGGACACCGCCAAAAGGTATATTTTTTTGATTAATATTGTGAATATTATTCAGTTCCAAAGTTTGAAATGTTTCGCCAACTGTTAAACTTTCTGTTAAACTCTTACACTAACTGTTAAACTCTTACACTAACTGTTAAACTTTCTGTTAAACTCTTACATTAACTGTTAAAAAAATTTCAACGAGATTCTAAAAGAAATAAGAAGTAGAAAGAAATCTAGTAGAAATAAGAGTAGAAATAAGAAGCTTCTGAAACTAAAAGTAGAAAAACAAGAGCATTTAAAATGGTACGCGTATTTATAAAAGAAGAACAACTTGACACACCAATGTTAAGTTTTGCCTGCTTAACCCTATTTGACAGTTTTTATTGTAAATCCCACTTAATTTTTATATTTAGGACACGTTGACCCGGGAGAGGATGAGTGGACGGCTGCGATCCGGGAGACACAAGAAGAAGCATACATCACGAAAGAGCAACTCACCATACACGAGGATTGTCATAAAACGCTGTACTATAAGGTTCTTTTTTCACTAAATTCTTCATGTACAATTTTTTTTCAGGTTAAAGGAAAGATGAAATCCGTAAAATATTGGCTAGCGAAATTGAACGATCCCTTCGATGTGACGCTGAGCGACGAACATCAAAATTGGAAATGGGAACCACTTGAGGTTTTTGCTATTAGCATTTAAATGGCAACTTTTAATCTAGGAAGCCGTAAAAACGACGGTCTATGCTGAAATGGCGACACTTCTGCGGGATTTTTCCGATTATTTACTGAAGAAAGCTTAACGATTTTGTCATAGGTATTGATTGTTTAAGTTTTCTTTTTAATTTATTTCCAGTATGTATTGTGTTGCTATGCGTTTGAATAAAAGGGTAATTAAACAAATACTTGTTGTTTAAAAAGATTCGATTTCGCGATTTTGTTTGAATTGCTTGTAGTTTGTCTAGCTTTTGGCAATATCAAAGTTGAAGTGATGAAGTTTTACAGCAAATGGCTCGATCGGCTGGCCTATTTCTCGTTAAACTCTCGAATTCCGAGGAGCCATTATTCTTATTGCTTCAAGCCTCAAAACATCCGCATCACTGGTCACCGCCGAAAGGTAAAATAGAAAAAACTGAAGCTATGACTATGTTTAGATGCTTAGATGTTTAAATGTTTAAATGTTTAAATGTTTAGACTAAAGTAAACCATTTTTAGATATTTAGACTAAAATAGACTTTGTTTAACTGAAGTTTTAAGCAAATTCAAAACATATTTAGGCCATATCGATCCGGGAGAGAGCGATTTGGAAGCGGCGATTCGAGAAACCGAAGAAGAGACTAGTTATAAACGAGAAACATTTGAGATTATGGAAAATTCAATGGATCAGATCAGCTATTTGGTTGGTTTTTGAGCAAAAACTTTAAAAAAGTAACCCTATATCAGATAACCGAATCAGTGGCTCACCCGGAAGACGTCGGAAAAATGAAAACAGCCGTTTATTGGTTAGCTAGAATGAGTGATGAGGCTTCGAATGTGCAAATCTCATCCGAGCATACAAATATGAAATGGGTGACACTGGAGGTGGGTACTGAAATAGAGATGGATTGAAAAAAAAGCAAAATAAAGTCTTAAGCATTGAAATCCTTTAATAGGAATCCTTCAATGCTTAAGACTTTATTTCGGAAGTTATTCTAGAAGCTGAGCTTAATCCCTTGAATTCCTAAAAAAACTCTAATTTTTTTAGGAAGCCCACGAAAAATTGACTCTCCCCGGAATGTCCGATTTGCTCAAAAAATATGCGAAACTTTTGCAAGAAAGACACTAGCTTTTGCTGCTTTTCGGGCTATTGATATTTATTCGATTCCAATCGTTTAAAGTGAAAATTTTTATTTATGCAATCGGAAAAATTATTACGATAATCAGTAAAAATGACAGCATTCTATAACCTGCTCTATCACAGAGAAATTTGATTTAAGAAAATAGACAAAACAAATGGCAAACGTTCAAAAGTATAACAGAAATTGCTGAAAAACGCAGAAGAAAGAACATTTCATTTCGTCGGGTGCAAAAAACAAAAATATGGCAACGTTTTAGCTAAGGTTTGGTGGGGAAAAACTCGTAAAAATCGGCGTTTGAGAATGCAAGAAATGGGCGAATTTGTCAAGGATTTTGATTTACACTTGATTTACACTGATTTGATTTTGAGTTTTTCAAAAATCTGACTGATTTTCGGATTTTCTATAATGGATTTAGTTTAAACGACATATAACAACAGGATTTGAAGAAAGATTTGAGGAACGATTTGAAGAAGGATTTGAAGAAAGCAATAGGTCGAGAAGAAGGTCGAGATATTGCGACTTTTGTGCTTTGAGTATTTCTCTCTCTTTCTTCCTTTCGTTCTTGCTTCCTTTCTTTCTTTCTTCCTTTCTTTTCCTTGTCTTTTCTTGTTGGGAAAAGCAGACATGGATAGCTTAATGGTAGAGCATTTGCTCGGTAAGCAATGATTGAATTGAATCAGATCAGATCAGTTCCGAATCTGAATCAAATCAGTTTCCCAATTGAATCAGAGAAGATCGGAATTGAAACAGAATGAACAGATCAGATCAGATCCAAATCTGAATCAGATCAGTTCCCAATTGAATCAGATCAAATCCAAATTGAATCATTGAATTGATTTCCCCCTCGTTTCCAAATTCTTTGCCAAATTCATTTCTTTACTTTATTCTTTAAATTTTACTAAAACACCCTATGCCATAAGTCGTTTTGAAAACAAATTGATTATAGAGAATCCGAAAATTGTATTGAAAAAGCTTAAAAATATCAAAATCCATGACAAACACGAAATCAGTGACGGGCAAATCATTTGAGCAAGCTTGACTCGACCGACTAAAGAAATGACTTCAAAAATCAAGCTAAATCAAGCTTCAAAGAGCTAAAACAAGCTATTTTTAGAACTTTTGAAGTCACTCTTTTAAATCTCTCAAAAAAAGGAAAGAAACTGCAATAGAGATATGAAAATGTAGTGAAAAGAGAACCGATTTTTCTTTTTTTTTCTTTTTTCAAATATAATTGGGTACTTCTTGTCCGGTGAGCAATCGAAACATACTCGTCGGCATCGTTTTCATTTGAATCTCACCAACAGCTGTGGCTAACATGTTCACAATACGGTCATGAGCAACAGCCACGACGGATTGGTGATTGATCTAGAAAAATGGATAGAATTACTGCTCCCATTTGGCTTTTAGTAATCTAGCTATCGTACACGTACAAACGATCCATTCCTCAAAAACAAGCGCTCCCTTGAGCGATAGACTACAAAAACTACAACGCTACGACTACAAACTACTACAAACGTTTGTAACTTGCTTCAAATCTGTTTGATTGAGATGTTCTATAGCTCAAAAGATAGAGAATTTCAAGAGCTTTTGAATGAACTAAAGCACATCCAAAAAGATCAATCCTAAAGAAAGTTACAGTGGTTTGTAGTCGACTACACGCGAGTACGGTCCGTCAGACTACAAATGACTGTAACTTTCTTTAGGCTTGATCTTTTTGGATGTGCTTTAGTTCATTCAAAACCTCTTGAGATTCTCTATCTTTTGAGCTATAGAACATCTCAATCAAACAGATTTGAAGCAAGTTACAAACGTTTGTAGTTTGTAGTGTGTTTGTGTGTTTGTCCAGTGCGCGTCACCCCATTTACCTCAATAATTCGATGTCCTACACGTATTCCTCCCCTTTCCGCGATGCCTCCCCTCAACAATGAGCAAATCACTCCATTTTGCACCGAGAAACCCAATTGATATTTGGTGTCCGGTCGTCGAATTCGAACCTGAAATCGAAAGAATAGTTTCCCTTGAATAATGCGTTTTCCTAAACACTATTTTAGAATAAAACAATAAACCGTTATCAACCAAGCAATTCTACATTCGATCAGCATAACTTTAGCATCATTCGATGAGGGAATCATAAAGCTCACAAGGTCGTAACAGATTTTGCGCGCAGATTTTGATCCTGTTCGCCTATCGGGACACGCGGAATCCGATGCTTTATTCAGTTTTTTCTCAGATTCAAAAATAGACGAGAGAAGCTTGTCTAAAGATCCAAAGTAAACCTGCTTAACGAGTCCGCGCGAAATTTTCAGACAGTCTGACTCGCTCTTCGATTTTTGACTACCCAAAGCTCCTTCGAGCATGAGATCCAATTCCCCAGCAAGCCCTTATTATAAGCTTCATTTTGATACTAAACATGGCTAGGTTCTGTTTTACCATTCTTTAGATTTCGATCATTTTAGATAAAAATTTTTCTAGCATCATAAGCTTATCGAGTCCGGCAAAAGATTGATCGAAATCTAAAGAATGATAAAACAGAATCTAGCCATGTTTAGTATCGAAATGAAGCTTATAATAAGGGCTTGCTGGGGAATTGGGTCTCATGCTCGACGCAGCTTTGGATAATCAAAAATCGAACAGCGAGTCAGATTGTCTGAAAATTTCGCGCGGACTCGTTAAGCAGATTTACTTTGGACACAGAATAGTAAAACAGAACCTAGCCGTTTTTGGTTTTTCTCGCAAAAAGCAAAAAGAAGCTCGGGTACGCGTGCACTCATCACTACGTCAAAAGATTGAACGCACGGAAATCTAGCCTAGCTGCTGCAGCATTACTCGTCATTTTAAAATAAAAGACTCATTTAAGAAAAAAAAGAAATTAGAGCGTGTTCCTCGTGAGTAATGCGTTTTTTAAAACGCAAATTTGCGTTTAGCAAAAATTATGGCAAAAAATGACGCGAAAACGATTTTAAAAAATGGCGCAAAAATTATTAAAAAAAAGACGCAAAAATGACGAGCCCCGCATTATATACGATACTTTTTAAAGATACTCAGCCGTTTAACTGATTTGGCGGGGAATTCCCTTCCAATGTAAAGATATTCAATTGACTCGTCGTGTAAAGATTTTTTTTGAAAAACCTGGCAAAAAATTGAATACGGCATAGGATTCCGCGTGTTCGATAGGTGTTTCCATCTCAACGGCGTCAAAATCTGTTCGGAACCATTTTTCGTAAGGGCATCCCTTTGTTAGTCCGCCCCCATTATTTTTACAAATCAGACCTCGCGGACAAGCGTCAAATTTGGGCTAAAAAGGCATTAACTGCGGAAAGCGTTAAGTTGCGTAGTTTTTGCCTTTTAACCCAAATTTGACGTGTCATGCGAGGCTATTTGCTCGAGTAATTACTTACTCGCGAGGAACACACTCTAGTTAAAATCTGTTACGGCCATTTTGTGAAATCCTCTTGTCAGTCAAATGATAATCAAATGAATACGGCAAAATTCCGGGGGTTCGATAGGTGTTTTTATAATTAGAAGAATATTACCTCAATTTGGTTCCCTATCTCTTTAAATTTGGTTCCCTATCTCTTTAAATTACCTCAACAACAGGTGGCGTGTTCACAACGGTTAATCGAACAGCCGTCGCTGTTTTGACATTCTGAATTTCGAATTTGAATTTGAACTTGATTAGATTCGTTTTTACAATTTTTTTACAATTTTTTTATAAATGAATCACGAATTTTAGGTTTTCTATTACTTTTAGAAACTTTTACTCGACTTTTAACTCACTTGAATGTTCTTTTGAGCTGCTGATAGTGGCAAACCGACAAGAGAAATCCCATTGATCGCGATGATTTGATCACCAACGTTTAGCTGATTTGATCTGGAGATACTTTTTGATTTTACTAGATTTTACTAATTAGGTAGCTAGATTTTATTGGTGAAAGTAGAATCAATCCATTTGGATCCCGCAAGCTGCTTTGAGTACGTTAGCTAGCACAATTGAAAGCAACAAGCTCTATTCTCTTTCAACTACTCTTTACTTGTTAAGTTGCCTTTTCTTCCGTTATCTTTTCTATTTCATTCTCTATTTCATTTTCTATTTAGCACTCTCAACTACCGTACCTGGCTGCTGGACCCATTGGCGACATATGAGCAAGAACGACTGTTGGCAGCATACTTCCCCAACCAGATTCCACCACCACGACGCCGAGCGCTTCACCGGTTTTCTTTGGAACGACAACGTCCTAAAAGTTGGAGCTTAAGATCTAAACTATTAGGTTGTCCCATAAAAATTGCCGTTTTTTCATTTGATTCGTATTCAGCGACAAATTAACACTTTTTCTTTCTCTTTTTTTTATTATACTAATTTACAATTCTAGTTTTATGTGCTAAATTCTCTTTTTTAGGAATCAAAAACAAAAAAAGTTGTGATCGATCACATGGCGCTGTCTCGTAAAGAAATCCATCAATAATTCATCAACGATATTTGAGGAGGATTTCCGCGGCCAAAGCAGCGAGAGAAATCAATTCTTTTATGGGCCAACAATCGTCAAGGAAAGGACTACACGATGGTGGTTTCAGAAGTTCCGAAAAGGTGACAACCGGCTCACACGAAAGCGAGGAAGCGGTCGTCCCAGAAAAGTGAATCGATAGACGTTGAGGCGCCAACTTCAGCAAAATCCCGAAGGAACGACTCGGATTTTGGCACAAAGCTATTGCTGAAGGATGACAGTATGGCGTTGGCTCAAAAAAACCGGAAGAAAGTGGTTGAAACAGCGGCAATTTTTGAAAAACGGCAATTTTTTATGGGACAACCTATTAAGAGGATTACTAAGCTAACATTAGATAAATATTACAGTTTTGTCTTACTGTAGCTAAGCTAGGGCCAGGTTTTAAACCTGGTAGTCCCAAGCTGGCCCTAAGCGGCTCTAAGCTAAAGCCAGCTTAGATCGAGCATAACCTAGTCCTAGTAAACCTATAATTGCCTTGCCTAAGTAAGCCTTGTCTATAGTCTGATTTAACTATAAGATAAGCCCTGGCCCACTGAATTGATCTAATAGAATGTCTACAATGTAGTAGAATGTCTAAAGTATACCCAGGGTTTAACCTGTTACTAGAGGCTGATGCTAGGCTTTTGGTTTGACGCTTTTTTAGAACATCTTTGATATTTTATCTCTTTAAATGTAGCTATAGGATTTAGAATTAGCTATTTAAATATTTAACTGATCTATAGCATTGTAGGTACTCACTTTTTGAGTCTCCTTTCTTGAGAACATCTCCAACTCTTCGCCGAGCAGCTCTTGCGAGTTTAGAACTTCCTAAAGATGATTTAGATTTACATTTAAAGTTAATCTTTGTCTTTAAAGTTACATTTAAAGTTAAAATTTACATTTTAAAACCCTTACTAGATCGCTGTTTATTTACCAGTTAACAGTCTAGTATTTACTAGTTTTAAAGCCTATTTCGTAACAAAATTTTTCGCTGATTTCGATGATCTAAATCTTTTATGTGTAATGGATTCAAATTTTCGACTTAAATCCATTTGAAGAGTTGGAAATAGGCAGATCCAAAGCTTTTGCGTCGCCGGGACTTGAACCTGCGATCTTTTGCCCACCGAGCAATCGTGCTACCCATCACACCACGATGCACTTGGACTCCCTTACTCCAGGGGGAGTTAAGTAAAGTTTGTGTCAAAAAACTTTTGTGTAAAAGGAATTCTCTGACCGAGCGAGTATCAAGCGATTCTGCGTGGTCTGAAGACGTAGCCAAAGTCTGAAGGCTGTAGGCTAAAGGCTGAAGGCTGAAGGCTGAAGGCTGAAGGCTGAAGGCTAAAGGCTGAAGCCTGAAGCCTGAAGGCTAAAGGCTGAAGTCTGAAGGCTGTAGGCTAAAGTCTGAAGGCTGAAGGCTGTAGGCTGAAGGCTGTAGGCTAAAGTCTGAAGGCTGAAGTCTGAAGACTGATGGCTGAAGTCTGAACGCTGAAGGCTAAAGGCTGAAGGCTAAAGTCAGAAGACGTAGCTGAAGACGTCTAAAGTCTGAAGACGTCCAAAGGATTTCGTGACTTTCAGTCTAACGGCCCGACCTCCTCGAGGCTACTCCCAATCAATTTCCGACCAAGGAACTATAGTTTTTAAAGCTTTCAGTCTACAAAACTGTTTAAAAAGTTTTTTGAAAGCATTCAAAGGGCTCGAGATTTTTGCATTTTAGTGCAAAAATTTCGATAAAACTATTTTTTAGGCATGAATAATTGATTTTACAAAAGTGACGTTATGATTTTCAGAAAGTAGAAGAAATTTGACTAGGGGTTGACCAAAATAAAAAAAAACGGTTGTCCATCTAGTTTTCAAGTTTTTCGCATTTGAATTTGACAATTTTCACTTTTTTTTGAGTTTTCAATTTTTGATCGCGAAAATCTCGAGCGCTTTAAATTTTTTCAAAAAACCGCTTAAACAGTTTTGTAGCCTGAAATCTTTAAAAAATATAATTCCTTGATCAGAAATTGATTGGGAATAGCCTCGAGAAAGTCGGGGCGTTAGAGTGGAAGTTCACGAAATCCTGGTCCCTCTAGTGTGGTCGTGGCCGAGTGGTTAGTGCGCTAGGGCCTCAAACGGGCCCTAGCGCTAGGGCTAGACTTCTTGGCTCTGGTTCGAGTCCGTCCATAGGTTTTCTTTTTGTAAAAAAACTCATTGCACAAGATATTCGAAATCAGCGAAAAATTAGCTACAAAGGCTTTACTACAAACTTTACTTAACTCCCTCTGGATTTGCTAGATTCGATGGTAAATAAACATTTGATTTTACTTGATAATCGATTTGTCGAAGATACGATGGATCGTCGATACCATTTGCTCGAAGGAATTCCACGTAAGCCACCTAAAGTTTTCAAATAATTACGGGAGAACTTTTTAGTGAAATAATTACGGGAAAATCCCTCCTTTGCAAAAATAGGGACCGTACTGGAACCGTATTAGATTAAAATGGGAACCGTATTAGATTAAAATGAGAACCGTATTGGAACCGTATTGAAACCGTATTAGATCAAAATAGGAACCGTATTAGATCAAAATGGGAACCGTATTGGAACCTCCTAAATCTTATTACTTTACCTGAAAAGCTTGTCCAATGCTTTGAGCGATGAAAGCGGCTTCTTCCGATTCGAACACATGACAGATTACACGAGCGCTTTTTCGTACACCATCACCGCTGAAAAAAGAAAAATCGATTGTAAAGTGGAACTCTTTAAACATCTCATCAAGTAAAGAATGGCTTACAATTATAGCGCCGCACTCTAGAGAGTCTAGATTGACGAAAATTGGGTGAATTGTTCTGATTTCTGATTTTTCTTGAGGTAAATCTTAAGGATTTCTCCTGGAATGCCCATTATCTAATCAATTCTATCGATTTCTAATCAATTCTTTCAACTTCTAGACCTTCTAAAGTTAAGAGTGTCGCCAAAGCACGCTATAAAAGTACGGCGCTATAATTGTGAGCCATTCTTTCCATGTAAGCCATTGTGAGCCATCGTGTACGATTCTGATCACCTTGATTGGGATGTTCTAAAGTCATTCAAACCGTTTAAGCTCAGATCAGAGAAGCCTAGAAGCTAGGATCATATTGGCTTTAGAATCAAGGCAGGATTGACTAGTCGATTAGGTCCAAATCTTCTAGTCTTCTATTCGGTTATTATAGTTACTTTATATTCAGCACAAAAGAGCATATTTAGCGCAAAAGAGAGTTCAAATGGAAAAGCTGATTTATAAGCTATCAAACGGAGCTTCTGATTTATGAGCTATCAAACGCAGCTTCTGATTTATGAGCTATCAAACGGAGCTTACGGATTCTAGAGTGAAATCCCGTACATCAGAAAGAAAAGACTTACAATTAGCACAAAGTATGCCTTAACAAAGTACAAAGTATACAAAGTACAAAATCTAGAAAGTACAAAGTCTAGAAAGTACAAAGTATACAAAGTACAAAGTCTAGAAAGTATACAAAGTCTAGAAAGTACAAAGTCTAGAAAGTACAAAGTCTAGAAAGTATACAAAGTCTAGAAAGTATACAAAGTCTAGAAAGTATACAAAGTCTACGAAGTATACAAAGTCTACAAAGTACAAAGTACAAAGTTTACAAAGTCTACAAAGTAAAGTACACAAAATGCCACTCACCTATTGCATGTTTCATCACTTCCCGATGATGTCATTCTTCTTGCCATCAACACCACCAAATCCCCAATATCAGCAATGTAAGAGATTGTGCGCAATGCGTGATCCATTAGAATATCCTAAAATTTTCCTTTTCTCTTTTCAAAACAATCTTGAGAAAATCGCTAGAAAATCGCTAGAAAAACGTTAAAAAAAACCGAATTTTGCTTATTAGTGCTTGTGAAAAGTGAAAGTGAAAGAGTTAACATCACACTAAACTTGTCTTTTTTTTGTGGTTTACTTTATAACTTTTTGCTATAAACTCTTTCTAGTTGTATGCTTCATTCGGAATTCAATGCACTGGGCATGGATTTTGAAAATTTGAACATTTTACAGCTTAAAATAAACCCAAAAAAAAGCAAGTCTATTTTCACGACTGGCAAGCATTTTCCGAGAAAAAATTTTTCCGGTCGCGCACTAAAATGCACTAAATACCGTAATCCGTCTTTTTTTTCAGCATTTTCAAATTTTTTCATTTTTCATTTGTTTTTGCAACTTTAAGCTATTTTTTTTTCTTTTTCTTTCTTTTTTGCTTTTTTCTTTGTTTTTCTTTGTTTTTCTTTGTTTTTCTTTGTTTTTCTTACTTTTTCTTATTTTTGGGGGGTGGGAGAAATGCGACCTTTTTTGCCAAAAGCGCACCTTTTTTTCGCTGGAAAAGGCCTTAGGAAAAGTCGTAGAGCTTCGAAAATATTTCCATATAAGGGAATCGTATGCGTAGATTCCGAATTTCGACAAATCGCACCTCGCTGACACGTCAAATTTGGGCTAAAAGGCAAAAACTGCGGAAAAGCGTTAAGTTGCGTAGTTTTTGCCTTTTAGCCCAAATTTGACGTGTCAGCGAGGTCTGATTTGTCGAAATTCGGAATCTACGCATATGATTCCCTTCCATGAAAACATTTTTGAAGCTCTACGACTTTTCCTAAGGCCTTTTCCAGCAAAAAAAAGGTGCGCAAATGTCCAGGTGCGCAAAAAAAAGGTAGCATTTGTCCCACCCCCCGTAGTTTTGCTTTTTACGTTGTTTTTAAAGCAATTAGTGTTTCCAATCATTGTTTTCGATCATTGTTTTCAATCAGTGTTTTCAATCATTGTTTCCAATTTGTTTCTAATCAGTATTTCTAATCAGTATTTCCAATTAGTATTTCCAATTATTATTTCCAATTAGTATTTCACTATGGACTTTCAACTTTATTTATCATTTTATTTCTCTAAATTTACCTCTTCTTTAAAAGATTTTTCAGGACTAAGTTTTCGTGCAAAGTAAAAACTGTTTCTATCGAACAGATTTCATTAGGGAGATTTTCGAAAACACTGCATGCAAAAGCATTCAGCCATTGAGTTCAGCAATTTTATTTTACCCCGCTCTACTCCCCCATTTCTTTAGAAAAAGGCGATTGTGACTCGGCCAGAACCCTCGGCGTCCAAAAGGGCAGACGCGCGCACTAACCACTAAACCACCGAGGCCGTTGACTGAAGACAGTACTCCGCCCTCATAAAGAGACCCCAAAAACTTGTATGCCAAATATCTCGCGATAGAGAAGCGTTTGGCAAAAAATGATTGCAGATTCGGAATCAGCGTGAAAACCCGCATCCAATAGGCTATTTTCCGAGTCAAAAGCCACGATAAGTTGACAACATTCCCTAGTTAGTGCATTTTAGTGCGCGGCCCAAAAATGTTCCCTCGGAAAATCGTTGCCAGTATTTTCACGACACTCTTTTACAAACCTGCCGCACATCAGTGTCCGATATTCGCTAAAATGCATAGTTAAACAAATAAATTAAAGTTAATTAAATTATAAAAATTAAAGTTAAATATGAAATTTATATTATTTATAGATATTTAACTTTTTTTAAACCAAGTTTACCTGTAAATCCGTATTCAAAACCATGATTTTCTCGGTGGAGATGAAAAGATCGATGTCAGTTGACGGTTGCAGTTCACCATCGGGCGCCTAAAATACAAAATTTAAACTCTAAGACAATAATATTAACCAAAAAAGGGGCGGGGCACGTATAAAAGGAGGCACATACACGCCCCGCCCCTTTTCCCATTGGCACTCTAACTTTGAACTCTAATTTCTTGGCTTTTGGGCTGTTCAATTTCGATCTTTTTGGTATCGTTAGATGCACTGAGCCTTTCTCTGTCGATTGGTAGAAAAACTATTCAAATTGAACAACCCAAAGCCAAGAAATTTGAGCTTAAAGTTGGATTGCCAATGGCAAAGGGGCGGGGCGCGGATCATCCACCTTTTATACGCGCCCCGCCCCCTTCGCCATTGGTAACTTTGAACTCAAATTTCTTGGTGTCTCGCTGTTCAATTTAAATCGTTTTTCTACCAATCGACAGAGAAAGACTTGGCGCATCTAATGATACCAAAATGATTGAAATTGAACAACCGAAAGCCAAGATATTTGAGTTCAAAGTTAGAGTGCCAATGGGAAAAGGGCGGGGCTCGTATCAAATGTTCAATAACCGCTAAATTAGTCAAATCCAAATCCCTCACCTTAACCCTAGCCACAGCTTCTTGTGCTTGAGCCATTCTCGCCGTCTTCGTCGATCTTCCCTCACAAACGAGTTGCGTGGATCCAAGGTAACGAGCTCGGAAAAGAACGCCCTCGATGAGAACTGCAGGCTCGTGAACGAGAGCTGAAAATGGTTTAATACTCATGTTCGTTTTCAGTTTCAGAAGAAAATGTAAAGACAAAAGCCAAGCTAGCTTTGGCGAGTCAAATCTGAATCTAAGATGCAAAAAAAAGCCAGCTATGAGCCTATTTTTTTGTGTGTCATTACAATAATCCTAGAAACTTTGAATAATCAAATGGGGTTATTGTTTAGAGTTTAATCGCTTTATAAACTATGTAGATCCTTATTCTATTTCCATTCATTTGCCTTTACATTCTCAAATAATGTGCTCTCTTGAAGAGAGGGTTTTCTAAAAGTTGCTCTAGAAAACAAGTTATCAAATTTCAGATCTGGGGTACAGTAATCTAGATCTGGATTCTAGGAAACCGTAAAACTACAGTAATCCAGGTCTAGATTAATGTAGTCCAGATTTGGATTACTGTAATCCAGACCTAGATTACCGTAGGCTAGGTTTGGCTTACCGTAATCCAGATCTAGATTACCGTAGGCTAGGTTTGAATGACTGTAATCCAGACCTAGATTACGGTAGTCCAGATCTAGATTACGGTAGTCCAGATTCGAATTACCGTAATCCAGATCTAGATTACTCTAGTCCAGATTTGAATTACTGTAATCCAGACCTAGATTACTGTAGTCCAGACTTGAACTACTGTAATCCAGGTCTAGATTACTATAGTCCGAATTTGAGTTACCGTAATCCAGATCTAGATTATCCAGATCTAGATTACGGTGGTCCAGATTCGAATTACCGTAATCCAGGTCTAGATTACTGTAGTCCAGATTTGAGTTGCCGTAATCCTAGGTCCAGATTACCGTAATCTAAGGATACAGTAATCTAAGGATACAGTAATCCTAGGATACCGTAATTCTCGGATACCGTAATCCTGGCTACCGTAACCCTAGAATACCGTAATTCTAGGGTACCGTAATTCTCGGGTACCGTAATCCTGGATACCGTAATCCTAACAATCCTAAGATATTGTACTTGTTTCCAAGAGGTGCCTTTTAGAAACCGCTTCAATCAAGCGAAACGCAGTCTAGCTTTGTTTAGCTTTGTTTAGCTTAGCTTTCTTTCACAAGCTTTCTACCGTTATCTGCTGTTAGCCATGCAAATGTCTTCTCTCAAAGAAAGACAATCATTCCGTTGTTTAGCTGAATAGCTTTATGAGACACAGTCAAACAGCTTTGTTTTTTTAAATTTCAAAAGCCAATTTACTCACCAATTAATTGAGAGAAAGAAAAATCGACAGAATCCATACGGAAATTGAGAAAAATGAGATTAGAAAAGTTTTGAAAAGACAAAAAAAAGAAATTCAGCCTTTAAGGCCTCAGCCTATAACTTTTAAACCCACTTTCTTTACTCGATTTTTGTGATGAGCGGCGATCTTTTTCGGTGGTTGACGCCTCTTTTTCGACGAGAAGACTGAAATTGAGGATTTTTGTTTTAACAAAAATTTTAACAACGATTTGCATTCATGCGTACTTTTTGCTTACTAGAGAACTTTTTTCAACTTACAATCGACTTTTGAAAGCTACAAAATGCTATAAAATGCTATAAAATGCTACAAAATGTTAATGTTACAAAAAAACCCTATAGAATTCTAAGAAAAATGTATTTTTTCACTTTTTTCTTTATTGTAGGCTAGTTTTTGAGAAAAACAGCAAAATTTCGGCTAATTTCGGCAAACTGGCGTTTATAAAAGGCGCCAAGCGGGAAGAAAAAAAAGAGCAACGGTAGCCTAGGGGATAGTGAGCTAGTCTACGAAATTCAGCCTATAACTTTCTACGAAACTGTGCCTGTACTGTATCTCGACACCAGTACGCTTGTTTCTCTGCGTTTAGATATTAAATTAAAGTAGAGCGGATGGGTGATTTTTTGAGATATAACACATACCGTATTTCTTCGAATAGAAGACCGGGTAAAGAGTCGCGTACTCCTGCGTCGCAGCCCTTTTTAAAATATATTTTCTGCATAAAAGCTTTCAATCAATTGCTATAGAGCTGGAAAATGGCTCAAAAATCTGTTAGCTCATGAGATATTTTTGTGCCATTTTCCAGCTCTATAGCAATTGATTGAAAGCTTTTATGCAGAAAATATATTTTAAAAAGGGCTGCTACGCAGGAGTACGCGATCATACTCTTTACCCGGTCTTCTATTCGAAGAAATACGGTATTTTTAGCATTAACGAGCGCTTAGAAAAAAAATGATTGAAAAGTGGCAAAAAAGAGCCCTGAAGCGAAAAAACTGAATGAAATGAACTTTGTGGTGGGGTCCTTTTATGGCGCGGGTTACGGTAGTTTCCGACATTTGGCGCGGAAACGTCTGGAAAAAGAAAAAGTGGTAAAAAAAAGAGCCGATTCTTCATCATTTTTCAATCATTTTTTTCTAAGCGCTCGTTAATGCTAAAAATAAGTGTTATATCTTAAAAAATTACCCATTCTCTCTACTTTAATTTGATATCTAAACACATAGAAACAAACGAATGAATCTAATAGAGCATCTAATAGAGCGTCGCGTAGTTTACTCTCAAACAAACGTTCATATCTTGAAACCAGTACGTTTGTTTCTCTGGGTTTTGGTATCAAATTAAAGTAGAGAGAATGGGTGCTCTTTTAAGCTATAACACATATTTTTAGCATTAACGAGCGCTTAGAAAAAAATGATTGAAAAGTGGCAAAAAAGAGCCCTGAAGCGAAATGACTGACAAATTCTTCATGGTGGGGTGTTTTTATGGCGTCGGGTTACGGTAGTTTCCGACATTTGGCGCGGAAACGTCTGGAAAAAGAAAAAGTGGTAAAAAAGAGCCGATTCTTCATCATTTTTCAATCATTTTTTCTAAGCGCTCGTTAATGCTAAAAATATGTGTTATATCTCAAAAAATCACCCATTCTCTCTACTTTAATTTGATACCTAAGCGCGCAGAAACAAATGTACCAGTGTCGAGATATCAGCGTTTGTTTGAGAGTAAACTTAGACTACGTCGCGCTCCTATAGTGGGAGCTTCTATAAGGGTTTTTGTGAATCATGTGGTTGTAAATCATTGCCTATTGGCCTAAACCCAGCCTAAACCCAGCCTAAACCTATGCCAGGCTGGCGTAGGTTTAGTTTTAGGTTCTGGCGAGCCTACAGGCCTGGCTTCTGTCTTTTCCTTGGTTGAATAGTACGCATAAAGCTTACTCTATCTAAAAATTCACTCACCGATCGGTCTCCTCTCCATCTCTTCCTTCTGGATGCTCATTTGATGGTGATTCTTGTTTGTCTTGTTGTGTCGGCCAATCAGACACCGTTGCCTCTTGTTCCCTTTGTATTCTCCTCAAATAGCTGTCCCTCATCACCCAAACCGGCTCCTCATCACCGCCATTCTCGGATGAACGACTTTCCGAGTGAGAATTCTATAAACAACACTGTAAACAACACCGTAGACACTACATTTTTTACTTTAAACAATGCGTCTGTAAAACTGGAATCGACTGTAAATCTATTGTCATAATTACCCGTTTAAAGACAGGATTGGCAGCCGGTGGCGGTGGATCGAGCAATCCTCCTCCTCCTCCTCCTCCTCCTCCACTCTTCACTTCGCCCATCGCACTCAGCCTTGCTTGAGCGATACTCGCTATTGATGGAGCCTAAAATGATTAATATTAACATCTTAATTTTTTCCTTTATAGTTCCTTTATAGTTCCTTTATAGTTCCTTTATAGTTCCTTTATAGTTCCTATTTAGTTCCTTTATAGTTCCTTTAAAGTTCCTTTAAAGTTCCTTTATAGTTCCTTTATAGTTCCTTTATAGTTCCTATTTAGTTCCTTTATATCTGCTGTTTTCTAATCACTTGTACAAATTGCGTATGTCCATTGAGAGGCTCAGCTGGAGCATTTTGGAAAGTCGTCGTGAATTGCGCGCTGGGTGGCTGAAACATGAACCGTATTTAGATTTAAAAAGCTAATATTTCTGATTCGATATTTTTAAATGGCACTAACTTTTTGGATGAATGGAGCTGGTGGAGCTACTGGAGCTGGTGCTGTGTTATATGGATAGTTGGGCTGATTCGGGATGAATGGAGCTGTGCTCGGCTGCCCGAAGACCCCGTTTGGAACCATGGGTACTGTCTGGAAAATCGATAATTAGATAATTAGATACCGATAATTAGATAATTAGATAGGTAGTAACCGTAATGTGCACCCTGAGAGTTGCCTAAATTGCTTGAAATCTCGTTTATGGTTCAATTTCCATCTTTTTAAGTCAATTTCGGTTTTACAAGCAAATTCAAGAGGGAAAACACGTGTTTTTCGTAAAAATCTGACCCTGGCTTGCTCTGATCGTGAGCTGGCCTAACCCTGGCCTGCTCTAATCGTGAGCTGGCCTAACCCTGGCCTGCTCTAATCGTGAGCTGGCCTAACCCTGGCCTGCTCTAATCGTGAGCTGGCCTAACTCCTGGCCTGCTCTAATCGTGAGCTATCCTAACCCTGGCCAAGTTTGGCTTAGTCTGATCTAGATCTTGATCTAAAGAAACAAAGCCTGAATTAACCCAAACTAGGCCAGAAGAATATGGAAAAGAGTAACTGACTGCTATAGATTTCTTATTCCTTCTCTTGGCTATAGTTTACCTGTGAAAAGAGTGTAGCTTCAGGTAAAGCTTGTTGTTGAGGCACATTTTGTGGTGGTGGCAATGGAGGTCCCGTTTCAGGCAAATTGAAGGAGCTTCTCAATTGATTGAGTGTCTGCTTGAGGGGAGCCTCTGATTGAGATTCAGCGGAAGAAAATGGGAGAGCTGCCTAGAAATATTGGGGATAAAGAACGATTACAGGAATGGTAATTCAAGCTATTAGTGAGACGACACAAGAAAAGAAAGTGAATAACTAGATTAGAATGGTTGTTTTAGAGCTGTGCTAGATAGTACAGGGTGGCCAATAATTATAGCCTAGATTGAGCCTAGATTGGGCCTAGATTGGGCTTAGATTGAGCCTAGATTGGACCTAGATTGCCACTCCAGAGAGCCTAGATTGACCAAAATCAACGATTGACTCAATTTTGGTCAATCTAGGCTCTCTGGAGTGCGAATCTAGATTCGCAGTCCAATCTAGGCCCAAACTAAACCCAATCTAGACCCAATCTAGGCTATAATTGTTGGCCACCTCTAGCACAGCTCAAAAAAACAAATCTGATCTAATCAAAGCCTGAGAGACATTGATTGGGTTTATTACTACAGATCCTTTACTAACACATTTCTACAACAACACGACACAGATATTGGATACAGCTTATCAACGACAGCTTATCAATGACAGTTGATCAAGAACAGCTTATCAACAACAGCTGATCAATGACAGCTGACCAACAGCTTATCAACGACAGCTGATCAACAACAGCTGATCAATGACAGCTGATCAATGACAGCTTATCAACAACAGCTTATCAACAACAGCTGATCAACAACAGCTGATCAACAACAGCTTATCAACGACAGCTTATAAACAACAGCTGATCAACAACAGCTTATCAACAACAGCTTATCAACGACAGCTGATCAACAACAGCTGATCAACAACAGCTGATCAACAACAGCTGATCAACAACAGCTTATGCTTATGGGTACTGTATTAATATTGATAAGCAACTCCAATAACAGTCTACTAACACAGGCATTCCCAAGGCTAAAAACTACAGAGATTTCTGGGGACCTGTGTGGGTATGGATTGAGTGAACCCGATCGGTGCACCGATTTGTCCCATCAATTCGGCTAGTGCCGCGTCGTCGATCTGTGAACAATTTCGAGGTAAACTTACGCGATTTACATTTTAAGACTCCAATATTTAGATTTGAATCAAATAACCATCATCTGCTTCATCATCTGCATCATACCTGCTTGATATTTTTGTTCTGCGTGCGTCGACTGATCTCTTTCTCGATTTCGCTCATCTGTTTCTGGATGAGTGACGCGGTTCGATTGTCTCGATCACTTCCCTCCGAAGAACCTTTTCGTTGAGTCGCTGAAAGTTTATTTTAGCTTTAAGAGAGCTTTAAGAGAGCTTTAAGAACGTTTTCTATCTTTTCAACAAACAATTTCGGTTTTATTCCTTTTTTTCTCCTAAAGAGCCAAGGTGATCTGGGAGATTCATTGGTAGAATTGTTTAAAAACGGTTTATAAACGGTTTACTGGCTTGCAAACGGTTTGCAAACAGTTTAAAAAGGGTTTACAAACGGTTTACTGGTTTGCAAACGGTTTACAAACGGTTTACTGGTTTGCAAACGGTTTACAAACGGTTTACAAATGGTTTACTGGTTTGCAAACGGTTTGCAAACGGTTTACTGGTTTGCAAACAGTTTAAAAACGGTTTATAAACGGTTTACTGGCTTGCAAATGGTTTGCAAACGGTTTACAAACGATTTGCAAACGATTTACAAACGTTTCCTTGTAGGAAACAGCATAGCTAATTCTATTCTAGTAAAACACTCGAATTCCCGCACTTCGAGTACGGGTTGGCAACTTTCCAATCCTAAATTCTAAAATACACCTAAGCTACCGTACTCGAGACAGCGTCTCCCTTTCGTCTTTCGAAGTCTTATCCATTCTTTCATTTTTTCTTTCAATTCATTCTTTCAATTCATTCTTTTAAAGAATCGTTGCCTAGTCCAGCGCTTTGCTGTGTCTTTTGCCCATGTTCCCCTTTTTTCTATTCCCTTATAAAATTCTATTGTTAAAGAGCCAAGGTGATCACTGGGAGATTCATTGCTAGAACTGAGAAAGGCCTCAAAGAGAAAAATCATTCTTCAACATGCTAGACCGTATGTTTTGAAGATGACTACACTCACTTGAATCGATTTGATGGCCCATTCAGCATACAGCCCTGATTTTGCACCTTTGATTACTATTTATTCCTGATGAGCAATGATTTAGCTAGCATTTAGCTAGTCAGTTAGCTAGGATTTAGCTAACATTTAGCTAGGATTTAGCTAGCATTTAGCTAGCATTTAGCTAGCATTTAGCTAGGATTTAGCTAGGATTTAGCTAGCATTTAGCTAGGATTTAGCTAGGATTTAGCTAGCATTTAGCTAGCATTTAGCTAGCATTTAGCTAGGATTTAGCTAGTCATTTAGCTAGCATTTAGCGAACGAACACTTTGTTTCGAAAGAAGAGATCAAAAAATGGTTGACAGATTGGTGACGAAGATTTTCTACGAGAGAGGCATTCGATTTCTATCAGTAAAATGGGAAAAATTAGGTTCTTATCGATTACACACCTGGAGAAGTAACAAAATAGCTTATTTAGATAGAGCATTATTTAGATAGAACATTAGATAGATAGATAGATAGAGCAATAGATATTAGGTGTGTGAAAAAGTAATCCACGTTTTTTATTTTTATTTTGTTTAAATAAATATATCTAAACAATTTTTGATTTTTTGTTAACTATATATATGTTGTGTCCGATTTAGATTTCCGTCCGATTTAGATTGAACTTATCGCGGACGTCCGATTTAGATTACAGTCTATATCGGACGTCCGATTTAGACTCAATCTAAATCGGACGTCTTATATAGATTAAACAATAATATAAACATGTTTAATATATGTTCTTAAGCGTTTTCTGTAGTTTTCTGCATTTTTCAAAGGTCTGTTACTGTCTTTTTCTGAAAAGAAAACCCAACTATGAAATAATCAATAAAAGACCTTTGAAAATGCAGAAAACTACAGAAAACGCTTAAGAACATATACTAAACATGTTTATATTATTGTTCAATCTATATAAGACGTCCGATTTAGATTGAGTCGTCCGATATAGACTGTAATCTAAATCGGACGTCCGCGATAAGTTCAATCTAAATCGGACGTCCGATTTAGATTGAATCTAAATCGGACGGAAATCTAAATCGGACACAACATATATATCGTTTAAAAGCTTATTTTTTTCCTCTTTCGAATGATATATTTATTTTGTGAAAAGGACGACAATAAACTACCTTCATTTTAGTTTGAAAATGGTATACACAAGTATCGTTATTCAGTCAAATTTGCTTTATGAGTTCAAAAATGGGTTGAAAGCTGCGGAGGCTGCACGTCGAATTCGGAATGCGTTTGGCGAAGACGCCGCTACTGATGATACCGCTAGGTTTTGGTTCCAACGATTCAAAGGTGGTAATGAAAGCCTAGACGATGAACCACGTGGCGGTCGCCCTGAGACCTGTTCGGATGACCAAATAAGACGCTGTCTTCTCGAAAACCCTCGTTCAACCTCTTCAGAAATATGCCTTACATTAAATTGTGATGGGTCAACCGTAAGGAAACGCTTGAATGCCATGAATTTTATCAAAAAGTTGGACAAATGGATACCGCATAAACGTTAAAAACGTGGATTACTTTTTCACACACCTAATAGATAGAGAGATCGAGCATTTGATAGAGATTTTCGGTTCTTTGTCATTTACTCAAAGGATGAAACCGGTATGATGTAAATAGGTGTTAATTTGTTATGTATAATCAATGAATCAATGATAAGTATCAATGGATCAATGATAAGCATCAATGAATCAATGATAAGTATCAATGAATCATTTACAAGTGCGCAGAAACTTTTGAAATCATTCTGTACACTTTTCTCGAAGCTTTTTACTGATTCACTCACCTGGTTGCTCACTCAACGAATTCTCTCCACTTTTCGTGCTATTCAATGAAGCTGTATCCTCATTGTTCGGCGTGTTTTCCTTGTTCGATGTGGATGCTTGGATTTCGGATGATGGAGAGTCGCCTAAAGTTGATGATATTTTCAGATTACGTTCAGATTACGATTCAGTTGAACAAATTCATCTATTTTGAGCGTACTGTCGCGTAGTCGCTAACTATTTCAGTGATATTTTGATGAGAATTAGCAGCAACCGCAACATAGCTGCTGCAAAGCTATTTTTTCGAGTTCTTAGCTTAGACTTTAGACCTAGATCTGGATGCTGATTTGACCAAACTTTAAACCAACTTCTCTGCTTTAAACCAATTTTTCTATATACCTTTAAACAAGCTTTATTATTATCTTTTCTTTTCTACAAGCTTTATTATCTTTTCTACAAGCTTTATTATCTTTTCTACAAGCTTTATTATTATCTTTTCTTTTCTATAAGCTCTCTACAAGCTTACAAGCTATCTTTTCTTTTCTACAACCTTTCTACAAGCTATCTTTTCATTTCATTTCATTTCTCATCTATTCCCATGTTTGGGAGAGTATGGATAAGCTCTTGACCGAGAGGAGATCTTTCTGGAGAAGTGTCTGCATTGGACATAAAGTGGGAACCCTTCTATGTGCCTGAAGCATTGGAAAGGAATTGAGGAAGGGGGAAAGGAATGAGAAAGAGAAAGAGAAAGAGGAAGAGAAAGAGAAAGGGAATGATGAAACTCTCATTGGATGTCTATGTCTTTTCTTTCCCTTTCTTAACCCTTTCCTTAGATGGAATGCGCCATCTGTCCCCTCTCCTTGGGAAATTGAGAAATCACTTCTTTACACGAATATCTATTATATAAAAGAGCAGTGTCTATCTGTCTGTTTGTTTGTTATCTGTCTGTCTGTCTGTCTGTCTGTCTGTCTGTCTGTCTGTCTGTCTGTCTGTCTGTCTGTCTGTCTGTCTGTCTGTCTGTCTGTCTGTCTATCTATCTATCTATCTATCTATCTATCTATCTATCTATCTATCTATCTGTCCGTTGTTGAATATTGGCTAATATCAGAGCTAGACGGGCTACAAAAAGCCATAGCTTGGCTTTTGGAAAAACCTAATCATACTTCAACTTCAACTATAAGCTAAATTCATTTCTTTAAAGAATCTTCAACAAGTTGCTTCCCTTAATCTTGCCATCTGTCCCCAGATTTCCTTTTGGTTCTTCAAAAGAGGCCAAAAAGGGGTTTGGATAAGGGAAAAGGATGAAAAAGATGGGGAAATCCTCTCTTTTTCTCCTTTCTTCCCCAATTTCTTTTTTTCATCTTTCCCCAAGCAGTCAGACGAGGTTTTTTTTAATGAAAAGCCGCTTCGAGAAATGGGAGGACGAGGTCAAAAACAAATTGAGTTGATGGGGCACAAATTTGCCCTACATGGGCCCTACAAGTGAGCAAAATTACTTTAAGAGATTCGTTTGTTAAATTTTCAATGAGATTTTGAAAGTATTTAGTATTTTTTTGAATTGAATTAGATGAAAAGTCGATCCAATCTTAAACAACACTCTAATTCTTGTCTCGTGCTAGTTTTTGATTCGTTTTGGAACAGATTTTGGTACTACGAATTGTTCATTATTAAATCTAAAACAAACTTTTACAAATTATAAACTACAAACTACAAAGTAGAGCTAATTTTACTAATTTAGCTAATTTTACAAAAAAATCCTTTTCTAAAACGTATCCTAATATTACTTTTAAAGATAGATTAGATAAAATTATGAATTAAAGACAATAGTCAAGAAAGTTAACAAGCTTTTGAAGGAAAGAGGAAGAAGAAGGAGAAGAAGAAGGAGAAGAAGAAGAAGAAGAAGAAGGAGAAGAAGAAGGAGAAGAAGGAGAAGAAGAAGAGAGAAGGAGATGGAAAGGAAGAAGAGAGGAAGAAGAAGAAGGAGAAGAAGAAGGAGAAGAAGAGGAAGAAGAAGAAGGAGAAGAAGAAGGAGAAGAAGGAGAAGAAGAAGGAGAAGAAGGAGAAGAAGAAGGAGAAGAAGTGGAAGAGGAAGAAGGAAGAGGAAGAAGAAGAAGGAGAAGAAGAAGAAGGAGAAGGAGATGGAAGAGGAAGAAGGAAGAGGAAGAAGAAGAAGGAGAAGAAGAAGGAGAAGAAGAAGAAGGAGAAGGAGATGGAAGAGGAAGAAGGAAGAGGAAGAAGAAGAAGGAGAAGAAGAAGGAGAAGAAGAAGAAGGAGAAGGAGATGGAAGAGGAAGAAGGAAGAGGAAGAAGAAGAAGGAGAAGAAGAAGGAGAAGAAGAAGAAGGAGAAGGAGATGGAAGAGGAAGAAGGAAGAGGAAGAAGAAGAAGGAGAAGAAGAAGGAGAAGAAGAAGAAGGAGAAGGAGATGGAAGAGGAAGAAGGAAGAGGAAGAAGAAGAAGGAGAAGAAGAAGGAGAAGAAGATGGAAGAGGAAGAAGAAGAAGGAGAAGAAGAAGGAGAAGAAGATGGAAGAGGAAGAAGAAGAAGGAGAAGAAGAAGGAGAAGAAGAAGGAGAAGAAGAAGGAGAAGAAGAAGGAGAAGAAGAAGGAGAAGAAGAAGGAGAAGAAGAAGAAGGAGAAGAAGATGGAAGAGGAAGAAGGAAGAGGAAGAAGGAAGAGAAAGAAGAAGAAGGAAGAGGAAGAAGAAGGAGAAGGAAGAGGAAGAAAGAAGAATGAAGAAGACATTCAAGATATGTCTCTACAAAAGCTACAAAAAACATTTCCCCAGGGATATCATTAAAATTTTACCACTTCCTAAAACAAATCTTTAAAATTTTAGAAAATTATATCTATAACAAAATTTCAAAATCAAATAAACAAAAAAAAAGTGTTGATTGACACAGTTTTCCTTATCAAATGAGTTCTATGGAAAGAAAGGAAAGAAAAAAGAAGCTGGGAAAGAAAACTCTTTTTTGAACTCTGAACAAGGCGCCAATGGACAATGCGCCAATGGACAAGGCGCCAATGTACAAGGCGCCAATGGACAAGGCACCAATGTACAAGGCGCCAATGGACAAGGCACCAATGGATAAGGCGCCAATAGACAAGTCACCGATGGACAAGGCGCCAATGGATAAGGCGCTAATGCACAAGGCACCAATGGACAAGGCACCAATGCACAAGTCACCGATGCACAAGGCACCAATGGACAAGACGCCAATCCACCTTCTGATTACTACTTATTCTTTATGAGCTATGATTTGGCGAGCAAACACTTTGTTTCCGAAGAAGAGGTTAAAAAATGGTTGACAGATTGGTTTGCGTCGTTTGATTGGTGACAGATTGATTTGGGGAAGTTGATTGATTTCTACAAGAGAAGCATTCGTCTTCTACCAATAAAATGCTCACAAATCGGGGGTGGGACAAATGTGACCTTTTTTTGCGCACCTGGACATTTGCGCACCTTTTTTTTTGCTGGAAAAGGCCTTAGGAAAGGTCGTAGAGCTTCAAAAGCTTAAGGGAATCGTATGCGTAGATTCCGAATTTCGACAAATCAGACCTCGCTGACACGTCAAATTTGGGCTAAAAGGCAAAAACTGCGGAAAAGCGTTAAGTTGCGTAGTTTTTGCCTTTTATATAAGCTCTATAAGCTCTATAAGCTCTATAATACAAGCTATATAAGCTCACCATTAAAAACACCGGCTGGCTCGTCTTTTGTCGGCTTTGGACTGTCGCCGTTTTGCTCGGATAACTAAATAAATTTAAGAAAAATTTTTCGATAAACATTACTAGATTATAAGATATATCTATATATAGATAATTCATTTTAAATGCAAATTTCAATCAAAAAGTACCTCAATGTGCGAGACGGCGTTTGTCAACGTCTCCTCTGCTTTAATCGAACTGGCCTGTAAATGGGGTAAATGGACATAAAATTGCTTATAAATTGGCTCATAAATTGGCTCATAAATTCAAATAAGCTAGAATAAGCATAAATAAGCATAAATAAGCTAGAAAATCTTTAGCTGGTTTATCTCCCTCTAAAAATAGATATATTTCTCTATAATCTTACTCTAGTTTTTGAGTATTTTAGCTTCTTTAACTTTTTTAGCTAACTCACTTGACTTTCTGGACGAATAAATTGTTGCTGAAGCGGCATCGGGAAAGGCATATTCAACGCGGCTGAGGCCATCATTTGCTAAAATTTTGATAAAATATAAATATTGAAATATAGAAATCTAGAAATATTGAAATATAGAAATCTAGAAATATTGAAATATAGAAATATTGAAATATAGAATACCCTAATCTAGACTAAATACTAATCTAGCGATTAATCTAGTCTCATCTAGCTATTCTAGACTGAATATCCTATTCCAGATTGAATAGCGTAATCACGACAGTCTAGACTGAATACTCAAATCTAGACTGAATAGCCTAATCTAGACTAAATACCGTAATCTAGCGATTCTAGACTGAATATCCTATTCTAGATTGAATACCGTAATCCAGACAGTCTAGAACAGACTGAATACTCTAATCTGAACTGAAAAAAACAAAACTGAATACTCTAATCTAGACTAAATACCCTAAATATCGAAATGATATAGAAATTTGTTATTTATTTAAGTAGTAGATTTTTCTTAGTACTCTAGTTTGAAATATACTTGAAAGTACTGCTGCATCATTTCTTGATATTGTGACGGTGTAACGAAGAAACCCATCTGATTGTTGGGTGGGACAGCTGGAAAAAGATTAATCAAATCAAATTATTTCAAATTTCTAATACTTTTGAAATTTTAAAAGTTTTAAGCAAAAGTTTTTCTTGCGATAAATCTAGAGCTCATAGAAAAGTGGCGAATGAAAGCTCAATGTAAAAATATAAACAAATCTCAGCGTTATTCCAAGAATTCTAAAGTTCAGCGTTGTTTCAAAGCCAAAGCCAAAGCCAGGCCTTGGCTTGGCTTAGCTTGCCTTTATTCCACAAAAAGTATGAAACCTAAACCCCTGAGATCACTTCTGAACCCTGGCTTTGAACTGGCCTGGCTTTGGCCTGCTTTACAGCCCTAGATCCTGATTGGATCTCTGCTAACTATAAGTATTGTATAGATAAATTAATTTAATGCTAACTAATTGCTAACTAATTGCTAACTAATTTAATGCGTACAAGAGTTGATGAATTTTGTGAAATGTAAGACTGTAAGACTCACGAAATGGTTGCGGACCCGCGGTCGACGGGTTTTGTTGCTCGGGTGCACCCTGTGGCATGAATGGAGACATGAAGGGATTCGCAAAAAATGGAGCTCCCATACCAAATGGTGGCATCTCTGAAAACATGATTGATTGATTAATTGATTTAGAAATGGCTCTAAATATTATTTAGAAACTGTTATCTGCATAAACTGGTTTCAGAATCGTTCTCTGAAAGAATATTTCAGCCACAGTTATTTCATCTCCTCAGGGATGTACTGACTGGGCTAGGGAAGGTAAGGGCTAGCCTAGAAGCCAGGGTCGACCCAGGAGTCTGCTTGTTCTAGGCCAGGCCCGACCCAGAATCAGGCTTGTTCTAAGCCAGGCCCGACCCAGGACCCAGCTTCTCCCAGGCCAGCCCGACCCAGACCCCGGCTTGTCCTAAGCCAGGCCCGACCCAGACCCCGGCTTGTTCTAAGCCAGGCCCGACCCAGGACCCAGCTTCTCCCAGGCCAGCCCGACCCAGACCCCGGCTTGTCCTAAGCCAGGCCCGACCCAGACCCCGGCTTGTTCTAAGCCAGGCCCGACCCAGGACCCAGCTTCTCCCAGGCCAGCCCGACCCAGACCCCGGCTTGTCCTAAGCCAGGCCCGACCCAGACCCCGGCTTGTTCTAAGCCAGGCCCGACCCAGGACCCAGCTTGTCCCAGGCCAGCCCGACCCAGGACCGTGCCTGTTCTAGGTCTGGACCTTAGACCCAACTTTTTGTAGGCTAAGGGAGCTAGCTGCTAGGGATCTGGCTAAAAATTCCCCTGGAACATCCCTGACTGATCATAGTTTAAAATCAAATCGAGACTCACGCATGAACTGTCCCGGATCCTGATGCAATGGCGGAGTGGGGGTGGGTGTGGATGAAAGGGATGAGTTCATCCCTGCACCCCTTCCCCCTCCACTTCCATCACCTTGGGGACTTCTCGATGCGGCTGTCGGGGTATCAACCCCTAACGGCTCGGACATCCCTCAGGTAAAAATTGATTTGAGAAATGAGTTGAAGAAGTGATGTTGCTGAAATTTTATGATAATGAAGCTATATCTAGTTGAAAGAAAAATCTGGTCACGTTTAGAGAATAAGTTGAAATAGGTTAAATGAAATTCGTCAAAAATAGAGCGAAACTCAGGAAAAGTAGCGAAATAGAGAAACAGAGAAGGTTTTTTGGCCAAAAATAGAAATTATAAAGCGTATTGGTCATTTATGTTAGGTTTACTCGATAAAGAATCGCTTTTGTGGTGCAAAAAGTGAGCTGAATTTAAGCTGGAGTTTAATACAGTAGAGAATGATAAAAGAAAAAGAGAGAAAAAATGTTTCTCGAGACGTTTTCACGTTAAATTTTAATTTCTGTCGCAAATTTTTAGTGTTAAATTTCGCGCGACGTCGCATTCCAATTGACGTCGCCGCCATTCGGCGGTAGTCGATGGGAGCGCCGCGTCGTCGTTTCTTTTTCATTTTCAAATCATTTTTTTTGTCAGATTATTGTTTAATTGAAATTTCTTTATTGTTTAATTGTTGAAAGTATTGTTTTACGCGATAAATTCTGTGTTGAAATGAAATGATTTTATCTTGTTGTTAAATGTCAAATTTTTGCGCGATGTCGCATTCCAATTGACGTCGCCGCCATTCGGCGGTAGTCGATGGGAGCGCCGCGTCGTCGTTTCTTTTTCATTTTCAAATCATTTTTTTTGTCAGATTATTGTTTAATTGTTTATTTGTTTAATTATTTTATTGTTTAATCATTTTTAATCGTTTTTAATTGTTTTTAGTCCTTTTTAATCATTTTTAATTGAAAGTATTGTTTTACGCGATAAATTCTGTGTTGAAATGAGAAAGCAATCTATTTCCATTTGGGAACCGAGTGGAGAATCCGGAACTTTTCGTAGCCGGACCACAATGAAGGCCAAAACTAACTGTAAGATCATTTGTTGAAGTTGAATAGAAACAACGAAAGCAAGACATCTTTTGGACCGTTACAAAACTATACTTTTTCAAAAATATTAAGGGAAGGCTGTACTCATTTTTTACGAGTAATTTCTTGGAGTCAAGTCGGCTTGCTATTATTTATTATTTACAAGTCGTATTATTATCGTATTATTTAGTCGTATTATTATCGTATTATTTAGTCGTATTATTATCGTATTATTTTATTATTTACGTAAATAATAGAACAAAGTGTTCTTGAATTGATGGATTCTTTTTGAAGAAATTCCAGTTTAAATCTGTGCAAAGACTTTCTTGCCAACCTAGTAGATACAGTACGTTCTAGTATTTGCGCAAGTGTCCCCTAAAGCTGAGCTGAATATCTTTAAATCATATTTAGACATTTAGGTTTTCAGTTAGAAAGAGAATGGCACTTGTAGAAGAAATAAATAAGCTTGGACAGGAAACAAGGGGGAAAATGGAAGACCTTAATGTAAACAAAAGAGTTGTTGAAAAGATTTGTTGGTGGTTTTGGGTCTCAAGGGGAAAATCGTCGCGATGAATCAGTGCGAATGAGTCAATTGGACTGGGAAATACGGCTACTGGTGGGGGAAGGTCGGAAAAGTTGAAAGATTAATTCAAACCTGACAAACATTGATTTTGAACAAATCTTACATTTAATCTTCATTTTTTTTACAACAATCTTACATTTAATCTTCATTTAATCTTACAACAATCTTGCTGTACCCTAAATTGTGAAATACCTGGTCTGAACTGACCTGGCTTAGCCATTTGTTCGAAAAATTGCCTTTAGAATAAACTTGGTTTGTTCTAATCAAGAATGAATGAATGAATGAACCAAGAATGAATGAATGAATGAATGAATGAACCAAGAATGAATGAATGAATTCAAGAATGGTAACTGATACTGACTGATAACTGATATGCAAATACTTTCCGTTTCACATTTAAACGTAAAAACTTGATAGGATCAACAGGAAAAAAACACGGGCAATTTTTGATTGGATTAGCTTGGTGAACAAATCTTGACCACTTTTTTTTGTACATATACTTATGAATGACTAAGTCACCAAATTGAAATACGGTTTGCTTTGAATAGAAAATTGTTTAGCATTAACTTTTTTAAAGAAATTCAGCTATTGAGCGGCTACATTATCTCATTTTTTTTATTTTGCATTGCCTACAATTTGCAATTCTTTGTCAGAAATCGAAAGAATTTGGATTCCAGAGTCTTAAAAAGAGATAAAGCATAAAATCTAGCTATGCGAGAGCAAAATTAAAATAAGCAAAATTCAAAATTAGGTGAGCTGGGGGAGAATTTTCAAAATTAACGATGAAAGCAATTCTAGAGAAGTGGGCCGAGTATAATATGGGGGATTCTATAGAAAAGAAGGGGGATGAGACTCGATAATGAGAGTAGAGGGGAATAGCGGGGAAAAGAGATATTGGAAGGGGGGTTGGGGAGAGATGGACGGGGGAGAGGGAACGACGACGTACGTGATCGATAAGCCGCCCCTACCCCGCCCCTCCCCTCCCCTCTCCTCCCCTTTTCCCCATTTCCCTTTTGCTCTTTGTCCCTAAGCCTACCCCTTTTCCCTCTCCATCCCCCTGGTCACTCTATAAAACTCACTGCTTCTCTTGGGCCTGCCTGCCAATCGAACTCCCCTGAAGCAAAGAACTTGTGAAACACAAAGCACAGTCAATCACTCATCACTCAGCACTCCCCCAGCCCCTGCGAGAGTTTCAAAATCTGATGATGGGTTTGAGGACAGAATTTAGTACTAGTTTTGATTGTAAAAGGGAAATCTTTTTTAGAATTACCGTATTGGATCTAAAAAGAACCGTATTGGAACCGTATTGGAATTGTATTGGAATTGTATTGGAACCGTATTGGAATTGTATTGGAACCGTATTGGATCTAAAAAGAACCGTATTGGAACCGTATTGGAACTGTATTGGAACCGTATTGGAATTGTATTGGAGTTGTATTGGAACCGTATTGGAATTGTATTGGATCTAAAAAGAACCGTATTGGAACCGTATTGGAACTGTATTGGAACCGTATTGGAATTGTATTGGAGTTGTATTGGAACCGTATTGGAATTGTATTGGAACCGTATTGGATCTAAAAAGAACCGTATTGGAACCGTATTGGATCTAACTTAGAGCGAACTTAAGCGAACTTACTTAGAAAACTTAGAGCCACGAACTCCCCTGAAGCAAAGAACTACGACTGATAACAAAACGATAACAATGACTTTTATTTTTGATATTAACTCAATTTTTTAAATTTGTTATGTATTTTATAGAAATTTCGGTTCTTTCCTCTTTGAGAACACTTAATTTAAATTTATACCGTCGTAGCCGACCGGATAGGAGTCTTGTCTCCTAGTCGGGGGGTTAAGGGTTCGATCCCGGCCGCTAGAAAGTTTGGCTCTTTTTCCCATTATTATGGGTTTTTTCTTAACGACATTTGGGTAATAGGGGTAATTAGGGATCAAAATTCCTCCGTTGTGTTGTAATTCATTATTCGTGTCGAATAAATATACTTTTTTTACCCAACAAAATTGAAATTTAATCAATCTCATCAATCTTTATTGATGATATTGGCATTGGCATTGACATTGGCATAATTTGGTTTACAAGACCAGAAACATGACCTGGCAGTATAATTTATTCGGATTCGTGAAAAGGCTGCAAGACTGAGAAGTTGGAAAATGCTGGCTTCGAGCATTTCAAGGTCAATCCCAAATATAATCTCATCAATAAATTGATGATAAATATTGGTTAACTTTAAATTTTGTTTCGTATAAATTGAATTTGATATTCTCGATAAAAGGAAAGTAACGAAGTGTTTTCGATAAATTTATTCTAGTTTTCAAGAGGAGATTCAGGGCTATCGAATGACTATAATAGTTTAGTTTATCTTTGAATTTTCACCAAATTATCAGTGCAACAGTTAGCGACTACGCGACTGTACGCTCAAAATGCCCAGAATTTGTTAAATATCCACATAAATCTCAAAGCTTTTAGGTGGGCCCAATCACAGCCTCAAATCCGGCTCGAGTGATGCCTGAGAGAAAGCATTTCTTCGAGAGACTTGTCGCTTTTTGCGAGCAACAAGGCGATCCGATCACCGTTATCCGATCACCGTTATCCGATCACCGTTATCCGATCACCGTTATCCGATCACCGTTATCCGATCACCGTTGTCCGATCATCCGATCACATTCTTAAACGGGCAACGGAGTTGGGGTGGGTGGGACAACAATTTGCATCTAAAAATTCGGTTTTTTTTTCATCAACCACTTCCAGCATAAGACTATGCGAGCGCGGTTTTCTTTTTTTTTCAACCAACTTGTCTCGCGCTAATTTGATAAAGTTTTTGACGAAATAATTGATTATTTTTGCAGCTTTTGATTTTTTTGCCTTTATTCGTCTGTGTAAACTTTGTTCTTTCAGGAAAGCTCGCAACATGCACCCACAAGTCGACAAGTTGCTTTCGGATATCGACAAACATCTGCACCAAGTAAATTTTTGACTTTTATTGAACTAAAGCGATGGAGGCGTTAAATTTATGCTGTAACGTTTTAATAAAGTTGAAAATTGCAAAGATTTGGCTTTTTAAAGTTGTAAAATATCTATTCTTTATTAGTTGTTTATTAATTTTGTTTATTTTAGCCGGGACCAATCACCAATGTTTTGGCAAAGGCAGAAGAGAAATCGGGGATTCGCCGGTTGCATTTGGTTCTCGGGATCGCCGGATTACAAGCACTCTATTTGATCTTCGGACATTTCGCAGCTCTTCTCTGCAATTTCATGGGCTTCATCTATCCGGCTTATTGCTCGTAAGTCTTTTCGTTAAAGAAGCAAACGATGCCGTTTTCTTTTTAGCATCAGAGCAATTGAATCATCATCAAAGGAAGACGATACTCAATGGCTAACTTATTGGGTTGTGTTTGCACTTTTCTCGGTTTGTTTTTGTTACTAGGAAAAAAGGAATACGTTTTTAACTTTAGGTAGCCGAATTCTTCTCGCATCAGATTTGTGCCGTCTTCCCAGTTTACTGGCTGTTCAAGAGCTTGTTCCTGCTCTATCTCTACTTGCCCGAGACGCTTGGAGCCAAGAAGATCTACCACAAGTTCATCCAGCCACTTGCTGCCAAGCATGCTCCTTCAATCAACAGTCGTCTTGATGCTTTTGCTGATAAGGCTCGTGATGGTATGTTACCTTTTAAGCAATACCAAACAAAAACTAGATTTTAACTCTACGATGGTTTATTTAAGACCTAAGCCGCTAGTTTTGGGCAACTAGTAAAATTCATGCTTCATGCCGTGCTCGGCGCGCTCCAGAAAATTCATGCTCAGTTATCTTTCACTTTTTCTAAAAAATTACTGCGGTGTACATACGTGTATTTTTTTCCAGAAGTTGCGCTCCACTGTTTTGTTTTACTTGCGGTTTTTGTGCGCGTGCTATGTTTAAATGTTAGATAGATCATAAAAATAAACTGAGAAAAGTGTTACTAGTTGCTCTAGTTTTGTACTAGAAAAAGGGCGCCATGGACCTTATGAACTCTACTTTTACAAAAAGCTTATTTTTATAATCATTCATAAAGAAAAATTTTTTTATTTTTAATATTATTTAATTTAGGCGCTCGCCACCTCGTTGATGACATCCGGGAGCGCGCGCATTAAATGGATCAAAACCTCTTCAATAATTGTTTTTCTGTGAAATCATTTTAGTGTTACTTTTCATTTTCTTGGAAACCTTCTTTCAATATGCCCTAGTGTCCGTTCAGTTCCGTGTCAATTTGGTAACTCTTGTAACATTCTTTTGTTTTACCCCTCGTTATAGTTCAGGTTTTTAAATGGTAAACACCTCTTATCAGATACCTCTAAAGCCAATGAATGTTGTTGAGTTAGTTTGTTTAACTTTTTGGCTACGTCTCATTGAAGATTCGGCTTCTGGGCGGACAAAAGGCGGCATACCTCATTTTTCTCTTTCTCTGAACTGCTTAGCCCATTTAGCCATGTCATTGACGGTTAGCCTCCTTTGCCTGTTGAGATGGTTGCTACTTTGCATATTTCTATTTTGACCAACATTTACATAATATATGCATGTGTTGTTTTTAAAAGTTTTAGTTGCTCTTTGGTTAAGCTAGGTAATAAATTTTTTTCCAAGTCCATGTAAAAGAAAACATGCGGTAAAAGCCATAAATAAATCTACACTTCAATACAAAGCTATTCAGTTTCAATTGTTTGGAGGTTTTTGCGGTTCTGATTTGTTTAAGACGTGTAACCGCACCGCTCATTTAGATGTTGTCCCGTATTTCTTCTCGAGTCTCCCGCCTCAATGTTGCGGCTCCTGTTCAGCTTGGAGCAATACGGCAAAAGGTGAAATCATAGACTAATAATTTTCTTAAATGAATTTTGAGCTCCAACAGCAAATAGCATCGTGGAAAACGTCATTCACAGCTTTCCAATCTAAAATTTACAGGGAACCTTCAATTGGGAAGACCCTTTTGATTTGCGTAGCCAACTTAATGAAGAAGAGCGCACGCTGATGGATCAAACGAGAGAATATGCGGCAGCTAAACTGTTGCCACGTGTCACCGAGGTTTTCTTTGAATGAAAATCCAAATAAATTCTCTTTAGGCCTATCGTCACGAGAAGTTTGATAAAAGCTTGATCCCTGAAATGGGAAAGATGGGACTTTTGGGTGCTCCTTACGAGGGATATGGATGTGCTGGTACTACCACTGTCGGTTACGGATTGATTGCTAGGTAAACTTTGTGCACAGTTTTAGGAGAAGCTATATTATTTTCCTCACAAAAAAAATAGTTTTGCAGCCTAAAATAGGTTTTCTCTTTAGAGAAGTCGAACGCGTTGATTCCGGATACCGATCGACGATGAGCGTTCAAACTTCACTCGTAATTGGACCGATTTATAACTATGGTTCAGAAGAACAACGAAAAAAGTATACTATAAACCCTTTTTTATTTTAAATAGCAAAGTTTAGGTACATTCCTGCCTTAGCAGCTGGTGAAAATATTGGCTGTTTTGGTCTTACCGAGCCAAACCATGGATCAAATCCAAATGGTGACTTTATTTATACTTTTATTTATTTTGCTTCAGGTATGGAAACACGAGCTCGATGGGATGAAAAGACGAAAACTTACAAAATTACTGGCACAAAAACATGGATTTCAAACAGCCCAGTCGCCGATATTTGTATTGTTTGGGCTAGAAGCGATAGGTATTGAGACACTTTTAAAGACTTATTCCCGAAGTTCATGGCCTTGTTGGAATCGTACTTGAACTTCTTGTTTCAGCAGCTCGATCAATCGTCTTCGATTTATTGCCAAGCATGTTGCGTTCTTCGTCTTTTCATAGTCGAGTAGCTTTCGTAGATGGTTACGGTCTTGTATCCATCGGAATTGGTTCCGGATGGATACAAGACCGCGTTCGTACACCAGTCGTAGCCCCACGGTAGAACTCCAATGCCTTGTCCAATTGGGTCTTCTCAACAATTCGATCGCCGATTCTCAACCCATTGGTGTAGGCATTTGGAGTGGTGGGCATAGTCGGTTGCCAATCTTCATCGCTGTCCCATTCATCAGGTAAGTCGTCTGTTTGTTCACATTCCATTGTTTCATCTTCTTCCTCCACGACAATTTGCATTGACTCGGCTTCGTGGAGAAGACGAGAGAAGACACCCTTCAGCTTTACTTCTTGTCGAGTCGGAGCAGAGCTATCAGAGTTGAGTCCAAATTCATCGACGAGCATCTTCAGCACTTTCGAGGCACGAAACATCTTGAAACGTTGAAAGATACCCACTGCCCAAGACGGAGATTTTATGTACAGGCAGTGTCCCAATTGATGGGCGATTACGCAATCCGATAGAGAACGCACATTATGTGGTTTTGCAAAAAAAGAAAAACTTTTGGGGTGGAGCCGAACCAGCGACACTCGGACTACCAGGTCGCGCTCCTAACCACTCGGCCACTCGGCTAACCTGTCAGAGTGCCTGTGAGAGTTCCCTTTAAAGAGTGCCGTGCAAGTCCCAAAAATGTTTAAGTTTAAGCTACTTTGAACTTTGAACTTTGAAACCTTATATTTCAGTCAGTTCTGGCATTTAGCAGCTAAAAATTTCAGAAAATTCTTCTTTTGTGATGATCTTTCCCCCCTGTAATTTTGGAGTCGATCTGAGGTGGTAAGTAGTTGTAGTTCCCTCGTAAGTGAAGATTTTTTATGGTTTAAACCAATCGTATATTTTTGAAAATATTGTGATAAAAATAGTACTTTATTAGGAAACTTGTCTAGCGACTATGCACTTATGTGAAGCACCCGATATAAAATAAACATTTAATCGATAATCATATTTAAAAACAAAACGAATGCAGTAATTAAAATATGCACAACCAAAAATAAAGTCATCAAAAAGAATTATTTGAAAGCTTTATAGTTATATACAAAATTTTAAATTGTGTTTTTATTCCTAGATTAAGAAGTGCTTGACATTTTTCTTGTGACAGCCTTCAAGCTGAATATTTAGCGTGATGCAGCATTGAATGGAGTTCGATCGGGAAAAATATGGGCTTTGGTTTGCACCGAATTGATGGGACGCGGACTCGATTTGCCGGCCGTCAATCTTGTCATCAATTTCGATCTTCCCACAACAATCGTTCAATACATTCATCGAATAGGTACTTTTTAACGAATGAAATATATCAAACACTTTGGTTTAGGTCGAACTGGACGAGCTGAACGCAAAGGACATGCTATTACGTATTTCACACAGAGTGATTTCAAGGTAAAATAGTTTCATTTATTTTTAAGCATAAACCTTTTTTCTAGTACGTTCGTCCGATCGCGAGTGTCATTCGTCAGGCCGGGTTTTCAGTCCCCGAGTACACGCTGAGCTTAAATCCGATTGCCAGGTGTTTTAAATAAAACACATTTACCTATGTTTTATACTTTTAGAAAAGAAAAGAAAGCGATTTATCGACACGCGATCAAGCGAAAGAACATAGCTGCACCAAGAGTTTGTTTTTTTTTGTCTTTGAAAAATACGAAACTTTTTAGAAAAGAACCGCAAAAAAATCGTCGAATGAAAAAACCCAAAGGAAAAGACGCAAATCGACGTAATGTTTCGAGCTTAAATTATACCCGTTGTTACAAATATTAGGTTGTTGGTTTTGTTATCTGTTATCTTATCTCGATCGTATAAATTTATTCCAAAGTTTTCGAGTATCAATATGAGAAGTTTATTAAATACAAGTATTCTCTTTTTCGAGTATTCTGGATAAGAAAAATAATCATTAATGAGGGAAATTTGCGCAAACGAAACGCAAATTCCGCAATTTTCGTTTTAACGTTGTTGCGTTTTTTGAAGTTTGGTTGGTCCCGAAAAACCAGACACAAATAAAGGTGTCTGTAAAATTGTCTGTAAAATTTAATTTGCATATAAAATTTGTAAATTTGGCTCGTGTAAATTTACATTTAAAATCTTTCCAATCGTTTCCTTTTGCACATTCAATTCTGTATTCGATCTGGCTGAGTTAGTGGATCGATTTCATTTTGCTTTATTCAAGAAACTCAAAATTGTAAGCCCGATCAATCGACAATCCTCATAGTCAGTTTTAAGACATTTTTCAAGCATCGGACTCTAGCGTCTTCGATTTTCCCACCCACAGAGAAAATTCCGATTTTTCCTTCCCTTCCACTTTCTCTTCCATCCTTTCCACATTATTCAGATTCACTGATTCACTGAAACTGATTTTTCGATTGGTGATGATTTCACACAAAATTTCGTAACTTTTAACAATATTCAAGGCTCCTATATTTACCTAGGCTTTGGCTCGGCACCTTAGAGGCACGTGGCTCCTAGGCTATCGCCTGATTCTCCTACGGCTCAAATGTTGTGTGAAACAGATCATCAACAACCGATTCAGCATAGTCAAAAACTCCTGGGTGAAGAAAATCAGCTGATTTGGCGAAAAAAAATTTGCCCCTCCCCCAAATTACTATAGCACCGTCGTTTTTAGCTTTTCCTGCTTATTATATTATTATAAGTACTAATTTTATTATTTTCGATATCGTTCTCAATGAAAACCCGTTTGATGGAATGGAGGAATTTCGAGCTCGTCGCGAACATGAGGAAAGCGAGGAAGTCTTCAGGGAAACGTGGGAGCTCACCGAACAAGATGCCAACGAAAACTCGGCCAACACTGAACCTGAGGGATCTTCAAGTGAAGCGGATGAGCCACCTACAAAGAGAAAAGCCATCGACATGAAGACCAAACTGGCTGCTGCAAAAATGAGCAAGGATGTTTCGATCATCCCGACAGCAAGATATTTCAATCGAGCTGCGTCCAATCTTACTGTGTCCTTGGAGCTGCGGACGCAGCTCCGAGGACACGAATCATACGTCAAACAAGCGACCGAGCTCGAGAAGATTTACGGGAAACGCAAGAGACTTGATGGAGCCGGGCGTCACTTGAACTTGGAGGGGATTGATGTCGGTTTGGCTGAAAAGAAACGAATAGACTCGTCGAATCGATTCTTTTCAAGAAAAGCCACGGATGAATGGAGTCATTCTTGAAGCGAAGAAGGAAGGATCAAGAAGAAAACGATGAATTCATTGATACTAATGTTTCTATTGATTGCGATAGTTGAATTGTTCATTTTTTGTTACCACTTGTTGTTACAAATTGAATAAAACAAAGAAAAGTTTGATTTTGTCGAAAACTATCTGAATGCATCCGGCTTTGGCAACTTTGAATATCGCTTAAATTTTGGATTTATTAGAGTTAGATGTTAATTTTTATTGTTGAAAAAAGCCAAAGCTTGAAGAGGACCGAGCATCGGTCGTCAATCAATGAAAATCATCAATAACACGAACATTGTGTAGATAAATATTTCGTGTTTTTAATATCCTTATAAAAATAGCGACTTAATTGTACACAATTAGAGATTAGCACAAAGTGAAAAATGTTTCGAATAAAGTGCCTTCTTGGGGCAACTGGAGACAAAATTTGACGGTTTATTGCATTCACAGAAAAAATATTCGGAATCAGGTATTTCATAAGTAGCACTGGAGACAACATTCATTGGGTAATTAAACATTTCGTGTTTTTTTACGGTCTTTATAGAAATAGCGTCCTTATTCTACACAATTAAAATTATCAAAATGCAAAAACAAACAAACTGAAAAATATTTTGGAAACCACAATTGCATTCACAGAGGAAAATATTCAGAATCATCCATTTCAAAAGTAGCACAATACCTGGAGACAATATTTGACGGTCTATTTTTGTGTTCAAATTGAGTCATCGGTCCCCCAATATACTGCGATTCATCTACGTAATTGCCAAGGTTGGTCTGAAAATGAAAAATTGTAGAAAGTACAAGATGCCTTGCACCCACCTCATCTTGATTTTCTTTAACCGACGAATCGAAGCAGCTTTCCGTTGCAACAGAATTCGAATGAACAATTGGTTCGACTTTGGCAACTCCGACAACATTCCGTCTGCAGCTTTCCGTTCCAACAGAACTCGGATGAACAATTGGCGTGACTGTGCCAACTTTTTGTGAAGAGACATACTCGTTGGAAGAGAAGAGCTTTTCGGTATTGTAGCTGAACTCGCGGTCATATGAACAACGTGATGAAAAATGTTGACAGTTGCGATTCACATAGTTGTAATCATTGAAAACCTAAATTTGATAAATGTATGTTAAATTAAAAAACCCCACCTCTCCTTCGATAAATCGCTTTGCTTGGTCGACAATCGTCAAACCCTCACGAACCAGTATGGGATGAGTGACGCGGAAAGCTTGACGGATCTCTAAAAAGAAAAGTTCATGCGTCTTGTTACGCATTTAGAGTTTCATTCGCCAACCATAAAATGCATGCTACAGATCTTACCTGATGGAACAGCCTCGTAAAATCCTAGCGTTGACACACATTTAACCACACCGGGAACTGTTTTACCGCTGTTGAGATCGGTTAGATTGAAACCTTAACAAAAAGTATTGAAGTTAAAATTGAAAGCGTTACCGTTTGTTGGAACAAAGTGACAGAAAAACCCGCCACCGATGTGGATCCCAGAATGATACCAAATGCGTCCATCGGTCAAGTAGTTGGTTACGAAGACTTCATCTCCAGGCAAAAGCCTTGCCGTGTCATTGAATAAATCGATCAATGAGAAGGAGATCAGCTAAATGCTTGAATTTATTAGACAACTAACAAGATTTATTACCTCAGAATTCACTGGAATCACACAAAATGGTGGAGGATGAGATAAGCTGGGTAGTGGACAGGAGGCGAAATGTTGCTTACATGCATCTATTAGAGACAAGATGTACACTTGATCCTTCGACTTAGTTGTTAACTAAATTTAATGAAAAGAGTATTTAACCGAAAAGAAAAGAAACCTTCATTGGCTGTGAAAGCACTTCGCTGTTGCGAGTGTTCGCAGTAACCATCCACAACTAAAAGAAAGTTGATTAAGTTAATTTCTTTGCTATTTACCACCCATCTATCAGTATTCTGACATACAATCTACTTAAATGCCAAACAAGCTTGAATTATCGAAAAGGGGCCCTTCTTAGTTACCTATCAACAGTCAACCGATTGTGAGTCAAACAATTAGTCGATAGATGATTAATTTCAGCAACAACTAGCTAATTTATAAACAAGCAAAAGTCAAACCTCATATCCATAATCCACCGATCGAGTGCCATACAGTGCGTATTTCTGTCCCAATCCGGTCACACAGCTTTTGAAGAGCCCCTTGGATGCCATAGCGTCGGCAAACGAGTTCACGCGAGCTTGAATTGGATCCTCGTGTTGTATTTCAGTTGGTTTAAACTAAATAAAAGTTTGTACTACGCCGATTAGGGGGGGGGGGGGGGCGCACTTTTTTTTTTTGCTTGAAAGACACTTTTTCTGGGGTCATTTTTAACGCTGATTCCAAATTTCAACATCTTCAATCTGCTAAATAAGTTTTAATCTCAGAAACGTCACTTCTAAGAAATTCATTTTGGCACTTTAAATGCAACTTTTCTTTAGGTTATGGGTTGATTAAAAGCGCTTCAATAAGCTTTAACAAGTTTAAACTAGGTAAATATGACCACGCCTAGAAACCTCCATATAAGCAAGCTAAATCCCCTTCAAATTCGTAAGCTAAATCCCCTTCAAATTCGCAAGAAAGAAGAAAGAAACAAAAATGGCAAGGCCAATCGATTAGCTGTGTGATATGACCGAACTCCATCAGAAGCTCATGCTGCCTGATGACGACTTCTACGACTGGCTGGCTCAAGTGGATTTCCTCCTCAAGAAACGTTCATGCCTCGTCTGCAACACAGCAAATATGAAGCGATATTAGCACAAGGCTGGCTACAGCTAGCTGGGAGTACAATGCTCGTCGTCTTCGCCGCCAATCAGGGACCAAGATCCCCACATCGGTTACTTCATTGGTTCTTCGAGTCGACCTATGCTAACAATACAATACGGCACCATGCTGACATCGCCCGTGAGCTGAAAATTGCTCACGGCACCGTCAAACAATGGGACAATGAACGCGAGATGTCTTCCAGTTCGTGGTTCGTCCAACATCCTCGACCAATCGGCGGCTTTGGTGTAGATGTGGAGATCGATGATATATGCGTTTCGAAGAGGAAATATAACGTTGAAAGAGTTCCTGGTCAAAGAAGAATGTGGCCCTTCGATGGTATCGAACGTGGATCCGGCCTTGGTCTCATGCAATTGGGGCTTCGCCAGATGCTTTGACGTTGCTGCCGATTATTCAAGCATTTGTCCGCCCTGGCTCGATCATTTACAGCGATCTTTGGTGAGCTTACACTGGCGTTGGCAATATATTCCGTATGGCGTATCGCCACTTGACAGTCAATCATCAGGTCAATTTCGTCAATCCCATCAACGGTGCTCACATACAGAACATTGGTTCTATGTGGTCCCGTTTCAAGAAGTCGATGGTCAAGCGCCCTAACGGTATCAATGTTCGCTCAAACCTGATGTATACCGACTAATCAATGAATTCTTGTGGAATCAAGAGTTCGGTCAGGACACTTTCTTAATCTCTTGGAATCAGATCAGCGTGCTTTACAAATGAAATGAATGAAACGCTTTTAATTAACCCTCAACCCAGCGGCTCTCTTTAGGGCCACAAATTAGCAGGGGAACAGGGGAATTCGCATTCAAAGTGCACAAAAGAAAATCTTAGAAGTGACTCTTCTGAGATTAAAACTTATTTAGCGGACTTGAAAGTTAAAATTCGGAATCAGCCTTAATCAGCGAAGGAAAAGTGTCTTCCAAGAAAAAAAGTGGGCCTTTAAATTAATTACCATTTTACATTTAGAAGCAATCAATCGAGTAAAAAACTAAACCAAAATCGAAACTAACCCGTCTTTCCCGCAAACTTCCTAACTCCTGTTGATGCACAGACTGGAGTTTCTGAGTTTCTTTGCGATGTTCTTCTCTGAGCGCTTTCATTTGATCTTTGTTGAGCTGCTTCTCCTTGTCAAAGGCCGCTGCAGTTCTTTCATGTGCTACTCGCAACTCGTTAATTTGGTTCTCAAGTTGTTCCTTCTAAAAGAACATTTTTATACTCGAATTTCACAAAATACATACCTTTTCACACAATTGCGAAGTGGCTTCTATCTGATCGTCAAGCAGCTCCATCGTTTTTCTGTGTGCTGAATGAACAGCCATCAGTTGTGACTCAATTAATTGCTTCTAAATGTAAAATGATAATCTATTTTAAGAGTATAATATCTTATCTATCTAAACTACCTCCTTGATCAAATTTGCATTTTGTTTCGTGATCTCCAGGTCGTTTCTCTCTAGCCGGCTTGTCATTCTACGCATTTCCTCCAATTGCTTTGTCAAACTTTCAGCCTGCATTTGTGCTTTTGCTTGATCCTTTAGGGCAGCTTTTCTTATTCCGTCATACGCTACAATACACTTCTCCTCATCGATTTCGGGGCTTTGTTTCAGTATCATCTGTTTTAACTTTTGGTTTTCTTCTCGAAGATTTTGTAGCATTGTTTCGTATTCTAAATCCCAACTACACATAAGTAAATAAATGAGTACGTACCTAATTGTGCATCTTTGAGTTGTTGATTCAGGTTGTTCACTTTATTGTTCAAAACCATCACTGTGTTGCCCGTAATTTTCATATTAACCTAAAGAAAGTTGGGATATATTTGATAAAAAAAATGGTACTTGAAGATGGCTTTCAATCGTACGGCAGTCACGAGCGAATTGCAAAGAAGATATGATGTTCGTCAAATAACTAAATTTTAATATTTTCTACATAGAAAAGCAAAGAAACCTTTTCCCCGAATGAACCGTGACAACAATGGATGTGCGCGCTTTTCCGCCAAGCGAATCCTTCAAGAAGAGAGTGAGCTTCGAGTCTCTGTAGCTGATGACCGACTTCTTTTCTGACAGCTGCCGCATTACACGAGCAAGGCATGTCAAGCTCTAGACACAAATGTAAAAACAAATTTTTGTCAACTAACTTGGTTGATGCCGACTCCCTCTTTAAACTGTTCAGACCCAACTTGCACGCCAGTTTGTGCAATGCGTTCCGATCCAGCCAAGTCAACGAGGTGTAGTTTTGAGGTGCGCCGTTCCGCAAGATCGTCGACAAGTTCTTCCGTTGTAAGCTGAAACACAAAAAGTAAAACCTTTATCACAAAAGTACCTCAATCACAAACACGCAATGGGATCGACTCGATACTCTGTTCATCTTCGTTTCCGCCGTCTTTCTTGCACTCCATCCTTCGGAAAGAAGCTAAACTAATAGTTTGCAATTTAATCTAAAATTAGAGCTACTTACCTCCAGAGCCTCCGCTGTGGAAGTAACCCTGAACCGCTTAGCATTCAATCTAGTCGATGTACGAAATTGAAGCTAAACAGAAGTAAACTTTTTTCAGCAGCATCTTTCCTTACCTTTACGTCGTCATCCAGCAAGTCATACCATTCCTCTTGATACAACTGCACATAACAAATGTGCACTTCGCTTTGGAATTTGTCTTTGGTCAGCTAAAAAAAGGAACGGGTTGATTAACAACTATCCAAAGATCCAAACCTGGTCGGTCTTGGCTTTGAGGAAACTGAAGATATCATCGATGCATCTTGGAATTATGCCTTGATCGTTGGGCTGAATAGTAGAGAAGTCATCAATTTGTGGAGGGCCCACCATGGTGTACGTTTTACCTAAAACAAGCTTTCACTGAAAATAATCAAGTTTTAACAAAGTGCGCCAAAAGCTTACCACTTCCAGTTTGTCCGTATGCAAATATTGTTCCATTGAGTCCAATCGTGATTCCATCGACAACTTTCTTTCCCAAAGCTGCATAGACATCTACCTAAAGGAAAGGAATAAAAACGTTTACTTTGCTGTTTCGACAAGTTTAAGCACTATTAACGTTTAGAGAAGCACCATTTTTGCAGACAAGATTAGGGCCCTTCTTAGCATGATGTCTAGTTTGACAGCCGTACTCTAACTACTTTTTATTATACTGTGAAAATAGATACCTGTGAGGCCGTCCAGTCAAAGGCTCTATCCACCTCGTAGTCGGTTTTCTCCAACTTGACCGTCGAGCCGCTCGTTTCCACCATCCGATCCTTCCCATCACGTGCTCGGACACAGACAAAAACCCGTTCCATTCCTAAAACTCGTAGTTTTTAGCTGACCAAAAGGAAAACAAAATCGAAACACATTCAATCAAGCAAATAAGAACGCATTCTAGTTTAGATGGTGGGTATATCATGCGCTAACTAACAATTTTAAATGATTTGCTTGCGTTATCTTTTGAATAAGTTGTGCGGTTTAAGTTTTTCTAGGGTGCGGTCGAAATGAGAGTATGTATCAAAGATTTAGCACGCAAGAAAGCAACAAGCCTAACGAAAGCGAACTGGTTTCAATTGAAAAAGCTCACAGCAAGGAGAGCATGCCAAATGCAAGAAAGGTTCGCTGGAAAACGGAGACAAAAGTGCGACAGAACTTCTTTCATAGAATCTTCAACAAAGTTACAGATTTTCAGTTTTTTAATTGAAGTTCAACTTCTCGCTGGATACTTTGCAGCTTTTTCTATAAAGTAATCGCTTTTTTTGTTTCTTCAACAGCATCATTTACGCGAGTTTAGGTTGACTTTTTGCGTTTTTCAATCAACTTGTTCTTTTTCTCTAGTAGCGTTTTGACAGAATTGATAAGCTCATGTATCCGCCTAGCTACCTTTCCAAAACAAACACTCCATAACATTACAAGTTTTTGAATTTAAACGAGCCCTCTTTCTAATCGGAATTTGTTTTATTATCCCGTTTCTGTCAAAATTTCCTATCCAAGTTTTAAAATAATATCCATCTCCAATCGAGTAACATTGGGTAAATAAATATTTCGTGTTTTTTTACGGTCTTTATAGAAATGGAGTCTTTATTGCACACAATTAGACATTAGCAAAATCACAAACTCAAAATCTTTCAGAAACTACAATTGCATTCACAGAGAAAAATATTCGGCATCAGACATTTCAAAAGTAGGAATATACTTGGGGGCAACATTCCCTCGGCAGCCCTCAGTTGCAACAAAACTCGGAGGAACAATTGGCGTGACTGTGCCAACTTTTTGCGAAGAGGCATAGTTGTTGGAAGAGAAGAGCTTGTCGGTATTGTGGCTGAACTCGCGGTCGTATGAACAACACGATGAAAAATGTTGACAGTTGCGATTCACATAGTTGTAATCATTGAAAACCTAAATTTGATAAATGTATGTCAAATTAAAAAACCCCACCTTTCCATCGATAAATTGCTTTGCTTGGGCGACAATCGTCAAACCCTCACGAACCAGTATGGGATGAGTGACACGGAAAGCTTGACGACGGATCTCTAAAAAGAAAAGTTCATGCGTCTTGTTACGCATTTAGAGTTTCATTCGCCAACCATAAAATGCATGCTACAGATCTTACCTGATGGAACAGCCTCGTAAAATCCTAGCGTTGACACACATTTAACCACACCGGGAACTGTTTTACCGCTGTTGAGATCAGTTTCATTGAAACCTTAACAAAAAGTATTGAAGTTAAAATTGAAAGCGTTACCGTTTCTTGGAACAAAGTGACAGAAAAACCCGCCACCGATGTGGATCCCAGAATGACGCCAAATACGTCCATCGGTCAAGTAGTTGTTTATGAAGACTTCATCTCCAGGCAAAAGCCTTGCCGTGTCATTGAATAAATCAATTAACGAGAAGGAGATCAGCTAAATGTTTGAATTTATTAGACAACTAACAAGATTTATTACCTCAGAATTCACTGGAATCACACAAAATGGTGGAGGATGAGATAATCCGGGTGGTGGATAGGAGGCGAAATGTTTCTCACACGCATTCATTTGAGCCAAGATCTGCATTTGATCCATCGACTTAGTTGACAACTAAATTTAACAAAAAGATTATTTAACTGAAAAGAAAAGAAACCTTCATTGGCTCTGAAAGCATTTCAATGTTCCGTGAGTTGGAAGTAACCATCCACAACTAAAAGAAAGTTGATTAAGTTAATTTCTTTGCTATTTACCACCCATCTATCAGTATTCTGACATACAATCTACTTAAATGCCAAACAAGCTTGAATTATCGAAAAGGGGCCCTTCTTAGTTACCTATCAACAGTCAGCCGATTGTGAGTCAAAGAATTAGTGGGGCTAGAGCAGTTGGGGGGGCAGTCTAGAACTTGACCCAAAATCAATATTTTTCCACGAAAACTTGCACACAAGAGCTTTTGACTATGCTGAATCGAGTAATAGTACTTTTTTTTAAATTAATTCTATGTTTTATTTTTCTCAGAAGAGATAAGAAACAAAAATAACAAAACTGTTGCTTGGCGTTGCATATAAAAAACTCCCTGACAGGTTAGGAACTGTTTTTCGGAAAATGGCCCGTTTTTACTAAAAATGTTACAAAAGTATTATTACTCAATTCAGCATAATCAAAAGCGCTTTTGTGCAAGATTTCGTGGAAAAATATTGATTTTGGGTCAAGGTCAAGTCAAGTTAAGTCAGACTGCCCCCACCCCAACTACTCTAGCGCCCAATCAGTCGATAGCTGTTTCAATTCAGCAACTAACTAATTATCAAACAAGCAAAAGCCAAACCACATATCCTGGATCCTCTCGATCCATCGATTGAGTGCCATACAGTGCGTATTTTTGTCCAAATCCGGTCACACAGCTTTTGAGGAGTCCCTCACATGCCATAGTGCCGGCAAACGAGTTCATGCGAGCTTCAATTGGATCCTCGTATTGCATTTCAGTTGGTACAAACTAAATAAAAGTTAAATGAGAAACTCGATTGAAATGCCAGTAAAAATTTAGTGGAGGAAAATGAAACTGAAGGGAAAAATATCTCCTTTAGTTGGTTAGTTGACGCCAAATTGTGTAAATACTCGCGATTTTACTTTAAAGTTTAGGCTAAGTTTGAGTAAAAGACACAAAAAGTAAATAAAACGAGGAAACTCTAAGTGAGCAAAAACAATGGATTAAAAGTTGCGATACGAATGAATGCGGGAGAAAAAGAATTTCCTCTCTACAAAAAATGACAAGTAGGGATACAGCTAGAATGTGTTCTTCCCGAGCAAGTGATCTACTATATATAAAACAGAAGAGACGTCTGTCTGTATGGCCGTATGTGCGATGGTGGCTACTTTGCGCCAAATTTTTTGCGCAACTCGCCATAACTTTTGTCTAAGTGGGCCAACCTTTATAGTTGTGGTGTCATTTTGTTGCACTGATTGAGATCTACAAAATGACACCAAAATCATAAAGGTTGGCCCACTTAGACGAAAGTTATGGCGAGTCGCGCAAAAGACCCAGTTGTGCAAATAAAATGGCGGAAATCAGCCTACCCCTTTGTTTAGGTTTTCCTTCTGCTTTTATAGATTTCTTGTTTTTTTAAGTAGAAAACACTTTAATAGACCTAAATAAACAAAATTGGCGGTTGATAAGTGTTTAAATTCTGGGGTAGGCTAGTTTCCGCAACTTTTTTTGCGCAACAGGGTTATTTGCGCAACTGGGTCGTTTGCGCAACTCGCCAAAATCATAAAGATTGGTCTGCTTAGAAGAAAGTTATGGCGAGTTGCGCAAATGACCCAGTTGCGCAAAGAAGCCACCCCCGTGCGCAAACGCGACGCTCCGTAATTACGTTTGCTCCATCGATTAAAAGGGAAAAGTATTCAGTTTTTGCGCGCGATATTTTGCTCCCAGCGGTTTTCGGCTATGGGGACTCTGACTTTTACGTCCATTTTTAAAAAGGGACGGGGCTTAACATGGGTTACGGTGGTTTTAGGCATTTGAGTGGCTAAACCTCTGCTGGTTACTTGAATAAATTCGCGTAAGTAATTTTTCACTTGAGTAACGCGTCAAGTACGATAAATCTCAAGTAACGGTATTCTAAAAAGCGCTTTTTTCAATTGTTTGAATAAGCGGGGTGCTAGCAAAAGCGCGATATTATTTGCACCAATTTCATTTGCGCCACGGATCATTGGTGCTTTTCAACATACTTTCTTACCAACTCTGATTGATCATTTATATTTTTTTCAGTTTTTCCTCGTCGACGATACTTGCTATTTTGCTGCCTTCACCGAACCTGAAAATGGCATAAAATCGATATAGAGAGTAAAAAGTTCAATCAGGGACACAAAAATGACTGTTTTTAGAGTCTGTATAGGTATTTAAACGTGTTTTCTAATTGAAAGTGGTGAGAACTAAAATTGTGAAGCAGAAAACTGAAAAAAGTTGGTTAGAAGTTGGGAAAAACTGATTTTTTTACAGTGATTTTAGAGTAAATTTGGCGCAAATGATACGCGGCGCATAAATTTTTGATGCAAATGAAATTGGCGCAAAAAGCGCGGCGCTTTTGCTAGCACCTCAAAAAGACAAGTAGGGTTAAAGAGTTGACTGTTTAATGGCGCCGTGGGGCGCAGTTAAACAGTCAACTCTTTATATCGTATTCGTGTTTTTGTCGCAAAATTTAAAGCAGCTGGTTTTTTGATCGTGTTTTTGAAAGTCGAGTTTCGGCTTTTGGTTTTGTTTAGAATATTAGAAATCACTGAAGATTAGACATGGGTTTTGGGTTGGTTTTTTTTCGGGTCGGGTTGATCTGAAATTCAATTTTGTCGGGTCTGGTCGACCCGAAACTCAAAATTTTTTGCGCAAATTTTTTTTCTCCGTGAACCTTTTATAGCTTTTATATTTGGGTTACTGTAGAAAGGTATTCAGCCAACTCGACTTAATACTACGTAGTAAAATTTGCATTTACAATTACATTAGTAACAAATTTTACTAATAATCAGTTTTTTTCTCTATCTGATCGGAAACTTGGGATTTTCTGGTCGGGTCGTTGTTGACCAGGTTGACCCAGCCCGACCAGAAACAGCCCGATTAGCCCAGGTCTACTGAACATTTAGTAGTATTTATATTTGTATTCGTTTTTTGTGGTTATTTTTCTATCGTGATCCAATTTCTATTAGTACTAGGCTTAACCAACAAGCACGTCCATTTTGGATCCGTTTTTGCAAATATCGTAGCGTCCGTTTTCGTTTCTTTATATTTCTGTACCGTTGTACATGAACGTACCGTTAAACGTAACGTAACTTGGTCAGGTTTTGAGAGGTGAGTTTTCGTTTTTGCAACACTTTTCAACATATTCTGAAATTTTTTTAAAAGTTTATTAAAATCTTTCTCGATAATTTCACTTCTCCCGCTTTTCATGAGCATTTATGTGTTCATCACACTTTTCGCCTTCAGGATTCGAGCATCGCCGCAAACACAAAAAAAATCTCAGCCACCGCCAAAAAACTCGATATTATGCTTGTTGAAACTCGATATTATGCTTGTTGTGGATGGGGGAATGGCTGAAAAAAATGGGGAAAAGGGTTGGTAGAGTGAAAATTCAAAGAATTTCGGGGAATTCTCGATGATGTGCAAAAAAGGGGAGGAGAAACAGCGACAAACCGGGGAGAAAGAGGAGAAAGAGAAGTGAGAAAGTGATGGAAAAGATAGAGAAGTGTGGGTGAGAGAGGGAATTGAGAAGGGTTTGAGATGGAGAAATGAGAAGAAGAAAAGCTTTCAGTTTTCGACGAAGCTACTGTTAAAGTCTCGAAGTGCTGAAGCCATTTAATTGCTGAAGTTTTGCCTGGCTCTGTAAGCTAAACCTAACAAGTTACTGTACTGATTCTGCTTTTTAAAGAATCGAAAATAGGTTGAAAGAAGGAGTTCTATGAAAAAAGAGTGAGAAACTGAGGTATTGAGAGAGCTAGAGATGTTAAAGGAGAAATATAGAGAATCTAGAGAAAAGCAAAGAATTCTAGATGAAAACAGACGCATGAAAAGAGGCTGAAAAGAGGCTGAAGAGAGGGGAAAAGGCCTCTGTTGGGCCTCGGGATCTCTCTCTCTCTCTCTCAGAAAAAAAACGAGAAGAAAAGAATGGCAGCCACACATGGATGGGATCGATGTGCGGGTGACTGGAGGCTTTTCCTCTTTCCATTTCTTCTTTTTCTTCTACCACATCTCCATTTGCCCATTTTTGGACACACAGACATACCCCTTTCCTTTTCTTTTTTTGCTTTCCTTTCTTTTTTTTTTTTGATCTCACTCATATTTTCGCCCCATTGCCGTGAAAACATTGAAAATTGAGTGAACCATAGAAAATTTTTCTTTAGCCAAGAATTTCGTGTTTTCTTTTTGTTTTTAGGATTGATGTTTGGGCTAGTTTTTGGCTAGTTTTGGATACTTTTGGATAGTTTGGGCTAGTTTTGGTTTTTTTTTGGATAGTTTTGGCTTTTTTAGCTAGTTTTGGATGGTTTAGGCTTTTTTTGGAGAGTTTTGGCTTTTTTGGCTAGTTTTGGATAGTTTAGGCTTCTTTTTTGGAGAGTTTTGGCTTTTTTTTGGCTAGTTTTGGATAGTTTTGGCTTTTTTTTGGATAGTTTTGGCTTTTTTGGCTAGTTTTGGATGGTTTAGGCTTTTTTTGGATAGTTTAGGCTTTTTTTTTTGGAGAGTTTTGGCTTTTTTAACTTGTTTTGGATGGTTTAGGCTTCTTTTTTGGAGAGTTTTGGCTTTTTTGGCTAGTTTTGGATAGTTTTGGCTTTTTTTTGGATAGTTTTGGCTTTTTTGGCTAGTTTTGGATAGTTTTGGATAGTTTTGGCTTTTTTTTGGCTATTTTTGGCTTTTTTTGGCTAGTTTTGGATAGTTTTGGCTAGTTTTGGATAGTTTTGGCTAGTTTTGGCTTTTTTTGGCTAGTTTTGGCTAGTTTTGGCTAGTTTTGGATAGTTTTGGCTTTTTTTTGGCTATTTTTGGCTTTTTTTTGGCTAGTTTTGGATAGTTTTGGCTAGTTTTGGATAGTTTTGGCTAGTTTTGGATAGTTTTGGCTAGTTTTGGATAGTTTTGGCTAGTTTTGGCTTTTTTTGGCTAGTTTTGGCTAGTTTTGGCTAGTTTTGGATAGTTTTGGCTAGTTTTGGCTTTTTTTGGCTAGTTTTGGCTAGTTTTGGCTAGTTTTGGATAGTTTTGGATAGTTTTGGCTAGTTTTGGCTTTTTTTTTGGCTATTTTTGGCTAGTTTTAGTTAGTTTTAGCTAATTTGTAAGCTTTTTGTGGTTTAATTTATAAGGATCTCAGCTCTAGATCAATCTAGATGAATAGTTTTCAAGTTTTGTACTTCGAATTTTCAAAATCACCTTTACAGAATGCGGCATATATAGTGTTGCGCTAAATGCGTCTTTTTGACTTTCTAAGAGAAGCTTATTATTCTCTTATTCTAAGAGAATAAGATAAAAATCATGACAAAAGATCAAAATGTCTCGATCTCAAAAAATCATTTTTACACCACACCTATCACCTTGAATATATTTTTTAGACCATACCAATACCATACCCAACGGAAATATTTAAAATTTGATCCGAAGTGGATTTTTTTTCGGACACCCTGCCTATACCTCTTTTTTCTAGACACCCTGCCTATAGAAAACTGAAAGCCTGAGAAAAACTATCGTATTAAACAAGATTACTGTGGACTACTGTATCATTTAGACAACAGATTTGTCTTTATGCGTGCTTTGTACTTGTAAAAAAATCCCTTCTAGATTCTTAATTCTTCTTAATTTTTCTTGCGGCAACGATTGAAACGATCGAATTTTGCGGGAAAAATGGGGAATCCAGTTCGACAGAACGAAGCGTTTACACTTTTGATGTTGATGTTTTTGATATAGATGCTTTTTTCATTGTTCAATTCAATGCAAAGCTTTTCCTTGCTTTCCAA